CTACGTTTCAGTTTAGCCGGGTGTATATGCATTCGAAGAAGTATGAAATAATTTTAACTGGAAAACCCCATTTCGTTTCTTCGAACAAATATCGTTTCACGGAAAAATTAGACATCACAAAGTACTCCTTCGTCAAGTAGATTTATTTGTTTTTACGAGTTTGATTACGGGTTGATATCATTTAGAGAACCACACTGAAAACCACCACTGAAGTACTCGACAGTACCGGACAGTCCTAGTGCTTGGAAATCATCAACAGTACGCACTCACCATCAGGGTTCGAACCCAGGACTTTCCAGTTACAAGGCAAGCCGGCTCGCATAACATCCAGCCACTGGGATTCCACCCAATTCAATGGCCAGCGAATGAGTTCTCACTCCTACCGATTCGTGATTTAACGCGATTGGCACCAACCAATGTCATCGGTAGAATATCCATCCTCACACTTGACTTGATGAACCTCACTGGTTACGATTTCTGACTAGAACTCCAGGGAACGGCGTCCTGTAATAAGTCACTAGCGAGCATCAGATTAATTTTTGCAAGATTTGGTTTTTAAGGATTAGTTTTTTGTTTTATGAGTTGATCAAGAATTGAAATGGTTCTCTAGCTGATATCACTCCGCGGTTAAACTCGTATAAACAAATCTAATCCTTACAAACCAACTCTTGGCAATATATTTATTTGATCAAAAAGGGATCATGTTAACGTGTACTTTAAATGATTCATTAATCTAAAAGACTGATTAATGAAAAAAGAACATTCTTTCCGATAACTTCATTATCAGTTTCTACGTTTATACGACAGCAGTAATTAAGGGATTATTCTTGTTACGACATTAATGCTGTTTTAAATTGCGATGAATAAGTAGTGTCAACAGATCGCATTTCATAAGCGACATCAGTAAAAGAGAGGGAGAGATGATATGCATCACATATAACACCAAATAAACTAACTTAATATCAGATAAATTAAGGGGGCGAGAACACACGGAATTTATGAATTTATAGGTACAGCAGGCCAGTGTAGCAGAAGTGGCTGGCTAGATTTGTTTCTTTTAATACACACAGTCCCGAATGATTTAAGCGAATCACAATGACCTATTCTATTTGAAGTATTCGGTATCTAGAGGCCTTCGATAATCTATTCGATACCCAGTAGATGATAGAGAAAGACTCTTCAATACTGGTGTGTTTAGATGAGATGATCTAATTTAGAACTATTGATGGTTTCAACAACACTTCCATGGTAAGAAAAATCAGGTTTCTATAACAACGGCCAGTATAACTGACTCCAGAGGAACAACTGAATTGATTAGGTGGTCTAGGTAGTTCGTTTTTCAGTTTCACAATCACAACCAGTTTTATGGCTCATCAATAATAGTAATAACTATTCCACAGGAGATTGACAGAAAAAATTCATCTGAAACTACTCAGAACCATATTGTAGTGGGCCTATTTATCTTTGCGTAATTTAGACACTCTATATAAGAATAATACATACAAATAGTAGTAAATTTCTGTATGATTATATCTGTAACAAGAGAAGACAAGAGCCAGGCAACAGATCGTTTATTAAGGAAATCAACACGTATTTATTTATATTTCATGTACATTATTGTAGCTTATTCAAGCAAACAAACACACTCTTCTGATTGGTTGTTTCTCATTGAAAGTTAATCTTTTATCTATTTGTGGCTGTTTCTTGAATGTAAGATCATCTATGTGCTAACTATATCCGCCTACACAAAATCTGCTAATACTAATGAAGAAAGCAACCACATTTGCATAAAACCGTATAAACTACTAACCAATTAAGATAAGTAGTTCTATACCAGCACTCATATCTACCATTAATGCTTGACCTAAACGCCTGATGGATATTTCTCACGTTTGAGACCGAGATCATCAGACGTGTATCCGGTTCGACTTAGCTGGGAGAGAAAGAGGGGGGAGAGAAGCGAATCAGTTCAAATGACACTTGATTTCTCAGGTAAAGTAGTGTTATCATTAAGTTGAATTAACAATGTGCAATGTGCACAGACCAGTAGGTGTATTTTCAAATGTCTAATAGTATGATTTCCTTATTGAATTTCAATTTTTCAATCGCCCTTGATAATATAAATAGTCAAGGTTAACTTTCAGCTTAAATATTGATCTTCCCTAACGAATATTCTTACCTTGTAATCATCATTTCTTGTTGTGCACAGATTTATGTGTAACTTTAACTATATTGCGCTGTGCTACGCTGTGCTGCGCTACTCTGCACTATGCTTTACTGAATATCGCTTCTGGTCGTAGCTGAAGTCAACAATACTCTGACATTTCGATTTTGTTTTTACTTCTTTTCATTATAGTAGTTCCTTCTTCTTGTAAATTATGTATCTAGGGCCACCACACGCTACACACACACACACCAACACACAAACACACACATGGTGATAATTAAAAACATGTAACATTTTAGTAATGTTAAGCAAGAAACTTCTAGTACACGAATGTATGCATAAATGTCATAAATGTAGACAGTGAATTGTAATTTTATAGAATAAAATTCATGTTTCTATAATCTTTTATGGTTGTTATAACATCGAGCTAAATTAATTATTAGCGATCTTTGTAAATACATGCATATATATGACAGTTTGTTTTATTTAAGTAATAATTGAATTATAGCGCTGATTTCAAGCTGTTGTCAAGCAACAGCATGTGACCTTGACATTTTTGTTTTGTTTTAGTTCACTTTTCAACATATACAACTTTAAGGGCCTTTCTCCTCTCTTTTTTTAATTGTAATAAAAATTGTCATTACTTGATGTGAATTGAGAAGAAGAAGAAGACGTAGCAGGAGAGGAAGTGAAATCAACGTCCAAAATCAAGAATTGAAGTAGAAATAGGGAAGAACCGAACTGTTTAGAAATGATTATTTTGATAGTTTGACATCTATGTTTGAAATTTGTGTCAAATTCAAATATTGGTTAATAATTAGTTCAGAAGAAAAGATGAAATAATGAAATTGCTTTCAGTTAGATAAAAGTTTCACTGATAATCATGAAGTCATACGGTTCGTGTACTTTTCTTCGCGGTTACTTATATTTTCCAAGCTCGGTACATGTTGAAATAATAGAGAAGATTTGTAGCTCAGGTGGATGATTTGCAATTAATAGTGTTCTCTGAGAAGCTGGTTGGTTTAGTTGCGAAGCTTTCGTCGTCCACATTCTGGATAACATCCCCCTTCAGCGCAATTTTCAGCATGAAGTGAACTTATGTATTGACCATTTTCTATTGACTTGGATTTTAAACTTTCTTATCACATGATTTACTTCTTATTAGTTGGTATATTTGGTCTATATGTTAAAGTGTGTTTGCTAATTGCATATTGGTTTGAGTACCAGGCTCCTAGGAATTTCCTGACTGCAAGTTTGGTGTTTCCTCTGTCTAAGATTCTGACATTATACCAATCAAACTGATGTTCATAAGTGTTTATATACATTAATATGAAAGAATATATATCATGTCTTTTCACGGCAGATTTGTGTTCCTGGATTCTGATTCAAAGGGGACGCCCACACTGGCCGATGTAATGCCTATTACAGTTCATACAATTTATTTTGTAAATGGTGTTAATTTTATCTCCTTTTTCTGTTGGATGAGTCTTTCGGTTTGCACAATATCGAATAAAGTGATTGTGTTGACTGGCTTGTGTGCTATATCTATATCAGATGTTTTCAGTATTCTAGCTGTTATTTCAGAGATAATTTTTATACATGGTAGGATGAATTTTCTTGTGATCTTTGATGATGGTTCCTTGTTGGTGTTGTGATTCGATTTTAAACACTTTTTGATGAAATTGTGGGGAGACAGTGATTACGTACTTTTCTTTCATTCTCTTCAACATTGGAGTGCTACAGTGTGTTTGAATTCTTTTTAAACAATGTTAACCAGGTGTAAAAATCAATATGTTCAGGCCAAATAAACACAAAATTATGGAACTTTGCGTAGAATGAAGTTAATTTATCAATAGATTTTATTGAACATAAGCCAAAAAAAATATTGCGAAACGAAATACTAAAATAATTTTCTCAAGCAGGAACTATCTGGAAAGCAGTCTGTGAATGTAGTTAGTGTGCACGTCAAAGGTTTGGAGAGGGGTAAATCATTATTATACCTCATCAAGATTTTTGAATCGAACAGTCGCCAACATTAGGAAAAAGAAGACCTTTGTTTAGAGATAAAAAAGACTCATTTCCACTTGATAATATAAGGCTCATAAAAATGAGCACGAACTGCATAGGGTTTGATTCACCTACATAACAATGGATGGTCACTATGTTATAGGTGAGTTATTCTTGCACAAATGCTAAAACTTATGATTTTCAAAAAGAATTTACCCTTTAATTGTATGCTTCATCTCAAGAGAAAGCATGATGTCGTTGATATCTCTTCAGTCATCGTTTCAGTTTTAAAAGGAAAATTGCAAATAAAACGAATACGACACCGTATTTATGATACATAAATTCTTTGGTCTCAAATGTCAACTTCCCTATGACATTAGGTTTCGTCTCTCTAATCGATTCTATGCTAGCCACTTTAGTTTACTATCTTCATTACATTATGATTGCTTACCATATAACAGGGGGCTAACTAACTAACTAGCTAACTGACTCACTAAATAACCAACTAACTAACCTTGAACTAACTGACTAAGTAACTGAGCTTCATCCAGGATCTTCAAATAAGACCCGATCCCTTCTAGTACTTTGTCTTTTTCACAATTCGAGTAATAGTACATTCTACGACCAAAATGATGCGAAGAAATGATTAAAAAACCATAATAATAACAGTAAAAGAAGAAAATTTGAGCATTATGATGGGTGGAAATTCGGGTAGACCGGTTATTTAGGTGGGCCGCAATTTAAACTTACATATATAGTGGTTATGCGCATGTATATAATATCTGTGCTACTTTTTAAATCCTTTCTCTTTTTTATTTTCTTACAGCAATCTGATTTAGATCGATGCGCTATTACTTGTTCCCCAGATAAATGTCAATGTGTCGGACCTCCAGGAATGTTGGTAAGTTTATTTTCTTTCATCATAATTTTTCTTCCTTCTCTCTTTGGGAGTAATTCACCATTTTTTTTAGGGAAAAAATTTAAAATGGCAAAACATTATTAATTTATGTTGGCACAGTAAATTCATAGTGTAACGGCTAAAACTGACGGTCTGAGCTAAGAAAGCCAATCTCCGCATCCTACTGTATATTATTGTTTCCTTGGGTTCTAAGTGGAACATAGGGCTTCAATAACTCATCTCCACTCAGTCCTACTTTGTGCTGTCATCTTCAGCTGAGTCCACGGTTGACAGTAATCCCTCATCTCCTCCTCGCTACATGACCCTAGGATGATCCATTCGTCGCTTCCTATTCAACTGCATTGCGCACGATGTCATTCGACCGTTTCGCTCAATGTATGCCCGATCAATCCATCTACATATTCTCCTACATATTTGTTGAGCAATCGACTCTCGTATGTTGGTTTGTTGCCATCCAGAGTTTCTTGTCACTGATTGTTTCTGGCCAGCCGTCTGACCTTCAGTTTGGAGTCAAAGAAAGCAGCTATTGATAGAGATCTTCAGTGGCGTGATGGAAATCCTTTGCGTGACGCGCAATGCAAGTTTCTGATCAGTACAGAAGAACGGAACTACTTGACATTGGTGTTGAAAATCCGAATTTTCTTCCTCATGCCAAATGTAAAGAAGATTTGCAGAATGTGTTCAAGTTGGTGAAGGTGTATCTCGCCTTTCCGATTCTGACATTGACATCTTTATCTGTTCCGCCTGTAGTTGTAACGACGCTTCCTAGCCAGATAAGTGAAGGAAGTAACTCTGTCAAATCTCTCCCGTTGATGTTGATTGACGCCGGTTGCTGTTGTTGTTGTTGTTGTGGTTCGTTGGTTATCTTCATCAACTCCGACTTTTCCATTTTCACCTGGATTCTAATCTTCTCCACCTGCCTTCTCAGCCAGTTTGTCGGCTTTCGCCTACACGTCTTTGAGTTAATGTGACATTAAACATGAGTCATTCACACGCAAAATCCAGATCTTCTAGGGTCTTCTTATCAGTAGTCCAGCGTATTCCAGTCTCCTAACTACACCAGTTAGAGTCTGACGCATAATCCAGTCCACCACAACAATTAAGAATATCATCGGTGATAATAGGCAGCCTTGTCTTACTTTTGTCTTTTTCATTTATAACACCTCACTGAATTTTTCATTGTAGATCACCTGACACGTGGCACTGTCATATAGCTAGCTGTTGAATGAGGTTGATAAAGACTTAGGCACTGCAGTTTCCAAATTACCTCTCGGTCAACGCTGACCGTTGAAGGCCTTTCGGAAGTCGATGAAGTTGAAGTAAAGTGAGGTTTGACTGCCATTCTATGCTTTGTTTGACAATAATGCGTAGAGTTACAATTTGATCAGCACATGATTTGCCTTTCCTGAATTCAGCTTGTTCTAGTCGATGGGTGACGGAGTTCTCTATCCAGAGAATCTTTATTCTCTCCTTGAGACACTTACAGGAATAAAACTCACCAAAGACGAAAAAGGACGGTTTCTCACTGTATAATCTTTGTGGTTCCATTCAACAACAACAATAATAACATATAAGATTGCAAAATTTCCTCAACAGTGCCATCAGGCTAGATAGGTTTCCAGTACAAAACAGGCAGTGAAAATCAAGAAGAATATTCTCATTAAGGTGGGATCAAGATTTCATCGAGAAGAATCACCAACCAAACAATTCTCTCACACGGTAGATGGTTAGAATGATCTTGATTCACTCAAACAAAATTGCAGTCGTAGTACCAAACATTATGGATACCATCACAACACGACAAACAGAGAAGCACCAAAATTAGAGATTATACAGGATGAAAGACAAATAATAAGGACTAAGTCATCATATGGCAAGTAAATGTCAGAACAATTATATACAGTCTAGGAGAAAAGAGGAAAATAATTCCATCGTTTTCTGGGCTCCTAACCGACAAACATCTAAGCACGCTCAACACGAATGTGACGAGCCAACTGAATGTCTTTCGGCATGATGGTTACACACTTGGCGTGGATGGATGGCGCAAAAGTTGGTGTCTTCAAAAAGATCAACCAAGTAAGCTTCACTGACTTCTTGTAGAGAAGAAACCGCCGAGCTCTTGAAACGCGAGTCAGTCTTGAAGTCCAGGGTGATTTGACGGACGAGACGTTGGAAAGGCAATTTACGGATCAATAATTCAGTGCTTTTCTGGTAGCGACGAATTTCACACAAGGCGACAGTTCCGGGCCTGTATCTGTTTGGCTTTGGTGGTCAGCTGCTCCTCCAGTAGATTTGCGAGCAGTCTGCTTTGTACGAGCCATAGCGAAACACCGAGAGACGTTGTTGTTTGATTGGTTGGAGGATTTCATGATGAGCTGACATCAGTTATAGAGCCATTGGAAAGCCAACAGGGAGTAATGAACATCCGTTTCGTCCTAGTTTAGGACTCTTCATCAGTACAAGCTCGCCTTGTAACCAAAAGGTCGTGGGTTCGAACACTGTCGGTGGATGCGTGCTGATGAAGAGTCCCAAACTAGGATGGAACAGCCGACTGTCCAGTACTCCGTGCAGGTTTCCCAGTGGCTCTCTAACTGATATCAGCTGACAATTAAATCCTTCAACCAATTTCAAAGTTTGTTGAAATATCCAAATAAGTATAAGTATAGTAATTAGATCATTTAGGAAAGACTCTCCAATTTATTATTCTGTTACACATGGTAATACATCCAATCCATATCGACAACCAATCAGCTTATATAATAAAAAGGCATAAATTATAATCCAAGTGAAATCAAAACAGACTAAGCTATGCTGTAGTATTCTGTACTTGGGGAATTACACAATAAGTAGCCTGGAGACTGTTAACTTTTATATTCGCACAATACTAGCTGCCATTATCCTCCAGTTGAACTTTATATATCTGCGGCTTTCTATAGCTTTACATCTGTTAGCCCATTATTGTTAAGAGGTACACACTCCAGGTGGTTTTCTAGTCAAGATGAGTAAATGCTGAGTAAGCTGTACAGTAACCTCGAATATGAGAAAAAATAAACAGCTATAAATTTCATCATAAAGTTGTACAGTTTTTCCTAAATAAACAGTTACAGATTCTAAGTATTTTAGAGGCCTAATAGTATGTTGTTTACAAGAAATTTGACTTAGAAAAAAGTAAGGAAAAAAGACTGACTCTCTAAGGCAGGCCAGTGGTCACAACTGTCACCGACCATCCACATGGTCCGTGGTTCGATCCCCTACCGACGCACATCTGATATCAATCAGTGGTCGGTCTGCTAAATTAAGGCTAACGATATCACAAGCTGAAAATTACAAACAGTCTGGAATCGAGTTACAGTCAAAAATCAATAATAATTACTTAGTAACAGATGAAAACCAAAAAAAATGTCAGAAGAAGCAGCAAAGACAGGACTTTAAGGGAACATACAGAAGAGGGAGTTGATAAAGAAAGACACGCAGTCACCACTAACAACAAGAACTAAACATTATAAGTGGGGGAGCTTTGAAAGATGTCAACTCCTTCAATTATCTAGGCACTATCGATTCAACTATAGGCAGGTGGCATGGGTGAGTACGAAAAGCCAAAATTAGGTAGGCAGTTTTGAAACCTACTGCACTCAGTACAGAGGAAAAAACCTGGATTTTCAACAACAATGTTAAGTCAGCGTGTTTTTCTATGTGTTTCGGAAGCTTAGCGAAACCGTCACAATAAGGATTTTCTTCAGGCCACTGGTGATAGTCATCAGCAACTTCCTTTGCCGCCTACATACTGAGTATTTGATGACTGGCTGGAAAGAATTAACAACAAGAAACACTAGGAATGAAACAGCCGAGAATCCACTGTCAAATAAATCTTCCGAAGAAAGTGGAGATGAACCAGGCACACGCTGAGGAGATTAAAGGGCGGCGCGTCACATGACGCCCATGAGTGAAAGATGAATGCGAAACGACGAGTTGGGTGTATATCCAAAGATGGACTAGAGAAGGCCATATAGAAAGGCGAAAAGAGACTGTGAGGAATCGTGAAGCTAGCTTAAGAGAACTGTAGAAAACGGGGTGGAATGGAGATGTTTTGTTGAAGCTGTATGCCCCGTTTGGAACACAAGGGAATAACAATAATAATTTAATTGAATTTTAGATGTTCCCGTCGATTGATTAAACTGAAGTGTTCGGTCTCAGGTTGACATGTTGTCTTCTTGCGCAGATACTTCGAAAATGTCTGCGCATTTAATTAGAATTTAATTGGTGGGTGGTGACTAGCAGTGGAATCCAGGATAAAGCGCATTTCGTCAGCTCTAATTAAATGCCCAGACATTGTCGAAGCATCTGCACAAGAAGCCGACATGTCAACCTCAGACGGACCACTTCGGTCCAATCAATCCACAGGAAAATCCAAAATTCAATTAAATTAATATGACCCGTTGCACAAGAGGTGGCTCTCGTGGCCCAAGTAGTCTAGTGGATAACGCTTCGGTGTTTGAAACTATGGGCACTAGGCTTGAGCCTCAAAGGGGACGTCATCACTGACTCACTGTGGAATTCAGGTACACCCAGTGATGAGTCCCAAATAAGACGAAATGCGCTCTATCCTGAATTCCACTGCTAGTCACTGTCTACCATTTAAATAATATCGATTGTTTGCTTCGTGTAGAGCTGTTGAATGGAAAACCCCAGCGAACAGGAGAAAATCTGATCACTGTTAGATGTTATTGATTTAGACATGCGGAGTAGAAGAGTAATGATTAACTTCCTTCGCATACTGATTAGATAGGTTGTGCACATCTTGATGTTCACGTGGATTCAGCTTGAGAAAACTGGCTAATAAATACCAAATTGCTTCCAACTGCTTTAGGAATGTTAAACAGGCACAGGCTACGCAGACTAACACAAATCATTTTGTTATAGTTATTATTTTCATTATAACTTGATTAATCACTCACAGATAATATATTCTTTCGCAAAATCTTTTAAACAGGGACAACCTGGTCCTATGGGTGTACGTGGTGCTGAAGGACCACCGGGTGATCAAGGTCTAGTAGGACTTATTGGAACTCAAGGTGAAAAAGGGGAAAATGGTATTCCTGGTATACAAGGCCCACAAGGTGAAAAGGTTTGTCAATATCTGTTAACTTTATCAAATAATTTTATTATGTTTTACATATGTTACACACTAACTGTTTATATTGTAAAGTATAGATAAACTGAAGTCATCCCGTATTATTTCTGATTATTAATGCGTTTAAAAACATGTGTATGGGGATTCGCATAGGAAGGCATGGTTTCTGAATCCAACGAAACATTTCTCACTATTATTATTATTAATATTTTATTCCTTTGAGTCCTCAGTGAAATATAAGGCCTCAAGCCTGAAGACTTGAAGTTTCCGTGGTGACATTGTTTTTTTAACAGAGTAGGGGTTGCTAACCTCATATCCAACCATCTCTCTTCACTTATCTCACTACCGCGTAAGCGGAGTTCACGGGTGACTGGTCAAACTGGAAATCCAATCACAGACCATGTGAGGCAAGTATTCCACCAGTGAACCACTGACGCAACTAGAATAAAAGATTTTAGTTCATGTGTCGGTGACATAGCGGTTAGAACGCTCGCCTATCATGCACACGGTTCGGGTTTCGATCCCCTGCCGACTAACACCTGATAACAATCAACGGTTGGTCTGCTAAATTTGATCTATCGATATTATACGCTGAAAATTCCATACTTGTATAAAAAATACTGTGTGAAGTCAAGCTACAATAAAAAAAATGGATTCAAGTTAAAATGGAGTCTAATGAAGCTGACTTAGTACCTGCCTGTCTGTTTTCGACATAGAACTTTGCACCGATGCCCACCATTTCAAGTCGCCACACTCCCTCCATGTAGCACACAGAGCAAGAGAAGAAAGTGGAGGAAATGCATAATAGAGACAGTAAATAGAGGTGTGAGTTAAAGGAATAGTAATATCGAAGAACGGTATAGTTTCATTGGATATCATAAGTCACTGGGAGCCAGTCATTGAGAACGAGGATTTTGAGCCATATCACCAATTGTTTCCAACCATTGGTTTTTACCGCCCCGAGGATTCCAATCCGCCTGGTAGTCTATCCTTCCTACTTGGCTTCAACTAACTGTTGTGGATTTCATTAACTGGTACCATGTTTTGGTTTGACCACCGCTAGCTCTTGTACAGCTTCACCCTATGTCACCTAACATTGCCCGTCGATTGAGTAAGCAATGACTAGGCATACGAAACACATATCCTAACCAACTCAATCGATTTATTTCCTCTCCTTACCTAGTCTAGTATTCGACAGAAGCCTAACCTCAATATTGCTCATCCTATTATACCACTTCACATGAGGGATAGAACGCGGCCACCTATGATCGAAGACAGCTAATCTTTTCATGTCGTCCACTCTCAATGGCCAGGTCTCACAGCCATAGGGGAGGACGGAGCGAACTGGTGAGCAGTACACATACCCGTGGTCGACAGCCAGCCAGATATCACGTCTACGCTAGAGACGGCGTAAACTGGCATATGCGAAACTAGCCCTCTGTATCCGTGCTGAGATTTCGTCAGAGATCAACCAATTGGGGTTGATGGTACTTCCCAAACAAGTGAAGCGGTCAACGTGCTCTACCACTTCACTCCCTATTTCTAACCTAGGAGTCAGTAACATCATCTTACATTTGGTGGGAGCGAAATGCATGCCAAAAATTTTTAGATTGCAGCTGAAGGTGTTCAGAAGACTCTGTACTTTGACTTAGTAACACTTACAAACCATTGCCATTCAACTTTCCACGCTCAAAGGTTTTGTAGACATGCGCTGCTCATGAGTGTCTAGCTGTTGGTTAAAGTGGTGGTTACTTGATATTTTCGCACGACTAATACCATTTTAGAAAATCAAAACAAGTGATTCAGCGAAGAGACTCTTTCCAACGAATTTATCATCAAGCTGTACAGTCGTATATATATGGTTTTTAATAAGTTATATCCGGTGAGAGAATTGAATCACACCTGTACAGCTTGATGATAAATTCGTTGAAAAGAGTCTCTTCGCTGAATCACTTGTTTTGATTTTCTAAATGTTGCAATGGGAATTTTCCATGAGTTAATACCATTTTGTGATGAAATAGGGCTTAACAATTCACTACTACTACTACTACTCAGTTAAAAGTCAGGATAATTCTTGAAATACGTTAAGTGCATTCATCCCTGACTAAACTGGCTAACTTTAATATAGACAGAAGACCAATAGTTCAGCGAAGAGTCACTTTTCGGAGGCGAATTCATTTTCACGGCTGTACAATTGCAAATATATGTATGTGGTTGTTTTGTATGCGTGTGTGCATATATTAAATTTGTCAAACAAAAATACAATTATCAAGTGTTGGTTTTGTAGGGATTTGGTTTGATTGTATGGAGGATTTAATCATGAGCTGACATCAGTTAGAGAACCACTGGAAAACCTGGGAGTACTGGACAGCTGTTTCGTCCTAGTTTGGGACTCCTCAGCAGTACGCACCCACCGGGGTTCGAACCCGGTTCAGATGAATTGGATGTTGATATAAGAGGGTAGTAACAAATGTGATGAGTTGTCACAAACGATTTTAAACAAGAGTTGCGTAATAACGTGAATAGTTTGATGAGAGAGTTGTGCTCAGTGTGTACATGGAAACAAAATAGCACACGGAATTACGGAACAGTTTTAAGTAGTTAGAAAAATAAGCATACTAACAAAAGTTAAGTTATATCAACAGGGTTGTAACCATGATCGTAGAAGTGGTTGAATAATTTTTTTTTGTATGCATAGTTCTGGCTCTTCTAACTGAATGGCTAGAACTTCTGGAATGGAAAGAAGACGGATACGTTGTTGTTGTTCTTCATTTTGTAGACTTTTTTGATTGAGGTGTTTGTCGAGATGGAATGACCAGTGTTGACGAGATGTTTAATTATTGCAGTCCTTATACGGTTACTACTTCCCTTATGCATCCACTGTAGATAGTGTTCTTTGACTCTTTTTGACAGGATGAGCGTTGAACAACCAATGTACCTGGCTCCACAGCAACAGGTGAACTGATATATACACAATAAAGTGGTCAGGTGCGGGATCTTGCCCTTTGGGCTACTGCAGATTAACGGGTGACTGGAGAACACTACTCTCAGTGTTGCCTGCAAAGAAAGTTCTTCTTAAAGAAGTGGAAATTCTCTTCCTAAGTCGAGGTCCGCATAAGGTATCTTTTTTGGCATGGATAGCGTCTCTTGTATTTGGATTTTCCGTTTGATGTTTTTGTCTATGAATCTTGATGGGAAACAGTTTTGTGTAGAGATTTCTTTCACGAAGTGAAGTTCTTCTTCCAGGGTATCAGAGCTGCAGATGAGTCGAACACAAATGGTAAGAGATCTAACTAGGTGTCTTTTTCGAATGATTGGTACCCAGCTTGTCAGCTGGCTGAAAAGCTTCGCTGAACTAGTCGTCTTCTGTCTATTATTGTTGGAATGGGAATTTTTCATAACTTTTATGTACTCATAGTTTACTTCTCTTTTTTTTCTTAATTTTGATCAGGGTTTACCTGGTGAACCGGGTTATGCTGGTGAAAATGGGGATATCGTAAGTGTCAAGTTAATTCGATATAACAAATTTTTTCATCAATAAAAAGGGTCATCCTGGTACACGAGGAATTAAAGGTGAAAAAGGCGATAATGGATGTGACGGGGAAGCGGTAAGGATACTCCTTTATGCGCAATATTTTAGTTTAATCTAATGTACCTACTATTTAAAGCCTTTAAATGTTCCCATCATTAATATTATGAATATTAGAACAAGACATATTAATATATGTGTAAAATTTGGGCATTGTGGTAGTAAGTAATTCCATATTAGTTTGTTTATTGGGTATATCACACAGTCAGTGGAACATTATTATTTACTGGATGATACAGTTTCGAACAAAATTTATTATTATTCACAATCATATCATCAATTATAATCACACGATTTAGTTTTCTTTGTTCTTTGCTATTTATCGTCGTTGTGGTAGTAGAATTTCCAGATGTCCAACTGAACAGGTGTTGAATCATTCCCATTACACGTATAGGATTAGTGAAATATTTAAGTGATAGAGGACAGAAACACGTAGTACCAAGGAAAATCTAAAACAGGAAGTGAGGCATATAAGAGAAGACTTTAAACTTAATAATTACCCTGATAAATTAGTCAGAAAGTGTGAGAGGAAATGTAAAAATAAAATAATGATAGTAATGGTAGTAATGATAATAATGGCCATAATAACGACGACATGCGTGTCAAACATACACAGGATAATGAAAACGTCAACAATAAGGAATCTAAACCATCAGTAGTAATTCCATACCAAGAAGGAGCCTAGGAAACCGTACGCAGAATTCTTAACATGGAAGGAATAAAAGTGGCTTTCATTCAAACCAACCACAAACTCGATTAGAAACAAGTTTTGTCGGTTAAAGGATCCTGAGGGGCCTTTAAAACAAAACAGTTTAGTTTGTCTAATGCCGTGCTACCATGATTGTCAGGTCAAATACATATGTCAAACTTGTAGAACTGGGGCAGTCAGACAGACTAGCTGAGCATAAGAGACTAGCAGCGAAATCTAAATTAGTTGACGCGAATAAGATAAGAGATCTAGAGAAAAGTTCAGCTATAGCACTCACTACATGCAATTACATACAACCATACAATAGGATGGATGGGATAAGATGACAGTTTTAAAATCTAATGTCACAGGGTGGAGGGAGAGATCGATAACAGAAGCTTTGTTTATCGAATCAACTGAAAATATGTGCAATCGGAGTGATTCAGCACCTGTCCAGACGCATATCTGGAAAATTCTACTACCCAAACGATGACAAATAGGAGAGAACAAAGAAAACTATAAAACTCAAATTTCGAAGTTGTGTGATTATAATTGATGAGATGATTATGGACAGCAATGAATTTTGTTTGAAACCTCGTCATCGAGTAAATAATACTGTTTGACTGACTGTGTGATACATCTAATAAACAAACCAATATGGAATCCATCAAATTAATAAAACAATGAATTCTAAAAAGAATTTATTACTACTTAACACCTAATTTCCATCAAGTTTCTTAAAGTAATAAGGAATGGATCAGAACACGGATCGTAGTATACTTCAAAAACTTCAAAATAATTTAGACAAGAATCTACGATTAGAAAAACAAACTAAAAGCATTGGATTAAGTAAAACTGAGATTTTACAAATGATGAACACTTTTCATCGGTTATATACAGAAATGTGTACGTTTTTGAAAAGGAATTGAAAGTGGTTGATGTTCAATAAGGCATAGGCAGTGTCGTGTGTCTGATTCTTAGCGTTGTTGCTGGTTTTACACTGTGACCACCATCACGGTGTAGTTTGAAATGGTCACAGGAGGTTGGCGGCAAGAAACCTCCAGGCACATAATACAAATCCATATTATCTGTTATGCATTCAGATCATCTCTGTAAGAATCCTAACAAATGTTTACTTTTCAGGGAGAATATGGTGAACAAGGTGACAATGGAGAACCAGGTGTAGTAGGATTACCAGGAGAACCAGGAATTAAAGGTCCCAAAGGATACACTGGAGGATCCAGACAAGGACTAATGGGTGAAAAAGTGAGTTTTGAAGGTGACATTAGGCCAAAAACATGTTTTATGTGTAAATGTAAAGTAAACGAGAATATCTGAGTAGTTTTATACATCTGGTTTCAGTATCAATGGCAAAGTTACAGAATAACAATCCACACAGAATACGAACTCATAAATCAGAAAAACCAGTGTATTTTACATAAAAACAGGCTTTATTTACTTGGAAAAGACATTATAATAATGAATACCTCTAAGATATTTACCAAAAAGTACAGATTACCCTAACGTATTATTATTTCCTTGGTTTCCGAGTGGAATCTACGGCTTCAAAAACACATCTGCACTTTCTTTTGTTTGGCGCCATCCTCTTCAGCTGGGTCCACGATTGTTCATAATCTCCCAACCACTCCTTCTCCCCAAATGACTTCCTCCATGTCACCCTCACCTTAACGACTCATCCGTTGCCTTCCGCTGAGACTCCACTCGAGCGATGTCCCGCATTGAGCACGCTGTCATTCATCGGCTTCCTCAAAATGTGTGGATCCACCTCCATTTTCCCCACATATCTGTTGAGCAATTGGCTCTCCCTTGTTGGTTTACCGTCAGCCATATTTTCTTGTTACTAATTCTTTGTGTCCAGCTTACCGGCCATTTGATCTTATGTATGGAGCCAGCGAAGGTGGCAGCTGTTGATAAAAGTCTGCAGTGACTTTTTGAAAATCCTTTTCGTGACGCGTTGGTCGAATTTCTGACCCGTATAGAAGAACGAGAAGATTTGGCCTCGGTGTTGAAAATGAGGATCTTGTTGTTTATGCTGCCTGAGTGCATAGGACTTCCAAACTGGTTTCAGGTTGGTGAAGGCATACATTGCCTTTCTGATTCCAGCTGGCTGGCTTTGACATCTTCATCCGTTCTGAGCCTCCAAAGCCTCAGGATGGTCAAGGGTGGGTGTCTTGCGCTGTGGGTTGGCCACCCCTCCGTACACCTCTTGAAATGCTTCCATATGACCGGGCGTCTTACATAGCCTCTCCTGAGGAAGTCCTACTCACTGCCTTCACGTGGCGGAGGTGTTTTCTCACCGAAGTGAGAGGGCAAAAGTGGATGCCCGGCGCTCTTCACCGGGTTGACTGTCCATTGAATGACAGTCTAGGGGATATGGCTAAACCCTGATTCCAAACCTCCAACGACTGGCGTATGAAGCTCACCGGGAGACGTATGGACAAAGGGCTTATTGGATGCCCTGGATGTCTGCCCCCATTCAAAAAGGCGTATGAACCGGACTCCGGTCACCGGCTTCCAATGGATAGTGGACTCCCTACTCCACTCCTACTGCCTTGTAGGTCACACTTGGTTGTGTAAAGGCTAGAGCTGCACTCTCGAACAAAAGGCCGAGCGATGCTGGGGACATCACTCGTACCCAATTCCCATGAAACTTCATGGTTCATGAAGCCGGCTCATCCTCCCGTAGGAGATAGCCGAAGTAAAGTAAAAAGTAAGTAAGTATCCGTTCTGGTTGCCTGTGGTTGAAACAATTGGTGGTGATTGGCCATAAGGACTCTGATATCGCCATTCGGTATGTTGTCGATTGCTGTTTGTAATTGTCTATAAAAACGATCACTAACGCGATATCAGCTCATTATCCAAACAGTCCTTAAAAACCAAATCGGGATGAAATCTTCACCTCACATCGTCCATAAAATTCATAGTGTAGCTATAATAATGATGGGTCCCATTATCCAACGAATAGCATGCGTTCAGTGTCCCTGGTGCGCTCACACTCCCCCCTTTTACTCTGGCCATATTGGTCATCAATAACTCAAAGACCAAACAATAAAAGCTAAGTGACAAGTGCTTTACTTGAGAGATTTTGATATACTACTGGCTTAGATGAACCTTACGCGATAACAAATTTTACATTAAACGTACAACCAATTAATCAGAAATAATCCTTTGAATATAAATAAAGCGGCAAATTACTGATTAAGAAAGCAGAACATAGTTACCGTGCAAAATATGTGTGAAAAGAATATATGAAGAAGAGCAAAGGGTCTAAATGTCTGAAAAAAATAAAATTTTTCGACACAGATGTTGGATTTTCTTATTTTTTTATTAACTTGATAGTGAACATAAAGTTGGCATTTGTTTAAAAACTGTAAGGCTAAAGGATTATTCCATTAATGGGTTCGGTGACGTCATTACTATCTCGCCCTCACACCTCCACCTCAAACCCCACCCCACCCCACCCCTCAACTAGACAAGATAGCCAAATTCAGCCCTCTTCTTCTTCATATTTTTAGCAACCTTTACAATGATTAACAAAAATTCGAGAATACTTGAATAATTAAAGTATACAGCTGTTGTTAAATGTTCCACGTTTAGTACTTTAAAGACTGAACTGTTTCCCCTGCCCTATCAGACTTCATTACTAATATTAATTATTATTGTTATTATTGTTTTACACCTGTTGGTCGTAATTTCCTAGACGTAATTCATACTTTCATTTCACCATTGTTAGATGCATAGTTTCCCCCCTCTTCAAAGAAACCTTTTTCTCCACTCTAACTGAATAAATCAGCAAAACTAATGGGTCACTTGTGCATGGGTTTAATCATGCAATCGTCAAGATGCTTGGTCAGCTACATTCACGCATCATCCTGTCTTCTAGGGTGCTCTTCATCTGGTCCTGCAATCGTCCAAAGGCTCTCACCTTCTCCTCACACGATCTACTCCATGTCGTTCACGGAAACACACCCAACTAGTTGTTTCTTATTCGATGTCAATCTCTACGGCTTGCGGTGTTTTACTCAGCCGTCTTCTTAGTGTATGTCTCATCTAATTATGCTTTCTTCAGAATATTTTTTGGACAAAAGGTTCTTGAATGGTGCTTTACTTTGAGTGCATTGGTGTTAATTTTTTCAAGCTAGAGAAGGCGGTGGCTGATGACAGTTTGCAGCTGACTGTTTAAAAAGTTTTTCCCGACCCCTTTGCCAAGTTCCGTAACCGCATTGAAGTACTCACTGGTTTAGCATCAGAGAAATAAACCTCTTGTCTTGTCTTTTTCAATCTGACTTGGCATCTTTATCTTTGTTGCCTGACTGGAGTCGAAACGATGCTTCCTAACCAGATAAGTGAAGGAGATCACCTCTGTTAAATCTCTCCCATTGATGGTGATTGGTGCTGGCTGTCCTTGTCGTTGTTGTTGTTGTTGTGGTTCGTTGGTTGTCTTCATCAACTCCGTCTTCTCTATGTTTATCTGCAGTCCTGTCTTCACTCCTTGCCTCTTCAGCCAGTTTGTTCGTTTTCGCCTGCCTGTAAGTCTTTGAGTTTGTGTAACATTAGGAATAAATCATCCACACGCTAAATCCAGATCTTTTAGAGTTTTCATATCCGTCTAACGTATCCTTGTCTTCTTTCTCTCTTCGAGCATAAATTATTCCTGCCCATAGTCATTTCAATTTAGTCACACAGTTTCGCAATTTGTCTTATACATATTTTCTCTCTTTTTGTCTGTTCAGCTTCCCTCTGCTGTTTATTGCCACTTCCCACATCTCCGGTATCAAAGTCGTTTTGTCATTTCGACTGCATATGTGCGATGTTGAGTCGTCGATAGTGATCAACCTCTCTCTGTCTCTCCAACTAACTAGATTACTTTTCAATACTCTCACCTTGTCCCCTTCACCCTATTTTGTGATTACATGCAAGTGAGTGCGGTACAATGCAGTGGCTGGGCTTTTGTTTCTAAGTTATTTAACTTAGTAGGGTCAATTATTCTAGGTCTATCTATTACGTATTGAATTGAATTTTTGATTTTCCCGTCAGTTGATTGGACTGAATTGCACGGTCTCAGGTTGACATGTCGGCTTCTTGTGCAGATGCCTCGACGATGTCCAGTCAATCGACGGGAAAATCAAAAATTCAATTCAATAATTAATATATGACCCGTTGCACAAGAGGTGGCTCTCGTGGCCCAAGTGGTCTAGTGGATAACGCTTTGGCGTTTGAAACTATGGGCACTGGGTTCGAGCCTCAGTGGGAACATCATCACTCACTGAGAAATGCAGGTACATCCAACTGACGAGTCCCAAGCAGGACGAAATGCGCTCTATCCTGGATTCCACTGCTAGCCACCATCCACCAATTGTATCTGTTACGTCCTCAAACCGACAAAATTTATCTCTGAGAGAGTTGGTTGGTCAAAAATAAATATTGGTACATGAGAGAATTAGTGTAGTTAAGTGAACATAAATCTTTTGAGAATGGAGGGATGAAAAACTGAAGAAAAAGAAATGAACATAAAACACTCAACTTTTATGACGGTTATTCCACTTCAAACTCTTACCTTGCAATATTTATCACCAGACATTTCGTAAAAAGTTATTACCTCTATTTTATTTCTTCAAAAGAACTACACAAAATTTTTATATTTGACAGAATGATTCATTAAGTTACAATGACTTTATAATATTTATGGCTTTGCTAGCTAGCTAGCCGGCTAATTTTGAAAATGTAGCGCATTACAGCTAAACATTAAAACAAAATCTACGAGGCAAACACAACCATTGTAACATTTAACTGAAAGAAAGCTAGATTAATTTAAAGCAGTTGAAAGAATGTATGCTACAAAGTCTATATGGGAGTGTATGAAGTTAAAATTGTGTAGTATTGCGTCAGCTTCACTTAGCGCTATAATTCATTCGCATTAGGTATCTTCTTGTGGAAATATGAAATTATTAATGCGAACCCGGGATGAAAACCAACAAGCCGACAGAAAAGGCTGACCGTAAAAGAACAACTTCAAGTGAACACAGATAAAGCAGAAGGGATGAAGATAGCTCACACAACCAATAACGAGAGGCACAAATAACTATCCATGAGTTTCGACAACAAACAACAACATGGATGAGGATGTCGAAGGCAGAATTGCAAAGGCCAGACAGTCCTTCATCAAATTAGTCTGGAAGTCTGTTTCATTCGAGATAAATAATAAAATGTGGACTTTCGACACCAATGTTAAATCAGCCATTTCTTCTATTTGGATCAGAAACTTGGCGAGCACATCAAGATAAGCATTTCAAACAGCCAGCTTCGGTGGACTTTTATCAACGGCTGTCACCTTTGCTTGCTTTGTACTGAATACCAGCTGGCCGGCTGGAAAGAATTAGCAACAAGAAACCTTAGGGATGAGCTAATCAAGAAACTATTGCTTAACAAATATTTCGAGGGGAATGGAGATGGATCGGACTGAGGACAGTGAGGAGACAATCAAATAATGTCGCGCTCATTGCAGGTCATCGCTCGAGTGGGAGGTGAATAGGAAACGGCGAGTTCAGTCTGGGTTCAATGGTGATATAGAGGAGATGAGAGCTTAAGGGACCCAAGGGAGAGAGCAGGTGACGGCGACTACGGGGATCGAACCCTGGGCGACTTCTTCAGTTGATGAACGTCCTACTGCTGAACGACAAACCCATCCATCACACGTTACTCAGCGTATTATCTTTTTTCTCCTGAAATATAACGATGTGTTATGTGGACTAAGTAATTTGACTGTAAGGTGCGTTTATTTCATTACTTCATTAATGGGGTACGACTGTGAAACCGTCAGCTCATTTATCCGGGCTATCTGGACCATAATGGATAATGATCGATCGCTTCTATATTAAACTTATAATCTGAAGAGCCATTCCAAAAGTTTTCACTATGTAGGTTCAATAGAAGGTATTCTATGCATTAAATCCTCTTATCTTTTAGAAAACCGGAACTAACTTTAAAACCTAGGACAGTCTTTTTAATCCCAGGAATGTACTTTTATTCATCAATAATGCAGAAGAAAACTTTTTAAATCTATAAGTGTAGAATATACATTTCATCTTAGTTTACTACTACTATTCAACTGCTCATCTTCTGGAAGGAATTCAGGTTCCTTTTTGTCCTACTAAACTTAACAAACTATTCGGCTTAGAATTAAAAGCATGAAAATCCGAGTTGTTCAACTTCTTTTAACCTACCGTGTACCAACCAACACTACATACCAAATGATTAAATAGCACTTTCATTTCTCATACAATCGTAGGTGTTCAGTGTGGGAGATTTTCAGTTCAAGTAGTTATATAGTTGTTATGGAATCATTCATACTTTTCTGAAGATTTTCGACTTTTTAAACTGCTTATCAGATTCAGGAAGAAATTTTACAACTCTCTGATAAGACCAGGTTTATTTCAGATAATAAAAAAATTATTTCCGAATATTAATCCTAGTAGTAATAAAAAAAAGGTTAAACCAACTCTTTTTAAAAATTAAATTTTGTATTTCGCGATAGTTGATTATATTGGACAAAAATGCTTGGTTTCTGTTAATATGTCGGTTCCAAGAATGTATTAGGTTCGAATGTCACAAGGAACATCATCACTCACTGGGAATACGGTTAACGAGTGGCAAATACGCCGAAATGTGCAGATGACAAAATAGGCTTAATGGTATACGAGCTTGCCTTGTAACCAAAAGGTCTAGGATTCGAACCCAAGTGGGTTCTGCTGAGTTTGGAATTAGGACGAAACAGAGCATTCGCCCTAAATATCTAAAGAATGTGGTCTGTACAATTTCTAGATTTAAGACTAGTCTGTGCCTTGCATCGAGTTGTCAGCTGATAATTAGCAAGTTTTTCATGTGTTATAACTTCCGTATTGATATCATTCACTTCATAAAGTCAAAATATGTTACGTTGTGGAATATGAGATTTCATGGGATATTGATTTGATGATATTAGACAGTTGGAGGCAATCAGCAGGATGCCTTGCTAGACCTAGGTTTCGTCTATTACATGAATGGTTTGGACGCACAAATTAAACTTCTTAATGTGGATCCCTACAGTCTCAGCAATATTTAGTAAACGAACTCTTAAGGCAAACTGAAATTTTTTGATATGATGAAAGCTACCTCGTTAACAACAATCTTGTGTTCTGTCGCATCCACAAAATGAGATAGAATGGCGCCACGAATAGATTTTGTTTGTCCTTTACTTAACCACTATGGAGAATGATGTTTAGAAATCCGGGGAGAAACACGCCTAATTGCACGGCCTACACAACTAACCGGCTCACTCCACAGGGGCGGTTAAATTGGTAGATACACATCGAAGAGGCGAAATTAGGCGGTTCATCTTTTACTCCTGAACGCAAAAGAGGAGTTGGTGGTTTTGAAGACGCAGCGTACTTCGGCAGCAGCAGGGAATGCTCCTTTTATCGTATTTCTAAGGCGCTGTATTAGTATCTCCCTGATGTTATCTCAGAGGAACTGCATTTGTAAGAATAAGGCCTCTATTGAAACTGTTGGTACCTTGAGTTGCTTTGATTTTACATTCATGTTCTTATCAATAAACTTTTATGGATAACCGTTTTCACTCGGCAACAGTTTAATATTATTAAGTTCCTCATCAAGACATTCCTCCGAGTAGATTGCTCTTGCTCTGTGAAGCACGAAGCTGAAAAAAAATGAGTATACTGAACCATTGATGTAGGTTTTCTATATACACTTCTTTTTTATTGCGCCATCCTATTTTCAGGTCATAAGTACGTCTAGAAATGAAATACAAGAGTCTTTTACTTTCTCAATGAACGTCGTTCAATTTATCCAGGATGTTCTTTGCTTCTTCCTTCTCATTTTTCATACTCAAAAATGTATCATCTAAATTTATTTTGTGTTTTATACATGTCTGAATGAATGTTTTTATAATATAGAACTGTTGATGGTTTCAACAATAACACCATCATACAGCCACATTGATAGGTATTGCTGAATACGAAAAATCAATTTCCTAGGTCAAGGACCAATATAAAAATCTCTACAGGAGCAGTGGAATTGAGGCATACAATCAAAGGTGTCTAAGTGGTCTAGGTACTTTGTCTTTCATTTCCGGAATCACAAGTTGTCTTGTAGAAAATGTTAAGCTGCAGCTAATCGACATTAAACCTTTTTTATTGGTTATTAATTAACTTTGTGTATCACCTCTAATGTATATACATAGAGGCTTCTTATTAACATATACAGAAGGATTCTGTTCTACTGTCACGACCATCTGTTGAATGACGAACTTTTTTCCAGGGTAGCTGTTTCCAATTGGCGTGTTCTATACAACCCGAAGTTCTTCTTCACTGACATCTTCTCAGCAAAGAGCTATGACCCTATAGCTGAAAATCTCCGACATTTTTATGGAGCATCTTCGATCTAAGAGGAAAAAATGAATTATTCGCTTTTTTAAAGTGTTATGAGAGCGACTCAGGAATTCTTTCGTGCCTCATAACTTCCGAGTATATCAGCAAGAGGTGAATAACTAGTGTCTCTTCAATGATCCGTTAAGTAATTCGTTTTCTGATACGTTCTACTAACTGATTTTAGCCCTTTCAACTGGTTTTTTCTAAGCATGTTTTGTTGTTGCATTTTGATAAATGACTATTGAATGAATTTTCTCTTTTACTTTTGTATTACAGGGAGAGCCTGGTGATGTCGGCCAACCTGGAGAAGATGTAGGTTGATCAGACAGCCTTTTTTTGTGTGTTTGTGTGTATGTGTGGATATTTCGCTTATTTTTTATGTTGACACAGCAAACTAGAGAGAATTTCATTTATTTGCAAGCAGAGGATATTTTAAGTTTTTGCAGAAAATCACCGACGTTCACAACTATTTATAGAGTATAAGTTGGGTATGAGTATACACACAGAGTGCTTCAAACTTGTTCATTCAACTGATGTGCTAAAGAGAAACAAAATCACCAATTTGAGGAATGACTACAATCCATTAGGCTTCGATTTGACGTTTACCTTCATATTTTAATGTAGTTGTGTTCCCTGAGATGGATGGTTTATTTTGTGAAGCTTTCATTGTCCTACTAGGCAACATCTGCAGCGCATACTTTAAGTTGAATTTGAAGTGAACTTTTAGAAGTCAAACTTCAGGTCAAGGAAACAATGAGTACACTACATTGGTCAAAGTGGATGTCCTCTTCGTCTTCTTCTCATACATGAACATAAACTAACCGTCAAAAGACATGACATCCACCCCGTTCGCTCATATCGCCTCACTGCATACAGACAACCACGAATATCAATTCTACTTGGATAACCAGTGTTCAAATATTAGACAGAGGAAACACCAAGAATGCTAGAGAATTTTTCGAAGCTTGGCCGGGTATTCCAGTGAATCGTCAATCAATAGACACATCGAGATAGACTAAATTTACCAATCGATAAGGAGGAAACCTGAGACATACAAAGGGTCAAAGTTCAAGTCAGGGAAACAACCAGCTCCAACAGCAGTAGTCTAGAGGGTGCGAAAGCACACAAAAACAACCAATTACATTCAAGCTCAGGTCACCAGGAGAGATGATTGATCAACTCATGAAGAAATCCGAAAAGCTCACTTTAACGAATTGTAGTATGCTCTGAAGATGTTGCCTGGTAGGACAATGTAAGCTTTGAAAATGAACCATCCAGCTCAGAGGACACAACCACGTGAAAATTATCCACCCGAGCCATAAATTTTCTCCATCAAATCCAGGAATTACTTTCTTTCGATCGCTTGCCGTTGATTCTATACTTAAAGGCGGTTAATGTCAAACTGAATCTATTTACCAAGTAGGCCTCATTTTGATTAACAATTTATGTGAATATTTTGTTACTTTTTGTAGGGTATACCAGGATCTCCAGGAGAAGATGGTGAGCCTGGTCCACGTGGACCTCCAGGAGAACAAGTGAGTATTTAACGAAACATTTTCAAGAAATAATCTAATTTTCAAGATGCCTAATTTTACTTATATAGATGCACATATACAAATATCTGCTGCCTTTTAGGCATAAGTTTCTTGGGGTATGCTCGGAAAATCGGATAGAAACCCTTCTTTCTGCCGTTTTAATGTACTTGGCATCGCACAAGTGCACGTAAATTTATAAACATACTCAGAGGTGACATCAGCAGAGTACTTGTCCAGTTTAGATTGGCTTATACAGAACATGGTGCTGTATAGTGTTATAAGCTTAGCTTTCGGGAGGCGTCATTTTATCGCTCCTTTTATTCTTTTGTCAATCCTTAGGAATACTGATTCGCCTTTAAAACAGAAGACGAAAACACACATTCTTGTTTCTCACCTTTTCCTTTACTATATACTCTTGAATAAATCCCTTTGGATACCTATTTCCCCTTAGGCATTTCTCAACAAAATCTAATTCTTCTGCCACCTTGTTGGGTGATCATACATTCCTGGCTATATTACTCAACGTAGGGATTTGATTGATTGGTTACAGGGTTTCATCAAGAGCTGATACTGGTTAGAGAACCATAGGAAACCACCATGGAGTGCTGGACAGCTGTTTCGTCCTAGTTTCGGACTCTTCATCAGCACGCACCCACTGGGGTTCAAACAAAGGGCCTTCTGGTTACAAGATCAGTGAGCTCGTAGAACACTGAGCCACAGTGACTTGATCTAATCGCCAACCGATGAATTCTAACTTCTGCCAACTTCTGCGACATCCCGTGACCACTAGCCACTGTCTTCGGGGAGTATTTTTCCTCACACCCGACTCACTGCCACTGGATCGGGTCCCAGTGGCTTAATGGTCTACGAGCTCACCTTATGACCAGAAGATCCTGGTTCCGACCCCTTGTGGTGGGTGCACACCATTGAAGAATCGTCAGCTAGGCTGACGAAACAGATGGCTGTTCAGTACTCCCTGGTGGTTTCCAATGGTTCTCTAACCAATGTCAGCTCATTATGAAAGCCTCACTATTATATTTATTGAAAAGACCTGTTGGAAGCAAAAGGTTTACTGAATGACACCAGTTACACCCATACATCTTGAGTGCATGGTCATAAAGATAAAAATGATTCATTTCTTTTCACATATATCATCACTTTGATCGGACACTAGTCAGTAACTAGTGTAAGGTGTCTAGTCCTTTGTTTACTGCGCACTGAATTCTGTCATCAGTCAAGTTTGTAATGTGGCCACCATTCTAGGTGGTGGCTCACCATCACGATTCACACTGTTTAGATGATATTTTAAATGGTTGAAGGCAGTCGGCCACAGGAAGCAGAGCCGTGAAACCAGGTTTCTTGCTAGTTGGCACTCGCCAGTCAGTCAGTCAGCAAGGCGTATCTCCAGTCACCTTGACGGAAGCTACTCATTTCTCCTCACTTTATGTAACCGCTTTATCATATTCTAACCTTATTCATCTACGGATGGCTTTTTGTTCAGTTTTTTGTTCTTTTCACATTACACTCCTACCTTTCGTGTCTCAGTGATTAGGGGGAAAACACACACACACGCATAAACCTTGTTTTGAAAGCTTCTACCACCTCCAACATAAATATAAATACAGCATAACTCGATTGCATTAAACTGTGTTATTCGAATTTCACTTCTCACTATCATAATTAAAAGAAAGCAAATTGAAGAATCATTGTTGCTGTTTATCTCTGAACTATAATTCATCTACATTTTTGGAATATTATGTCTAGATATTTTTTGTCAAGATAGAAATGATATAAACAAAAACTAATTCACTATTTTCGAATCATTTATAGTTACATCCAACGTATTTCCTTTTTTTTGATTAGTAACAGAAATAATAGAAACATGTAGGACCAACTGATATTAGTTAAATTGTTATTATATATAAATATATATATAAGTTAGAATTAAAGATAAAACCTAGATACTTGTTAAACACCCCTTAATAGTTTAATGGTCTGGACTAACTATGACGTCTGGGAAAAATACGATGGTTATGGATTGACGTCAAGTATTATTTGCATATATTTTATTGACAGTAGTTATGATATTTATTATTATATGAATCACATCAATTCCCTGTGAATTTTGCTTATGAATAATAGTCTAAGTCAAAAAACCTTCATAAACGGTATAGCTCATTGGGCAAAGTTCAACAATAACGTCCCAGGAGTGCGAACGCACAAACGGCCCTCAGCTGACCAATCATAAAAAGGGCGAGTGTACTGCTCATCAGTCCGCTCCGTCCTCCTTTATGGCTGTGAGCGAGACCTGACCACTGAGAGTGGAAGACATGAAAAGACTAGCTGTCTTTGATCATAGGTGCCTGCGCTCTATTTCCCGTGTAAAGTGGCATAATAAGGTGAGCAACATTGAAGTTATGCGTCGAGTGCTAGGTAAACAGGGGAAAACAATCGACGAAGTCGTGAAGTTACAAAGACTGAGATGGTTAGGACATGTGTTACATATGCTTGGTCATCGCCTCCCTCGACGAGCACTGTTAGCGGATATAGGGTCAGGCTGGAAAAAAGCTAGCGGCGGTCAAACAAAAACTTGGCACCAGTCAATGAAATCCACAACAGTTGGTCTAAGCCAGGTAGGAAGGTGTAGACTTCTAGGGTTGGGTCCTCGGGACGGTAAAAATCTATGGTTAGAAATATTTGGTGACATGGCTCAAAATCGTTCTCAGTGGCGCAGATGTATCCACTCCTTGTGACTTATGATCTCCAATGAAACTGTTTTGTATTTCTTTATCACTCCTTTGTCTCACACCTCTGCTCACTGTTTCTATTATGCTTTTCTTGTATTTTCTCTTGCTTCGCGTGCTACACGGAGTGTGGCGACTTGAACTTCCGCACATTTTTGCAAAGTTCTATGTCGAAAATAGACAGACAGACATCATAAAAATGAGGAATTTTCGCACAAAAATGATGTATGTTGACAGGAAAACGCTTGAAAACACTGATATAAGAATAAAACTTGTGCACTGTGGTAGAGTATAATTCCAATCAAATCAAGTGAAAAATAATGGAACTATATAAATAAATGAAGTTAGGAAGTCGTGTAAGTACCTTAATATGATTAGGAGCAGTAATAAATTGTGCTCGAAACATGGTCATCAGTAAACATTACTGTATAACACTGTGAGACTTTATCAAAACAAAAATTTACCCATAATGCTTGAAAACACATTAAATAGGTTACCGTTCTCTGACATGATTTAAAAATACGTCCCTTTGTTATAATGAGGCGTATCAGTTGCTAAGCTACACTAGTTTCTGCGCATGTATTTAACCCAAGGTTACTAAAGATGAGCTGTTTTTTGTGAACTGTTTATCTCTCTTATCCAGTCGCGTAGTCTTTCCCAAAAGCCATCGGTTGATTTACTACGGTTTCCAGTGAGAGAATCGACGACTATTTACCATGGAAATGTGGATAGGAAAAAGAATTAAAACAAATGTCATCAACTCTAAATCTGTTCGTAATGATAACCCTAACCTCAATACTTACCTTAATTCTAATTCTAACCCTGACGAGTTATTAACATGGAAAGCACTTAAAAATGTGATGTGGGTGAAATTTCCTCCTTAGTTGGTGAATAGCGTTGATATTTCAGCTATGATAATAACAGGTGCAGTTAGCCAATGACTATCATGTGTTCTAGGTCACTGGAACGTTCGCACTGCTGTGATGCAGTTGTTGTACTTCGCCGCTCAGTGAAAAACTGTTTAAATCACTGGGGCTAACAAAATTTCTATCCATCGAAAGTGCGACTTAAACTTTTCTGCATTTCTTATTGTTTTAATCATGTAATTATATTTAAATGATCAATACAGAAATTTGCGCCCATATTTAATTGGCTTCCGACAGAAAGGCCATAGAATTCTTGAAGGAAATAGGGAAAAGATATACAGAATCGGTTCACTCTTTGCAGGCAACAACACTACGTATCAAATGATATAATTCAGATGATTACTATACATGTTAACAAACTTGTTGTTTTTTTCCTTCACGTTTCCCAGTGGAACATAGGGCTTCAAGCTAGTGGCTTGAATTTTCTGTAGCAGTGTTTATTTTACAGGATGGAATTGGTGGCCATATGCCCAACCTTTCCTCTTTACCAGCATTATTTCCGGCTTAGAGAGATAAAGGAGTGCGTCGGCCCGGGATCGAACCCCGGACTCTGTGCATGGTCGGCGAGCGTCTTAATCGCTATGCCACCAACGCATAATGACCTTGTATGAAGAGGGATTATTTTGGAACTAAATAATCTGAGAGTTTCCATAATATGTGTTCACATATTGTCTGAAATAAAGTTTTATTATTGTTATTTGAACGCACAAAGGTGGTTCACACTTCGTGACTGTTAGCTAGAGGTTCCACAAACCTAAGGATATGTCCTCCCCAAACACGTTTTATAGATAAGTTTAAACGATGTGTTAACGTCAATTTTATGCCCTGTCTCTATAATATGTTTTGCAATAGAGGAGTTAGACCTCCTGTTCTCACCATTAATGGGTTCTGAAGATTCTATTTGTTTCTGGAGCTATTTAGTAATATGCTCTGAAGTCAGCCCCAACTCTCAGAGATCGATGAGTCCTCTCTATGTGTGTGTGTCCACACGTACATTCAAATTAGTAAATACAGTGGGATGTGACACCGAATCAATAGTGTTAACAGATTACAGTTCAAGAGCAGCATCAGTAAGAGGGAGAGAGATAATATGCATCATATATAACACTAAATTGATTGAATGTCAGGTAAATTAAAGGAGTTAACACACAGAATTTATGAATTTATAGGTTTAACAGAAGACTAGAGTACCAATAGTGACTGTCTGAGCCCCGCGTCACCTACGCACAGAGCTCCAGTTAATATAAACAAATCTTAATAACCTCTACTGTTCTGAGCGTTCAGTATCTAGAGGCCTTTAACAATTTATTCGATAGCTGATAGATTACAGAGGAAGACTGTTCGATACTAGCTAGCTTCGTAACCTGTTTGGATGATGTGATGTAATTGAAACTAAACTGTTGATGGTTCTGACAACACCTTTATCTAGTCACAATAGTACCTGTGTTCCGGAACACGAAGAATTAGGTTCCTAGATCAACGGCCAGTATAACTGGCCCCACAAGAGCTGTTGAATTGATATCAGGTGTGCGTTGGCCGGAAATCGAACCCTGGACCATGTGCATGGTTGGCGATCGTCCTACCCACTGAGCCAACGATGCAGAACTAAAGGTGGCTAGACACCCCAGGTACTTCGTCTTTCAGTTTCCGAATCACATCCGGTTATGTGGAAAATTTAAGCTGCAGCTCACCAGCGTTAAATGCTCTTAAAATTGATTTCTCTATCTTGTTGATTACTACTTCATACATGGTTCATCATATATGAATTCTGGTCGTATACTTTAATTATTACCGTCATATAAAATGAGGAACTTGATGACGAATTTATCGCAAAGAATATTTAGATAGCGTTATTATAAGACAGAGATTATCTGAAAAGGTATGTGGTGTATTTGCGCTGTACATTTCGAACAATCTCATCCGCTACACATTTACATGTCAAGTCGATATATATGAAACAGTTAAATTAAACAAAGTGACGAAAATAGGGGATTTAAGAATGACTAACACAATGTTTGTTAATCCAATCAAATAAGGAATACTAAGGTGGGTTAAGAGTAATAATAAACTGTTTTTGAATACATAGGGAGGGGGGCTTAAGTTTATGAATATCTATAGCCTCAGTGTATTTAAATAAGCGCCCTTGACCATTTTTATAGATGACCTTAGAGGCTGAGTTAACATCAGTCTTATGGTTCTTCTCGATTAGGTGTTTAGCTATAGACAAAGTTGGTAGTCTGATACCTGCATCTATTGGCTTGTCACAATTTATTTGTTTTTCTAGCCATTTTGGGATATGCTCTCACCAGGCTATAGCTATTCCTAAACTTATGCCCCCTCCCGTGATTGGATTAACATACATTGTGTTAGTCATTCTTAAATCCCCTATTTTCGTCACTTTGTTTAATTTAACTGTTTCATATATATCGACTTGACATGTAAATGTGTAGCGGATGAGATTGTTCGAAATGTACAGCGCAAATACACCACATACCTTTTCAGATAATCTCTGTCTTATAATAACGCTATCCAAATTTATAAAAGGGACTAATTGTTTTAAATTTTTGCAAAGAATATTCTTTGTTTATTAATCAATTTTAAAAATTTATTTGGCTGCATATCTTTCATTTCTTTATATTCACAACTTAAAAATCGAGAATTTCTAAGTATTGGTTTTGTAGGGATATTGTTTGATTGGTTACAGGATTTCATCATTACTTGACATCAGTAAGGGAATCACTGGAAAACCTGGGAGTGTTGGACAGATACTTCATCTTATTTGAGGACTTTTCAGCAATACGCACCCATCCACCCACTATTACTTGAAAATTGACCGTATGCTTACTAGCGACTAGCCCTATTCATGCAGTTAACTTGGGGTTCTAGTGTGAAGCCGTGACCAGTAGGGTACAGCAGTCTGAAGATGAGACAGTAACTCATCGAGGAAAACATTTCAAAGAGGTGGCTGTATGTCCTGCATTGGTAGAAGTTAGAATTCATCGGCTGGCCATTAGATTAGGTCCCAGTGGTTCAGTGGTCTATGAGCTAACTCGCCTTGCAACCAGAAAATCGTGGGTTCGAACCTTCTTGTGGGTGCATACTCACGAAGAGTCCCTAACTAGGCTGACAAAAGAACCCACTGTCCAGTAGTCTCTGAAGTTTTCTAATGGTTCTCTAACTGACGTCAGCTCATGATGAAATCCTCCAACAAATCGAGAATTAATTCGCAAATTGACAATTTGATTGAATGTATTACCAATTCACCAAAACAGACAGTCAGCCTGAACCTTCATGAGTTACTCGCAGTCACAAAATGCTCCGATGATATCAAAAAGACAATTATTTGAGATAAAATCTACGATAAAAGTCAACAATAATAACATCAGAAACTCAAAATTACCTTAACAATATTTCAAAAGAAATGGAATCAAAAACTGTGTCAATAGGAATCACATGTTAACAATTGCTGATGACAGTCTAAGGATAAAATGACTTTGTTTGACTCGAATTAAATCGCAGTCGTAGAACAACACATTACCAATCAAAGACAAGGAGAGATGTTAAAATTTGGAGAATAAACAGGAACAAAGAAAAATAATTAGGATAAAGTTATCAGATCATATTGCAAATATCAGAAGAATGATAGGCAGTTTAGTTGAAAAACGGATAATGACTAAACGGTTAGTCGAAAACTTCAAATAAGTATCAATGTTATCATCAGATCTTAATTGGTAAATGGTGACTAGCAGTGGAATCAAGCCAGGATGCATCTTTCATCCTATTTGGGACTCGTGATGAGCTGGATGTACCTGCATTCCCCAGTAAGTCAGTGATGATGTTCCCACCGAGGCTCGAACCCAGTGTCCATAGTTTCCAACGCCAAAGCGTTAGCCAATAGACAACCAGATGACAAGTCCCAAACGGGACGAAATGCACCTCATCCTGGATTCCATTGCTAGTCATCATCTACCAATTTACTTCTCATTACATTCCCAGACGTCGCCAGATCATCTACTTAAGTAGCTGACATGTCAACCTGAAACCGGGCACTTCGGTCCAATCAATCGATGGGAAAATCTAAAATTCAATTGCAATCAGGTCTTTTAGGAGGGATCTTCCAAATGATTATTCCTTTACAATGATGATTCTATTTTCTGCTGGCTCCAATGGAAAAGCTGTAATGATAAATAGGTTAGTACTGTACAAATCTTAACACACTATGAAAAATATCCTGTGGTTCGAGGCCTAAAGGTTCTTTAGAGCTAGCATTGTATTATTTGTTTTCTCAAAGAGACAAGTGATTGGCACATCCAGAGTATTTGATTTTCGCCATTCAACCTAGAAATGACTCTCTCTCTCTAAATAATTAAAATCAATTCATTTTACCTGTTAGTACCTAAATATTTCGCCTAATGTAATTAAACTTGGCTTACCATATTATGCATACTACATTTTCACTAAACGCCTGAATACACGAAATACTTCACCGCTGAAATATGCGGCAATTAATTGTTTGACTTCTTAAGAATTCTCCAGAGTTATCTGAAGGGCTTCGGTTTGTTTCAAGTTTGACCACTTGTATACCATTCAAACACAGGGACTCCAGCCTATAGCTGGTACACGAATTCCACTTTCCAGGAATTCGCGGATTTATGGCGATCAACGACCAATGTCATCGATTAGTATGTGTCCTCACTTCCATATTAGTTTGTTTATTAGATGTAACACGCAGTGAAGCGGTATTATTTAATGGATTACGTTTCGAACAAAATTTATTGTTCATGATCATATCAATTGATATGTGTCCTCACGCCTGACTGGGTAGGAGGCCTAACTGGTCACAATTCCTCACTAGAACTCCAGTCAACTTTATCTTATAGTCAGTCACCGACCAGCATCAGACCAAGTTTCGTGAGTTACTTTGTAAGGATTCAATTTATTTTTCAAGTTTATGCACTGATTGTCATTACTGTTTTTTATTTTATTTATTTTTAGGGTGCTCGAGGTTTAATGGGTGATTTTGGCCCTAAAGGTGAAAGTGGAGTTTACAATTACACAAATATAATTCCTGGAGATCGAGGGGAACCAGGTATACCTGGAGAAGATGGTTATCCTTGTGAAGGTATGGATCGTGATTTTACTCCAGAGGAAATAATCAGTTTTACAAGAGGTATTACAGGAGAAATAGTAAGTCAATAAAATGTCATGTTTTATTGAAAGAGGTAATAAGTATGCCCTAATTGCAGGAGAATTTCATCGAAACTCGATTAGTTTTAAAGTCGTATAATCTACACAAATTCAACCAAAAATGTTATTCAGTTGTACATCAATTCTACTTGCTTCTTTTCACAATTATTATTATTTCCTTTAATTCCTAGAGGAACATAGGGCTTGAGCCGCGCTTTTCCATTGCTTTTGGTTCTTTGCTAGAGTTTTCAACTGGCTCAATGTTTGCCCACCTGCTTTCATCTCCTCTTCATCTCTTCCGCTCGAGGGCTTGTCTAGTGATGTCATTTGATATTTTTCCCAGAGTATGACCTATCCACCTCCATTTCTGGTTGGTCTGCTCCCAGATATCCATGTTGCTGATCTTTTATGGCCATCTGATCTTGAGTATTGGACGAATACAGCTGTTGATAGAGGTCTGCAGTTAGTTTGAGGTGCTCTTTATGACGCGCCAAATCTCTGATCCGTATAGTAGCACTGAATGATTTCACATTGGAGTTGAAAGTCCACATCTTATTTTTCATATTCATGCTGAGTGCTGTTGACCTCCACACAGACTTAAGAGTAATGAAAGCTTGTTTTGCTTTCCCAATCCTTGCTTTGATATCCTCATCAGTTCCGTCCGCCTGTAGTTGAAACGATGCTTCGCAGGTAGGTAAAGGAGGTTGTTTTTTTCAGGTTCACTCCATTTATGCTGATTGTTGTCTGTTGTTGTTTTTGCTGTTGGTGTTGCCCAGGATCTTCTCTACGTTCACCTGAAGGAAGTTCTATCTTCTCTGGATGCTTCTTCTGCCAACTAGTTGCTTTTCATTTGCATCTCTTCAAGTTTGTGGGAAATCAGACATATATAATCGGCGAAGTCCAGATCCTCCAAGTTTTTTGTGTCGGTCCATTTTATGCCTGTCTCCTCGCTCCCCACCTCTGTCTGTCGTATTATCCAGTCTACTGCCCACAATCAGGAAAATCACTGGAGATAGTAGGCATCCACCAGCCAGCCTTGTCTTTCTCCCGTCTTTACTTCGAATGATTCCGCGAGTTTCCCGTTATGGATTACTTGGCATGCAGCATTGTCGTACAACTGTTGGATGAGATGTATAATTATCGGTGGCACCCGTAGTACCGAAGTAGTTGCCAAATCACCTCTCGATTGACGCTATCTGCTGAAGGCCTTTTCAAAGTCGATGAAGTGCATATAAAAGTAAAGGGAAGAGATGAAGTGAAACTTTAATAAACGGAAAATGTACAAGGGAAAGTATAATAATAGTGTGAAGATCAGTGTTGATTTTCAAAATCTAGCAGATCGTAAGGAATGAATATTTGCACCGTCGCGAATGCTTTTCAAGTCATTTCGCCAAGTCTTCAGATATTGATCTTTAGTATTAGGCGGTTTACACCTCACACAAGTCAAAGTGACAATCACTGACGTCATGAACTGATGCTAGTTGGGGTTTTGCTTTAGCCACCTCTTCACTTCCATTTAGCCCAATACGTTTTTTTCATTTAATATGGGATGTTGTTGACTGGGTATACATAACACATACCTTTAGCCATTTCATCAATTGATGAGGCTTCATAAAGCTCACCAATCGACTTTCTCTTCTTACCTAACACTGTATGTCTATCTTCATTATTGCTGAACATACTGTGTAAATTAATACGTCGAACTAAGTGAAGACATCTTTGATCACGATAGCTAAACTCTTGATATCTTATAACTTTAATGGGATCGAGTGAATTGCTTTACAGTACCCACATCATCTGATGGATAGTTGGATACCACCATATTAGCGTATTTATTCATGCAGAGATTTCGTCAGCTACCATTCTATTAGAGCTGACCGAATCCATCAAATGAGTAAAGCGGTCAACAACACATTCTACACCAACGATGAGTCGGTGTAGATCAGTGGTGTAGCATCACCTTAGATTTGAAAAGAGAGACTGCTGTATCAGATATGCTTAGATTTTCATTTAACACGCTTGGAAGACTAAATTTTCACAAGGATAATGTCATCTACGTAGTAGTCCTGGTAAACGAAACCATTTCCTGACAACAACCTGATATATCAGAAGTTAAGGTCAACTACGATCACATTCATCAGTAATTCTACAATCGAACCTAAACTATAATGAATTTTTATAAGGCCAAGTAGAGTTCCTCGACTGGTAAGGCATTCTTTCTTTGGACTACCTTCTCAGCCATAATACACATAACGTGTCGATTGATGGAAATAAATACTATCTTCAGGCCAGCAAATATGACAAATGTTAAACTGCAGCAAGTGTGTCTCCTATTCAAAACCTTTCAAAGGGTAAAGTATCGATTAATACGCCCATATCTTTGCATAAAACCTGCTAGTCACCATCCACCAATTAAATACTTGACTGGTTATTTTTGGGGTTATTCAAGAACTACACAACATAGAATCTCAATATGTGTATTAACTTTTTTGCGATACACGATTTTTATTTGTGGGCCTAATATTATAATCGAAATATCACTATCTAATTGGTGGATGGTGACCAACAGTGGATTCGAGGATAAAAAGGGCATTCCGTCCTGTTTGGAACTCGTCACCTGGATGCACCCTCATTCTTCAGTGAGTGATGATGTTCCCACCGAGTCTCGAACACAGTGGTAATAGTTTCAAACGCCAAAGAATTATCTACTAGACCATTTTGGCCACGAGAGCCAACTCACTGGGGAATACATTCACATCTATTTGACAAGTCCCAAATAGGACAGTCGAAAATGCTCATCCTGGATTCCATTGCTAGCCACCATCCACCAATTAACTTTTAATTACATGCTAGAAATCGTCAAAGCATCTGTACAAGAAGTCGACATGTCAACCTGAGACCAAGCACTTCGTTCCAATCAGTTGCAGGGGGAAAATCTAAAATTCATTTAAATAAATATCACTAACATTTAATGAAGCTACTGAATGACAGTAAAATTTATTTACGCGGCATCACTTACTCATATAGTCGAGATGTATGCTATCAATGGCTAACTTATGATTAGTACTGACAGCGTTAGAGAGAGCCTTCTACTGAATCTATCCATCCTCGTATTTCTCTAGTAAGTGTACAGGTTACCAAGTGAAAGGCCGTGAAGAAATAGAATATAATTATCGAGTCTTTCTGTCAGACATGATACCGATTGTCAGATCTCAAACGTACTGCAATAGAATATATTTATTATTATTGCTGACGATGAATTTCTTAAATTATTTTCTAGGGTGAAGCCGGTCCGAAAGGTGATACTGGAGAACCAGGTGATACAGGTGACATGGTAAGTTGGACTATATAAAAAATGATTTTTTTTCACAGTTGTTGTAGAAGGAACGTCGGCAGGGAAGATTATTCGGTCAGAGGTCTTTTGCCTTCCTGATATCCTTTTGCTCCCAACTTGAATTCCCTCTTATAAATTTGAGCAGAAAAAGAATAAACATTGATGCAGAATAGCATGTATGCATTTCACATCATTGGTTCTCATCAGCTGTATTCAACCTATGCTTTTTTAAACTCCCTTTACGTTCCCAGTGGACCATAGAGCTTGAGGATAGAAGCTTGAAGTTTCGGTAGCAGTGATGTTTATTGTTACAGGATGACGTTGTTAGCCTTACGCCCAACCTTCCCCCTTTACCAATCTTATCACTTACTGGCTTAGCGAGGTTTGGGAGTGCGTTGGTGGCCGAGGATCGAACCCCGTACCCCCTGCGTGGTCGACGAGTACTCTACCGCCATGACACCGACGCGTACATGCAACCTATAATCTTAAATAAATAAAAGTCAGAGTAAAATTTGCCATCTACAAGCATATTATAAGAGCGTCATGGTGAGTTAAAACATCAGCACAACAAAGTAGCTGAAGTATATATATATATATATATCTTTTTAGAGAGACGTTCGTAGAAAATTAATCGACAAGTTTGCCGTTGAGATGGTAACAAACAGTAAAAGTTTCATAGTTAGATAAGAGAAAATCAAAATTTGGTGCGCAGGAGGTCAGATGGAAAGATGTTGATGTAATATGGTGCGTAGAACCCTTAAGATCAAGAAAAATTATCTCTTATGAAAGTCAAACCGAAGAAACGAGGCTAGAGGAGGCGTTGAAAAGATAAGATAACGGAGTTAGAAGATCAAGTTTTATTAAGGGATGAGTCATCAGGGTGATTGGAGTTCAACGACAGATTCCTTTTCGACACAGAGGTCAGGCTACAGACGTTTTATTGGAATAGCTTGAACATGCCGAAGAGGACTTCAGTCTTTTTTGTCTGTTAATTATTTTGAATGGTGCCACCTCGTCTACTCGGTGTCCAGTGTCTATCAGGTGTTTGGTAATTGAAGAGCTGAAACTGCTTGGCCCCTTTAACCGGAAGCTTCTTGGTACACGTTCTAAGAATCTGACGTATACGCTTTTTTCTGTACTTCCGATGGAATTGCTACCGGAGATAGATTTGAATTGGCATGCAGCTGTTGAGAACCAACGAATTAAAATAAATCCATGTTATTCTGCACCAGTGTTTGTTCTTTCTCTATTCAAGTCCTTCTGCTTTATTTCCGTGGTGATCAATAAAGTGGCATTATTATTATCCCTTAAGGTTCCAAGTGGAACACAGGACTTCAGCAGCACATCTCCACTTCACTCTATTCTTTATAGTTCTCTTTAGCTCACCCCATGATTCTCCATAAACTTTCATCTCCTCCTCCCATCATCACCTTTATGTCATCCTCAGGAGCACATGAAATTCGTCTTTTCCTATTCGCCTTACACCTGAAGAGTGCAATACCAACCAACGGTCTCCTCAGCGTTTGTTTGACCCATTTCACTTTCATTTCGGCATATTTCTTCGGCTGTGGGTTCTTGCAGCCAGTGCAGACACCTGCTGACAAAAGCCTGCAGCATCAGTTAGAGAACCAGTGGAAAACCTGGAAGTACTGGACAACTGTTTTGTCCTAGTTTGGGACTCTTCATCTGTACGCACCCACTGGGATTCGAACCCAGGACCTTCTGGTTACAAGGCGAGCTCGTAGACCATTAAGACACTGGGACTGGCTCAAACAGTTGTCAAGTACTCCCAGGTTTTCCAAAAGTCTGCAGCAACCTGTTGGAAGTGCATTTAATGACGCATTAAGTTTCTGATCGATACAGAAGAACCGACTGATCCAACGTTAGTGTTGAAAATCCAAATTTCGTTGTCGATCCTGAGGGCTGAAGATATATCAACTGATCTTAGAGTGATGAAGGTGTATCTTGTTGTCGCGATCCTGGCTTTCACATCTTCATCCTTACTGTTGTCTTCACTTCAAATGATCATGCCTAGATGGGAGTAAAGGAAATTACATCTTCCGAATTTCTCCCAATTATAAAGATTGGTGCTTTTTGTTGTTGTCGGCGGGGGTGTTCTTCCAGTCTGTGTAGCAAGTGGGACGAGTGAAGTGTAGTTAAAACTAAGTGGCAATGAAGAGTAACATAAAGTGCAAAGGTTTAGAATGAAATTCAACGCTTACTGACTTGTGAAAACATGTCATGTAATTAACGTTTTACGCATAATATACTGTCATAGTTAGTTCACATATATAGAGCAGGAATTAGGGTGGCATTCACACCTACAAACTCACTCAGAGACAAGCTCTGTAGGTTAAAAGACCAGGTGGACCCAATTAAACAAAACAGTATAATTTACCAAATACATTGCAATCCCGGTCAGTTAAGTCAACTATATAGGTCAAACTAGTAGATCAGGGGTAGTCAGATTGTCGGAACATAAGAATTTAGCTAAGGTTTGAATTTTTGATCCCACCCGCGAAAATAAGCAATTTAGAGAAGAGCTCAGCGATTGAACTGCGTACATTAACATACAATCACACAATAGGGGTGGGGTGGGAGAAAGTTAAAATTCTAGGAGGTAATATAAGTAGATGGAGACAGAAGAAGACTGATTACTGAATCCTGCCTGGTTCATTGAGTCTACACCCAACACAGCACATACAACAGAAATGACTCCATGCAACTACCAGAGATATGGAAGATATTACTACCACCATTCAGTCAAATCAGAGGAGGATAATAAATAATCTTAAAATTCTATTTCAATTAAAGGACATCATAACACTCTAACAAGTTTCTTATTTTGACTATAAAAACACTCGTCTTATTTCCCATGTGATTGTAATTGATCAATAACACTCATAGTCATTTCCACTCATGTATATAAATGTAGGGAAAAAGTTGTTTGAGTGACTTGATATGATTATGAGCAATAAATAATTTGTGCTCGAAACGTGGTCATTAACTAATGCTACTGTATAACACTATATGATTTATCAAAATAAAATTTTATCTACAATGGAGTTAGTTTACAGATGTCTGACAATCTCGTAAAGTTTAGATCTTCAAATACAGAGTCCGAAGTTCACTCTGAAAAAGAGACAAACACTGTAACGCTAAAAAGGATTTTTAGTTGTTGTGGGTTAAAAAGACCACTTTCTTCTACTAGACAAAAGATGACTAGAAGTCTTTCACCATAGGGCATCATGACTTCTCCGCGGCACTGCTTAAAATGAATAGTGACGGTGAAATAACAAGCAGAATAATCAATAATTTCTACTGGAGTAGTTCAAATAAAATTTCACATTTTTATGTATGTGCAGGTTTAGTGACTAACGGGATTTCGTTCTTCTATTCCATTGCAGTGAATGGTGATTAACGTTCATTACGTTGCCTACCACTGTCGTAATATATATATATATATATATATTGTTATTCAATGAATTTAACGACATTTATTTTAAAATAATCTACTTACAGGGTTTAGGAGGTGAAACTGGAGAAATTGGTGAAAAAGGCGAACCTGGTGAGCCTGGAATAGATGTAAGTCTATCTATACACATTTTTTCTTCATATGCTTAAGCAACAAAGTATATCCATTTATCTGTATAATATTCAATGATCTGTGATCACTATACTTCGGTATAGTATTATAAAGGGTTTGACTGATCTTCTGGTTAGCCTTGGAGGATTTTGTTTTACGTGAAAGTAGATATGCAAGTTGAAATAATCTACCAGAATGATCAGGCCTTACTGCTTGACTTCTTCCAGTTATCTGTCCAGTCTAAGATGGTATTAATATTCATCCATGAGGGTTTTACGACAAAACAGTGGAATAAAGACACATATAAATCATGTAAAATTTATTGAAGATGCCCAATAAAAATGCAAAATACAGACTAATTAATCGAAAATGACCAGTAGGGTGCAGCAAGTCGGGTGTGAAGACGTTGGCTAGCAGTCGCGCTATGTTGTGAATCGGTAGAAGTTAGAATTCATAGGCTGGCCATTGGATGGGGTTTCAGTGGCCTAATGGTCTACGAGCTGGCTCACTTCGCTTGTAACCAGAAGGTCGTGAGTTCGAACTCCCTGTGGTGGGTGCGTACTCTTGAAGAGTCCCAAACTAGGCAGACGAAGAAGATGACTGTCCAGTAGTTCTTGGTGGTTTCCAATGGTTTTTAACCAATGTCAGCTCATGATGAAATCCTGTAACCAATCAATCAAATCCTTACAAACCAATATACTTGAAGAACAAAGAATATTCATCATCAAGTTATAAATTTTATGACTATAATAATTAGAAGATTATTGTATATATTATTTTAAATTACATTGAATCAGTCAGAACTATCGATAGATTACATTTTAAAGGCATCAGTAATATGCATAAAAATGTAACAATAAACTGAATGTTAGATATATTAAGGGAAGTAAGACAAAAATTATGAATTTATAAGTTTGACAAAAGACTAGAGTAGCAATTGTAGCTGGCTGGCTGGCTGGATCTGTTTCTTCAAAACACACACCTGCACAGTACAGGTTGTTTTGAGTGAATTATAATAGCCTCTGCTGTTCTCAGCGTTCAGTATTTCGACGCCTTTGGTGATTTAGTTTACACCTTAGAGATTATAGAGAAATACTGTTCAATACCAGCCAGCTAGCTTTGTGGTCTGTTTTGACGAGGTGATCTAATTGATATTGAACCATTGATAGTTTAAACAACACCCTTATTTAACCATACTGGTAGGTGTTCCTAGCGACGGTGAATTAAGCCCTCAGGGGAATGGCCAATATAACTAGTTCCACAGGAGCGGCTGAACTGATGGATACAAAATTAGAGGTGGTTAGGTAGTCTAGGTACATCCTTTTTTTGTTCAGCTTTGGAATCCCCACCTTTGCGTTGTGTAAAAATAACATAAGCTGCAGATTACCGGAATTAAATGCTCTTTGGATCGATTTTCTTGTCATTACTCTACTTCGCACATCCCTCTAGAATTGTAGTCGATAACAGATACAGAAGAATTCTGTTTTTACTCTCTTGGTCATATGTTTTTGGATGAAACTGTTTTCAATTGACAATCTTATATTCGTGTTCAGTGACATTTTTTGGACAAATAGCTCTGACCCTATAGATGTTGATCACTGTTCATTGTTTCTTCAGTCAGAAAAAAATTTTGTACAATTACTTTGTACTAGTTTGAGACTGTTTTGCAGTAGACAGTCACGACTTTACCAGTAATCTGACCGAGGAGATTCATTTTACGAGGCTTGTATGTTAACTGTTGAATTACTAGAGCACAAGAGAGAGTCAAATAAGGTGTATTGCTTCAATCGGTCTACATAAAAGCCGTGAAAATAAAACTCTAAATTTATGTCTTGAAAGTCAAACAGCTTAATTAGATAGATCAGTTACCTCAGAGGACATAGAACAACACGAGCGATAAACTTTATTGCAGAATATACTAGTGTGAGAAATTCCACTAATTTGAATGATTCGGTATGTTTTTCATCACTTGGTCGTATTAAAAAAAATGAAGTTCTATTTCTCAGTAATATCGTCTTGACGATATGGATATTAGCGCTTAAGCTATTAGAAGCCAGTAAATGAACACAGACGTTATCAACTTTGATATGAAATTGAATGGCCACGATGTCTGATTTACTAATAATGAAAAAGGTAGCCAGCCACTTAGATGAAATGTCGGACTTGAAGTTTACAACACTGATAGAAGGTGTAAAACTTTTTAGCTTATATTAATGAGAAGCCGTTTAGAAATTTACTTTAGATGATGAAATGTTTTTCAAAATTATGTAATTCAAATCCAATGAAATGAATAACTGAAGTTATATCTCCAATATTTTGATATATACATATATATATATATATCTGTATTTTACGAGAAGTAAAATAAAACTGTTGAATGTTTCAGAGATTCTCTTTTTGATTCTAAGGGTGATCCAGGAGAAGACGGTGATATGGGACCAATTGGACAACCAGTAAGTATATTAAATTTTGAGATTCACCTGGTTTTATAATACTTATAAATAGATACGTGTAATTACTGTCCACTGAGTTGCGATGTTCAGAGGTAGAATGCTTCAAGTGGTCTGAGATTCGATCCCCGACCAACTAGGCACTCCTAAACCTTACTTAGTCAGTATCAAGGCTGGTGAAGAGGAAAGGTTGACTGCGAGGCTTAAAAATCATATCCCGAAATTCAAGGTTAAAAGTTTAGAAGCCGGAATTCAAAAAGGAATAGAGAAGAAAGATACGACCCAATAAGTTTGTTCACGAAACTTTCAGGAACTGAGAAACTTATCCAAACCCTGCTTTATCAATTACACTTTCTAGGATGAAATTCAGTATAATTTAACTTAAAGCAATACGCGATTATGCAGTTTGTACTTCAGTGTACTAAGGTGTTTGACTTAGTTTCTTACTTCTTCTTACTTCTGGACGACATCTTCAGCGCATTCTCTAGCATGAGTGATAGAATCTCGTCTCTCGCTAACCACCTTTACACATGTATTGATCATTTTTTATTGAATTGGATTTTAAACTTTCTCGTCACATGATTTGTACGTGATCTTTTTATACTGGATTGGAACAAAACTCCTGAAATGCATGTACTGTCGTATCAATGAAAACTTTCTAAACATAGATCTTTCGATTGTACCATTAGTCCTGTCTTGACCAGTGAGGTTAATCCAGTCGGTAGTAAGAACAAATACTCACTTCTAATATTGGTTAGTGGTCTCTCGCTGAAATGAAGGATTGCTAGAAGTCACAGTTCATGGGTTGGCCAGTTGTAACAACAGAAGACAAGGGCCAGGCAACAGATCGTTTATTACGGAAATCAGCACGTATTTATAAATATTTCATGTACATTATTATAGCTGATTCAAGCAGACAAACACAGTCTTCTGATTGGTTGTTTCTTGCTCAAAGTTATTCTGTACTGCTTGTGACTGGTTTCTCAGAAAGTTAAGCCATACATCTGCGAATCGTATTTGCCCATGTTAAATCTGATGTGATGGGTTGTTGAATCAGCTTTGTTCGTATTTTCTCACGGCCAATATTAGCGACATAGACATTGACGTAAATTAATGTCTATCAATTGGCTAGCAGCCTGCTCTCACCACACAGTGAGTCATGCCCCAGTGGCTGAATAATCTACGAGGTTCCTTTGGGTTTGAACCCTTGTGAATGGGTACTGCTGATGAGTCCGTAACTAGGATGAAATAGCTATTCAGTGTACTTCGTTGTATTTTTCACTGGCTCTCTAGATGATATCTCAATCTGTGATTAAAACATGAAACAGTAAATCGCATCCCTTCAAATTAACACTTGAAAGTTTCTGATTCAGTTTCAAATCAAGTCTTTCAATTTTTAAAAAGAATGAATACTGAACAAATAATACTCTTTTCGATAACTTCATCATCAGGCCCTACAGTTACATATACATTATTGTAAATGAATGAATTAGTGTTATGAACAACATTAATGTTGTTCAAATAACTTCGAGTCAATGATATTGATAGATTACAGCTCAATAGCGTCAACATAAAATAAGCCGAATGTCAGAAAAATTAGGAGATATAATATTACAAATTCATGAATTTATAGTCTCTACTGAAGGTCGAGGCAGTAGTAGGGGCTGGACTCGCCTTCTTTTGAACACAGAGCACTGGATGTTTGAGGTGAATTGCAATACCCTCTGCTGTTTGGAGCATTCGGTGCTTCTATGATTTTGGCAATTTATTAGGCAACCGGAAGATGATAGAGAAGGATTCTTCACCGTTGGCTTTGTGGCCGGTTTGTACCAGATGATCCAGTATCGAACTGTTGATGGTTTCGCTACGCCTTCACTTGGCCATACTGGGAGATGTACCTGATTGAGCATGAAAAATCAAGTTCCTAGAGCCACGGCCAATATAACTCGCCCCACAAGCTCGGTTGAATCGGTAAATAAAATCTGAAGTAACCAGCTAGTCTAGGTACTTCATATTTCAGTCGAGGTAGCACCATCGGTCGTATAGAGAATAAGACGCGTAGTTTGCCAGCATTGAGAGTTCTTTGAACTGATTTACCTAATTTCTTCGTAATTATTTCACTTGGTATATAGCCCTTGAATTGCAGTCGTATATAAAGAGGCTTCTTGTTTACGGATAGTAATTAGTCCTTTCCCGCTCCTTCTTTCTTTCAATTTTGCATAAAATCTAAGAATTCTAAGAATTCAGAAAAAAAACAGAAAAATAATATGGAGGGCAAAAGTAAACAAATACAAATAATAATACTTATTATAGGTGAGTAATATATGATAAAGTGACATTTAAACTCTGACAAATAATAAGCTGTGTTTATTTTAAATGTCGAAGAAGGGGATGGAAGAATAGAGATAACAATAAACAAATTAATAAACAAAATATGAAATGTTTATTTTCTTTGTCGATAAAATCAGAGCCTTATTGAAAGACGGTATTTATAACGTTCTCCAGTCAGATTCATATTCTTTATTTTGCTGCATTTACACAAATCGTCTTCTCTTTCTTAAAGTTATTTTTACAATATGCCTTTTTTTTCTCTTATAGGGTAACTTGGGTGCTGATGGTCCACCTGGCCCTGAAGGTGCAGTTGGTGAAAAAGGCGATAGAGGTGTACACGGACGTGATGGTTTACAAGGTGATCCAGGAGAGGCTGGAATTCCTGGGGTATGTTGTTAAGCTACCTAACCAGTAGTTTTGTTTTAATTATAAAGCGAAACTAAATTTTGTGTCAATTCTTAAAATGAAAAAGAGAAGACATTCAGCGAAGAGAATCTTTTCGAGGGAGAATTCATTCACATAGCTAAACAATCGCATTTGTATACAAGTATTTTTGTTTGTGTGTGCATGAGGTTTGTAAAGTTTAGATAATTAATCAGGTAATACAAGAATGATCTAATATAGAAACAAGGTTAATTAGACAGCAACTAAAGTAAAACTGAGTTAGTAAGTTGGATGACGTAATATGATTGATTAAAATGTTTCAACTTAGGTCAGAATAACAACAAAAGTAATTACAGGTTAAGGCTAAGTAGAGATGAGTACAGAATAATCCCATTTAAATAAGGACTAAAAGTGAGCAAATGAATCGGATGACGTAACATAAGAGACTAGAAACTGAGTCAAGTCAGTAACAGTGGTAATGTGGTGTAGAAATTAAATCTGGGAGTGGGGGTAGAGAACAGGAAGGTTGAAAATGTAAAATACTACAATTGTAAAGACAAAATAATACTAATGAAGAGAAAAAAGTAGAATTAACCTGTTGGGTATTAAGATAGATTCTGTCCACTGCAAGTGTAGTGACAGAACGAACTTCTTCCGTATGCAGAATTCAGGAATTAGCAAGTGAATTTCTATTGCTTCTGCAGTTTGGTGTCCGGAATCTATCCCATGTTCTAAGATAGAGCTGCGGGGGGATAGTTTTTCTCCTTTGTAAAACCATGTTGGTAAGTGTTCGGTGATATGTTTGGATAGCGAACGCTGCGTACGGCCGACATAACTGGCTCCACATGAGCAGGTGAATTGGTAGATACACACTGATGAGATAGCCAGAAGTGGTAGCTTATCCTTCACATTCATACGAATCATAGGTTTTTCGGAGAAGGTTAGTCGTAGTTAAGCTGCGAAGAAATGAGCTTGTTAAAATGTTTGAGTAATGAAAACAGAAGGTTGGCCAGTTGGCGGGAACAATTTAATTCAGCAAATTATACACAAAGTGTCTGACTTTAGAATTTATCAGAAGCTTCCCAAGCTAAGCAGAAATAATATATTTGGTGATTGCAAATCCTTTTCGCTCTATCACTATGAAGAAAGAACACGAGAATTCTATTAAAACTTGTATTATATAGTGGTGTTTAAACCTACAGCTTGACCTGATAAAATTTCAAAAACCTCCGTTGTCTTCAGTAGCTTAGAAAGAATAAAACGCTGCAAGTTAGCCTGAATTTGATAGAATATCTTTAAATAGTATCCAGGGTCGGTTGCTGGAGTGACACGGGTCGATCAAATATTCTAGAATAGGGCTTTTCACATCTTTTCTTTCTCCCCTTAAAACTGTGCTTCCGGAATATGTTCTCGTATCTGTGTGGAAAATATTCTCTGGCAGGTTCTCATAGAGGCGGCCAGACGTGGGAGCTTATCTTATACAAGAATGAAGAACAACTTAAGGGCCTATGCAGGTAATTTGTAGTTTTGCAACAAAGAACTTGTTACTGACTGATTTAGAGAGACGATTTTTGGGCATATCTGAAGCCAAATCAGATTTTTGAATCCCAAATTCATGCGTATGGTTTTCTTTGGCATTGAGTTAGTCAGTAGTTTGGACTACTTATCTTTCATTTTTTTGTTAATAATAAATCAGATAGGGTGACCGTTTTCCGTAGGCATGGCTTTTAAGAAGGAGGGTTCTCATTCAATGCAGCTACCGTTAATGCCTCCTGTGATTTATTCTCTTTGTAGAAACATTTCATTTGTCTATATACTTTTTAAAGTTGCATAAGAAAGCACTCTACAAACAACAGTTTGGCAGTCACCCCAGTGAATATAAACAGTACGGCACAGTACTTAGATTGGACACTAGTAACTGGTGTGACGTATCTAGTCCTTTCTTTGCTGCAGACTGAATTCCATCAGTCAGGTCCGCAATGTGGTCACCATTCTAGTTGACTCGCCATCACGGTGCACATTGATTTGACGATATTAGATAGTTGGAGGCAGTCGGCCACAACAAGCCTTCGACCTAGGTTCCCCGCTAGTTGGCACTCACCAGTCAGCAAAGCGTGTCTACAGTCACCGTGAGGAAATTCATGTCCCCTCTGCGACTCGAACCCGCTTCATCCAGTGAGTGTTGCAGCCAGAGACGTTACCACTGAGCTTTTTGGGCTCGCGTGACACTAGTTACTAGTGTCCAATCAAAGTATTCACTAAGGTCCTACAGGAGGCCAGTAGCCAGCCCGAATAGCTCAATGGTAACATCTCTGCTTGCAACTCACACAGAGTGACGCGGGTTCGAATCTCAGAGGTGACATGAATTTCTTCAAGGTGACTGTAGATATACCTTGCTGACTGTTGAGTGCCAATTAGCACGAAACCTAGGTCAAGCAAGGCCTCCTGTGGCTAACTGCTTCCAACTACCTTATATCATCAAACTTAGAAATATGCCGGAAACAGTGAGCCCGAAACGTAAAATATCTAACAGAAAAGAAATCAAGATGGCAACAACATGAACCCATGTCTTTCAATCTGAACACAAGAAACTAAATTCACGCGTTCTACTCTACAGCTGACGAAAACTTCTTTGCGTTACTTACTGACCGTCAGAGAAGGCAGTGGCGATTGCAAAAAGATTATGGCTTGCAATAAAATCCGAGATTCTGTTCAACGGTAATAACATAAAAAACGTTAGGACAGTGATATATATATATATATATATATATGCATAGCCTAGGAGAAAAGTTACTTGAAGTGTCCACATAAGTATAACTGCTGGAATCGGATCTTTCAGGCGGGATTTTTCAAACAGATATTCAGTTTTATTCTTATTTTTTTTATTTTTGATTACAGCTTGATTCGACACTGCATTTTCGATACAAGTATCGAATTTTCAGCATGAATATGGGTAGCCCAAATTTTGCAGGCCGACCCCATAGATATCAGGTGTGCATCGGCAGGGGGTCGAACAGCGGACCATGTGCATGGTCGGCAAGAGTCGTAACCACTGTACCACCGACAAACAGTTATAAAGATACTGCGTTATTATTATTGTTATCAAAACTGTTACTTAATTTCATTCTTCTTCCGTTTTAGAAAGCCACATGTCCAATCGAGTTTACTCCAAAAGGTGAAAAAGGTCTGCCTGGTTATCCTGGTGAAAAAGGCACTCCTGGTGATCCTGGACTACCAGGGGAACAAGGTGAAAAAGGTGTTCCTGGCGATGAAGGTATTAAAGGAGTAAGAGGAAGTCAAGGGAAAATCTGTGAAGCTGGTCCACAAGGTCCTATGGGTCCAAAGGGTTGGTATGGTAAGTGAAAATTTGTAACTTAGTCTTATAAATATTTTATGATATTGACCATTTGACTGACATCAGTAAGAGAGAAGGAGACTCGAAAGCCAGAGAATACTGGACAGCTGTTTTTGGAACCCCAGTAGGTGGGTACGTACTGTTGAAGAGTCCTAAAGCCGGGGTGAAACAGTTGTCCAGTACTCTCTGATTGTTTTTCAGTGGTTCCCTAAATGATATGAGCTCTTAGATCTATCCTGTAACTGATCAAATCTCTTCAAACCAACATGTGATATTTTCAAGATATAACCGTAAAACATGTTAACAAACTGTTTATTTTCAACTTCCTTGTACTGTGTTTACCAAATTCTCTTTATTAAACATGTGAGAAAATGCTTGAACGCATTTGTTCTTTATTATAGGCAAAGGTGGAGTACAAGGAATACCAGGTATCGATGGAGATCCAGGAAAACCAGGAGAAAGAGGCTTACCTGGAGATGATGGTTTTGGTCAGTTAGGAGAAGCTGGAGAAGTCGGTGTGGAAGGTTTACGTGGACCGAAAGGTAGGCAAAAAATGTGTTTTATGGTTAGATTATTTGAAAGCTATTTTCTGCCTGTAAATAAAATTTGAACAAGAGACATGATATCGTTTCTGTGCATATTCTAGGCCTCTTTTCTAGGCCCATTCTTTCTGTTAGATGAAAATAAATGGCTTTATATATGGGCGACTTCATTTTAACCTAATAATCAAATGGTAACGCGCTTATCCATATAATAATATAATTGCTAGTACAAATTTTTAATTAAATCATCGATCCATGCATGAAATATGGGTGAAACAGGTGTTCAGTGTTCTTCGACTCTAAACAGTTTTAAAAATTGTTTGATAATAGAACTCACTGACCCAGGGATAGAACGTGAAGTCTGAAAGTTCTCTTGAAAGATAACAGCATTCAATGGATTAGATTCGTAAATTGTAATGTACACAATGCTGCATGCCAGGTAATCCACAACCGAAAACTTACGGAACCCTTCTAAGTGAGGATGGGAGTAAGACAAGGCTGTCTACTATCACCAAGGATCTTCCTGATTGCAGTAGATTGGATAATGAGACAGACAACGTCGGGCAGTGAGGAAACAGGCATAAAATGGACTCACAAAAAAGAAATTGGAGGATCTGGACTTCGCCGATGATATATGTCTGATTTCCCACAAACTGGAAGATATGCAAGTGAAAAGCAACAAGTTGACAGAAGAAGCATCCGGAGAAGATAGGCCTTCAGGTGAACAGAGAAAACAGAGGTGATGAAGATTATCGACCGACAGAAACAGCCACAGCAACATCAACAGACAACAATCAGCCAGCATAAATGGGAGGAACCTGAAAGAAACAACCTTCTTTACCTACCTACCTATCCGTGGAGCATCGTTTCAGCTACAGGCAACGGAACTGACGAGAATATCAAAGCAAGGATCGGTAAACCAGGACAAGCTTTCATTACTCTTAAGTATGTGTGGGGGTCAACAGAACTCAAGATGAAAAATAAGATCCGGATTTTCAACTCAAATGTGAAGTCAGTGCTACTTATCATACTTACTTTACTTTACTTCGGCTATCTCCTACGGGAGGATGAGCCGGCTTCATGAACATCTCGAATCATCGCTGCCCAGGTGCGGCGATCTGATGCAAGGTTTTGCGACAGGGTTACCCAATTCTTGTTCCACAGACGGTGTCCGTAGACGGTTTGTAGCCCCAGGCACTCCATATCAGCCTTGACTGTACCAAGCCATGTTTTCAGCTGTCCACCCCTGCGACATCGCCACGATGCAAATGGCGAGGGATTTAGAACTGATTTGACCAGATCGTCATCTGGTCGGGGCAGAACATGGCCAAACCACCGAAGGCGACGTTGTTGGACCAGTACTGGAATTTGGTTGATGTTGTGGAGAGTTCATGGAGTTTCATAGGAATTAGCTACGAGTGATGTCCCCAGCATCGCTCGGCCTTTTGTTTGAGAGTGCAGCTCTAGCCTTTACACAACCAAGTGTGACCTACAAGGCAGTAGGAGTGGAGTAGGGAGTCCACTATCCATTGGCAGCCGGTGACCGGAGTCCGGTTCATACGCCTTTTTGGATGGGGCCAGACATCCAGGGCATCCAATAAGCCCTTTGTCCATACGTCTGCCGGAGAGCTCCGGTGAGCTTCATACGCCAGTCGTTGGAGGTTTGGAATCAGGGTTTAACCATCTCCCCTAGACTGTCATCCAATGGACAGTCAACCCGGTGAAGAGCGCCAGGCATCCACTTGTGCCCTCTCACTTCGGTGAGAAAACACCTCCGCCACGTGAAGGCAGTGAGTTGGACTTCCTCAGGAGAGGCTATGTAAGACACCCGGTCATATGGGAGCATTTTAAGAGATGTACGGAGGGGTTACCAACCCGCAGTGCAAGGCACCCACCCCCGACCATCCTGAAGCTTTGGATCAGAGACGTGCACTGTGAATCTTAAAGAGCATCTCAAACAAACTACAAACCTCCATCAACAGCTGCCTTTGCTCAATACCACTCAAAATCAGATGTCCAGAAAAGATCAGAAACAGGGATCTCTAGGAGCGAACCAGCCAGGAACTGATTGTACAAGAAATAAGCGGGAAGAAATGGAGATGGATTGGTCATACTCTGAGGAAACCATCAAATGACATCACTAGACAAGCCCTCGATTGGAACCCGAAATGGAAGCGGCGAGTCGGTCGTCAGTGCGAAGGTGACATGGGGGAGGAAGTGATGTGAAAAAAAGATGAAAGCATGTGGACAAATTCGGAGCCAGGTGTTCGTATTTTCCTCTAGGAAAAAAGGGCAATAATTATTATAATGTACACAGTTCAAGGGGGGGAATTTCATCTCATTTCCCTTTTGAACTGGTTTCCTGTTTTGGTTTGACCACCACTAATTCTTTTCTAAACTAATCCTACGTCAGATGACTTTTCTCATTGAGGAAGACATGCATAACACACTTCTCAACCATCTCACTTAACCGATGGTGCTTCACAGCTTCATTGATTGATATCTCCACCTCACCTAACATTCGACGCCTAATGTCAATATTACTCACTCCATTGTGTATCACCTAACAAGGGAGATGGAACGCGGACACCTATGATCAATTACAGCTAGCCAGTCTTTCCGTTATATCAGATAATCGATTAAAGTAGGGATGTTTTGCTGAAACCATCTATTTTACTCAGAATACAGGGAGTGAAAATTGATATAATAAAATAATAACACATTCACTTATTTCAAAACCTGTTTATCATGAATAATTCACAACTTGATGCCTACACTAAAAAGATGGTTAAGTTGTATTCATTTAGCTTTTCTTATTACAGATATATTGATAAGCATTTCCTATCTTCTTATCATTATATGCGTAAAATACTTATATTTCTATTGTAAAGGCGAGACTGGAGATGAAGGGGAACCTGGAGAAAAAGGATACGGAGGAGATAGTTTAGTTGGTCCAGTTGGTCCACGAGGTGAACCTGGTGATAATGGAGTTGATGGTGTACCTGGAAATGTAGGCGAACCTGGTCCTCCTGGTCTCAAAGGTGAGTTATTCATAAAGCTGTGTAAATTATTCAGAGAGAGGGAGAGAGAGAGAGCAAATTTAGCTTATTTAAGATCTTCCATTTGTTAAATGTTCAATGGAATCTTATATGAATTGGTGTTTTTTTAAAGTGTACCACGTAAATTCTAGTTTTTAAGTCATAAATACCTTTGTCCAAATTATACAATTTCCATAAATATTAAAGGTAAACATTTTTAGAATTACAGAAACAGCTGCTTCTCTTGGGTGGGAAATATTCTACATTTTATGAATAAATACAAAAATTACACGATTTTCTAATTGGCAAACAATTAGTCATTTCGTAGTTTCTTTACAACCACTTTACAACTAACATAGTTAACAATAATAAAATAAAGTAAAAGGCCTGAAAATTACTCAGTTATATAAAAAAACAAAAACCAGGTCAAATAGTCCGTGGCAGGCGAAGGTTGTACACACAGTCCAGGCTGCATGTGATTAATCCCCAAAAGTGCTTCCATCTCCTGTAATAAACAACCTTGAATTAAAGTTATGTGATGAAATAATTGTGAAACAGTCATTAATAATGATTTTGTGACCTGACATTAATAAGTGTTTTGCGGTGGATGATGATGGATTGCTATTCAGATTAATAATTGCATTGGGATTTTCTATATGTTTTAGTAACCATTTTGGAACACGTTCTTTTCAACGACGTTGGAACATTCGAATGGTTCTAACTATATAGGTGCAGGTGAACTTGTAGATACAGTTCGTCTCTTAATCTTAGGTACAGAGATCGAAAATGTTCTGCATGTGAGGCAAACAAGAGATGCGGCGTAGAATGTGTGTTTGATGGCTGACCGAAGTCTTTAAGCTGTCAAACTGCATAATCTGATCACCCTTGAATCGTAGGTAGGTTAATAAAGATAGCTTTCTTTGGTACAGAAGCTGTCTTTTGTAGATGTCGTCTTTCTTTACTGTGACAAGTGATAAATTTTTCCGGATAACCATTGGCTAATAAAACTGAATGCATATGTCGAAGCTCATCCATCAATGTGCCACTCGTGCATGTTTTTCAGGCCCTTGAGAACAAACATTTCACTAGGGAACGTTTATACTGGTTAGGAACAAAACTGTCGAAATGAAGGTATTGTCCACTCCATGTCTGTTTACGAAAAATAGATCGCTTAATCGTTCTAGCGTCTCTTCTGGTCATTGTAATATTCAGGAAACCCAGTTTGTTATTCGATTCGGGTTCGGAAGTCACTTGAATATTTGGATGAATATGATCAAATAGAGTGATAAAGTTTTCAAAATATTTACTATTGTTACCAATAATGAGTGTATCATCTACATAACGTTTATATAGCATAAATTCCCCAAGCATACCCTGCATTTGTTTCTCCAATTTCGACATGAATATTTCTGCTAACAGGGTCCCAAGAGGGCTCCCTATCACAACACCATCGATTTGTTTGTATGCCTTTTCTTGGAAGATGAATCTAATATTTTCTGTGCATATTAAGATGATATCTCTGATGTGAGTGACAGTAATAGGTAATTGCATTCCATTGCTTGTGATGTAATCGCAAGTGAAATCAACAGTTTCATGAAGAAAGACATTCGTGAATAAAGATTCTATGTCGATTGAGCACATAACATTTTCACTAATATTCAAGATGTCTAGCATATCGATCAGATCAAATGAACTTGTTACAGAATGATTTGATAATGAGTCTCGCGGAATTCGTCTTCTAAATACCTTATTCAACTTTATCATAGAAACTCATTTTTAAACAGTTAGTCAGTTTATTTCACAATAGGTAGTAATATCTGAACTACTGAGATCGTTTACAAAAAATGGCGTAGTTCAACAGAAAGAAGAAAATTTATGTGTTCATAAAAACTGTAATTCGTCTGTTACACATTTTGTTCTAAATAACATCAACGTGTAGGCTTTTACCTAAGTTTCATGCTTCTTGAAAGATATCAATCAGTAAGATATGTGCTGACAAAAACCGACGTAGTTTCGTAGTCTAAACTCAAGAAACAGACCTTTGTGTTCAACTCTCTTATTATTATTATTATTCCCTTAGGTTCCGAGTGGAACATAGGGATTCAAATAAAACATCACCACTTTGTTCTATTCAATAATGTCCTCCTTGTCACCTTCACACCCACTAGTCACTTCCCATTGGGATTCCACTTAAGCGATGGCCTGCATTACGCGTAATGTCATTCGACAGTCTCCTCAATGTACACCTGATTCATCTCCATTTATTCCCACATATTTATTGAGAGGCCACCTCTTGGGAGTATTGGTTTGTTCCCAATCACCCAGAGTTTCTTGCCGCTAATTCTTCCTGGCCAGCTGGCCAGCCATTTGATCTTCAGTATCTAGCTAGCCAGTGAAGTTGATAGCTGTTCATAAAAGTCTATAAATGCTCTTCGTGACACGGCGAAGTTTCTGACCCAAATCGAAGAAATGATTGACTAACTCTACATTTGTGTTGAAAAGAATCCGAATCTTGTTGTTGTTGTTGTTTATGCTGGCTGGCCGAGTGTAGTGCATAAGATTTACAACCTGGTTCTGACTAGCTTTGACATCTTCATCCGTTTCGGCTGCCTTCTGTTGAAACTGTACTTCCTGGCCAAATAGCTGAAGGAAATGACCACTGTTAGATCTGTCCCGTTGCCGGTGATTATCTACACCACCTCCGTCTTCGCTATATTCACCTGGAGTATTGTCTTCTCTGGCTGCTTCTTCAGCCAGTATATTGATCTCCCCCCCCCCGCAAGTCTTTGAGTTCAAGTGCAAAAGTGACCAAGACTTCCTTGAATTAATAACAGTCGCAAAATGTCTCTAAGACAGCAAAAAAGACAGCTATTTTTAGAAAAATCTGAAGTAGTATCGAACAATTCTAATATTTCAAAACTCAAAATTACCTCACAAATCCCGTTAGGCAACTATGCAGGTCAGATAAGTTTCTAGTACAAAACTACGGTAGTGTAGAACAAAATTAGTTAAATAAAATTCACCTGTAAGAAGTATCTTAGAATCGAGTGGAATATTCCCACCAAGGGCTGGGATCAAAACTCTGTCAGCAGGTATCACGCTCCAGACACTTCCCACAGACAATTGAAGGTCAAAATCACAGTTGTAAAACAATAATGACACAACGACAGCATGAGAAAATAACATTGAAAATAGAGATTAGTCTGGGAAAAAGACAAATAATAGGAATCGATAAAGTCAACATATAATAAGCAAATGTCAGAACAGTGATATACAGTCTAGGAGGAAAGAGGAAATTAATTACAATGTTAGTTAAAATATCTCAATAAGTATAAATAGCGTCACCAGATCAGTCAAGAGGGATTTTTTCAGCAATTAGTCCTCTACATGGTGTGTATTTTGAACCTCGAAATGAATTTACATTATTATTGCATGAGTAGAATTAGGACACGAAGGTAGAATATAACTCTATAATCGATTAGTTCATTCGATATGACACACGGTGATCCAGTATTATGTCAACTAGAAGGTACTTATGTAACAACAGAAGACAAGGGCCAGGCAACAGATCGTTTTATTATGAAAATCAACACGTATTTATACATCTTTCAACTACATTATTATAGACAAGCGCAGTCATCTGATTGGTTGTTTAGGTAGACAAACGCAGGCTTCTGATTGGTTGTTTCGGGATTCCTTGACAAATAGAGTTCTCTCTGCGAATCATATTTTGCCACGTTAACTTTGCTGTGATTGGTTGTTGACTCAGGCTTGTTCATATTTTCTCACGGCCCATATTAGTGACCTAGACCTTAACGTAGATTAGTGCCAACCAATCGGCTAGCAGCCTGCTCTCACCACACTCGTCCCCCCGTCAAATACGTGCGACTGAAGTCGGCTTGATCTACTTGGTGCAGGCGTCATCGTTGGCTTGTCTCGCTGTATCCATTTCTGGAGCTCGCTGACGTTCACGCGCCTCTCCTTGTTCGCCATTGCGACTGTGTCTGCGTAACCCCATCTCGAAGTGACCATATATGGTCCTTCCCACTTTGGAAACTGTTTGCCTGACCCTGTCGAACATTCGTCCATACTTCGGCCCACACCTTCATATGCTGCTTTCGCCCGACCTCCCAGCAGCGTCTCAAGTAGCAGCTCCATCGCTGACAGATCTTGAACGCCACTCAACTGCGCAGAAGCCTTGAAGTCCTGCCCGAAGATCCATATGTCTCCATCGAAAACAGCAGGGCATAGGCTTTCCATTTGTCGGTAGGCAGCGACACCAAATGTAACAACAGAAGACAAGGGCCAGGCAACAGATCGTTTTATTATGAAAATCAACACGTATTTATACATCTTTCAACTACATTATTATAGACAAGCGCAGTCATCTGATTGGTTGTTTAGGTAGACAAACGCAGGCTTCTGATTGGTTGTTTCGGGATTCCTTGACAAATAGAGTTCTCTCTGCGAATCATATTTTGCCACGTTAACTTTGCTGTGATTGGTTGTTGACTCAGGCTTGTTCATATTTTCTCACGGCCCATATTAGTGACCTAGACCTTAACGTAGATTAGTGCCAACCAATCGGCTAGCAGCCTGCTCTCACCACACTTAGAGCAAAATTTATTAGTTGGAGCTTACATAAGTTAGAGGACCATTAGAAAACCAGCTGGGACTACTGAACAGCCATCTGTTTCGTCAGCCTAGTTTGGGACTCTTCACAGTCTGCATCCAGCCAATTAGGACGAAACAGCTGTCCACTACTCCCAGCTGGTTTTCCAATGGTTCTCTAACTGACATCAGCTCATGATGAAATCCTCCAACCAATGAAACAAAAGTCCCTAGAAAAACCAATACTTCAAAATTTATTACTCTTGTCAATATACTACTCATGAGACTTCCAGAACTGCTTCAGATAACTCCATACTCTGACATTCTATATTACAATTCTGTATGCATCAGGGATATGTATTGCTTCATTTTGATTACACCTGCTTAATGCTAGTTGGATGATTAACCTTTCTGTCTCTCTCTCTCTGTCCGTCCATCTGATGACTGGAAGGTTTACTCGGTTCTAAAAGTCAGTTCACAATTTTGTAAATAGAGACCCATGTGTCACTGGGTTGTATTTATACAAAGTTAATCATTTTCTGAAAATTTAATTTATATAGAGTTTTAACATTTAGAAAAGATACTTAGGGGAAAAGCCAGGAAATTTTAATGGGGTAGGGTGATATTAGACGTCCGAGTTAAACATCAAATTAGATGATTATAAGTGGTAGGAATTGGGCAAGAAGAAATGAACATTCGTCTATATATTTACTAAAAAAAATAATAATAATCTACTTTATTACAAAAGCACAACTTATAATACAGAATGGAATTTTCAGTATTTGTCACAATATTCCATCTGATTTACACAAAATATATATAAAATTAAAACAAAATTAACCAGAGGAATATATCCGCATTTACGAAATAAAGTAAAAATATTCTAAGTATTAATTGAGAATAATAATAACAGTGAGTTTGTTTCAAACAGTATTGTCGATTCAGTTTGGAAATTTTAGCATGTTATAGAGTATTGAATCTAATCTTCTGTTGATACAGTATAGTGAGGGGAATTAACAGTTATTCACACAGCTTAAATGATGTTCACACTTATGAACAAACAATCAAATAAAAACAAAAAATTGAGAGGATTATAAATAAAAGAAGAACAATAACAATTAACCTTGGTGTTATAAGGATGGAGGAAATGGTTTATTTAATAGTGCAAAGAAGGTCAGTTAGTATTTTCATTACATAAAGTACGTGCCAAATATGGTTGACGTCGTGGAATATTTACACTTAGACATACGTGCATAAAGTCTTCTGAAAAGACTTCTCCTTTTACCTGAGGAGACACAAGGTTGGAGCTGCGGTTAAAGTGGGTGCTCACAGTCTGATAAAATTCCTTTAGCAAATTTGTTGCATGAAATCAAGTGCCTATCAGTGACAATGTCAACAATACAACCCAACCGGATAGAATACCACTCGCCATACTGACAGCTAGTCTTCAGAGTTCTACAATGTATGACATGGTATTTTCAAGCAATCCAGGAAAGAATAACCAGGGATGAACAGCAAAAAAGAATAAGTGGGACGCACAAGTTGACAAACTGTAAGAGGAGGGGATGACTTATACCCGAGAGTGCCTTAACTTCTTGATGTAAAAAGTCAGACGAAATATTCTTTAAGAAATGGCTAAGACACGAGAAGACCAGAATAGGTCAGAAGAAAGAATTAATCCAAAACACTTAACTTCAGACTTGATTTCCATATCCTCACCTATCATCAATTATGCAACAGTCATAGTAACCAACAGCTTCATTTAACTTTCTTTTACATCAGAAACTGAAATTAACAGTTTGACATTTGGAAGGATTTAGTTTAACAGCATTAGACGAAGACTATTTGCTAACTCCTGATAGAAAGCTGTTCATCTGAGTACAGTCTAGCTGTCTGTTATTTAGAGTGACAGTAGTGCGTGAAATAAGGGATACAGTTGCTCAGAAGTAGTTGCATAATCATAATGAACAATATGAAGTAAGGTAAACTTCCAATGTGTCAGTTTGTCTGTCAGACCGTGTATGTAAGGAAAGGTGACGATAGAATGAAAAAGGCTTTAGAATCACAGCACAAATAGATGAAATTGAACATTTATGAGCTAATCAAGTAAAATACACCAGTCGTCCAGTACTTCCTAACTTTCAATGGTCCTCCGACTTCATGGTCAAATTAATCTTGCACAAAAAGGATAACACCAGTATTGTCCTAGTTTTTGAATTTCCAGTTATTTACCACTGTATACCTATTAATTTTCACCTATTGGATCATTTTTAAGTTATATAAATTATTTCATCCTAAAATGATACGAAACCCAGTGGGTACGTACTGCTGAAGAGTCCCAAACTAGGCTCACGGAACAGATGTCCTGTACTCCCAGGTTTCCCAATGGTTCTCTAACCCATGTCGGCTCATGATGAAATCCTGTAACCAATCAACCTAATCCCTACAAAACAATTCTTGAAAATAAATAATAAGGTATCGTATTTTTCAGTAGCTAATGATTTCAAAATTTATGCTAATGTCTGATCGGTGGATGGTGACTAGCAGTGGAATCCAGAATGTGCATTTCATCCTATTTAGGACTCGTCAACTGGATGAACCTGCACTTCGGTCCAATCAATCAACAGGATATTCTAAAATTCAATTAAATAATCAATATGACCCATTGCACACGAGGTGGCAATCCTCGCCCAAGTGGTCTAGTGGATAACGCTTTGGCGTTTAAAACTATGGGCAGTGGGTTCGAGCCTTGGTTGGAACATCACCACTGACTCACTGGGGAGATGTAGGTACAACCAGATAATGACAAGTCCCATATATGACGAAATGCGCATCCTGGCTTGATCCCACTGCTAGTCACCATCCACCAGTCAACCTCTAATCGCATGTACAGACATCGTCAAAGGATCTGCACAAGAAGCCGACATGTCGACCTGAGACCTATCACTTTGGCCCAATAAATCGACGGGAAAATCTAAAATTCAATTACATATGCTAATGTCCTCTATTTCGCGTCTTCTGATTATATCCACGTTTGTTTATTTTTTACTTTTTTGTTTTTGACTCAGGAGAACCCTTGTCTGTCTGTCCACTATGTAGAGATGGAGACATTGGTTCACGCGGAGAAATAGGTGATCCAGGTGAAGATGGAGAAAAAGGCGCAAATGGAGTACCAGGAGATAGAGGGGATCCTGGAAGATTAGGCGAAGATGGACCAATTGGTTTACAGGGCACTAAAGGTGAAAAAGTAAGTTGGCTTTGTGATAATTAAGGGATGAAGTCACCAAACGTTAATGAAATTATTTCTCAGAATTCTTTCTGAAATAAATAAGATTCCCTTGATACTAAATAGAACATCCCAGTTGGTTTTTATTGATACAGAAATAGGACATGAGCATTGCAGCAGACAGGGATATCCTGGACTGACGTGAAGAACCTAGGAGACCTGGATTTCGCGCGTGGATGATTTATGCTTGATGTCACACAAAATCGAAGACTTACAAGCGAAAACCGACAAATTGGTCGAAGAAGCAACAAAGACAGGGCTCCAGGTGAACATAGACAAGACGGAGGTTATAAAAATAACCAACCAACATCAACAACAACAACAGCAACATCCAGTGCCAATTACCATCAATGAGTGGGATTTGAAAGAGGTTAGTTATTTCATTCACTTATCTAGAGAGCATTGTCTCAACTACAGGAAGTCGGAACGGACTAGGATGTCAAATCGAGCGAGAATCGGGAAGGCAGGCGAGAAACACATTCATCAACCTGAAACAAATCTGGAAATCTTCGTCACTCAGCCAAAATCAACAACAAAATTCAGTCGGATTTTCAATACAAACTAACGTCAAGTCAGTCAGTTCTTCTATACGGATCAGAAAATTGGCGGGCGGGTCACAAAGAATATTTCCAACAGCCTGTTGCAGACTTTCATCAACAACTGTCTTCGCTGGCTCTATATTGAAGATCAGATGGCCGGGTCGGAAAGAATCACCAACTTTTGGAAACTATGGGAACAAACAAAACAAGAACCAGTCGCCCACCGAACATATATGCAGGAGAAAGTGGAGATGGATGGATTGGACACTCGCTTGCTGAGGAGGCCACTGGGTGACATCGCGCGTGCGTCAGGCCATTGCTCGAGTGGAACTTGAAAGGGAAGCGGCAAGTGGGATGTCGGTGCAAGGGTGATATAGAGGAGATTGTGTGAAGAGGAGTTGAAAGAGTATGAACTAAGATGGATGCAGGTGAAAAGTACAGCAAAAGACAGAAGCAAGTGAAGACGTGTAGTTGAAGCCCTTTGTTCCACTAAGAACCCAAGGGAACAATAATAATAATAATTGCAGCAGAGTATAAATTATTGATCACAGGGTGAATTTCAATGCAGAAGTCTCCCATTATTATGCAGTATTGTTATTTACTGGTGACCTCGTTTCGAGCACAATTTACTGCTGCTCATAATCATATCAAGACACTATTCACACAACCTCCAAACTTCTTTTATATAATTCCATTATTTCCCATCCCTCAAATTGACTGATATTAATATCTTTCATTTATATATACATGTATATATATATATATATATATATATATATTTCTAGTGTTGGCGTTAAGTGATTTCAGCTGGAGGTGTTGGGTGTAGATTATTCGATGAACAAAGATTCAGTAATCACCCTGTCTCTCCATCTACCAGTATACCACCTTTTAGAATTTTGACTCCGTCCCACCCAATTGTGTGCTTGTGTGTGTGTGTGTTAATGCATGCAATGGAATCGCTGAACTTTTTTCTAAATTACTCATCTTTGCGGGGTCAACCATTCTAACCTTAGCTGGATTCTTATGTTCTGACAATCTGACTACCCCAGACCTACTAGTTTGACGTATGTAGTTGACCTAACTCACAGTAATTGCAAGGTATTTTGTAAATTATATTATTTTGTCTAATTGGGTTAACAGACAGGGTCATTTGGCCTACAGAGCTAGTCTCTGAGTGAGTCTGTAGGTTTGAATACCACTCTAATTCCTGCTTTGTTGAGAAATATTAGTAAGGTTTCAGATGTCCCCTTCTTATATGATATAACAATTGTACATGCCTTATATTCTGTCATTTATGTTACCATTATTAGTTTCACCATTATTTTTATTTTGCTTTTGGCCTTTTCTGATCTTCCTAATGAATTTCATAGGACAGTAAGTTATTCAACACCGCCGCCTCTTCTGTCTGTTTCATTTCATCATTTAGGTCTTTTTTGAACTACTTAATGCTATTGCTCGGTTTGTCAGACACTTGACTAACTCAGCTTTTACAGATAACTAGCGGATGAGATGAATTAAAGTCCAAATATCTATTAGCAGAATGCGTTGGCTTTTTATAAACACTAGTGTGCAGTTTACCTTATTCTATTCGTTTTATTTTACAATTTAACAGTATTGTTAATTCTCCTTGTTCATTTTCTGATTTCAAATGTAAACTGCATTGCCTCTACTAGGGAGTTTATTTTCGTCAGGAAGCTAGAGATATGTTCTATTTCTAACACTGTGAAAGTGTCAGTCATCCACATATCGTCACAATATTTAGAGCAATATTTTCCCCAGCTGTATAACACCATGTGATTTATCAAAATAAAGCCTTAGCCATAATGGAGTTATTCTCATTGAAATGCCTAAGTTGACATATATATATATATATATATATATATATATATATATATATATAATTATCTTCTGGCGACCGGTACGAATGGTACAGGGTTTCCGTATTGCGCAAAAACACCGATGATCACTGGAAGGCGATGCGTTCAGGTGAATAATCTAGAATAAGGTGAAAAATATGAAAGTCTAATTCCACTATTACCCATAAACAACAATAACACCTTACACCATAGGAAACAAAATAGTCAAGGAGGGGGGGAGGTTCGGGTAAAAACCAGCAGTGTATATAGGGATTTAAAAAAGTAAAAACAACAGAAATAAGCGGGAAGTTTGGAAGTTAGTGATGTTCATAGTAGAGACAACGGTTCAACGTATTTCTTTCGAATATATATGTAGCGTGGGCTAGAACAATTGGATGGTTTGTGCCTCAGCTTTCTCAAAACTCATTGACCTCACTCGCTTTAAGAGGTATGATCAGATTTTACATATGGTTTTGGAAGACCTTTTTTTGAATTTCCCGAGTTCACCAGATTTTCGATCACTGAACTGTATATACACACCTACGTCCTCCCTTTGATAGCCGAGCTGAATAATCTTATCGAATGCGTTTTACGAGCAGATGCATGTTACGATTTTGAAAGCCGTCTTGTGGAGAATTCCTGCCTCAGTATACCTTTTAAACTCCAGACAAAACAGCAGCATGTTTTTTTTGGGAGAGGGGTTAAATTGGACCTGTTTGGAAGTTCTCTTTAGTTTTAGATTCTTGTCTGTAAATCAAGGTTTCTAAACAATTTTTCATTGATTTTTCTCGGAGACTTCTCATTTCGTCATCAATAGATTCCTTGACATATATTTTCCGAGTCATCGAGGTAAGAGAATATACATGTATGAGGTTTTTCTTTCTGCTTAGAGGGACAGGACTTTAAAAACTGACAAACTGTCTATTCCATTTGGGCTTTTCGTATAGGGATAAACTCAACGAGTTATCCACAGTTCTTCTCAGTTGAACACTGAAGAAAAGGGAATCTTGTGTCAGATTCAACTTCTGGAATGATGCTGATGTTTGGCTAAGTATCACTGAGTAATAAAATGACTTAAAATGTCGACAAACTGATGCAGAAGAAAATAGTTCTCCATAAGGTTTAAACTACATCTATATTTAAGAATGTCAGACATTTCTTGAACGAAATTATCAGCGTAGAAAAAACTATCAGTCTATTTTAAATACATAAAATCTTGAGCTTTTAACACACTTCTTCTTGCTTGAAAAAGGCTCATCTCCTGACTGTGTACTGACTACAAAACATGAATAAATTCTTTGTAAGTTAACTGTGTTTCTTCCCTGAAGAGTTTTTTCTAATTACAAATAGTCATAGAAAAAGAAAATTATTTGAAGTAGTCTTGGGTAAAAATTAATTCAAAGTCAAATCAACTAATCAACTGTTTATCAAACGCTTTGATTCATTACATTTTTAGGGTCGTAGAGGTGAAGATGGTTATAATGGGGATCCAGGAGACGTGGGCGAGTCGGCTATTGTATCTAGAGTTGTAGAAGATGTTATCCCTGGAGATGAAGGCGATGAAGGTCGTGAAGGTAGTGTTGGTGATATCGGCGATCGAGGTGATGAAGGCGAACCTGGTCCTGAAGGAGATGAAGGTCCTAAAGGACAGATGGTATGTCAAATATTTTCCTTAGACAATATTATAAATGCAATATTACACAGTCACCTTGTTTCTCGAATAGCTTCTAACTTTCTAAGAATTTTACCCTCATCTGTTTCTCATGCATGTCTACGCCTCACCTTGAAGATTTTCAGAAGTGTATTTTGAAAAACATTCATAAGTTAGCGTTCGTTTTGTCATACCTTTCCCATCTACAAGTAGCTGCTTTTAAGAAAAATCACAGTAAATCGAAAGCTCTTTCGTCCTAGCCGGGACTCTTCGTCAGTCCACACACACACAGTAGTTCGAACCCAGGACCTTCCGGTTACTTGGAGAGATCGTAGATCATCCAGCTTCCACCAATTCATGATATACATGTATATCTCGAGCACTAGCCAATGTCAGAGAAGAATAACTGTTCTGTTAACTGACTTAATGAACCCCACTGGTTATGACTACTTGCTAGAAGTCCAGGTAATTTCCTGGAAACAGGTACACGCTAATGCGCATCACATTAGTTGTTGCATAAACATTTTAACATTTTGAGCCAGGAATGTAAACGGCTACTCGGAAATTAGTTGTAGAATTGCAAATCAATTTAGGCCATTTTATGAAATTTAAGTTTATAAAGAAAGATTTGATAAAATAGTACTAAGAGTATTAGATATTTTGGTGAAAATCTCTATTCCTTCTCTAGGAAGGATGTCTCCGTCAAATTAATTTACGATAAGGTAATAAGTAGTAGGATTTTAAGACTCAGATTAAACTAGGTAATGCGTAAAACTTACTCTGCAGTCGGGCTTATAATTACTGAAAAAGTCAAAAATATGCTCCATTATAAGCCACAACATTGCACAAGTGATTATGTCACTTCCTATACTATATTAGCGATTTACATAGGTGTGTGTGTGTGTGCGTGGTCACACATAGATGCAGATGAGTAATCTCGCTTTGCACGTAAGGTTGGAAGGACAGATGCCCTAATGGTCAGAAAAACAAATGAACTGTGGACTCTCGATGAATGAGTGACAACCAAAACAGCTTCGAAGATTATTTGTAGAAACATTCAAGGGCTCTTGCTCAAACAAACACACAGAGGCAACAGCTATTCGTGAACATAAGCGCCCACCCCTCTCCTCCGGGTGTTTACAAAAACATTTTATGATTCTCCTTAACCTGCTTTGGTGAGATTACAAATTCATGAATCCAGAGGCTCTTCCCGTCTAATTGATTTCCTTTGGCTGTACAACAACATTTATATAGAATTTCTTCATGAAAGAGTGTAGTAACAAAAGTGACAAGTAGGCACAGTCATAGCTGTTAGCAATAGTCAAGGCATAAGAGGAGTCCCATAAGTGAATTAGAGTTACACAATGGGATGAATAATGAAATGAATGAGTGGTAATTAGAATGCATATAGAAATGAGGGAAAATGTGGGATTTTTTAAGAATTCAAAAGTAATACAAGAGTTCTAATTGAGAGGCTAACAAATGTTTTACAGCCGTTTACCCATACACACAAACACATACACACCATGGTGTATTCAGTTATCTACAACCATGAACTTTAGTCGAACGCAAAAATTCCAATGAAAAGTACGCTCTAGAGGTTAATTGGCGCGCATTTCGTCGCGCTTGGTACTCGTCAACTGGATGGTAATGCATTTCCCAGTGAGTCAGTGATGACGTTCCCACCTCTGAGGCTCGAACCCAGTGCCCATAGTTTCAAACGCCAAAGTGTCGTCCACTAGACCACTTGGGTCATGTCGGCCACCTCTTGTGCAGCGGGTTATATTAATTATTGAATAATAATAAATAATTTTTCCTTCACGTTCTCAGTGGAACATAGGGCTTCAAGCTGGAAGTTTGAAGTTCCGGTGTGGTGAAAGCAGGCTGCTAGCCGATTGGTTGGCACTAATCTACGTTAAGGTCTAGGTCACTAATGTGGGCCGTGAGAAGATATGAACAAGCCTGAGTCAACAACCAATCACAGCAAATTTAACGTGGCAAAATATGATTCGCAGAGAGAACTCTATTTGTCAAGGAATCCCGAAACAACCAATCAGAAGCCTGCGTTTGTCTACCTAAACAACCAATCAGATGACTGCGCTTGTCTATAATAATGTAGTTGAAAGATGTATAAATACGTGTTGATTTTCATAATAAAACGATCTGTTGCCTGGCCCTTGCCTTCTGTTGTTACATTTGGTGTCGCTGCCTACCGACAAATGAAAAGCCTATACCCTGCAGTTTTTGATGGAGACATATGGATCTTCGGGCAGGACTTCAAGGCTTCTGCGCAGTTGAGTGGCGTTCAAGATCTGTCAGCGATGGAGCTGCTACTTGAGACGCTGCTGGGAGGTCGGGCGAAAGCAGCATATGAAGGTGTGGGCCGAAGTATGGACGAATGTTCGACAGGGTCAGGCAAACAGTTTCCAAAGTGGGAAGGACCATATATGGTCACTTCGAGATGGGGTTACGCAGACACAGTCGCAATGGCGAACAATAAGAGGCGCGTGAACGTCAGCGAGCTCCAGAAATGGATACAGCGAGACAAGCCAACGATGACGCCTGCACCAAGTAGATCAAGCCGACTTCAGTCGCACGTATTTGACGGGGGGACGAGTGTGGTGAGAGCAGGCTGCTAGCCGATTGGTTGGCACTAATCTACGTTAAGGTCTAGGTCACTAATGTGGGCCGTGAGAAGATATGAACAAGCCTGAGTCAACAACCAATCACAGCAAATTTAACGTGGCAAAATATGATTCGCAGAGAGAACTCTATTTGTCAAGGAATCCCGAAACAACCAATCAGAAGCCTGCGTTTGTCTACCTAAACAACCAATCAGATGACTGCGCTTGTCTATAATAATGTAGTTGAAAGATGTATAAATACGTGTTGATTTTCATAATAAAACGATCTGTTGCCTGGCCCTTGCCTTCTGTTGTTACACCGGTAGCGGTGGTGTTTATTTTTACGGGATGGGGTTGCTAGCCTCATGTCCAACCTTTCCTCTTTACTAGCACTTTTTCTGAATTAGCGAGGTAAAAGGATGTATCGGTCGGGGATCGAACCTCGGACAGTGTGCATGGTCAGCGAGCGTCCTAAACGCTGTACCACCGATGCAAAATACCTGGGATTACTGAACAGCTGTCTCGTCCTAGTTTGGGACTGTTCAGCGGTACGCACCCGCCACCAGGGTTCGAACCCAGGACCTTCTGGTTACAAGGCGAGCTCGTATACCATTAAGCCACTGGGACCAAAGAGATGCTTCACGATTTTGCGTGTTATCCTTGAGCAGGGATCATGCTAATCTTCTCTTCAGTATATGTACTGCCGAGGCGAGTACAATTATTGAATACAATTATAAATTTCCCGTCGATTAATTAGACCGAAGTGCTCGGTAGTCACCATCCCCTAATTAGCTTCTCACTCCATGCCCAGACATCTTCGAAGAATCTGCACATGATGCCGACATATCAACCTGAAACCGAGCACTTCGACCGAATCAATCGAGAGGAAAATCTAAAACTGAATTAAATAAAAGTACCCTCTGTTCAATGCGTTTAACAAAAGTAGACCAATATTTGAGGTCAAATTTTGATCACAGCTAATATAATTTTGTTTATTATATTTTGATGCCTGTTTCATGACTTATATGACTGGACAAAGTCTTTAAAAACAAGAGGTGTCCTATATATATATAAACCTCTGTTATGTTTATTTTGATTATTTTCCCTGAAGAAGTTCGGACCAACTCAGGAAACACTGTTGGAATTACCCATTTCCATTTTGCTGAGATTTCACAAATATAATTTTTACAAGAGCTGTAAAAATTTAGAAAATAAACAAACAAAAATTAAGTCATGAGAAATCTACAAGGTTGTTACCATGCTAGTAGAAGTGGTTGAATAATTTTCTTTTGTATACGTAGCCCCGGTTTCTCTATTTCAATGACTGGGGCTCCAGAAATACAAAGGAGATGAGGGCGTAATTACCTTTCTGCAGCCATGCAGGATAGTTTTCTTGAACCCTTTTAAATACACGATTCCAGTAGAAAGACCAGCATACCTGGCTCTACAGCAACAAGTGAACTGATAATATGCATAAAAAAGTGGTCATAAGCAATGTTTTACCCTCTTCCGTGACAGATAGTATATAAATGAGATTTTACAGCTGGAAATTATAAATATCCGGACCATACATAGGTAGTACGAGTTTCCTGAAATAATTTGAGCAGTAATTCAGATTGAATTCTTATAAAAGTATTTAAAATAATCCCACAGTGTTTTGAAAATCGAAATAAGGCTTCCCTCGGCGTTTCGCCTTTGCTTCTTCATAGGCATTACTCAGAATTTACTAATCACTCATAGTAATCCTTTTCTGGTTCTGTTAACAAATGTAGTGTTAACTATTCTTAAGCCCGTTACCACATTCTATGTTCTAACTGGTCTTTCATTTTTCACATAAATTGACTTGACAAATAAATGTGTGCTCCGACTTCTAGAAATGAATTTGCGTGAATGTAGCACATTTTTCAGACAGTCCTTGTCTTCTAATAGAATTATGCAGATTTGTTAAAGGGACTGATCGCTTTGAATTTTACGAGATTATTCTGAGCAGTTATAGGATTTGATCACTAACTGACATTGATTAGAGAGCCATTAAAAAGCCTGTAGGGAGTACTGGACAGCTGTTTCGTCCTACTTTGGGACTCTGTGAAAATACGAACCCTTTGGGGCTCGAACACACACAGGACTCCATGGTTGTAAGGCGAGCTCGTAGACTGTTGAGCCACTGAGACCCGGCTCAGTGATTCATGGATGCTGATGTTTACCAATTTACCATGTAGCACGACCACTAGCCAATGTCACCGACAAGTATTTGTCGCCACGCATCACCTTCTGTATGCCACTAGTCGCGAATTCTTAAGAGCTCACCTTGTAACTAGAAGGTCTTGATTTCGAACTCGTATGATGGGTGTATGCTGCTGAATAGCCTCAAAACTAGGACGAAACAGCTGTCCAGTATTCGCTGGTGAGTTTTCCAATGGTTCTCTAATCAATGTCAATTCACGGTGATATCCTGCAACCAATCAAATCAAATCTCTACAAACCAACACCTGAATATTATTTCGATCGGCTAAGCGAATTAATTATCCTATTTAAACTTCAAATTTCAGGGTATAGAAGGTGAACAAGGACCAATTGGTGATGTTGGCGATGATGGAGATGATGGGGAAGTTGGTGACAACGGTGAAGATGTCAAGGGATTAGTTGGTCAGTTGGGTGAAAGAGGAGACGAAGGATTAATAGGAGAAAAAGGCGAAAAAGGAATAGCTGGAACTATGACAAATTGTACAATTGACTGGAGACAAATAACAGCTAAAAATGAATCTGGTAAGTTAAATATTTTTTGTTAGTCTTTGGTGAGAATTTATCCTGAAAAAATTGATAAGACCAGTTGAATTGTTTTGAAGCTTCTACATTGAATTTATTCAATAAAAGCAAACCATGCGTAGATCGGATTGTAAACCTAGGCATCATCATCAGAATAGATTGACAGTCATATATCCACCTCCACTTCATCGACTTTGAAAAGGTCTTCGACAGTGTTGACGGTGAACTGATTTGTAAACTGCTTCAACATTAGAGTGCCCAAAATCCTTATCAACCTCATTCAACAACCATCTGACAGTGCCACACCTTAAGTAATCTCTAATGGATAGCTCAGAGAAGCCTTTCTCGTGAATACAGAAGTAAGACAAGCTGCTTCCTATGACTGATGATATTCTTAACTGTGGTGGATTGGCTTTTATGACACATTATAAAGAATGAGAAGACTGGAATACGTTACGCCAGTAAGAATAATCTAGAAGATCTGAACTTTGTGGACGATTTATTTTGCAGGCGAAATAAACAAGTTGACAGAAGAGACAATGAAAACAGGACTCCAAGTGAACATAGCGAAGATTGAGGTGATGCAGATAATCAACCAACAACAATGACGACAAGCACCAATCACTACTTGCCATAAAAACAGCAGCAATATTTAGCAATAATGATGCAACACAGCGTGCACCGGTGGCATAGCGGTAGAATGCTCACCAACCACGCCTCACGTGGTCCGCCGTTCGAGCCCCTATCACCAACACATTCCTCTAACTCACTAAGCCAGTAATAAGACTAGGGTAAAGTGTTTAGGTTGGGCATGAGGCTAGCAATCCCATCCCGTAAAAGAAATACCACTGCTATCGAAACTTCAAGCTTCTAGCCTGAAGCCCTATGATTCACTGGTAACGTAAAGGAATTAAAAAACTGCAAACGTTTATCAACAACTGAATATCAAATAGCCGTTGATATAAGAATAAAACTTGTGCACTGTGGTGGAGTATAATTTCATTATGGGTAAAATTTATTTTGATAATGTCTCACAGTGTTATACAGTAATGTTTACTGATTATGAGCAATAAATTGTGCTCGAAACGTCATCAGTAAACATTATTGTATAACAATGTGAGATATTACCAAAACAAATTTTACCCATAATGGATTTATCAAATAGCCGGTCAGAATGAATTAGCAACAAGACATTCTAGGAAGGAAAAAATCAATCAAACGTCTGTTGCGCAACAAATATTCCGAAAACATTGAGATGGATATATACATATATATATATTAGAAAACATAATTTGTCTAAATCGTGTAATGTTGTATTTGCTCAACACTTTTTTCAAACAATCTGATCACAAATGGACTTGTCGTAGGTATATTTGTATGAAATTAATAAAGAGTTAAGAGGTGAGAAAAATAAATTTAGGTCAAGTTAAAAAGACACACTGAAGTTGAAAATAACAATGAAGATCACTAAACCAAATAACAGAGGTAATAGTACATCTACTCTGGCTGGTATAAAAACAAAGTTTACCGAGGAAGGTAGGTTTAGCGTGATGAGGAATTGTTGCTTTGAAAATGCATGAAGGTGGTTTAAACTTCCTAATTGTTAGCCAGGGCTTACACAAATCTTAGAATTCACACCAAACACGTTTCACAGATAGGTTTAAAAGACGTGTAAACACCAATTACATTGAAAATTTCATGCAATTCTTCCCATTAATAAACTTCAACAAAGCAAGAACAACAATCGTATCAGGATAATATGAGCTCATCTTTTATTATTTCGAGGATTCCTCTCAACTGGTTACAACCTGAACGTTAAAAAATATGAATTACATTAAAGATACGAACATACTTTTCCACGATCATAAGGAGTAATTGGTAGGAATTAAAAGTAACATTAGTCCGGAATGATTTCACTGATTAGGAGTTACAAACACTGACTATTTATAGAATAATTAGACAATTAAGCTTGGAAACAAACAAGCAAAACAGGGTTGCGTATGTATATGTGTGTATAGCAACAAGGTTTAGCTAGAAACAGCATAACAAAAAAGTAGATTACGTATTATTATTATTGCTCCCTTGGGTTCCTAGTGAAACATAGGCCTTCAGCTGCACGTCTCCACTTGCTCCTGTCTTCTGCTGTACTTTTCATCTGCATCCATCTTATTCCATACTCTTTCAACTCCTCTTCACACGATCTCCTCCATGTCACCCTTGCACTCACATCCCACTCGCCGCTTCCCGTTCGGCCTGGTTCCACTCGAGGGCTTGATGAGCGATGTCACCCAGCGGTGTCCTCAGCAAGCGAGGGTCCAATCCATCCATCTCCACTTTCTCCTGCATATTTGTTCGGTGGGCGACTGGTTCTTGTTTTGTTTGTTCCCATAGTTTCCAAAAGTTGGTGATTCTTTCCGACCCGGCCATCTGATCTTCAGTATAGAGCCAGCGAAGACAGTTGTTAGTAAAGATCTGCAACAGGCTGTTGCAAATATTCTTTGTGACCCGCCCGTCAATTTTCTGATCCGTATAGAAGAACTGACTGACTTGACGTTAGTTTGTATTGAAAATCCGACTGAATTTTGTTGTTGATTCTGGCTGAGTGACGAAGATTTCCAGATTGGTTTCAGGTTGATGAATGTGTTTCTCGCCCTACCGATTCTCGCTCCATTTGACATCCTCGTCCGTTCCGACTGCCTGCAGTTGAGACAATGCTCCCTAGATAAGTGAATAAAGTAACTAACCTCTTTCAAATCCCTCCCGTTGATGGTGATTGACGCTGGATGTTGCTGTTGTTGTTGTTGTTGGTTGGTTAATTTCATCACCTCCATCTTGTCTATGTTCACTTGGAGTCCTGTCTTTGCTGCTTCTTCAACCAGTTTGTCGGTTTTCGCTTGTGAGTCTTCGATTTTGTGGGTAATCAAACATAAATCATCCACGCGCGAAATCCAGGTCTTCTAGGTTCTTCACGTCGGTCGAGGATATCCCTGTCCCGTTTCTCGTTTCCCACTGTCTGACGCGTAATCCACTCAGTCCACCACAATTAGGAATATCATTGTTGATAATTAGCCAGCACCCTTGACTGACTCCTGTGTTTATTCCAGACGGCTGGCTGAGTTTTCCGTTTTGGATCACTTGACATGTGCCGCTATCCTACAGCTGTTGAATAAGGTTGATGAATATTTGGAGTACGCCGTAGTACTCGAGTAATTCCCAAATTACTTCACGATGAACGCTGTCGAAGGCCTTCTCAAAGTCTGTAAAGTTGGGGTACAGATTTGATTGCCATTACATGCTTTGTTCTGTGATGATGATGCGTAGAGTTGCGATTTGATCAGAACATGATTTGCCTTTCGTGAATCCAGCTTGTTCTGGTCGGAGTTCTGTCTCCAGTGCGTCCTTTAATCTCTCCAGTATGATGCGACTCAGGATTTTACTTGGCGTCGACAGGAGCATGATTAATCGCCAGTTCTCGCAGAATGAGTCGTAAGTCGCCCTTCTTTGGTACTTTCACGAGGTAACCCTTCCTCCAGTCAGTAGGCGCCTTCTCCTCCTTCCAGACCTTTTGCAATAATGGAGTCAGCATGTCTGCTGTAGTCTCTGGTTCAGCTTTTATTGCTTCAGGGTGTATTCCATCTGGTCCAGCTGCTTTTTCAGCTTTCAGAAGTTTGATTGCATTCAAGACTTCAGCTCTCGTTGGAGGATTGGTGTCAACTTGCAGTTGTGTGCGCGCTGTTGTTGGTAGCTAGAAAGAGCATAACAAAAAAGTAGATTACGTAACTAAAGAAAATGTTTTATCTAATAGCCAATAGAAAAAGGAAAGAAAAGAAACAATGTAGGGTGAGTCACGTTTAGGTGAGAGAGTAGAGTTTTCTATACATGAAAATGGTGACTCATGAAAGTTGTATATTTTTTGTTATCACCAGGGTAGTGCAAGATTCACCACTGTCTCTTTCTGCGTACACAGATTTGGTTTTTCATTTCCTGTCTTTATAATATATTTCGCAATAGAGGAGCTACGTCTCCTGTTCTCACCAATGGGTTCTGAGGACTCTATTTGCTTCAGGAGCCATTTAAGAATATGCTTTGAAGCCAGCTCCTACTTGCGGAGATCGATGAGTCCTACCTATGTATGTGTGTCCACATGTACATTCAAACTGGTAAATACAGTAGGATGTGACATCATTTTTCGCATGTTCTAAGGGCTTAGATGGATATATCGGATACACATTGTCCAATATCATGATCTTACATGCATAAAAGTCTTTTGAACTACAAAAGCGCTCAATCTTTGTCTAGTTGTCAAGCTGCTTTGATCCCCTATATAGGGTAGCTTGACGTACTTATCTTTCTTGGCGGTGATTTGGAGAATAGATCTTGGTGTTCTGATTACTTTATATTCCCTGATGAACTTCTCTGGATAATTATTATCAACCAGAGTTTGTATCAAACTTCTTTCTTCCTCATCAAGTGTGTCTTCTATGCATATTCGGTGGATTCTACTGAAGAGACGCTTCAATCACTAAGACTCTTTTGTACAGCACAAGGCTGGAACTGTGATAATTAAGATACTGTCCTGTTAATGTTGACACAAGAAGTTTATACAAGTGGTTATCGGGACAACGAAGGTAGTAATATGCCTGTGTATAGAAAAATCAATAAATAAATCAAGTCAAATCTTAACAGTTACGTAATACTAAAGATGAAATAGATAGATAATCAGTATAAATAAAATTCATAAAAGTATGAAGGAAATGGAAAATAAGACAGTGTGTGTGTGAGGTGTTTAATTAGAATTCACCTAGGCCAAGGGCGACACAAAGGTAGAACAAATTTCATTTTGTATACAGAAAATAGGATTGTTCCCTAGAATTCTTATAGATTCGCCTATGTGTAGAAGGCCGGGGGCGGGTTGGGGTTCAAATTCCGTTCAAAAGGTTCAATGGAATGCAATAAATAATCATGAAGGCACTTCTTCTTCTGTTCACTTAGTGACTTCTACCAATCAAATGAGACAAAACAGAACTTCTCTTTTGATTTTATTTAACCCTTTCCAAATCATGGAGGAGGAGGTAAACGCTCAGAAATGCTTTTATTGAATTGTCTTGCTCCTCACCCTATATACCTTCCTCTGCAGGAGCAGCTAGACTTTTAAATGTACGTAGAAGTTGCACAGCTAAGCAGCTCATCTTTCATTTGAGAAGTCATAATTGGTCGACTTGGAAATGACTCATGAAAAAATTGGTTTCATTTCTCACCAGACCTCCAAAAATGAGTTTATTCTTTGCAAAAATAAAGGCAAATGAATCTTTTTAAAATGAACAGTTGAGATATTTGATACATCATTTTTTTTCAATTTTACCCCATAGATTTAATCGGTGATCGAGGCGAGAAAGGCGATGATGGAGATGTCGGTGAAAAAGGTTCTACAGGTGTAGATGGTCCAAAAGGTGAAGTTGGTCAAACAGCACCACCATCTGAACGAGGTGAAACTGGTCCTCCAGGTCCAGATGGTGAAAAAGGAGAACAAGGACCACCTGGTAAGACTAATGTCTGTATTTCATTAAAAGCCCTATAATAGGATTAAAAGTTTAATCATTGATTCATAAAAATATATATATATGATTGATGTAAATCTGTTTTAGGCATTGAAGGCCCTCAAGGACTACAAGGTGATCCTGGACTGACAATAGATGGTGAAGAAGGAGAATTGGGTGAACAAGGTCCTGATGGTCCTAAAGGCTATAAAGGTAAGTCTATTTTTTCAACTTTATATCAATACTACTCACTGACTAATTAATTTTATCAATTCTACAAAATTTTAAGGTGAAAAAACCTTGTTTTTATTTACACACCTTCGTCTTTCACCTTCCTTATGGTGATGATTTGTTAATATATGAGACTAATGTGAGGTATAAACACATGTTATCCATGCATGTATCATCATCACTATTCACTAATATACCGCTTGTGGAAACAGTAGATTACATTTGTCAAGAAATCACTGAAAAGCAACTGGACTTAGGAATCCCCTTGTGTAGCCTCAAAGAATTACTTCTCAAATCCACAATGAATGTTCACTTTGTGTTCAATAATTTATTCTACCGACAAGTAGATAGAATAGCTATGGATGGTTCACCATTAGGCCCAATATTAGCTGACTTCTTTCTCGCAAAACTAGAAAACGGGAAATTCGAAAGACATCATCAAAGGGTTTGATATGTATTACCGATATGTCGATGATACATTTATCTTAGCTGATGAGAAGGTTAACACAGACGAATTGTTACTTAAATTCAACAACATCCACCCTTCGCTTACCTTTACTTGTGAAGAGGAGCAGGAGAATAAACTATATTTTCTGGATGTCTTGCTAGGTAGGAGAGAAGATGGGTCACTTGGGAGGAGTGTGTATAGAAAAAGCACATTCACAGGGCAATACACACACTTCCTTAGTTACGTGCCCATAAAATATAAAAGGAATTTTGTTAAATGTCTTGCAAGCAGAGCAAGAAAGATATGTACGAATGACTTCTTACAAAAGGAATTTGAATACAGTCACGATTCCTTGACGGAGAAAGGCTATCCGAATACTCTTATAAAGAAAAATATGAAAACATTGGAGAGGAAACCTGAGGCTCTGACTGCGCGTAAGAAACCTCTATTTATTAAGTTACAATTTAATGGTGACTTATCTAGTGAGATTCTATTCCGAAAACATTCCAGGAGTATATGGAGAAAGTTTTACGCAGCATACCTTTGTTTGCCATTCTCTAGCCGACGAATGATTGGGACGCAAACAAAGGATAAGCTTGATAGTTTGCCGTATCTGTGTGCAATTAATAATTCAAGTGCACCTTCGGTGACAGTTATGTTGGGTGTACTAATAGACAGCTTAGCCAAAGTGTTAGTGGACATCTCCCATCGTGCTGGTTTGGCAAAGGACAGACAAAAACTATTCGTAGCTCAATTTTGTCACATTTAATTGATAGTGCTCATTCAGTGGAGAAAACGAGAGCCTTCAAAATAATTCATCGTATCCTACAGAATTTTTCCAATAGACTTTGCATTCGTCTACTGCACACAGTTGAGGCGATAGGCGTTCCAGCTATTAAACCTAAACTATGCATTCAAAAGAAGTTCGTACAGCCATTATCCCTCCCATGTTAGCCTATAAAGAAAAAACAAACTGATGACTTTACCACCTCTTACCTACTTATATTTTCAACCGCTCTCTTATCATCCCTTAATCTTATCACATCTTCATTAAAAACATGTTTGGTTACAGGATTTCATCATGAGCTGACATTAGTTAGAGAAAACGTGTTTCATTTACTTCACTTACAATCTTGCATTACTTAATCGCTTCATTCGTTTTTACTAGCCTTTATCGACTACCACTTCTACCTGAACACTTGTTTGTTTAATCATGCTGTTTTTCGCTATTCGTGTTATCACAGATTGCCTCACTTTGCTATCCTTATTATTGATAAAACCATTATTATTATTATTAGTGTTACTACTATTATGACTAATTGCACAATTTATATTCACCATTGTATTATCTTATAAACAAAACACCATGATTGGTTTATATTTGAATTTTTATTTGTAAACATATATATATATATATATATATATATATTAGAGTTAAGCCTGATGAGATCCAATTGAAAACAGTATTGTTCGCTTAAATGTGTTGTTCTAAATTTTACTATGGGAATAATTAATATAATATATGAGTGCAGCTGTTCCAAATACTGGTTTATTAGAATGAAGGGAAATATTTATTAAGAAATTCTATGTTAATTAATTGCAATTATAAATTTGCTTTTTTTTATTATAACAGCACCAGTTGGTAGATATGATTAAACCAAGAGAATTTTATTCTAAAATAAATTTTAGGCGAAGAAGGTGACATTGGTGATACTGGTGACACACCAGAACTAACTAAAGGTGAAGCTGGTCCCGATGGAGAACCTGGATCTGAAGGTGAAGAAGGCGAACCGGGCATTCCTGGTGAGAAAGGAGAACCTGGAGCAGAAGGTAAGTGTACTAAAACATTTAGGGTTTTGTTTTGTTTAGTTTTCTGTACACTAACTTCGCCTATATTTAATATTTTTCATGTATATGACAAACTGATCCTACGTGTTTTTTAAATTCAAGCCGGTAGACAAGGTGAACCTGGTAGTCCTGGAGAGAAAGGAGATCTAGGACCGAAAGGTCTACCTGGTCCTAAAGGAGAACCTAGCACAGATATGGAGCCCGGAGATCCAGGTCCTCAAGGAGAAACTGGTTTAATTGGTTCTGATGGAGAAAAGGGTGCAGTTGGCGATGTGGCAGAATGTAATGAAGCTGGCTTATCTGGTGATCCTGGTCCTGAAGGACCTGCAGGAGAAGTGGGTCCAGTTGGTGAAGATGGGCTACAAGGAGAAGATGGTGATCCTGGACCGGAGGGTGAACCAGGTCTTAGTGGTGAGTCATGAGTTTTCTAAAAGAAATATGTTTTTGTCATTATAAATATTCAGACTAATAGGTGATTTCCCTAATTCAGTAACATACACTTTATCAAAACGCACATCAAAAATTCTGAAACCGCTAAATGTTCATTAAAAATTGAAGACGTGATAAGACGCTTAAAACTTTGTTTAGAATTTACTTTTTTCGCCTTTAAAGACAAACTGTACTGTCAAACACATGGTGCTACAATGGGATCACCAGCAGCTCCAATTATAGTAAATCTTTATATGAAGGCTCTGGAAAGAAAAGCACTGACAAGTTTTAGTTGCCACCCTAGAATATGGTACAAACATGTAAATGACACATTTATCATTCATGGAAAATTCTCATTGTAGCATTTAGAAAATCAAAACAAGTGATTCAGCGAAGTGACTCTTTTCAACGAATTTATCATCAAGCTGTACAATCGTATATATATATGGTTTTTAAGAAGTTATATCCGATGAGGGAATTGAATCACAGGTGTAAATGCATAAAATAATAATAGTATGAAATGCAATTAAAAACTAAAATGTTTGTGATTATAATGATTGTTAAATGTTAAGTGGCAAAACAAATTAATGTCATATGCATAGAGTAATTCATAGGATGGATAGAACTTGGAAGGGGTGTGCAATTATAGGATTAGTAGACAAATCGAATAAAATAAAACAAAAACATCGCGTAATATTGTGTGAAATTTAATAGCAGAGAATTTAACGTTGCAAAAAAGAACTGATTTAGAATGACAAATGGAATAAGTGAAATAATACCGGGGACCGTTCAAAGTGAGAATAGTAATAGTAACAATTGACGTTATAAGGAAGAGTATATAAATTGAATGGATAAAATGAAAAAATGAAAAATTAGCAGAGCTAAAATATGATTGGGGATTACCATATTTTAGCATAGAGGGATGAAGACCATGAAAGTTGGAGGGGTTGAACGAACTTTTTCTGTACACAGAGATCTAGCTTTTCTGTTTCGATAGCCAAAGATGGCTTCAACAATACAGATGAGTCGGGTACGTAGGGAATTGGGTAAATTACTCTTTGCCTTGTAGATGATTTTAAAGGCAGAGGCTATAGATATAAGGTGATAATTATCGACCATATGTTCAATGATCGCGCTTCTTATTGCTACTTCATAATGACCAAGCAGGATAGTGTTCTTGCACCCTCTTGGACAAAACTCGAGTCGAACGACCGATATACCTAGCTCCACACGAGCAGGTGAATTGATAAACACACATAGAGTTGGTCAACAGCGGGATCTTGTCCTTCAGGTTATTGAACAGTAATGGTCGACTAGTAAAGGCTATTCTCAGAGATACAGCAGGGAATGTTCTTTTCAGGGACTGTGTTATCCTTCGTTTCATGATATCGGAAGCTAAATCCCCTTTGAATTCCAAGCTCATGTAAAGTATGTTTTTGGGTACGGATGATAAGTCAAGTTATATAGGATTTGAATGTATATTCTTATCTATAAAACGTGGTAGAAATCCATTTTCTACTAGGATTTTCCTCAAAAGGTATAGCTCATCTTCCACAGTATCAGGGCTACATATGCGTCGAATGTGAGTGGCAAGCGACCGGACCAGGTTTCGTTTTCGACCAATGGCTACCCAGCTGTAGAAATTGATCAGTTAACTATTCCATGAAAGCTTTGCATAAATCGATCTCTTCAGAGTTCCATCGGTCCTCCTTGATAAGTTCACATCATTTTAAGAAAGCTGAAGAATATAACTTTCCAATACAGATTAACTTAATCTCAAGATAAATCAAGTTTACTGATGACATAGAATCGGCTAAGGGAACTCTAAACTTTCTTGATTCCATTGTAAAAAAGACAAACTAACCAGAAACTAAAGTTCACAATGTACAGGAAACCAAGACATTCAGACAAATATTTACACAACTTCAAAGACTACTTGCTTCATATAATATTAACGTGTATTTCAAACCCTTTAATTCTTTAGTGAAAGTTAATGCCAGCAAAACGTTTCAGCATTGTGGAATAGATCAAATAAAGTATAATTATATTTCAGTGGTTTACACACAATGATAAGTTTTGTTATTGGTAATGCATAAAGCAAAGTTACTGCCCATGTTCACACCAACTGGTGGAATTGTTTTTTTATTCACACATTTATGATTAGTAATCATATATACAGTTTATTATTTTGTTCATTCATTTTTGTGTATTCAGAATTATATTCCAGGTTGTTGACAGTGGTGCTGATTCACCCTTGTTACATGTACCCGGTGTGACCTTAATGAATATAGATTCTGTTATTAGTAGTGTAGCTTTTCATTTGTTCATAAAAGTTTTCAGAATACTGACATTTTTCCAATCGATATTGTGGTTTTTGTCCCATGCATGTCCAGGTACAGATAATTTTTTTCCAAATTCTTGTAAATTGAAACAATTATTCCCTTTGAAAAATTTGAATAAGGCATTAAAAAGACAAATTTCTCCAGATGACGGCATCATTTCATAGTTTCTTTACAACCGGTTTACAACTAACATGGTTAACAATGATAAAATAAAGTTCATGAAAATTACTCAGTTAAATAAAAACAAAAGTACATACTAATGACCAATCATATTTAGATAGGTCATGTAGTCCAGGGTAGGCGAAGATTGAAGTCTATTGATTTTTGTACACACAGTTAAGGCTGTATGTGATTAATCCCCTGAAGTGTTTCCACCACCTTCAATAACCTTGAAATAGAGTTATGTGAAATGATTGTGAAACAGTCATTAATATTTATTTTGTGACCAGACATTAAAAAGTGTTTTGCAATGGATGATGCTGATGGATTTCTGTTCAGATTAATTGAATTGGGAGTTTTTTATGTGTTTTAGAAACCATTTTGGAACATGTTCTTTTCGACGACCATATTGAGGCATTCTATTGGTTCTACCTGTATATATGTGTCACTGCAGCTGCAGATGAACTTGTAGATACAGTTTGAAGTATAGTTCGGAGAATTTCGTCCGTTAATCGTAGTTACAGCGATCGAAAATGTTCGGCATATGAAGTAAAAAAGGAGATGCGACGTAGAATGTGCGTTTGATGGCTGACTGAAGTGTTTGAGCTGTCAACTGCATAAACTGGTCGCCCTTGAACGGGGTAGGTTAATGAAGATAGCTTTATTTGCTACAGAAGCTGTCTTTACAAGATGTGGTCTATCCTTACCTTGACAGTTCTAAGCTTGTGTTCCTGTTGTTTGATCTTTAGCTAGTTAGGCGTTTATGTTCATTCACTCTTATTCTGAGTGATCTGGACGTTTGACCCACATATTTAGTCGGACACTCGGCACAAGATGTGTTTGTAAATCACATTGTTTTTATCTATCATTTTTATGGGATCTTTCAGTTGATTTATTTTTAATTAAATTCGTCGGTTTAAACGTTGTGCGAATCCCAATATTTTTGAGATTTCTTCAAATTGTCTCTGATGTACCAACCACTTTTGTATGATGGTGTGATTGTTAGGATAGAGTGTTCAGAATGTGAAACCTACTACACAGCGGAGAGCGACAGCCAGGTGAAGGTTAGAGTGAATGGACATATGTTGTACACGAAACATCTGTCTAGGAATGATGTCGAAAACAGATCAGCCTTAGCAATGCATACTGTAGACAGCGGACAAAAGATTGATTTCGACAATGCCGAAATTCTAGGAAGAGGCTTACATTCACATGAAGAAAGGCTAACTTCTTAAGCCTTGCATATTTTAAAGTACAAAGAATGCAAAAACTAGGAGAGAAGGCATAAAACGGATGAGAGAAAATACAAAAAATATTGAATCCTTTGTAAAGATATTATGTTCTAAGATTTGATAGTGTGAAATATTCCCATATTATGAATTAAAAGTCAATCTGAACAAAGAATATTCTTTTCAATAATTTCTCCTCTTCAGGTTCTTACAATTATAAAATATAATATTTGTGGTCGTTACAATAAAGGCCAGTTATGCGGCGGATACAATTTTAACGTAGAATATGGGGTGTCAAAATAAATAGTCGTATTTGTGTGACAAACGTGCTCTGAGCTGAAATCGATTACAAAATATTTTGGTAAAATGGGAGACAATGAGCATGGTGATTAATCATAATAGATTTGTAGAGTGTGGAGTAGGAGAAATTGACAAGTCAGTTCAAGGTTATAGGTGTCATGTGAGTGGCTAGTACAAAGAGGAGATAGTAAGACTGCAATGAGCGGTTCATAATGAGATAACGAATGTGTGAAATGAAACAGGTGGAGGCATATATTGAGAAAACGGATAATATCACTAATAATAAGTCCGGATAGTATAAATGAAAACTTCGATAGTGTTGAGGGAATGTTTGCATATAGGGCATAAGTTATGACGAATAATAATAATAACTGGTATGATTATGAACAATAAATTTTGTTCGAAACGTCATCCAGTAAATAATACTGTTTCACTGTGTGATATATCTAATAAACAAACTAATATGGAATAATAATAATAATTGTAATAATGGTATTTGTAATAATAAGCAAAGTAAAAAGAAACCAAGAGGGTTAAGGGGAAGGAGCACTCTTGGTGTAAAGAAGAATCATCAATCCAAGTTTGACCACGGTAGGAACAGAGTCTGGATGTGTTCCTTTGGGATACATAGTTCCGGTTTAGTCGATCTTATTGCAGCAGCTTCAGCGACTATTTATTTTGACACCCCATAACTACTAATCTGTTATTCTACGTTAAAAATGTATCCGCCGAATAACTGGCCTTTATTGTAACGACAACAGTTATAGTATATTTTATAATTGTAAGAACCTGAAGAGAAGAAATTATTGAAAAGAATATTCTTCGTTCAGATTGACTTTTAATTCATAATATCATGTTCTGACATGTTTTCCATAGAACAAACAACGTACCCGCACATAGTCATACGGATAAATATGCACATATGACAATTTGACATTAAGTCATTACAAATATGTGATGACTGTTTACATTTTTCTACAAATGTCTACTGACAAGGGATCATCTAGGGAACTGACGTCAATTTATATAATTTTTTGACTATATACTTTGACAGTTAGCAAAATCCGAATAATTCTGATGAAGAAGCTGTCACTTTCACAGAGAAACGTTTTTTGTCTTCTTAAACACCCGGGGATTATTTTAAATAATTTATAGTGATTCAATCCGAATTGGTGTTCAAATTATTCCAGGAAATTTGTAACATTCACCGTGAAGTTGACATCGAGGAGAGGATCATTTGGTAATCTGCAGAGAGTACTGGGCAGCCACCTGTTTCGCCCTAGTGTCTGGGACCCTTCATCAGTATACACCCACCACGTGAAGTTCGAACCCAGGACCTGTTGGTTACAAGGTGAGCTGGCTCGTAGACCATTAAGCCGCCAGGACCCAATCCATTGTTTATTTCCCATAATCTTGGAAGAACATCAACTTTGACTATAACTTCAGTAGAATAAACTTCAGTTCCCTGAGTTAAATAAATTTTAATGTTTTCTCATTTTCGGGAAATAAGATTCATAGAAATTTAGAAATGTCATGGTATGCATTCTCATCTGGAGTTCATCATTGACTCACATTATCTTCTTTTTTTTCTCTCAGGTGAACGTGGTGAACCTGGAGATGATGGAATTGAAGGCATAATTGGTTTAACTGGAAAGAAAGGTGAAACAGGAGGTGTTGGAGATGTAGGTGAAAAAGGTTCTCCTGGTCCAGAAGGTGAAATTGGAGATGTCGGTCCACAAGGTAACGTAGATAACACTTTTTTGTGTTTTTTTGGCATATATTTTTCACTCAATTAATCATGGATAATTTTCTGTGCTTAAGTCACCTGCATTCATCAAATAATTGATTTGTAGGTGAGGTAGTGATGCTATCTCTGGAAACGATGGTTCTGAATTCGTGTTTCCTCACACCTGCCGCCACTGAAGTTATTTATGATAAATTAACGGTAAAAAATAAGTACCGTATTATTTACTTTCTAGATTTCGTGTTGTCATATCTAACGTCTTTCAAATTCAGTAAGTTTTATTATTACTATTCCCTTGGGTCTGGGTGGGACATAGGGTTCTGATAGAACATCTCCTTTCCAACCAATTCTCTGAAGTCCTTTTCATTTGGCTCTACAATTCCCCATGAGTTCCCATCCCCATCTCCGCCACTTCACTCTCAGACGCACGCCCAACTCTTCATTTCCTATTCACAGGCTCCACTTAAACGATAGTCTACGATGTGATTTCAATCAATGGTCTCCTTAGAGTGTGTCTGATCCAATATGGAGTCAGGAAAGTCAACTGTTGATACAAAAAAGACATCTACGCCTTCTTTAGAAATGATTTTCTTGAGACGCCAAGCTGTTGATCTATACAGGAGAACCGACGCAACTTTGGTGTTGAAAATCCGAATATTATTGTTTTTTGAGTACTACAGGAAATCTTCGGACTGACTTTAAAGCAACAAAAATCTTCTTTGACCTTCACTAAGTAGGATGAAAATTTCCATCAGTAGTTCTGGTTGGATAGAAAATATGAGTCTCAAACTATTATTTTGTAGTTTTAACTGTCCTTTTTAGATAGGTCTACGGTTAAATGATTATCTGTCATTCAATTTTCTGTTGAGAGTTTTAGAGGCAAATGCAGTAGGACAACTAATCACTGATAAATAGAAAATCAATAGTTTCATAACAGTTTCAGTATAGTAATGCTTCAAATCATGTAGTGATCAAGTTGCAGCTCTATGGATCGTCATCACAGAACAGGACATGGAATGGCAGTCAAACCTCTCTCAACGTCAACTTCATCGACTTGGAAAAGGCTTTCGACAGACAGCGTTGAATAAGAAGTAATTTGAAAACTACTTCGACATTAGCGCATGCAGTGTTCAAGTCTTTATCAGCGTGCCGCATGTCAGGTGATCCACAACGTAAAACTCACTCAACGAGGTGTTTGAAGTGAAGACGACAGGAGTAAGACAAGCTGGCTGACTATTATCGCCAATGTGATATTCCTAATTGTGGTAGTCAACTGGATTATGCGTCAGACTGTGACTGGGGGAGTGAGAAGACGGAATTTACTGGATAGTTAAGAAGACTCTAGAAGATCTAGATTTCACCCGTGGATGATTTATATCTCATGTCGCACAAACTGGAAGACTTGCAGGTGAAGACCAACAAACTGACTGAAGAAGCAGGCACTGAAGACAGGATTCCAGGTGAATATAGAGAAGACGGAGGTGATGGAGATAACCAACCAAGAGTGACAACAACAAACAGCACCAATCACCAGCAACGGGAGAGATTTAACAGAGGTCGATGCCTTCATTTATCTGTCTAGGAAGGACGGTTTCAACTAAAGGTACCCAGAACGGACGAAGATATCTAAGTTAGCCAGCTAGAATCGGAATGGTGAGATACGTCTTTATCAACCTGAAACCAGTTTGGAAATTTTCTACACTACACTCAGCATAAAGAAAGGGATACGGATTTTCATCACAAATGTGAAGTCAATCAGTCACTTCTTTCACGGTGGTCATAAATTTGGTGAGCGTGTCACGAAAAGGATTTCCAACAGATTGCAGATTTTTATCAGCAGTCACCTTCGCTAGCTGCACCCTGAAGATCAAATGGCTGGCCAGCTGATCAGAAAGAATTAGCAACAAGAAACTCTGGCCGGCTGGCTGGCAAAAAACCAACAGGCGAGAGCCGATTGCTCCACAAATATTTAGGAGAAAGTAGAGATAGACTGATAGGGCATATCTTGAGGAGTCCGTTGAATGACACCTCGCGCAGTGCAGGCCATTTAGGGTCGTAGACTAGAGGGTGACATGGAGGAGATCGTGTGGCAAGGAGGAGATGATAGATTATGGTCAATCGTGGACCCAGCTCAAAAAAAACGACAACACCGAATAGAACAAAGTGTAGATATGCTGTTGAAGCCCTATGTTCAACTTGGAACCCAAGGGAATAATAATAATAATGCTTCTCACCAGCTTAGTAGGTATGAAACAAACAATAAATTTACATATAACAAACAAAACCGACTCGTGATCTGAACGCAAAACACCGATCTTTGCTTTGTACTGCATGGCTGAGAATACTTCAATGTGACACGCACAGTCACAAAACGCCTCAAAAAATACAACAAGAAGGTGGTTATTCTTCGACAGATCTATGGCTCTATTCAGCCATGATCACATAAAAATCTCAAATTTACCTCAATATTGACGTTAGGCAACTATATAAAGAAGGTGAATTTTTTAGTACAAAACGACTGCAACGACAGAAGACAAGAGCCAGGCAACAGATCGTTTATTGAGGAAATCAACAGATATGTATAAATTTTTATGTACATTATTATTCGTTATTATTAGCAGAGTAACAGCGTCTTCTGAATAGTCGTTTTTTCACACGAAGTTATTCTGTCATCTCTTTATGGCCGTTTTTTGAAGTTCAGACCATATATCTGCTAATCGTGTCCGCCCACGCTTACTAAGTCTGGTGTGATTGGTTATTGAGTTAGCCTTTGTTCTTGTTCTTTTCACATGACCAAGATATGGACGGTAAACATTGACGTAAATCGCTGTCTACCAATTTTGGCTAGCAGACAGCTCTCACCACACAAGTACTGTAGATCAAAATTAGTCAACCAAAATTCGTTTGTAATAAGCACCTTAGGACGGAGTAGAATATGCTCTGCAATATAGGTTCTAAACCTCTCTGTCAGAAAGAATCACACACTGAATAATTCTGCCAGGCAGTACAAGGTCAGCATCACCTTAATTCACTCAAATAAAATCATAATCCTAAACCAAGATATTATAATTTTTTTGATTACAGCTTGATTCTACACTGTATTTTTGGAACAAGTATCGAATTTTCAGCATGGATATGGGTAGCCCAAATTTTGCAGGCCGACCATAGATATCAGGTGTGCGTCGGCAGGCGATCGAACCTTGGACCATGTACATGGTCGGCGAGAATCCTAACCACTGTGCCACCGACGCTCACAACCATAAAAAGAAGCATTAAAATTAAAGATTGAACAGTGACAAGGACATATAATAAGACTGAAGTCAACAAATGATATGTAGGCGTCAGAACAATGATTTACAGTCTAGGAGATAAAGGGGATGGTAATTACATAGCTGAAACGTCCATCCAGGAGAAATTTTCCAAATAAGTATTCCTTAAACTTTAAATCATTCAAACACTGTTATAAAAAGAATTCACCAATAAAAAGAAAGCAAAGTCTAAGTTTCTAACTTTGACAGATTTATCACTACTAAATTAGATTTTCCTTATATATTCAGTTTGTGGCTAAGTTAAACTTTAAGCACCACTAACTACCAATCAGCGAACGACCTCAAATGGTCCAATGACGTTCATCCACGTGAGTTCAAGGTTTATAGGACTTGATCCGTTTCAAATGCGCGCTCTAACGAACTTACACTTGCAGTTCAAGGAGGATAAGGTTTTGTAGTATTCTCTGGATTAGGGATTGCTTAGGCAGGAGAGGATTTGTTCACGTGGTGGTGTGATGAGATTAAAAATTTTCAACAGGTCGATTGATGGATGTGTCAACCACCGTCCAATTTGTTTGAGACGAGTTAGTATTAGTTAAGGCAAGCTGTTGATTCTAATATTTCGTAGGAACATTTTTTGCTAGGTCGCATCTCCTCTAACCCAGATTCTGAATATTTGTAACTAATGGGTTTTAAAACAGTCTGTGAAAGGCGCAGCTACTGAAAGTGAAAATAGCCTCGTATCAACAGTTCAGTAGTGCCATCACTGCAGGGATATCGTGGCATGGAAAGTGGAGAGAACTACTTTGTTATTAGAAGGAGAAGGTGTCATACCACACGTGGATGAAACTGTCTTATTGAAGAAAAAACACAACTGTGGTCGTGAACAGCCAAACAATGTTTAGGTGATCGGATTGCATGACACCTTCCTACAGAAAGGATTCACTGATAGGATAGCAGACAAAAAGTCAACTACCTTAGTACCTATTATCAATCAACTGATGAAACGGGAATCTATAATACACACTGATGAGCCGGAAGTTTGTAACCCCTGTCACCCCTTGGATGTATTCACCACATAGTTTTATAATATTATGGATGCCATTACAGGGCCGCACACAAATTCTATAGAAGGATTTTGAGGGAGGTTGAAAAATAGGATAAGGACTATAAATGGCTGTCATTTATAGTCATTTTGATGAATGTGGTGTAACTTATCCAATGACACTCCTATGCCAAACTGGGAGATGTTTCTGTCACATGTTAAAGAAAGATACCCTATTTAACAGTTTTATGCAGTTTTTATGCTTTTTTCCATAAATAACGTTTTGTTTTATTGAAAATCCCTCCTTCTTGTGATTGGTTCGTTGAAGGTCGTTCGTTGATTGGTAGTCAGTGGTGCTTAAAGTATAACTTTGCCCGATTTGTCTAGTTGTTGCACTTTTCAACTCTTAAAATATTGTACCAAGATAATTCTGTCTGAAATTGTTTCACTGATAATATTTATCGCATATTAATATGTATATATTCAAATGAAATATCCTTTAGGTCCACAAGGTGCAGATGGTCCTCAGGGAGAAGTTGGTGATATTGGACCACCTGGTCAGTCTATAGAAGGAGAACAAGGCGACATTGGTCCTGATGGATTTGAAGGAGAGCAGGGTGCTAAAGGAGATGCTGGTCCAGATGGTGAAGATGGTGAACCAGGTAGTATAGCTGAAGATCTTCCTGGAATAAAAGGAGAGCCTGGTCCCTCAGGAGAGGATGGAGAACCAGGTGAAGTTGGAGTGGATGGTGCTGATGGAGAACCTGGCCTAAAAGGTGATGAAGGTATCATGGGAGAAGTTGGACCGAAGGTAAGTACTTCTCATCTGTGATAAAGGAATCTTCTACTTCAACAGTAAGAGAAATTTGGCTGAAATATGTGACGCTTTTCAGACTTAAATCCTCAAATATACGTCCTGTATCTTGTGTTTAGTTTATTTGGTATCAAAAGGACGAAAAATAAAACAATGAAGTGAATTAATTATTTGATATGACTTGTAATTCTTCACAAAATTTGTGATAACTTTTAATTGAATATTAGATTTTCCCATCGATTGATTGGACCGAAGTGTTCGGTGTCAGGTTGGCATGTCGGCTCCTTGTGCAGATGTTTCGACGATGTCTGGGCATGTAATTAGAAGTTAACTGGTGGATGGTGACTAGCAATGAAATCCAGGATAAAGCTCATTTCGTCCCATTTAGGACTCGTCATCTGGATGTACCTGAATTCCTTAGTTGGTCAAGTGGTGGCTTCCGTGGCTCAAATGGTGAGATGGATAACGCCTTGGCGCTTGAAATTATGAGCACTGGGTTCGAGCCTCGGTGAGAACATCGTCACTGAATCACTGGGGAGTGCAGGTACATCCAGCCGATGATGAATCTCAAATAGGACGAAATGCGCCTTATCCTAGATTCCACTGCTAGCCACCATCCACCAATTAACCTCTAATTTTTGATAACTGTTTACAGTAATACTGCGACTCGGGTCCCCTACTGAAATGCAGTCGACAGCTTTAGTGAAGAATGCATATGGACTGTTCTCTTCATATACCCTGTGTTACCCTGAACCCTTGGAAAATTCAGAAGAGAAGATTGACCTGTGTTGATGATGAACGACACCTTATTTATTCAAAAAGTAAATGATAAATACTGTCAATAGGTTATTTTACTAGTTGCATATGGTAAGGCATCCAAGATTGTTCAATAAGATTTTGCCTCGATCAGGGGGCTTAAATTGTCGGTTCCCGTTCAAGTCATTTTCAGGCGGCAATATATAGTTATTTTAAAATTCAGTTAATTAGGTGCGTATATAGAGTGATATGAATTATGTATATGAGCAGGATGATGTCAACATATGCACCAGCCAAACACAATCAACACCTCTGACTGTATGTATTCTCCCTTCTCTGTTTGCAACTATTCTTTTCTGGTCATTGCAAACCAGCTTATTAACTTCAGCTTTGGGTTCACACTCTCAGAAGCAGCAAGAGTTGATAAAATCGATATAACTTCAAATAAGTAACAAGATTTATCTAGAATAGGTAAATTTACTAATAAATGAGATCTTTCTTTATCTTCTCCTTTTTTTAAAGGGTTCACAAGGTCCACGTGGAAAAATTGGAGCAGTTGGTCAAGAAGGTCCACAAGGTGTTAAAGGAAGAATAGGTGGTGAAGGTGAAATTGGCCCAGATGGTGAAAAAGGTGACAAAGGAGAAATAGGTGAAAGTGGTCCACCAAGCAGTGCAATTGTTGGACAAAAGGGTCGAGATGGATTAGAAGGACTACAAGGAATAGATGGTGATATTGGTGAAACAGGGGAGAAAGGAGAGACAGGTCTGTAAAAGTAAAATAATTAGATAAATTAGGTATTTTCATATATTTATCACTAAATAAATGTTTTTCATTTGCAAGTGACACAAAAAATGATAGCTTTAGAGTTCACGTAAATCTGAAGATTTACAGACAAAAGCCTAAACGTTGTCAGAAGAGGCTAGTAGCAAAGACAAGACTTCAAGTGAATTCATAGAGTAGACGGAGGTGATGAAGACGACCGACGAAAAACAACAATTACAACACACTTATCTGGACAAAATCGTTTCAACTGTAGGTGACAGGATGGATGATGATGTCAAAACCAGAATCGAAAAGACAAGGCACAGAATAGAGAATACAATTCGCATTTTCAGCACTGAAAGCATTTCTAACAAGCCACTGCAAACTTTTATCAGCAGCTGCCACCTTCTCTGGTTCCACACTGAATATCAGATAGCCTGTTAGAAAGAATTAGTAGGAAAGAAATCCGGGAACGAAGAAGCCAATCAGTGGCGTATTGTCCAAGAAATATTCCCACGAAAATGGAGATGGATCGGTCAAATGACAGCGTGCATCAGTACAGCGAGTGGAATCTGAATAGGAAACAACGAGTTAGGCGCGGGTCCAACGGTGACAGGAGGGGGAGATCGTATGCGGGGGTGGGGTAGATGAGAGCGTATGGGCAATCGTGGATCTAACTGAAGAGGACTTTAGAGAACACGAAAAAATGGAGATGAGCTGTTGAAGTCTTGTGTTCCACTTGGAATATAAGGTAATAATGATACGGCAATAAAGTTTACAAAAGTATTTGCAAAATGGCAGTCCATAATAATTAATTAAGCAATCTGAAGATAATGCTGTATCCTGGGAAAGGGGACTTCTGGATAACATTACATCTTCTTTCCAACTAATGCGTGGAACAATACTTCCTCTAACTAATTTTCTTTTCTAAATAGCATTTATTACATCTACGCTGATAACGAGTGGAAGTTGAGTTTGCTTCTTGGATATCAATGAAATATCATCTTAAAAATAAAATGTTTGTTGACTTTAACATTTGCGTTAGATATACTAGGTTTATCATGATAAAGGTTTTTTTGTATTTCCAAATGAATGAAAAACAAAACGATATTTTTGTTTCTACTGACGTTTCGCTATTTATTGCTCCTGCTAATAGCTTTATCAAAGTATTATTAAACCGGAATTTACAAAATCACAGCATATATATAACAAAGAGTTAAGAAGTGAGAAAATAGACAAGTTGGGTCAAGTTAAAGGGACATATTGAAAGTCAAGATAACAATGAAGATCACTAAACCAAATAACAAAGGTAATAGTACATCTGTTATGATATCACAACAAAGTTTACTAACTTGATCATCGTTCGTCGTTACGGGGCCATTTTTCGTTGTCAAGCTGGTCATTTGGTAAAGATAACAAAACCAGGTGTAGATGACTGTTGGATTTGATAATTCTATAAAATTATAAACGCAGCGTGTGTTTATATAATGATATTGCTTATCACATTCGTGTTGATTTTGTCACTTCGTTGGGGAAGGGAGGGAGGTGTTGTAACCAGGTCAGATTCTGTTTTAGTCCATCATTCCTATTCAGGCAATTTGGATTCCACTTGATATGAAGTGCTTCTGATGATATTAGACGTTCTTTGTGATTTCTGAAGGTTTCTGGATGATGATTTCAATATTGTCAAAATCAATTTTGTGGCCTGATTCTATAGTGTAGAGTGTAGACCTATGGCTGAGGATTTTTCAAGCTTTTCTAATTCAACCGGGTTTCTCGGTGGTCGAACAGATGCTCTACGGTGTTCATTTCTTCTGATTTTGATTTCTAGAGATGTTTGTCCGATGTATATCGCATCACATTCCAAGCAAGCATCTTATTTTATAGACACAATTAGATAGAGAATCTTTCAGGATTCGGTCTTTTATATGGGCAAGGTTGTTTCGCAATGTGTCTGATGTTTTGAAGAAAACTACCTATTTACTGCTAATCGAATCCAACAATCTACACTTGGTTTTGTTATCTTTACCAATTGACCAGCTTGACAACGAAAAATGGCCCCGTAACGACGAACGATGATCAAGTTAGTAAACTTTGTTGTGATATCATAACAGATGTACTATTACCTTTGTTATTTGGTTTAGTGATCTTCACTGTTATTTTGACTTTCAATATGTCCATTTAACTTGACCCAACTTGTCTATTTTCTCACCTCTTAACTCTTTGTTATATATATGCTGTGATTTTGTAAATTCCGGTTTAATAATACTTTGATAAAGCTATTAGCAGGAGCAATAAATAGCGAAACGTCAGTAGAAACAAAAATATCGTTTTGTTTTTCATTCATTGGGAACTACAAGAAAACCTTTATTATAAGGAATATCATATACCCAGTTTTTTCAAACTGTTAAAAGTGAACTTGGTTTGGACCTATATAAGTTATACTAGATAGTTATAAAATCTGTCAAGATGAGTTTGAACATTTAACTTCTCCCAAAACTTAATGACAAGAAACTTCGATGACGAGTAGGAAATCCGCATTGTTCTGCGTCTAAAATCTTAATAATTTTTCACTTCGAAAAGTAAATTTAGCTACTCAATGGCTGAGGAAGAACAAACTACTTATGTTACCTGCTTTATCTGAAATAATTCAGTTAAAACTATTGATTAATTGGTTTTCACTAATTTTGATATGCATTTTAAAGGAATGTAGTGAAATGAATTACTGGATGGTGTCTAGCAGTGGAATCCAGGGAAAAGCACATTTCGTCCCATTTGGGACTCGTCAACTAGTGGATGTACCTGAATTCCCCAACTAGTCAGTGATGATGTTCCCATCGGGGCTCAAACCTAGTGCCCATAGTTTCAAACGCCGACGCGTTATCCACTAGACCACTTGGGCTACGAGATCCAGCCACCTCTTGTGCAACGGGTCATTATTGAATTATATTTTAGATTTAAACCGAACTGAACTTTGGTCCAATCAGTCGACGGGAAAATCTAAAATTTCATCATTAATTGGTGTAGAGTGAGTAATAAACATTACTGCCGATATTACGGTAATGAAAACTCATTCGACATTTATTGTCACAAACACGAACTGTGTTGTTACGTGGAATATAACACTTCAACATTGAAGACTTCGGAAATCTGTTCAAAAATGCTACCCCGCACCTTTAAATTATTTGATATAGCTGTGGTGAATGACAATTTCTATCCCTGAATTTTTTGTGTTATTATTTGTTATATGAATTACAAATAATTCCGCCAAATACAAGTTCCTAAATTCATCCCTCTCTGTTCTGTTGGTTGATTTCCTGTGATTCGCTAACTGCAAAATACTACTATTACAAATAATTATAACATATCGCTGTTTTGAGCAGGATTAAATAATCTTGGGAAGTTTCCTATGAACGATTCCAGATTAACCAATTTCTCCGTAATATGATAAACTCCATGGACTTCTAAAAGATCACTTCCCCACAACATCTTTTGAAACACGAAAGGGAGCTCAGTTCAACAAACTTGTTCGTGCCCCCAACTAGAAGATTAGAGAGTTTATTCTTCAGCTTCAGAGATAAGCTTCAAAGTGCAACTTTGGAGATCAGCTCCATACTCAACTACATGATCGTCTAATTGCTGGGATCAATATTCCTAAGTTAGAGAAAGAGTTGATTCAGATTCCTCTCTGCACCTTTCAAACTGCTAAGGATTTATGTATTACATATGAAGATGTCAACAGTGAATATCCAGCTCCTACTATGTCAGTGTCTGATGTCATGCTGTCCAAAGTTGATAATGCAAGTGTCCATAAAAAGAAATCCAAACTGTCATCCACATGTAATGGAATGCAGATAGAGAGCAAAAGTATCAAACCGTGTTTTTTCTGGGGAAAAACTCATCTACGAAACACTTGCTGTTTTCTGGGTGCTAAGTGCCATAAATGTGGTAAAATTAGGCGCATAAAGTCTGTTTGTCGGAGTTCAAACACTTATGCTACTCAGAATTCTCAGGATTCTCCCAACTGTATTTGGCGGAATTATTTTGTAATTGATATAATAAATATTCACAAACAACAGTAAGTATGCAATAATAGAAGTTGTCATTCATTGCATCCGCCACATGTCAAATGTCTGCTCGCGTATTTATAATGAGGTCTCGGTTTGCTTGCGAGTACCTGTGATCTTCTAGCTGATTCTGTGATATTATTTTAATCAGTATCATCTGGACTTATTTCTGAATTATCTATAAAATCAGGATCAGTAGCAGAATCATTAAAATTGTAATCGTTTATTTTCACTTGATCCGGTTGTCTATTGTGAACTGAATGATCTTCGATGTCTAATATCTTCACCATTCCATTTCCTATTTTTTGTGGTATGATCCCAACAGAAGGTCTATAGTCATTTCCTCTGTAATAATATACATCATTAGATGTACAGACATTAGATGCGTTCGGAGAATTTGAGATTTGAACAGCTTAGCAGGACTTCCATGGGTATTTCTTCGGCTCCCCATTGCGACATTGAAGTAGGAAGTTATCTACACAATAGCCTAGTTGGATAGCATGACGGTCTGTGGATATTGATTGTGTATTTCTCTTCATTTTTACATTTTAACAATGTAATATGTATCGTAAGTGGTTCATCGGTAGGGCCTTCGCTAAATAAGCATGCGATCTGGATTTTGATCCCCAGCTTTTCAACTCCCAAACCTAGCTAAGCTGGTAGGTGGTATGGTCGATAAAGAGGCAAGGTTTGCCTTAAGGTTAGCGACCCCATCTCGGAAAACATAGACACCACTACTACCGAGATTTCAGAGTTCTAGCTTGAAAGTCTATGTTCCACTGGGAACGTAAAGGAATAAATAAAGAATGCTTCATTGGTTTTGGGGAATTGTATAGACATATATGTTTGTTTTTTATTTCAAAATATCTAACTAGTAACTACGCATGCATTTCATTAATTTTTATGCCTTCAAAATGATCTAGGTATACCAGGAGAAGAGGGTGATCAAGGAGAAGAAGGACCTATTGGTGAGGTCGGAGATATTGGCGAAACTGGTCCAGAAGGTGAATTGGGACCCCAAGGAAATGAAGGTAAACGACTTCACTCAAGTTTTTAATGGCCTGCATGCAAGAGGTTATATTTTCGTGGTAATATAACTCTACAAATATATGCATATATTTTTTTTCCTTCACGTTCCCAGTGGAACATAGGGCTCCAAACTATAGGCTTGAAGATTCCGTAGCACCGGTGATTTTTTACAGGATGGGGTTGCTAGCCTCATGCCCAACCTTTCCTCCTTACCAGTCTCACTACTGGCTTAGCGAGGTAAAGGCGTGCGCCGGCCGGGGCTCGAACCCCGGACCTTCTGCATGGTCGGCGAGCGTCTTAACCACTGTGCCACCAACGCACCTAATGCATATATGCATAACATCTTTGCAATGTTGCCAGATACTTACTTTACTACTGACTGGATTCCAAATCTCAGAATATTGAACCATTAAATATTTGTTTATACGAGTTTGACCACGGAGTGATATCAGTTAGAGAAACATTGAAAACCATCTGGGAGTACTCAACAACCAGCCGTTTCATTCTAGTTTGGGAATCATCGACAGTACACACCCGCCAACCAGGTTCGAATCCAGGACCTTCCGGTTACAAGGCAAGCTGGCTCGTATACCATTTCAATTGCTCGCCAGTGCATGAATTCTAAATTCTGCCAACTCGTAATTTAGCGCAAATGGCACTAATTAATGTCTTCGGTGGGATATCCATCCTCTGATGCTCTCTAGTGACTTGCTAAAGGATGATTAGATTATTTTATATTAGTTTATATTTGAATTTCCATTTGTAGTTATGTACACTGGAGTTAAGCCTGATGAGATCTAATTGGAGACACACCACTGTTCACTTAAATGTGTTGTTCTAAACTTTATTGTTGGAATATTTAAAGCAAGATCAACAGTGGTTTGTGCAGAACGAGATGGAACCATTATTTATTTCAGTGGCTTATCATAAGCTGCGTCCAGCTTAAAGAAATTATCTTGAGTGAAAATTATCTTGAAATTACCTTGATGTGGTGGTCACCTGGCTTGCACACCGAAATGGCTCAACAAGTTACACTGGCTGGAACTAATGTTCCTGCTGGTCCTACCACTCCAAGAAGATTGTTAGGATAGCGATTAGACAAAAAGCAGCTACCGGCATAGTGTAAGCTTTATCTTTTACACTATGCTGGAGGTCTGTGGGCAAAGACGTACTCTAAAGGAACAAAGATGTAACAGCACCCTGGAGAGAGATAGAGAGGGGATTAGAAAAGGTCGACCCCCAAAAATTGTACACCCCGACTTACCCCACCTACGGTGGTCCATAACCGGTGGTAAGTAACTAGTACAGAACCAAACCAGAAAGCTAGTTCATACGGACAGTGTGTGACCGCCCTCAGGCATTTGTTCTCTGAGCTGTGCGGTTGGTTACACAGCATTAATTCTCTTTGTGTTTTAGGTACCTCAAGAATAAATCAGTCAGTCATTATGTTTGTGTACAGAACGATTTCAACTTCCAAATGTTAAATAATGTCAGTCGATGACGGGAGACTTTAAACGTAATGAATAGTGCTCAGGCTATGTCCAGATATTTCAAGTTTAAGCAAAAATTAAATGCTTACATACAAAGGAAAGAGTTATGTAATAAAGTCAATAGGTGAACAAGATCATGAGTAATTAATAAGTTGGGCAACAGTGTGATTGGTGAATTCAACTCAACTCAAATCACAGAAACAAGAGACAAGCACAGTCATAGAATATCAAAGAAGCGAGAGGTTAAACCTAAATATTGCGTAATCAAATGAAGAAGAGAATATAGACATCCAGTCACCAGGTGAGCAAGGAAAGGCTGATAACTGCCTCTTTCTGAACACAAAAGTCTGATTTCAAGCATTTGACAGTGAGTGATTACTATAGCAAACTTGGAAAGAACTAAACCATGATATCTGCTGGTAATTTCGAAGGATTATGTCCACCTCATAATTGCTATAGAAGAGATTTCTGGTAATGTCACCAATGTGAACGTTTGCTCCTTTGAGACGTAGGCTTTTTGTTACGCAATCAGAAAATCGAAGATGTGATCCTCCCCTTCCTGTTTTCCAAATGCAACTGATCCCACAAATACATGTAAGTTTGTATAAACAGCTGGAGTTAACAATGAGACGAGTGTATGTTTACTTTCAATTGTATCACAAAGCATGTTGCTCGATAAATGGGGACCAACTTAACTGTGGGATTCTTTTTCTGTATTATCATAATTCAGAGACGTTTATTTTTATTTATGCATACTAACATCTTAATAGCACTATGTATGGGCCATATCACTGTAATTTACTAAATGTTTTATTTTATCCCACATTCACCATACTACAGGTCCATTAGGCGAAGAAGGTTCTGAAGGAGATATTGGAGAGAGAGGAGAATACGGACCATCAGGAGAAAAAGGTGATCGAGGTATTCAAGGTGATAAAGGTGAACCAGCTAAAGATTGTCCTGATGGTCTGAAAGGCGTTGAAGGACCATTAGGTCCACCAGGTTTACCAGGACCTCAAGGACCTACAGGAGACCCAGGTTAGTGCAAGGCAGCATTAGTAAATTTGAAGTAAATGGTAATTCAACTTCTTTGGTAAATTAAGTGAAGAATTTTCATGCATTTCTATCAAGGTTGTTAAAAATTCCAGAAATACTGTAAAGCATGGGTTTCAGGCAAGAAAAACTACCTATGAAAATATACTGAAGTTGCTTCCTTATAAAGCAGAACCACTGATGATTGCTAACTGGATGTCGAGAATTCTTTCTGTCTAAATGAATTTAAGCCTTCAGTAGTAAAATTGCTAATACAACATTCACAACCGAAGCTCGACATATTTACCACTATGTTAGTATAGTTGATTAGGAAATAAAAGTCAATCTGAACGAAGAATATTCTTTTCAATAATTTCTCCTCTTCAGGTTCTTACAATTATAAAATATAATAATTGTTGGCGTTACAATAAAGGCCAGTTATGCGGCGGACACATGTTTTCAACGTAGAATAACAGATTAGTAGTTATGGTGTGTCAAAATAAATAGTCGTATTTGTGTGACAAACGTGCTCTGAGCTGAAATCGATTACAAAATATTTTGGTAAAATGGGAGACAATGAGGATGGTGATTAGTCATAATAGATTTGTAGAGTGTGGGGTAGGAGAAATTGAAAAGTCAGTTCAAGGTTATAGAAGGTCTCATGTGAGTGGCTAGTACAAAGTGGTCTGTGTTAAACAGGAGATAGTAAGACTGCAATGAGCGGTTCATAATGAGATAACGAATGTGTGAAATGAAACAGGTGGAGGCATATATTGAGAAAAGAGATAATATCATTAATAATAAGTCCGGATAGTATAAATGAAAACTTCGATAGTGTTGAGGGAATGTTTGCATATAGGGCATAAGTTATGACGAATAATAATAATAACTGGTATGATTATGAACAATAAATTTTGTTCGAAACGTCATCCAGTAAATAATACTGTTTCACTGTGTGATATATCTAATAAACAAACTAATATGGAATAATAATAATAATTGTAATAATGGTATTTGTAATAATAAGCAAAGTAAAAAGAAACCAAGAGGGTTAAGGGGAAGGAGCACTCTTGGTGTAAAGAAGAATCATCAATCCAAGTTTGGCCACGGTTGAAACAGAGTCCGGACGTGTTCTTTTTGGATACAAAGTTCCAGTTTAGTCAATCTTATTGCAACAGCTTCAGCTCTGTGTGTACGAGACGTAAACGAACTGTACGTGATAACGACTTCAGAAATCGGTATATAACCCTGAAAGCTGTGTTGACATCGATATTCGGTATCGACCGTGTGTGACGCGATCGAGCTTTTTTTCGGCCTTTATTGTAACGACCACAAATATTTTCTTTTATAATTGTAAGAACCTGAAGAGGAGAAATTATTGAAAAGAATATCCTTCGCTCAGATTAACTTTTAATTCATAATATGGAAATGTCTCACACTATCAGATTAGGAAATAATTGTGTCTGTTCGTGAAATCCAAGAGAAAAAATGAAATATGTTCACTCAGATTGTGAAATTGATGATAAAAGAAAGAAGGAAGGAAAAGCACAATTTTTTGTATTGATTTGATGAATATACCAGCGTATTTATCATTAGACATACAAAGGTGTTTCCAGAGGTAATCGTTTTAGATAACTGTGAATGGTAGACTGATTGACTGACTGACTGGTTTTAACGCAGAACACTGCATCAGTTTGAGTTGCTGCGCTCCACTTAGGATGCAAACCAAGAGAAGAGAGTAAAGAGAGATTCAAAAGAGAGAGAAATAATAAACAGAAATATGAGGCAAAAAGAAAAGTAGTATGGAAGAACGATAGAGTTTTATTGGGTATGGCAAATCATTACAAAAAGTGAATGCATCTGCTCCAGCCATTGGGAACTGTTTTAGCCATATCACCAATTGTCTCCATCCTATGGTCTTTACCATCCCGAGGACTCCAACCGAACAGACAGTCTACAGCCCCACTAAGCGGCTGGATGACTAAAACTAACTCGTGGATTTCATTGACTGGTGCCATGTTTTGCTTTGACAGCCAATGACTCTTTTCCAACCTCATCAGTCCCATTTCACCTTACATTCCCTGTTAAGGAAGGCGGTGGCTAGGCATACGTATCACATGTCCTAACCATATCAATCGATACAACTTCACAACCGCGTCGATTGATTTCCTCTCCCATTTACCTAGCACCCGACGCCTAACCTCAATATTGCTCACCCCACTATACCACTTAACATGGGAGATAGAACCAATGATCAAAGACAGCTAGCCTTTTATTATCTTCCACTTTATTGGCCACATCTCACAGCCAACAAGCCATAAAGGAGGACAGAGCGAACTTTTGCTGAGCAGTAAACTCACGCCATTTGGTTGACAACCAGCCGCATATCACGTCTACTAAGCCAGAGACGGCGTAAACTGGAGTATGCTAAACAAAACTTTTGCATCCGTGCTGAGATTTCACCAGCGATCAACTCTCTGGCGTTGGCTGATGCAACTCTGCATACAAGCGAAGTGGTCAGCACGCCCCACCAACCAATTCACTCCCCATCTTTAAACTACCAGTGATGGGAGCAAACCGCCCGCCAAACATTCAGTGACTGGTGCTGCTCAAGGTGTTAGGAAGACTGCTGTATTTTGTCAGCGTCTTCACTTAGGAACAGGACTATATCATCTGCATATTCTAAGTCGACAAGTTAATCCCTGAGTCTCTGAAGTCAGTTACAGCTAAGTCAATTAGTAAATCTGTTATGAAATTAAACAGAAATAAGGACAGTGGTGGGCATCCCCGGCAAACACCACTGGTTGTGAATGTTAGAGAATCACTTACTTTAGTATCACAGTACTAATTCAGATTACATCTAATGGAGATACCTACTGATAAAGTTGTGCATTACACAGTGGGGGAGGGAGAGGGTGTTTAGGAAACCGCCTCACTTTAAGGTTTTAAATGAGTTTGGACTAAATTGGATAGTTTTATAAAGTTCTAATTAAACTCTGTATCTCGATCCGGGGATGAGAACGTACCAGTGACTTTGAACGCGTACTAGTCACTGGCTAATAGAACCTACCATTAGTTAGAGAGCCACTGGAAAGCAATCTGGGAGCACTGGACAGCTGTTTCGTCCTAGTTTGGGACTCTTCATCAGTACGCACCCACCGAGATTCGAAGCCAGGACCTTCCGGTGGGTGCGTACTGATGAAGAGTCCCAAACTAGAACGAAACAGCTGTCCAGTACTCCCAGGTTTTCCAATGGTTCTCTAACTAATGTCAGTTCATGATGAACTCCTGAAACCAATCAAATCCCTACAAACCAACACTTGAGAACCTACCATTATTATAGCTCCACTATGAAGGCTATTCAAGAGTTAAGGTGCAAACTTCACTGAGATCTCGTTTTTAAGTACTGTTTAGAGAACACGCTGATACCACATAGTCGTAAACGTTCTTTTCGTGCTTCTATGTACATCCAGAGGTGTTCGGAAGCAGGTGGCGGACATGTATTTAGGTGTGCACAGTATAAGAAGCGAATTAGTTCGCATAGTAATTACTCACATCCTCAGTTCATTCTTTTGTAGGAACCTTCTTCTATAAATCGAAACTGCCACTGGATGTTAAAGACTGAGGTGAGATCAACAGACGTACAGGCGAAAACTTCGTTAGTATTTACTATGCGGTTGTACCACCAGTGCAAAGATATCGTCCCCTGGAAGATGAGTGCTGTCACTTAGCTGATGAGATGAGGCGTTGGTGTGATTGTTCACGTAAACGAAACAGTCGCCATTGGGCAAACGATGTTTGAGTTTTGGGAATTTAAGACAGAAAACGTCAGGAGGAAATTATGAGGGTAATTTGAAATCGTAGGGTAGACGCTCTTCTATCTATCAGACAAAGGTTAGTCACTCCTTGCACTACTATTCTTCACACAGATGAATGCGTGGGAGTCAGTCACCTCGCCCATAAGATTTGGGTTTCATCTATCATCCAGTAAGTCATTTAGATTATTTCGTCGACCGCCTTATTGAAAACCCATGCTAATTCCATCCAAGGTTTGTTCGAAAGACTGATAAACAGGACAGGAGTAATCACCGGGTGACAAAAATAACTCACCTTCAATCATCTTGATGAATACATGTACAGAAACAAGTTTAAATTTAAAAGTAATACTCTCCATTAACATTGGGAGTTATAATTTTAAGTCATGTTAGAGACAAATATCCTATTTAATGTATTTTCACGTATTCCTTTTGTAAATAACCGTCATATTTATGTGAAAACCATTCGGTTTTCTGATGATGGGCTCAAGGTCACTCGTGCGTTCTCAACTCATGGATCATTATGACAGTTTAACTTTGTCTGCTAAGTTTCATTATTTGTAAATTTGATGAAGGATTTCATCATAAGCTGACATCAGTTAGAGAACCACTGGAAAGCAATCTGGGATCACTGGACAGCTGTTTCATCCTAGTGCTTGGAACTCTTCAGGAGTACGTACCCCCCGTCAGGGTTCGAACTCAGGACCTTCTGGTTACAAGGCAAGGTAGCTCGTTGACCATTAAGCAGCCACTGAGACCCGATCGAATGGTCAATCCATGAATTCTATGTTCCGCCAATTCAGGTTACAAAGCGACCATTTCGCAGTGTGTTCTTCGATGAGTTACTGCCTCATCTTCAACCTGCTGTACCCTCTACTGGATCATGGATGGGCCACTGAATTGGGTCACAGTGGCTGATGAATGGTCTACGAGTTGGTTGGCTTGGCTTGTAACCAGAAGGTCCTGAGCTAAAACCCTGGCCGTGGGCGCGTACTACTGAAGAATCCCAGGTTTTCCAATGGTTTTCTAACCAATGTCAGCTGATGATGAAATCCTCCTTCGAATCAAACAAAACCCCTACAGAACCAATATTTGAAAATTTGTTGATACGTTGGCAGGGGCGACAGTTACATCTGCCTTTTTGAATACACAGCCAAATTTACAGTTTATAGAATTCGAATTTTGTGGAATTCTTGTAGGTATGAAATGAATAATCCCCCTCTACAGTTCAACTCATCTAAGTAAGCTAGGATAACGATGTTAGATCGATCGACTACACCTTCGTTTAAACATGACTGAAAGCATCCTTGATGCAAGAAGACCCATTCAATGTGAACGGTTTCACAAATGAATGGTTACTGAAGAAAGAATATTCTTTTCGATGCCTTCACTATCATCAGGTTCTACAGTTATACATATACATAATGGTGAATAAATCAATTAGTGTTATTAACAACATTAATGTTATTTAAATAACTCCGAATCAATAATAATATCAATGGACTACAGTTCAATAGCATCAACAACATAACAATACACTCAATATCAGAAAAATTAGGAAAGATAATAATACAAATTCATGCATGAATTTATAGTCTCCACTGAAGGCTGACCAGGGCAGCAGCAGTGGGTGGCTGGACTTGCTTCTTCTGCACACAAAGCAACAGCTGTTTCAGGTGAATCACCATAGTCCATGCTGTTTGGATTATGCGATACATGGATGTTTTTGGCAATTTATTTGGTACCCAATAGATGATAGAGAACTGATAGAAATAACATATAAATGCATAATTTAGAAAATATATTGTCTAATTCCTTTATATGCTTTATCGCACTAATATTTTTTCTAATCATGAACAAGCAGTCGATATATCGGCTTTCTATGTTATATATATATATATATATATATATATATATCCTTTCAGTTATTCAGTATTTTCAATGATGTCAATAATGTCTTAACGCAGTGTTATTCCTTTAAATCTGAAAAGGATTACCTGGATTACGTGGAAAAGACGGTCCCCCAGGAGTTGGAGTAATTGGAGCTCCTGGAGAACCTGGTGATACTGGACACGTTGGCTTACCAGGAGAAGCAGGTATGCAATTATCTTCTTGTTATAATATACCAGAGGAATAGGTCTCATAGGTAAATTAGTAAACAGCTAAATTAATAGTGAGTGGAACTCTGCCCCCATCTCTCTCTTTCTCTTTTTCCAGCGGTCACCAGTTACTTGTATAGTCTTGCTTTGTTTATTTATGTAGAATGTGAGTAGTATACAGTTAGATTAAAACTATTCACGTGTAATCTCAGGATGGAAAGACATCATTTGTGTTTAAAGTATGAAATAAGTGACGAGTTCTTATGATCACAACCACGTGCATTCTTTCTTTCTAAAACTTATTGGCTTACTGTCAGGCTTCTCCGGAAATAATCTCAGTTTACAAAATTAAGCCAGTTAAACTAGCCTTCAGATGAAAGCTTTACAAATCAGTTACTGATGCTACCCTGAAGGCCATTCATCACTGTAAACCGGTGATTAATCAGTTTAATTTTTACTAATGATACACAAGTACAAACACTGGAGCACTCAGGGTCACATACTGGCTAAATTCGTCTAACGTGCAGGTTTGATCTTCAGCCGGAGCAGCATCTAAATCTCGACTAGTTTACTAAGCAGTACTAAGTCCATAAAAGATGGAAGTCTACTGAATCCTTCAAAATTTGAAGCTTTCTATTCCATACGGAACCTTAAGAATGAAAAAAGACGTAGTAGTGTAATGACACTGTGAGATGAAGACTGAACGGCGAAATTCATTCACGTTCAGCATATTCACAAATGTGTTTACAGGATACTGAAGAACTGAAGGGACTACTTAAGGCAAGAAAGTAAATTCTTCTAATTGATTTGGTGAGTGGTCGCTGACAAGCGGTGGAATCCAGGAATGAGCCCATTAGCTAGAGGAATCTGCATTCCCCAGTGATTGGTCCTGTTCCCCTCTGAGACTGGAACCCAATACACTCCATTTCTCCCGACAGTGCGTTATCTACTATGTCACTTGGGCGACGGGCATCAACTTTATTATCCGGTTTTTAAATTCATTTCTAATTTTTCCTTTGGTTGTCTGCAGTGTTCAGAATGTTCAGCCTCTTTTGACAAGTCACAGCTTCACTTCAAGTTAATCCTCGAACGTCTTCGAAGATTCAGTACTAGGAGGTGACATATCAACAATGGCAGAACATTTCGGCTCAATCAGTCAACCGGAAAATCAAAACTGAATCAAAAACTTACAACAATATCTGTTGCTTATTAATAAAGCTGTGAATAAACTTCTCTAATGGAAAATATAAGGCAGTTGCACAAAATGAGCATCTGAATATATCTAAGCATCAAATTCCCTTATGCATAAAGATAGACAGGTTGATTTTCAAACATTTTTATGCTTAATCATTGTAGTACTAATTGAGAAGTGTTGATCATTGATGATTGGAAAGATAATTTCCTGCTTACTTATTATCGTAATCATTTTAGGTGAACCTGGTGATCAAGGCCCTGAAGGACCTTCTGGTTTAGCTGCACTTACTGGAGAACAAGGAGCTAAAGGAGAAAGAGGATTACCAGGAGATATTGGAGATCCAGGGTGGATGGTGTTCAAGGCCCCCTGGTTATGATGGAGAAAAAGGAGTACAAGGGCTACAGGGTACAGAGGGAGTAAATGGAATAGATGGTATTGTTGGAGAAAAAGGTTTTACTGGGGATCAAGGAGCATTTGGTGATCGTGGAGAAGTTGGTGATCAGGGTGAGATAGGCGAACCTGGTATTGAAGGTCCGAAAGGAACCTCAGGAAAGGCGATCACAGGAGATCTTGGTGAAATAGGTGACCCTGGTGAACCTGGAGATCTTGGGGATCAGGGTGATCCAGGACTTGATGGAGAAGCGGGTGAAGAAGGTGATGTCGGTGATAAGGGAGAGAAGGGTCAACCTGGGTTGTTGGAAGGTGAAAGAGGTGAAATAGGAAGTGAGGGTGAACGAGGAGAGATTGGAGAAGTAGGACCTCCAGGTATGGTTGGTGAAGTTGGACCTAAAGGGAAAGATGGTGAAAAGGGGCAACCAGGTCAAACAAATTACTCGTCTATACTATTTGCTCGTCATTACCAGACACCATTCGTTGATGAGCTTGCATGTCCATCAGGTACAAACAAACTGTTCACTGGTTATAGCTACGTTATGGGAGGTGGTGTAGATGATCTAGTCAGCATGGATTTAGGTAAGTTAATTTGATCTGAATAGGTAAAAGTTCATTGTGTTTCCCCTGTGAGCACTTTTCTAGGCTACGTTTTTCGTCAAAGACTGAAGTAAGATCCTCACTGTATAAACAAAAAAGGACATGAGTTATGTGACTAGAATGCAGCTACGCCTCACCTGAAGAAAATCCAACTTCGATATTATGCTATATTATATATGGTAATATGTCACAACTTAGACTGTCAGACAAGGATGTCCCATCAGTTACATCATCTCGGAGACATTTTGTTGCTAAACAGTACAATGGAAAGACACAGTACAACATTATCATAAATTATTATAATGTTATTAGTATTATTATTCCCTTGGTCTCTGAGTAGGACATACGGCTTCAACAACACATTTCAACTTTGTCGTGTTCTCCGCTGTCACCTTAAACTGGTCCCACGATTACCCATAAGTTCTCATCTTCGCCTCACTTGCTATTTCTCATTCGGATTCTACTTGAGTGGTGGCTGTAGACAGGTGAAGGAAGTGGCTTCTTTCAAATTTTTCTCTCATTGATGTTAACAAACCATGTATTCCCCAGCTAGTTTCTACTCATTTTTATTAATGATTTGATATAATAAGGAACGAATAGTTTAGTTGTCTACTGGTATCCCCTGCGGTCAACCCTCCTAACTCCTACATAAAAAATTGTTTTGTTTTGCCTTTACGTTTATTATTATTACTATATGATTATCTCCTTTAGTTCCTAGAAGAACATAAGGCTTCAGCCAAACGTCTCCATTGAGCACGAATCTCTGCCAACATTTTCACCTGACTCCATGTCTGCCCACATGCTTTTATCTCCTCTTCACATGACCTACTCTTCCGTGTCACCCTTGAACTGACAGCCAACTCGCCGCTTGCCATTCGGGTTCCACTCAAGAGAGAAAGCCTGTCCTGTGATGTCACTTGATGGTTTGTTTTCTCAGAGTATGGCCAAGCCAATCCACCTCCATTTATTCCTGCATATTTGTTGCACAGTTGGTTCCTGCTGGGTTGGTTCGCTCATTGCCAGAGATCCCCCACTATCGCTGATCTTTTGTTACCATCTGATCTTAAGTGGTATTGAGCAAAGACAGCTGTTGATGCAGGTCGGTAGTTTTTTCGAAGTGTTGTTCGTTCCGTCGCCTGCATTTGAAATGATGCTTCCCAGGCAGTTAGTTAGGTAGGTAGGTGAAGGAGGTTGCTTCTTTTAGATTTCTCCCGTTTATCCCGGCTGATTGTTCTCTGTTGTTGTTGCCGTTGGCCAGGAACCTCACCTCTGTATGTTCACCTGAAGACCTATCTTCTGTGGATGCTTCTTCTACCAACTTGTTGCTTTTCAATTGCATATCTTCCAGTTTGTGGAAAATCAGACATATATCATCGGCGAAGTCGAGATGCTGCAAGTTTTTTGTGTGAGTCCATTTCACGACCGTCTCCTGGTTGTCCTCTGTCTATCGCATTATCCAGTCTACCACAATTATCAGGAAAATCATTGGAGATAGCAGGCAGTCAGCCAGCCTTGTCTTACTCCCGTCTTCACTTCTTCGAAGGGTTCCGTGAGTTTCCTGTTGTGGATTACTTGGTATGCAGCATTATCGTACAACTGCTGAATAAGGTGTATAATTAATTGTTGACGACACCCTGTAGTACCCAATTAGTTTCCAAATCACCTCTCGATCGATGCTGTCTGCTGAAAACCTTTACAAAGTCGATGAAGTTGAGTGAGGCAGAAAGCTGACTGACATTCCAAACTCTATTTTAATGATGATACGCAGTGTTGCCATCTGATCGATATATGACTTGTTTCTTTATGTTTGGATAAAGTATATTTGTTTGTAAAATTAATAAAAAGCTAAAATTGGATGAAGGATTTCACCGTGAGTCGACATCAGTTAGAGAACCATTAGAAAAAGAGCTGGGAGTACTGGACAGATGATTCGTCCTAAGGCTTTGGACTCTTCAGCAATACGCACCTACGGCCAGGGTTCGAGCCAAGGACCTTCTGGTTACAAGCCAAGCGGGCTAGCTCGTTGACCACCAAGCCACTGGGTTCCGATCCAATGGCCCAGGGGGTGCGTCCACATGAAAAGTCCCAAACTAGGCTGACGAAACAGCTGACTGTCCCATACTTCCAGCTGGTTTTCCAGTGGTTCTCTAACTGATGATGCCAGCTCATGATGTAATCCTCCAAACAATCGAACAAAATCCCTACAAAACCAACATTTGGAAAGTAAAATTATTTATTTTGGAATTTTAAAAATAAATATTCCATTTTAAGAGGAGATTATACTTTGTTTCCACTAAATATACACTACAAAAATACAGTGTAGTGTAGTGTGTAACTAACTATCTCACATATCTGACCAAAGAAAATATGTTTCAAATTTGAATCACATGTTATTTGTCCAACAGAGTTGTTTTACACAAATGGTATGTGAATATATATATATATATATATATATATATATATATATAAACTAGATAATCTCCTACTGTGTCGTATAACTAGGTCTAATACTTGAAATGTAACAGAAATAATCCAATCTAATCTAATCTAATCTATAAGGCATTTTCATAGATTATAGTAACATAGGATTATTTATTTTCACGTATTGGTTTTGTAGGGATTTTGTTTGATTGTTTGGAGGATTTCATCCTGGGCTGACATCGGTTAGAGAACCCCTGGAAAATAAGCTGGGAGTACTGGGCAGTCAGCTGTTTCGACAGCCTAGTTTGGGACTCTCCATCAGTATGCATCCACGACCTTCTGGTTACAAGGCGAGCTATCCATTACACCACTGGGACCTGATCCAATGACCAGTCCATGAATTATAACTTCTGCCAGTTCACAACATAGAGCAACCATTTCACAATGTCTTCTTCAATGAATTATTGCCTCATCTTCAACCTGTTGTACCCTACTGGTCACAGCTCGTCACTAGAACCCAAGGTAACCACCTACCTGAATAGGGTCGGTCGCTATTGAGCATCAGAATAATTTTCAAGTATTGGTTTTGTAGGGGTTTTGTTTGATGGGATCGAGGATTTTATCATTGAACTCCGATGAGTGCGTACTGCTGAAGAGTGCCAAACTAGACTGACGAAACAGCTGGCTGTCCAGTACTCCTAGCTTGTTTTCCAATTCTTCTCTAACTGATGTCAACTCATAATGAAATCCTCCATCCGATTATTTATTTATTCATTTATTTCTAAATCTAATCCTTCCTTACTACATTTAGGTACACCAAGTTCATGTTTATCCAAATTCAGTTCACTTCCTATGACCCAGTGTGAAAGAGATACAACTTGTCAATCAAGTATGCGACATGAAAGATCCTATTGGCTGGCTACATTAGTACCGCGTTCAGAACAACCAATTCCAGTTGATCAAACAGCTGATCAAATTGCTAGATGTGTTGTCTGTGAAGCTCCTGCACATGTCTTTGCTTTTCATAGTCAAGGTGAAACTTTACAACCATGTCCAAACACTTGGACTGAATTATGGACTGGAGTTAGTTTAATACTTGTAAGTTAATTATATATATATATATATTTGTCTTAAATTGATTGTTCTAACTGTAATAACTAGAAAATTTGTCAAAGAACTAATTACTTAACCCATAATCTGAAGGTGATTCGCTTACATCACTTACAGTCTTGATATTTATCCAATAACCACAATGAATTCTGTTTGGTTTAGGATAAGTGGCAATAGTCAAATACCTTGAAAGTTAGTTTTTTAAGTAGGACTAAAAATTGGTCACCACTAAAGTTATCTTTTACCCCTTTAATACTCGGATTAATAATTATATTAGTTGTAAAGGATCAGTAGTGCCAAAGGGCTGATGTAATGCTCAGCAGCAATTTGCTCCGTCCTCCTTTATGGCTGTGAGACCTGGCCATCGAGAGTGGAAGACATGAAAAGATTAGCTGTCTTTGATCACAGGTGCCTGCGTTCTATCTCCCGTGACAACTGGTATAATAAGTTGAGCAATATTGAGGTTAGTCATCGAGTTCTAGGTAAGAACGGGAAATCAACTAACGGGGCTATGAAGCTACACTGATTGAGATGGTTAGGACATGTATTACGTATGCCTAGTCATTGCCTTCCTCAACAACGGGTAATGATAGCTAACATAGGGTTAGACTGGAAAACAGCTAGCAGTGGTTAAACCAAAACATGGATACACCAGTCAATAAAATCCACAACAGTAAGTTTAAGCCAGCCAAGTAGGAAGGTGTAGACTTCCTGGCGAGTTGGGGTACTCGGGACTGTAAAAACCAATGAAGGCTGGAAACAATTGGCTCAAAATCGTTCTCAATGGCTAGGGTAGATGCATCCACTCCTTGTGGCTTATGATTTCAAATGAGACCATATCTTCGTTATTAATATTCCTTTGTCTCACACCTCTGTTTACTGTCTCTATTATGCATTTCCTCCACTTTCTTCTCTTGCTTTGTGTGCTACAAGGAGGGAGTGTGGCGACTTGAACTGCTGCTCATCGGTGCAAAGTTCTATGTTCAAAACAGACAGACAATAGTACCACATTCCAAAAAGTGTCTCTTATTCTAGTCTTAACCATACCAAATAATAAGGCTTTCATTACATTCAAGCTGAGAGTACTTTGCAATTTCAATGTTTGTGAAATCGACTGCTGTCTTTGTAGAGACTTAAACTCAGCTGTTATGGTCTGATACTCAAGAAAAAGCAAGCTATGCTTTCTACTGTACAAATAACCAGAAAAGATAAAACGACAGTTACTTGCCACCAAAAAGATGGGTAATATTTAACCAGAGCGTGCATCGGTGGCACAGCAGTAGAATGCTCGCCAACCATGCCTCACATGGTCTGGAACTCGAGCCCATGCCACCATCGCACCCCATTACATCGCTAAGCCAGTAATACGATGGATAACGAAGCAACCAAAAATCAACCATAAGAAGTACCGGAGAATCAAGTAGAATATTCTTCATCAAAATCTCTATCAACAAGAATCACATAGTAAACAATTCTCGCAGACGATTCAAGGTCATAATCACTTTCCTTCATTCGAACAAAATCACAGTCGTAAAACACCACATTATCAATTTTTAGTTGAATTTTAGATTTTTTCCGTCGAACGAGATGGTTGTGCATATGTTAAGACTTTCCTATAAGTATACTGTCATAAACCTCTGAAGTGGGTTAGTATGTACCTTCTGAGAGGCGACTTTGGGGAAGTTGAGGCCGGACAGCAGAGGGTGGGAGAGTTAAAATGATGTCTGAAATGAGGTGTCCGTTTTCATGGATTACTTGTTTCTACGGATGTTGTGTGCTCGATTGAGATAATGACTCAACTGGAGGCCCCATAGTTAGGGAATACACTTAATGCATTGCCTCTGCTTGAAGTCTATATGGAAATTTGCCGTAATATTAGACAATCCAGTACTTAGCTTATTTTGGTCGATCGGGATGAAAAAGATCTTAGGCTAAAGAGCAATCATTATTTCATTTATGGACGGTGACTAACAGTGGAATCCACAATAAAGTGCGTTTCGTCCTATCTGGGACTCGTCAACTGGATATACCTACATTTCCCAGTGAGTCAATGATAATATTCCCACCGCTGAGGCTCGAACCCAGTGACCATAGTTTCAAACGTCAAAGTGTCATCCGCTAGACCGTTTGGGCTATGAGAACCACTCCTTGTGCAATGGGTCATATTAACTATTCAATTGAATTGACGAAAGTCGCATCCTGGATTCCACTGCTAGTCACCATGGACCAATTAACTTCTAATTACATGCCCAGACATTGTCGAAACATCTGCATAAGAAGCCGACACGTCAACCTGAGACCGAGCTCTTCGGTTCAATCAATCGACGGAAAATCTGAAATTGAATTCAATAATTAATATGACCCGTTGCACAAGAGGTGGCTCTCGTGACCGAAGTGGTCTAGTGGATAACGCTCTGACGTTTGAAACTATGGGGACTGGGTTCGAGCCTCGGTGGGAACACCGTCACTGACTGACTGGGGAATGTAGGTACATCCGGTTGACGAGTCCGGAACAGGACGAAATGCGCGTTATCTTGGATTCCACTGCTAGTCACCATACACGTTATCAATATGATCACGCAGCCACATAGAAAATCATTAAAAGTTAAATAATAAGGATTAAGTCAACGGATGATCTGCAAATATCAGAGCTATGATATACATCCGAATTAGTATCAGTGTGCTAATTAGATTGTTCAGTAGCGATCTTTCAAGCAATTATCCCGTTACCTTACTTCTACACTTAAAAAATCATCACTGAAGATAATTTATAAAAAGCATGTATGGTTTTTGCCGCCATTGATTTTTCAACTAGGTATAAGGGAACGGAGAAGAAATTTGGGTCTTTTTCAGTCTTAAATTCTTCTACTTAACATTGGGAAAAGTTTTGTTCTAGTCAGTAAATTCGGATGAACAATGTTCTTCTCTTTCTTAATCAGGTGGAAGAAACATTTAACTATGAAATTCATGCAATTCTCCCTATTTAAAAAATTCCATTTCAAGCTACAAGCTTGAAGTTTCGGTAGCAGTGGTGTTTATTCTTTTTACGGGATGGGATCGCTGGCCTCATGGCCAATCTTCACTTTCTACCAGTCTTATTACTTACTGGCTTAGCGAGGTAAAGCAGTGCGTTGGTGGCCGGAGCTCGAACCCCGGACCATATGAGGTGTGGTCGACAAGCATTCTACAGCTGTGCTACCGACGCACTTCTCCGCAATTAATAAACTTGAACGAAGCAAGAATGGCAAATGTAATTGACAGTAGCTAAGAATAAGTCCGAAAGGATGCCAGTCGTTAAATTATTAAGAGTGAAAAGGATTGACTACTTATACCACAATCAGTAGAATATGCTTGTAAACAAAGTTTAACTAGCAAAAAAAAAGGATAAAGATATAAGAGGTTGCGCAACTGCAGAGTAGGAAGACCGCGGGGTTTAGTGTGAGTCGTATTTGCGTCAAACAGTAAAGCTTTTCTAAGTAGGACAGAAGACGATGTAATAAAATTTGCATGCCTTGTCATCGCCAAGACAGTTCAAGTTTGACACACTGTCTCTTGCCGAGTCCATAGATTTGGTGATATTCGTCTGATGACAGTTGCTTCGACAAAACATAGGAAGCTAGGTCTCTTTTGTCTACTAATTATTTGAAACACCTTCAGATTGTCCACAACATGGTCAGTGGCCAATAGATGGAAAGCATTCACACAGCCTAACACCTGTGAGCCCTTTAATCTCAGGTTATTTGGCATATGTTTTCAGAAATGCGGACTATAACCTTTGTCTCTGTCGCTCCAGAGTATGCACAAGTTTGGTGGTTGGATATTTTCTTTTCAGGGCAGCGTTTAGTCTACATCTTATTCTACTAATAATATCATCATTTTTGAAGACAAGCTGTAAAAAGACTGACTTTTTCTCTACTATGCTGCAATTTTATTTCACAACACTGCATTTCTCATGTCTCTCGATGAACTTCTGTGGGTAACTATTGTCACGCAGTCATTCTCCATGATAGATAGCTCTTATTCGTCCTTTTTTCTCCTCGACAACGCTTTCTTACACGACCAAACCATGTTCACATCAATCCCTTTTATTTACTTATAGGGCAAAGCCCTTTGAAGTTCGGATAAACTGACCTCCAGTTGCCTTTTGTGTGAGTGTGCCTTATGATTTTACCACTTATATCACATCTAGTACTAAGGTCAAGAAAATAATGTTTGTCCGCAGTTTCACACTCCATTGTAAACGTTATATCAGGGTGGGCAATATTCAGGATGAATCATTAAAATAATCACTGTTAACAAACGTGTTATCAATATACCTGGCACAGAAATTTGTCTGACCGACTGAGGATTTCACCCATGTTTGTTTGTCAATTGTTCATACACATACACACACTTGTTAACTGCAGCTTCATAGAAAAATTCTTGTAGTTCGTATACTAAAAGACTAGTGATTTCAGACATCTATAAAACACAAAATAATTGAGCAAAGAATATCCTTCTCGATAATTTCCTCCTCTTCTCGCTCTACAATTATATGCATATGCATGTTTATATACACAGAATATTCTAGAATGGTAGTCAATAACAATATTAATGTCTTTTAAATAATATTGATTTGTAAAGTAAGATCACAACGAAATTACAGTTCATTAAAGATGCATAAATTATAATAATAAAGATATAATAGCAAATAGAATATCAAATAAAATTAAGGACATTTCGATAGAATTTGAGGATCATTCGAAACTAGATGGTGAAGGTAAGGATAATGTCTGAACTAGCTACTTTTAGACGTACAAATTAGGCTTCTTAATGTGGATCTCAATGGATTCAGCAATATTTTGTAGCTGAACTCTTAAGGTGAAGTTAAGATATGTTGGTATCCTGTAAATGATTCTGAAACCCTGGCAACATTAATCTTGTTTTCTGTATCCACCGGATGAGATGAGATAGAATGGCGGTACGAACAGATTTTGTGCTTTACTTAACCAGTATGCAGAGTGATGTTTGGAAATCCGACGAGAAACACGCCTAATTGTACAGCCTATGCAACAAACCGGCTCACTCCACAGGAGCAGTTAAATTGGTAGATACACATGGAAGAGGCGAAATTATGCAGCTTGTCTTTTACTCCTGAGAAGCAAAAGAGTAGTGGGTGGTTTTGAAGACACAGCGTAATTCGGCAGCAGCATTGTGTTGTGTTAGTATCTCGCTGGTGTTCCCCCCCCCCCCAAGGAACTGCATCTGTAGGAATAAGGCCTTTATTGGGAACTGTTGGAACCTTGGGCTGCTTTGATTTTAGTTGATATTCTATTTGCTATTATTATATCTTCATTGTTATCACAATTAAAACATCTTTAATCAACTATAATTTCACTGTGATCTTACTTTAAAAATCGATATTATTTAAAAAAACACGAATATTCTTAATGACTACTATTCTAGAATAGTCTATATATATATACATATATATATATATATTTTACAACAATTAGTCCCTTTGATAAATTTGAATAAGGCATTAAGGAGACAAATTTCGCGAGATGATATCATTTCGTAGTTACTTTACAACCGCTTTGCAACTAACATGGTTAACAATGATAAAATAAAGTTCATGACAAATACTCAGTTAAATAAAAACAAAAGTACATATTAATGACCAATCATATTTAGATAGGTCATGTAGTCCATGATAGGCGAAGATTGAAGTCTATTGTGTTTTTTTTGTACACACAGTTAAGGCTGTATGTGATTAATCCCCAAAAGTGCTTCCATCACCTTCAATAACCTTGAATTAGAGTTATGTGATAAAATAATTGTGAAACAGTCATTAATATTTATTTTGTGACCTGATATTAAAGAGTGTTTTACAGTGGATGATGCTGGATTTCTATTCAGATTAATCACATTGGGATTTTTGATATGATTTACTAGCCATTTTGGAACATGTTTTTTTCGACGACATTGGAACATTATGTCACTTCTACCTATATAGGTGTCACCGCAGCTGCAGGTGAACTTGTAGATACAGTTTGAAGTAGAGTCCACAGAATTTCGTCCTTTAATCGTAGGTACAGGGATCGAAAATGTTCGGCAAGTGAGAAAAAGAGATGCGGCGGCGTAGAATGTGCGTTTGATGGCTGACCGAAATCTTTGTCTTCTTAATGCCGTATTCAAATATATATATATATATATCAACATGCACATTCATACAATTGTAGAGCGAGAAGAGGAGGAAATTATCGAGAAGGATATTCTTTGCTCAATTATTTTGTGTTTTATAGATGTCTGAATGAATATTTTTGCTGCATATGTGATTTCACTCAATAGGAATTTTATTATTTTTTCGGCCAATAGTGCTCGTTACTGCATGTGTTTCCTATTATCGTTATCTGATGACCTGAAGCGCTTCTAGTAGAGATTGTACCTACCACTAATTTATTAGAGACTTCATATCACTGTTCCATTCCTAAAACCACAGATGTCCTGATATTTAGAATCCAAATAAATCGAAATGTCCCCCATTTGGTAGGACGATGAAGATGCACCGCTGGTCTTGATATAAGAATAGAACTTGGGCACTATGGTAGATTATAAGTACATTATGGATAGAGTTCATTTTCATAAAGTCTCACAGTTTTGTTACACAGTAAAATTTACTGATCACTACGTTCCCAAGCACAAATTATTGCTGCTCATAATCATATCAAGACACTATTCACACAACTTTCAAACTTCGTTTATATAATTCCATCATTATTTTCCATCGCTTGATTTGATTGGTAGTAGTATTTTCCATATCTGTGATATTAGTGCTGAGTCATGTGTTGGGTGGCTGGGATTTATAATGAAACAGGAATTAGGGTGGCATTTAGACCTAAAAACTAACTCGGGAACCTGCTGTGTAGGTTAGAGGACCCAATTGACCCAATTAGAAAAAATAATGAAATTTGCAAAATACCTATCAATGACTGTGGGGTCAACTTTTTTTGTTCCTTTACATTCCCAGTGGAACATAGGACTTCAAGTTACAGGCTTGAATTTCCTGTAGCATTGGTGCTTCTTTTTACGGAATCTAGTTGCTAGCCTCATGCCCAACCTTTCCTCTTTACCAATCTTACTACTGGCTTAGTGACTTAAAGGAGTGCATCGGACCGGACCACATGATGCGTGGTTGATGAGCACTCTACTGCTCTTCCAACGATGCACTGATGAGGTCAACTAAATCGGAACAGTCACATTATTCGAACATAAGAATTTAGCTTAATGTAGAATGACTTATACCATGAAGATAAGTAATTTAGAAAAAAGCACTCAGAAACTACACAATAGAGTGAGACGTAGTTACACTTTTAAACAGGAATATAAATAGATGGAGTGTGTGGTTGATACCTGAATCTTTGATCACATCCAATCTACATCCAACACATGCCATAGCAATCACTCATCACTTATACCAGAAATTCGGAAAATATTACTTAGCAATCAAATCAAGAGATAAGGGATAGTAGAAACACATAAACGAGGCAAGAAAGTTGTATGAATAGTGTCTTGATATGATTATGAGCAGCAATAAATTGTGCTGGAAACGTGGTCATCAGTAAATATTCATGTATAACACCGTGAGACTTCATGAAAATGCGGTGAAAACTGTCTGCTAGCGAAAATTAGTAGACGGAAATTTACGTCAATGTTGACGTCCCATATCTTGGTCATGAAAAAAGAACAAAAACGAAGATTAACTCAACAACCAATCCCAGGAGACTTAGTTAGCGTGGGCGGATACGATTCACATATATATATATATATATGGTCTGACCTTCAAAAAACGGCCACAAAGAGATGACAGAATAACTTCCAGTGAGAAAACGACCAATCAGAAGATGCTGTTTCTCTGCTAATAATAACGAATAATAATGTACATAAAAATTTATAAATATCTCTTGATTTTCTCAATAAACTATCTGTTGCCTGGCCGTTTTATTCTATTTTTACAAAAATACATCTCCGTTATGAAACACAGCTAGTCTGTTTAAATTTCAATAGAAAATCTGATTAACTTGGAGAACTGCCCTAACTTTACGCCGCGGAAATTCATAATGAAAAGCCTTTCAAAACTGATAATATTATTCCTAATCTTTTCTCTCTCTCACTCTCTTTCTTCACATTCCCTCTAGCATACCTCTGGAGCTCACGGAGGTGGTCAACAGTTATCTTCACCTGGTAGTTGTATGGAACACTTCCGGTATTCACCAGTTATTGAATGTAACAATAATGTAGGCATGTGTCATTATTGGTCAGATGCTAAAGTCTACTATTTACGGGCTTTAAATCCAAATATTACACAGTTTGAAAAACCAGTAGGTTTTGTAATGAAAGCCGCTGAAGGACCTGTGTTGAATAATGTTAGTAAGTGTAGAGTTTGCATGAAAATTCCTGCTTAGCTGAAAAGAACGAAAATTAGTGTGCAAATACTAGCCAAAGACATTTATAAATTTAATATACACATAAAACAATATTACATATATACATATATATGCTCATTTTTTGAGCTGAATGATGGTGAAGAGATCTATACCAACTCCTCAGTGTATTCATTTAAGCGCCTGTCTATGCACACATTCTGTTCTCTCTTGTCAGTCCTTTGTTTTGATCTTTACGAATTTGTTTCCCGCCAAATATCTGTTTGTTTGATTAAACAAACGAATCTCCAATAACCTCCTTTTTTATAATTTATGATTTAACTAGGCAGATTGATCCTTGAATTTCTGCAAATTACTATTATTTAATGTTGTTGTTAATTGCAGAAAGACACTTTGTTAATCTTTATTATTCTTATTATTATTCTCTTGGCTTTTATTTCGCTTAATAATTTTGAAAAAAATATTTCAAAGCGCCATATTCAATCTAGCCAGAATAAGCATTATTTATGCTGGAAAAAAGAACAAGACTACTAACAATAATGGTAGTAGTAAGAATATAAGAGCTAAAACAATCTTTCAATCTCTTCTGAAATATTTCTACAATATATATACCTACAGATTCTTTATGTTCTGAAAGATGTGTAACGAATCAATGTTTTTGCAAAAAATACAAAAAAATATGTTTTTATGCAAGACGCTGACTTTTTCCCTGCTAATTATTTGATGAATGTAATGAATGTATGTGAGTTGTAGTTATATATGTATGCATTAACTTGATTTTCTTTTATAAATCTAACTTTATAACATTAATTTCATCAGAAAGCTATGTTCCGCTGAAGAAGTCATCAAAACTTCGGCGAAATAACATTTTCTACTGTCCTAGTTAGGAACTCTACCAGTGTATATGTGTGCACTTCTACGAGGATTTATTTCATAGCTTATATGAATTCACCTCGACTTTCACTACTGCCCTTAAGAAGTCTCCTTCGTTACAAAGTGATACATCTTTACAGGTTGATCACAGATCGATACCAGTTAGAGAAACACTGAAAACCGCCAGGGAGTGCTGGAAAGCTGTTTCATTCTAGTTTGGGAATCATAGGCAATACGCACCCCACTCACCAGGGTTCGAACCCAGGACCTTCCGGTTACAAGGCAAACTCGTATACCATTCAGCCACTGCAACCCGATTCAACGGCTCAGGAATTCTGACTCCTGGGTTCGAACCCCACTGGATGCGTACTGCCGATGACCACCAAACTAGGAGGAAACAGCTGGCCGTCCAGTCCTCTCAGCTGGTTTTCAATGGCTCTCTAACTGATATCAATCCGTGATCAACTCGTAAAAGTCAAAACTAACCCTTACAAACCAACTATAGAAAATGATGCATCACTATTGGATTTCACTAACTTTACTGACTACTCGCTTAGTAACTGCCTAGTAAATTGGCAGCCAGTCACGTCGATCCAGGCATTAATTTCAATATAAATTGTCACTTTAGTTCTTAGTACTGTTTTTATGGTGATTTAAGTAGTTAGAATGAACCTATGTCAAATGGTGGTACCTCCAAGTATTCTAAACACCGTTTGGCTGTTTCAATTATTTGGGTCAAACACATCAATTGTGTCTGTGGATGGCGCGGGTTCGAATCTCAGGAGGGACATGAACTGTTCCTTCAAGATGACTGTAGATACGCTTTGCTGACTCACTGATGAGTGCCGACTAGCACGAAACTTATGTCAAGCAAGGCTTCCTGTGGCTGATTGCCTCTGACCATCTGATAACATCAACTGTGTATCGAGACTTACTCATCGTGAAAAGCTGAATCATTTGAATCCACTGACCTAGTGAAACATACAATGCAAATAGAGGTTTTTTAATTGAATAAGGAATGAAGTGAAAATTGACCAGTTCAGTATGAAAACTTAAAACCTTCAAACCGTAATTTGTGACCAGCCTATGAGGCTGCTTAATATCACTGATGATAAAACTGGATTATGTGAGAAGACAGCAATACACTGGACTGATAAGAAGAGTCTAGAAGATCTCCACTTCTTGAATGATTTATGTCTTATGTCAAAAAAAAACAACTCTAAGACTTACAGGCGAAAATCAACAACTTGGAAGAAGTATAACAAGCAGCAGCAGCAGCAAGGAGAGGAATTCAAGTGAACATAGAGAAGACTGCAGTCATGAAGATAACATACCACTTGAATACTATAATAAGCATTAAACACTATCAACGAAATAAATTTGAGAGAAGTCGCTTCGTTCATTTATCTAGGAATAGCATCGTTTCACCTACAGGGCGGAACAGTTGGAGATGTCAAAGCAAGCATTGGAAAGACAGTATACCCCTTCAACAATGTAAAAATCAATTTGAAAATCTATCCCACTCACCATAAACAAAATGATTTGGAATTTTTTGTAACAGAAATGTTAAGCCAGTCAGTGTGTACTTCTCTAGGTGTGAGAAACATGACTTCAACGTGTCAAGAAAATCATTTCCAACGGGTCAATGGAGACGCTTATCAATATCTACCGACTTCATTGGCTCCATATTGCAGATTAGACAGTCAGGTAGCCAGCTAGAAAGAAAGAATTAGTAACAGGAAACAAATATTCCTGGAGGAAATGGCGATTGATTGGACTCAGATGAGGAAACCGTCAGGCGACAACACACTGTAGTGAAAGGTGGACGAGGAACAACAACAAATTGTCAATGAGTGAGTCAGACAATGATATAATGAAGATCGTGTGAACAGGAGGGTAAAGATTATGGGGAATCACTGCGCTAGTTGAAGAGGACTGCAGAGAGTAGAAATGTCCCCTTTGAAGCCGTATATTCCAGTGGAAACTCATGAGAATAATAGGGTAATAATATATAACTCACACCCTAAATAATAATAATATCAAGAAGGTAAGCAAACCTCCAAAATATCAAGCAATGTAAATTTACTTCCATCCCAATATCTGCATATTTCAGAGTCTAGGAAAAGTTTAAGTATTCCTTATGAGTAGGTCTCCGTGAAACATAACTCTATCTCTCTCTCTAAGTATTCTCACTCTGTGTTATTATTAGTAGTAGTACAATATTTTGTTTATTTTCCTTTTATTCTTAGAATATCAAATATTTAATTAGCACCAATGTATATATTATTGCTGCCTGGAAGAAAGCAGGCAGACAATAATGGCAATCAATATTTTCAAATTCAAAAATTGGGCAGATTTTTGTAAGTTCACACACTTTTTATTAACGAAATTTTTTCATTTACAATAGGATATCAGCACTACTTATCCTCTTTATTATATTCACTGATATTCCTCAGGCAGAATCGGTATGTTCTCCTTTCATTGAAAAATGATTGCTTTTTTTTTACTTTCAGCAATTCCGTAGAGATATTGATTGTTCAGTAAGATGTGATTATAATTTCTGTAGATGTTTTGGACCTCAAGGACCGATGGTAAGTAAAATTATCAATCTTTTTATTGTTTCAACTTTGTTAATTATTGACATGTGTATAAAAAAATGTTTATACTGTCTGTATTTTTTGTTTCTAGGGTGATCCAGGTCCTCGGGGACCACCTGGATCTATTGGTCCTAAAGGCTATCCAGGTGAACAAGGACCACCAGGACCAAGAGGTATGAAAGGTGAACCTGGACGTGATGGAGCTGATGGTCCTATTGGAGATAGAGTAAGTATTCATACTATAATGAACAAGTAGCCAAAATATTTCGACTTTAAGTTGTTTGAATTTAGGTAAAGTATTAGTAAATTGTGGAAAATACCCGTCAGGAGATTAGAGACGAAAGAACAAGAAGTTCGTTAGTACAGATATCTTTTCCTGCGATTTCATTCTCTCAAAAGCAGCTGTATAATCGCATTTATGTACATATAGTATAAGTATAGATATTGAAGAGGTTGGACTAGTTTCTTTTGAACTCACAGCTCTCCCTTTTCAACGAATATGGTGAGGGCTTCTGCAGTATAACGAAGTTGGAAACACACTGCTTATGTTAGATTTTGTCTGTTTTGTAAATGAATTTCAACAGTGAGTCATTCTAGATGCTGTGACAGGAGGTTGATGAGGTGTTCAGTTATGGCATTTCTGATTGAGTCAGTGCCTCCTGTTTGCAGCCGTAAGGAATAATGTTTTCTAACATATTTTAAAAGGACGCTCACAGAGCCACCTTTACGTACCCAGTTCCACAGGAATGGGTGGTGATATATTATGCACACTGCAGTGGTTATATGCGGGAGTTTATCCTTCACATTGCTTAGAAGCAATGGGCGACTAGAGGATATCATTCTCAGTGTTGTTACAGATAATGTCTTCTTTAGGGACTGGATGCAGAATGGAGCCGCCTAGAGGTTTAGTGAGAAGTCGTGGCCAGTGGGGTTCACCCTGTCGGCAATAATGACAGGTACTCGCTGATGACACTGGTCAGTGGTCGTGCTAATTACACTGATTGATAAGTGTTAGAATTCGCGAGCTGACCAGTGAACTGAGTTCCAGCGGCTAAATGGTCTACGAGCTTGACTTGTAACTGGGAGGCTGTGGGTTGTAATTTCGACGAGTGAGTACCGCCGACGAGTCCCCAACTAGGACGAAATACCTGTCCATTACTCCCTGTTTTTCAGTGGTTCTCTAACTGATATCAATCGAACTAGAAGCTTGAAGTTTCTGTGCCAGTGGTTTTATTTTTTCTACGGGATGGGGCTGCCGGCCTCATGCCCAACCTTCCTTCTTGACCAGTCCTATTACTGGCTTAGCGAAGTAAACGAATGCCTCTGTGGCCAGTGATCGAATCCCGAATCACATGCGTGGTTGGCGAGCATTCTACCGCTGTGCTACCAACGCTCATACTATAGTTTAGGATTCTTCATCAGCACTTACTCACTAGGTTTCCAACCCAGGATCTTCCGGTCACAAAGCAAGCTTGTAGAACGTTCAACCATCACAAGACCCAATTGGCTATGAATCCCACCTTCCATTAATTCGTGATTCAAGTGTGATTTACCCCACCCAATGTTTTCGACGAGTATTAGTCCTTATGTCCGACATAGTGGATCTCACTGCTGAAAAGTCCAAAGCCAGAAAGAAAGAAATATCCAGTACTCCCTAGTGGTTTCTCAGAGGTTCTCTAACTGGCATCAGCTTGTGGCGATCGAACTTAGAATAAATCGAGTCCCTGCAAATTAGGTCTCTTTAAAATGACTTTGATTACTTCGTAATCATTGCTGGAATAAAGTTCTTTGTTTTGAATAACTTCATAATATTATTTGATCAAAATTAATTACATGCTTATGGTATAGAATTCATATAAATTTGTTGACAGAAAAATCTATTGCAGAATTCACTTAATTTTTTTTCGAAATTTTATTTATGTTCACCAAGAATAGACTTTAACTTATTTATAGCTTTTCTTAATTTATGTGAATGTGCACAACTTTGAGAATTGAATGTTGTCTTAATTAAATTTATAAAACCTGGGAATACTGGACAGCCAGCTGTTTCGTCCTAGTTTGGGACTCTTCAAAACAGGTCTCAGACTCAATGGTCTACGAGCTGGCTCACTTGGCTTGTAACCAGAAGGTCCTGGATTCGAATCCTGGCGTACTTATGAACAGGATCATATTAGTCTTACATGCGAGTAAGAAAGTCGCAACCAGCTAACATTTTTTGACATACTTCCATGTCGAAGAGATGATGGCTCACTAAGACGGTCTATCTACAGAAAGCCCACTTGGACAGAGCAATACGTTAATTTTCTCAGCTTCTGTCCATTAAAGTATAAGAGGAGCTAGGTGAAGTGTCTATTCAAGAGGATTCAGCGTATTTGCACGGCTGATGTTATAGACAAAGAAGACGAAATATTAATGGATACTCTTGTTGAAAACGGATGTCCTTTAAAATTTTTAAACAGGTGTAGAAGTCAACTAGCCTCTAAACCTAAAATCCATACCGTCCCAAAGAAAAAGGTTTTCATCAAATTACCATATAACGGGGAAATAAATAGTAGGATTGTGAGACAAAGGTTGAATTCGATTATCCGTAGAACCTACTATGCAGCCCAGCTTGTAATTGTGGAAAAAGGTAAAAATATGCTTCACTGCAAACTTCAAAAGTGCACAAGTGATTACATCACACCCCACACAATTTACCAATTTTCGTTTGTGTGTGGACATACATACATACATAGGGAGAAGTAATCGAGCTTTGCACCTGAGGATGGGAGAGCATATCCTAAAATGGTTAGGAAAACAGATGAATTGTGACAAGCCAATAGATGCAGGCGTCAGACTACTAACTTCGTCTATAGCTAAACATCTAATCGAGATGAACCATAAGATTGATGTTAGCTTAGCTTTTAAGGTCATCTATAAAAACGGTCAAGAGCGTTTACTGAAATAAGCTGAGGCTGTATCTATCTAATTTACTATTTCCAAGCACTCCTAGTTGATACAATTGGTGGCATACAACTACTCATTTCAGTCAATTAGTAGTATATATAGTTTTCACGTAAATTTATTTGCTTTCTTCATTACCATTTTTCTGTATGAAGCAGATCACACTATGTGATCTGAAAAGCAGAAGCATTTAACTTTGCATTTATTTGTTACTTTATAAAGTTGAATATTTAGAAAGATTATTAAGAAAGAAAGAAAGAAGGATAGCGATCTTGTCGTGAATTGATTCTTTTCTCACTCTCTCTCTGTGTATAGAAATTTAGAAATTCTACTTTGATGATCTGCTGACAGTATATTTACTTGTGCAACTTTTCTTAATTTACTGTCTTTCATTGATAGGGTCCTCCAGGAGACTTTGGACCACCAGGAATGCACGGAGAACATGTAAGTAACTGGCTACAAAGTAAATATTTTTTCTGCATATTTAATAATATGTAATCCAAGTGTTTACAGTATACTTTAACCATTTTCTTCCTCTTTTACTTTAGGGTGAAAGTGGTGAGACTGGTGAGAAAGGAGCTAAAGGTATAGCCGGCTGTCCTGGTGGAAAAGTAAGTCCTCACACACACACACACTCACATTTATTAGGAAACTTTTTTCAATGTATCTTTCCCTTTGTTTGATAACCTTAGGTACAGTATTGATTGAAATCAGTGTGCTTTCGAATTGATTAAATGTGAACACTGCAACTGACTTTACTGTTGTCTTATTTCTCTGTCCGTCTGTGTGTGTGTGTTTAGGGAGATCCAGGAGAGAAAGGTGAACCAGGAAGACAAGGTATGGATGGTGAAAGAGGACCATCTGGACTTGACGGAGAAAGAGGTGATCCTGGTGAATCCGGATTAGGAACTCGAGGGCCACCCGTAAGTTTTTTCTTCAATCCAAATGTTTTCTTCCCCCAGTAAACCTCTATTTTGTTTTTAATCAATGCAGGACATTTATCTTATCTCAGTAATTCTTTGGAATTCCATTGAATGACTTCTAGAAGGCCAATCAGCCTTCCATTCTCTATGGTACAGAATCCCGAAAATCTACTTTACATATGAAGTAGATATTGAACTAGAAAAGCTTCTCACAACTATCTTAGACAATCGATATCCTAGAAGGTTTACTGAAAGAAACATCAAAAAAAGAAATAGTCCCAAACAAGACACTATTTATGAGTTTGTCATTCAAAAGCCACAGTATTTCTGGAGTGACTAATACTCCTTTTTGTAAACTCATTTAACGCTCGTTTTACGCAGATGACTTACAAGTTGAGTACTCTTTCATATGCTCATGTGGAGCTGATTACATTGGACGTTGTAAGCGTGTTCTCTCTCCGTAAACGCTTAGCTGAACACACCCTGCCCTGTTTGATTAATGAAAGGTGAGCATAGGATGACGAAGTTTGCAATTTGTGAACACCTTTTGGAATCAGGTCATTCAGCCCCTGACATGTGATTTATCCTTTCAAGTTACTTACAAGACCAAATCCAATCACTCTGAAAGCTCACGTTTTCTTCACTTATGCATAGTAAAGGTCTAAATACACATGGGCAGAAACCTTAATTATGTATTCAAAAAGCGTTTTGTAAAACGACTTTCTTCACCTTGGTTATAGTGATGTTCTTTTTATTTTATTTTTTTCTGTTTTAACACTTGAATTCATTTCATTTTACTTTATCTTGACCGCCTTTGATGTTATCATCACTGTACTGTTAAGTTTTCTAGACAACAATTGACCTATTATTTTTGAAATATTAATACGAATTCACTTATACAATAACATTAAAAAGTTTTATAATTCATCCTCTTCAACTCTAACCGTCTTAAAACATTTTAATTACCTTTATTCTTAACATGTGTACACTGACTGATCGACATAAGTAAGAATTCTTGGACCATTGAATCAAGTCACAGTGGCTTAATGGTCTACAAGCTGTTTGGCCTGGTATCTAGAAGGTCTTAGGTTCGAGCCCTGGCGATGTGTTGGAGTGCTGCATAGCCTCCGACTAAGATGAAATAGCTGCCCATTACTCTCTGCTGGTTTTCCAATGGTTCTCCAATCGATGCCAGTTCATGACGAGATCTTAAAATTAATCAAATCCCTGCGGAACCAACAATTAGATATTTCTTCGCAGAATGGAACTAAGTTTATCCTTATTAACTAGTGAGTAAATTTCGCTCTATTCAGTAATGGAGAATATAATAGGCTAAGGTATTATTTGATGCGTAAAAACTCTACAAAATGCTATTATAACTATTGTTATGCCTGATCTCTTTCTTCTCTAGGGTCCTAAAGGAGATACTGGTGACATCGGACCAAAAGTGAGTCATCGATACATTACTCTTCTAATTTTATGAATGCATGTCTTTTCATGAGCATTTCTTTAAACGTTGCGATAGATTAATCTGACCTGTGAATTTCAAGGTCACTAGAATTTAGCCCATTCGACTTTCATTTGTAGCCTGCATGACATGCACTCTGTAGCCTTAACAATACAGAGACCGATTGATTCGTCGGCATAGTTAAACTTTAAGCACCATCAACTACCAATCATGTGAATGACCTCGAACGCACCAATCACGTGAAGGAGGCATTTTTGTCTATGGAATACATATATTTATGAAATAAGTCATAACAACTGCATAAAAGTGTTATAGAGGATACCCTTCTCTCACATGTGATAAAAGTAGCTCTCAGTTTTAGGCTGGAGTATCAACAGGGTGTAATTCCATTGTGGGCAAAATTTATTTTGATTAAATTTCATATTGTTATACAGTAATATTTACTGAGCAATAAATTGTGCTGGAAACGTGGTCATCAGTAAATTTTACTTACTGTATAACACTGTGAAACTTTATCAAAATGAATTTTACCCACAATGGGATTATACTCGACCACCACAGTGCACAAGTTCTATTCTTATATCAGCAGAATAATTTAACCACATTCTATGCATGTAATTATTGAGGTCTTCAAACCCTAACAATAACCCTAATCTTTCCTGAACCTGACCCTAACCTGAGAATATCCCTAAACTAACTGTAATCTAACTCGAACCATCCCTAATATCACCTTTAATAAGTTAACCTAACCCTCACTTGTCCTTGGCTTAAAGCATCACTTAATCTTTCCCAAACCTAAGCTGTAACTTATCAGATATCCCATTTAATAACACAACACTTCGATGAGCATATTTTATTAATTGATGACAACATTATGTGCCATGTTTAACAAACTTGCTGAGTGAGCGTTTCAAGGTCACTGGTGCGGTCGCACTCCATTGGTAGTTAGTTTGTGGTGTTTAAAGTTTAACATCACCAATTCACCTTATGTACCTTTCACCATATATTTTTTACTGTCGATTATTTAGGGCGATGATGGAATTCAAGGAGAACGCGGAGATACTGGTCTGCCTGGACTTGAAGGAGATAGAGTAAGAATTATATTTCAATACATATATTTTATAAGGACAAATTGGAAAAAAATAACAATAATACATTGGTGATATTTCATTTTGTTTATTTTATTACTTCATTCAGTGTACACCTATTGAACATTTAACAGAATGACGTAAAAAAGCATACTAGTACCGGCATTCTCAAAACACTTACTAATGAATTAAACACGGGCTATTCAAAAGCTGTAGATTTATAGATGAAACATAAGCAAAAGGTTTCAAATTTAGACTTTATATAGCAAAATGATCCTGCATAAATAGTGAAAAAATATCTAGGTAAGATACAGAAGCAAGAACTGGATCAATTGTTTCTTTTTCCTCTGTGTAATAAACGTAGTGCCTGATTACAGTCCATGAATGCTTACACACTGTCACTTATGAAGCAATTTCTTAGAGAACCTGTAGTAAACTAATTGGTAAAAATTATGGATAAAATGTGTTTTCATAAAGTCTCACAGTGTTATACAGTAATATTTACTGATGACCACGTTTCGAGCACAATTTTTCACAACTCATCATCAAATCGAAGTTTGGTGAGATCTGTCTGCTAGCCGAAATTGGTACATAGCATTTTCGTCAATGTTCACTTCCCAAATCTTCGTCATGAGAAATGAACAAGAACAAAGACTAACTCAAAAACCAATCACAGCAGACTTAGCGTAGGTGGATACGATTGGCAGATTTATGGTCTGACCTTCAAAAAAAATGGCCACAAGAGATGACAGAATAGCTTCCAGTGAGAAAAAGACCAATCAGAAGACGCTGTATCTCTGCTAATAATAAAAATTTATAAATATCTGTTGACTTCCTCAATAAACGATCTGTTTCCTGGCCTTTGTTTTCTGTCGTTACAAAAGTACCCACATAACTTTCTTGCTTCGGTCATATAAATGAGTACGGACCTGCATGAAATATAAAAGAAGATAAAGTAGATTCGGAAACAATATTATTGTTGTCAATAAAATATAACAGGACGGGAAATAAGATCTTAACGACAGAAGGGCCAAGCAACAGATCGTTTATTGAGAAAAAAAACAACAGATATTCACAGATTTTTGTGTGCATTATTATTCGTTATAATTAGCACAGGAGCAGCGTCTTCTAATTTGTTGTTCTCTCGCTGAAAGTTAATCTGTCATCTATTGTGGCCATTTTTTTGAAGGTCAGACCATATATGTGATTACCTTTTTTTTTAAGTAATGCGGTCAACATACTTCTACCTATAGAACGACAAAGGCAAATAGTCTTTCGATTTAGAAACATTTAAAAATGCAGGATTACCGTGAAGCATTGCAGACAGGTTCAAAAGTTAGTGACAGTCGATTAAATTAATTCATCAATGATAAATTATCATTCATTATTCAACCATCATAAGCCCTAAAAACAAAAGAGTTGTGTAGTGGTTAGACTACTCGATAAGCTGCAGATTTTCAACACAAATGTAGAGTCACTTCTTCGATATAATTTCAGAAACGTAGCTCATCACAAAAAGCGTTCCCAACACACTGTAGACTTTTATCAACAACTACCTCCGATCCATGTTAAAAATCAAATGGCCGGATAACAAGAAACTCTGTGATAGAACAAACCAACTAATCAATAGGCGATTGCTCAATAAATATGTAGGAGAACGTGGAAATAGACTGATCGGGTGTACATTGTGGAGGCCGTCGAATAACAACGCGCACAATATAGGCTATCGCTGGAGTAAAGGGTGAATGGGAAGCAACGAATGGGTAGTCTGTGCGAGGGTGACATCGATGAGATCGTTTGGTGAGCAGGAGATATTGAGAGATTATGGACAATCGTGGGCACAGTTGAAGAGGACAGTGGAAAATAGAATGAAGTGGAGATGTGTTGTTGCAGCTCTATGTGCCACTTGGAACTCAAGGCAACAATAATAAAATAATAATAATAGTTGGGTAATATTCACTAGTCGATTAGTGGTTACTACTCTTATTATTATTATTATCTTCACATTTTCCCACTAGGACATAGGGGTTCAGCACAACATACCTATTTAGTCCTGTTTTCTTCAGCATTCTTTATCCGACCCCACAACTGTCCATAAGTAATCATCTCCTCCGTGTCACACTCAGGCACACGCTCAACGCATCGTTTACCATTCAGCATTCACTTGAGCGATGGCCTAGCATGTGACATCATCCAATGGTCTCCTAAGCGCGTATTTTTATCCATCTCCGGTATATTTAATTCAACAATAGATTCTTGATTGCTGGTCGGGGATCTGATTTTCAGTATGGAGCCATTGAATGTGGCAACTGCTGATTAAAACCTCCAGTGGCCTGTTGGAGATGCTTTTCTTGATGTTTCAAGTTTCTGACTCATATGGAAGAAGTGACTGACTTAACATTGATGTTGAAAATCTGAGTGGAGTAGATCTCGAAATTGATTTCCACTGATGAAGGTCTATCTTGCCTTTACGATTCTGGTCTGTTTTGACATCCTTATCGGTGCTGTATACCTGTAAAACATTTAGCTCATAGAGAAAAATTTATCGGTATTCTGTAGTCTATAGTTAGTGGATTTGAATAGCTAAACTTTTCTGGCGAAGTGAGGATGGGAGTGAGGCAAAACTGTCTACTATCTCCAATGATTTTCGTGATTGCAATTAATTGGATAATGCGACAGACAACGGGCAATAAGGAACAGGCATAAAATAGACCCACGCAAAAAACTTGGAGGATCTGGATTTCACCGATGATACATATGTCTGATTTCCCACAAACTGGAAGATATACAAATGAAAAGCAACAAGCTGGCAGAAGAAGCATGAAAGATAGGACTTCAAGTAAACATAGATAAAACAGAGGTGATGAAGATTCTTAGCCAACACCAACAACAACAACAGACGACAGTCACCCAGCATAAATGGGAGGAACCTGAAACAAACAACCTCCTTCACCTACCTACCTACCTGGGAAGCATCGTTTCAACTACAGGCGGTGGAAGTAATGAGGCTATCAAAGTAGGGATCGGGAAAGCAAGACAAACCTTCATTACTCTCAAGTCTGTGAGGAGGTCAACAGCACTCACCATCAAAACGAGTATAGGATCTGGATTTTCAACTCCAATGTGAAGTCAGTGCTACTATACGGATCAGAGAATTGGCGCGTCATAAACAGCATCTCAAACAAACTTCAAACCTTCATCAACAGTTGTCTTCGCTCAATACTCAAGATCAGATGGCCAGAAAAGATCAGAATCATGCATCTCTGGGAGCGAACTAACCAGGAACCGATTGTGAAACAAATAGGCAGGAAGAAATGGAGATGGATTGGCTTTACTCTGAGGAAACCATCAAGTGACATCACTAGACAAGCCATTGCTCGAGTGGAACCCGAAAGGGAAGCGGCGAGTTGGTCGTCATTGCGTGGGTGACATGGAGGTGGTCATGTGAGGAGGAGGTGAAAGCATGTTTGCAAACTTGGAGCGGGGTGAAAAAGCTGGCAGAAAACAGAAGGCAATGGAGAAGCGCAGCTGAAGCCCTATGTTCCTCTAGGAATTAAAGGATATAATAATAATAATAAACTTTTCTGGATGAAAACTCAGCTTAACTTACATGCAGCTAAAATTCTCTGTTATTTGTTATATTTTCTGAGTCACATAAACAACTTTTGTGTATATATATATATATTTTCCATTATTATTTAAGGGTGAAGACGGTGACCAAGGTATAATTGGTGAACCAGGTGAACCAGGCGAAACTATTATTGATGCATATACGCCAGTTAAAGGTGCTCGAGGTGCACCTGGTGATCCTGGTGATCCAGGAAGGAATTGTTCAGTTTCTTCATTGGAACAAGGTCGTCAAGCTTTAATTGGACCAGCTGGTGATCGGGTAAGTTTTGTCGCTTTGTAGGTCATTGAATAGTTGTGTCATTAGGTTGGAGTATCTTGAATTTTCTTTCTTTTGTTAGGATATTTTCCTCTTCTTTACCCTAATTAATCACGATTTAATTTATCACCAAGTATAATTAGTAATAATGATTCATTCAGTTATTGAAATAAACTATTAGCAATAAAATAAAAGTCATAAATTTTTCTGTCTTTCTTCAGCTTCATAAATGTGATTCACATAAAATTTGTCACACTTTTTAATTTAGGTGTGATTTTTGTAAAAATGACTGCTGAATAGTTTGTCTTTGTCTGTCTGGCCTGAAGCGAATCACCTCCATCCTTCGACAGGTGTACAGCATTTGGTTGGACGACAATTCAGACAGGTGTAGGAATATTATATTTTGTTGACTCAGGAACATAGTAGTAAAAGCTGAACAGCTGAAGACTGCGGATGATTCGTTTTATTTTTGATACATTGGCGTCGGTGACACAGCGGTTGAGACTCTCGCCGACCATGCACATGGTCCGAGGTTCGATCCCCTGCCGACACGCACCTGATATCTATGGTCAGCCTGCAAAATTTGGTCTACCGATATCATCACATGCTGAAAATTCCATACTTGTACCAAAAATACAGTGTGGAATCAAGCTGTAATCAAAAATAAATAAATAAAATAAAAGTTATTGGTGGATGGTGACTAGCAATGGAATCCAGGATAAGGTGCATTTAGTCCTATTTGGGACTCATCATCAGCCGGATGTACCTGCATTCCCCAGTGAGTCAGTGATGGTGTTCCCACAGAGGCTCAAACCCAGTGCCCATAGTTTCAAACGCTGGCGCGTTATCCACTAGACCACTTGGACCAGGAGAGCCACCTCTGGTGCAACGGGTCATTATTGAATTCAATTTCAAATTTTCCCGTCAACTAATTGGACCGAAGTGCTCGGTGTAATTCTGCTTTTTCTTAAGTATAAACTTCTAAATCAGCAGGTCGTCGACATTTTAAATACGTCATCATTAGAGGTCATATTTTAATCGAATAAAACAAAGTGAACACGAGAAATTGTATACAATATCATGATGAAGTATTTTGGTAGCCCATGTTTTAAACAGACCGCTTAAACTGTCACATTATTGTTTTTGAAAAAACTTATTTATTTATTTTTCTATTTTTAGGGTGATACAGGTCCTAAAGGATATCCAGGACCGAAAGGAGCAAAAGGAATGAGAGTAAGTGAAAAGTGATCTCAACTCTGTATTGTTGTACGTTTGGTTGGGCATTTTAAAAAGATTAATTCACATGGTAGGACACTGAACAGTCTCGTTCTGTCCCTGACCCTAACCCTAGTTATTATTAGACAGATGCGCTAAATATATAGTCTTTATGAATCAGTGGTTAAATTAAACAAAAAGTGAACAAGGAGTGCAAACGCACCAGTGACCTTGAACGCATATCATTCATTGGATTACAGAATTTGACCTTTATACTAGAGCGTTACTATTAACGCTGTGTATGAATTAAAGTGCAAATTCCATTCTGATTTTCTTTAGATAACGGGTTGATTGGACGTGTTAGGGTTAGGATTAGAGTTAGCGTGTTTTATTATTATTATTACCTGTAATTTCGTTTTGAACAACTTATTTAGTTGAGAGGTGGTCGTTGTTTTTACAGATGATACCGTTTTGATAAAAAAACGAAATTCGAAAACTGATACACCCTTCATTGTAATTCGGAAGTATTTTGAGTTGTGTCAGCAATAATATCTAGAACGACACATTTAAGCGAACAATAGTGTGCCTTCATTTAGATCTCATCAGGCTTAACTCTAATCTATGTAACTTTAAAAATTAAAATATAAACAAATCATAGTGTTTTTTCTACAGGATAATAAGATGGTGAATATAAATTATGGAATTAGTCATAATAGTAATAATAGTAATGATAATAATAATGGTTTTATCAACAATAAGGATGAAAAAGTGAGGCAATCTGTGATAACACGAATAATGAAAAACAGCATGATTAAACAAACAAATGTTCAGACAGACAATAAAGGCTAAGAAAAACAAGTGGACCGATTACGTAATGCTAGGTTGTAAGGGAAGTAAATAAAATATAGTACGTTTTAATGAAGATGTGATAAGATTAAGGCACGATAAGATAGGGGTTGAAAATATAAGTAGCTAAGGGGTGGTGTAGAAGTCACCAGCTGGTTATGTATTAATAGGCCAATAAGGGAAGGATAACGGCTGTACAAACTTCTTTTGAATGAGAATAGTTTAGGTTTAATAGTTCGAATGCCTATCACCTGCCTCAGCTGTGTGCAGTAGACGAATACAAAGTCTGTTTGAAAGATTCGGTGGGATATAAAGAATTGTGTTGAAGGCTCTTGTTTTCTCCACTACATGACCACTATCAACTAAATGTGATAAAATCGAACTATGGATTGTTTTTTTCTGTCCTTTACCAAACCACCACGAAGGGAGATGTTCAGTAGTGATACGTTGGCTAAGCTGTCTAGTAGTACGCTCAACATAACTGTCACTGCAGGTGCAGTTTAATTGATAAATGCTCATAGATGTGGCGAAACTGTCTAGCTTATCCGACGTTTGCGTCCCAATCATTCCTTATTATTAATAAAACCATTATTATTATTATTGTTACTATGATTACTATTATCATAACTACTATTACGACTAATTGCACAATTTATATTCACCACCTTATAGACAAAACACCATGATTGATTTGTATTTGAATTTTTATTTGTAAAGTTATGTATATTAGAGTTAAGCCTGATGAGGTCTAATTGGAAGTAATAATGTCTTAAGCGTTTTATTATTATTATTTTTATTATGCGTATTTTTTTTGTGGAAATGAACGGTTTCTTTCAGTGAAATACGCGGTAAGTCCTGATTGGTCATCTCAAGGTCATTGGTGTGTTCGCGCTGATTGGTCGATATTTTTTCCAAGTTTGCCAAATCAGTTTAGGCATTTTCTGATCATTAATGTAGGGAATTATTTATAATTTTGACTCACACATACTATTAACGCAAGTCTATATATTTGATTATCGAACCTAGCTGCCAACTTTTAGCAAAATATGAATGTATCCTGTTGATAAGTTGTAAGCCATCGATAGTCATCATAAGTAAAATATCACAACACGAACAACAAATATCTTCGGATAATCAACTCCAATGTGAAGTCGGTCAGTTCTACTATACGAATCAGAGACTTGGCGCGTCATAAATAGCACCTCAAACAAACTGCATACCTTCATTGACAGCTGTCTTCACTCAATGCTTCGCTCAAGATCAGATGGCCAGGGAAAATAAGCAACAGTCAGGGATCTCTAGCAATGAGCGAACCAACCCAGCACGAACCGATTGTGCAACAAATAAGCGGGAAAAAATGGAGGTAGATTGGCCATACTCTGAGAAAACAAACCATCAAATGACATCACAAGACAGGCCGTCGCTCGAGTGGAACCCAAATGGGAAGCGGCGAGTTGGTCATCAGTTCGAGGGTGACATGAAAGAGAAGGTGATGTGAAGAGGAGATGAAAGCATGTAGTCAGACGTGGAACCAGGTGAAGACTTTGGGGGGGGGAACCGAATGCAATGGAGACGTTTGGCTGAAGCTCTATGTTCCTCTAGGAATTAGAGGAAACAATAATAATAATATTCAGGATTTCATCATGAGCTGACATTAGTTAGAGAACCATCGGAAAACCTGGGAGTACTGGACAGCTGTTTCGTCCTAGTTTGGGACTCTTCAGCAGTACGTACCCACCGGGCTGTCCAGTACTCCCAGGTTTTCCAATGGTTCTCTAACTAATGTCAGCTCATGATGAAATCCTGAAACCAATCAAATCCCGACAAACCAACACTTGAATAATAATATTATATTTTCCCTGCTATATATTGTGAAATATTATGAATAATTCCTTTTGTTTTTTTTTTCTATTCAAACAGGGTATAGATGGAACTATCGGTCAGCCTGGTGTGAAAGGACAACCAGGTCCAGATGGTCCCCCGGTAAGTGTAATGATTGAAAATCAAGCACCTTTAGTTGACTGTTTTTTTTTTAATTTTTGTCTTAAATTAAGAATTTATGTAATAGGTGGAAATTGAAATTAATGAATTCAATGTTGACTTGCTTTCTCATCACTTGCTTTCCGAGGAGAACATAGGTGGTGGGGAGGCGGTGGCTTCAAGCTTTGTAGACTCAGTGACATGGGGAATAGGTTGTTAGCCTCAGGTCTAACCTTCAGTTATATCTGCGCTGCGCTGCGCCTGCTAATTGGTAATGACGGTAATAAACTCGATGAGTACGCCAATATGCCTATTTGTCTATTATACCTTCCGATTCACTGTGCCACGTAAATATCAAAAGATAAAGGCTGGCCCAGGACTGCAAGATACTGTACTGTGCTGTACTGTACATTTATCAGGAAAACGTCACATGGTATTCATACCTTTTGTTTTTACAACAATAAAGTCGGCTCACAGCCGTGGGGAATAACTGATCACACAAGTCACAATATGCATGAGAAATGATGATATACTTAATATTTTATGCGGGATCCTATCACTTTCCCTCTTTTCATGGCTTACTATTGGTCAGTGAATTAAACAACGATAAGTAATTAACATAGTTATCAATAAAACACAAAATAATTGAGCAAAGAATATCCTTCTCGATAAATTCCTCCTCTTCTCGCTCTACAATTTTATACATATGCATGTTTATATACACAGAATATTCTAGAATGGTAATCAATAACAATATTAGTGTTTTTTTTAAAATAATATCGATTTGTAAAGTAAGATCAATGTAGCTATAGTTCATTAAAAATGTTTAAATAATAATAAAGATATAATAGCATAGAGAATATCAACTAAAATTAGGACAATTCGACAAAGATTCAGGATCATTCAAACCTAGATGGCCAAGGTAATGATAACGCCTGAACTAGCTTCTTTTGGATGCACAAATTAGGTTTGTTATTATGGATCCCAACAGCCAGCCTCAGCAATATTTAGTAGGTTGAACTCTTAAGGCAAAATTGAGATTCATAGGTATGCCGTGAATGACTCTGGAAGCATGGTTAACGTCAATCTTGTGTTCTGTATCCACAAGATAAGATAGTATAGAGCTATGAATGGATTTTGTTTGTCCTTTACTTAACCACTATGCCGGGTGATGTTTGGAAATCCGACGAGAAACACGCCTAATTGTATGGCCTATGCAACAAACTGGCTCACCCACAGGAGCAGTTAAATTGGTAGATACACATAGAAGAAATGAAATTAGGCAGTTTGTGTTTTACTCCCGAACACAAAAGAGAAGTCGGTGGTTTTGAGGACACGGCGTAATTCAGTAGCACCAGGGAGTGCTTTTTTTACCGCATTTCTAAGGCGTTGTGTTAGTATCTCGCTGATGTTATCCCCAAGAAACTGCATTTGTAAGAATAAGGCCTTTTTAGGGAAATGTTGGCACCTTGGGCTGCTTTGAATTTAGATTCATATTCTTACCGATAAACCTTTCTGGATAACCGTTTTCACTCAGCAACCATTTAATATTATTAAGTTCCTCATCAAGACATTCATCAGAGCAGATTGCTCTTGCTGTGTGGAACAAGCTGAGACTGGGTATGTATTTCAAGGGCGCAAAGCTGAAAAAATGAGTATGGTGACCCGTTGATAAAGGTTTTCTTTATACACTTATTCTTATTGTGCCATCCTCTTTTCTGATCATAAGGACGTCTAGAAATGAAATACTGGAGTCTTTTTCTTCCTCACTAGTAAAATTTATTACAGGATGAACCTCGTCAAAATTTATCCAGGATGTCCATTGCTTCCTCCTCATTTTTCATCATCAAAAATGTATCATCCGTGTACCAACAGTAGAATTCAAGTTCATCAATTACATAGTACTAACCCAATTCTTAGTAACAGGTTTTGATGCATCCTTGTCTACATTCGATTCAAGAGTGTCTATTCGAATGGTTAGGCTTGCTGAAGATACTGAATTTTAGTTTATCATCTGACCGTCTTTTGACCAAATAGTTCAAAAAGGTTAGATAATTTGCGTCGAACTAAACTTCTTCTACATCCATTGGTGAAGAACGTAATATACAATAGTATATTCATTGCTAACAAATTTTCTCACACACAGTGAAACAGTATTATTATTTTTTACTGGATGAAGTGCACATAATAATGACAATAACAATAGGGAATATAAATCATCTCAGTACTACATCCATACGAAGAGGGAACCTCGGAAACCTTACGGCGGAGAATTCTTAACAATGCAAGAATGAAAGTGCCATTCAGCCCGTTCTTCCACCCCACCCCACCCCCAAAAAAAAACACCGACTTAGAAACAAGTTAAAGAATCCGGCCAGTGGAGACAATTAAACAAAACAATTTAGTTAATCTAATATCCTGTAATGATTGCTAGGTCAAATACATAGGTCAGAGTAGTGGAACAGGGGCAGTCAGCCTAGCGGAGCACAAAAACCTGGCAAAACTAGATTTGCTGGTGATAATAAGATAGGAAATCTGGAAAATCACCCCGCTATAGTACTGCGTACAACTACGTACATCCATACAACAAAATGGAATAAGACCACAATATTAAAATCCAATATAATAGGGTGGAGGGAGAGATTGATAACAGAAGATGCACTGCATTCACTTGCATAGAATCACAAAATGGGGTGGAACATGGTTGGATTATTTAAAGTTAATACAGTTAAATGGAGAGAGAGAGGTTAATCTCTGGAGTTTTGTTTATCGACGATTCAACACCTTATCACACATGCAATCGGAATGATGCAACGACTATGATACCGGAGATATGGAAATTGGCAACGAACAAAATAAAGGAAGTTGGAGAGACAGAAATAAAGAAAATATGTATAAGGCAAATTGCGAAACCGCGTGACTAAAACTGATATGATTACGAGTAGCAATAATCTATGCTCGAAATCCTGTCATCCAGTTGGTAATACCGCATCACTGTGTGATTATTAAAAAGAAACTTATCTGATATGGAATTATATTCTACCATAGTGGCCAAGTCCTACACTTACACTAACGGAAAGTTTATTATTCGAATCATCTGCAAACACGTGTAATAGTAATGATTCAACACCTATCCGCACGGACATCTGGAAAATTCTAATACCCCTACAACGACGAATAAGAGAGAACAAAGAAAACTAAAAAATTCAAGTTTCGAAGTCGTGTGATTCTAAGAATATGTAGCATGATTTTATAAGGTTATATATATATAGCATGATTTTACTTTTGTATTTTTGGTTGTAAACTTAAACTACTTATTATTTATAAGTAGTGCAATTAAATATTTAAAATTTCATAACCGTTTATTCATTCATAGGGTCCGAAAGGTATAAAAGGAAGCGCTGGACAACCAGGTGCTAAAGTAAGTCAGACTAATAATATTTTTACTTACATCTCATTAAAGATTATTAATTTAATAAATAAGAAATTAGTAGAGCTGGAAGTAACTATCACTTTTTAAAGTTGAAAGGAATCACACTCTATGCCCAAACATAACCGCTTTTGACGTGCACTCCTTACCACTTTGTACCTACAAATCAATATCTGAAGGACATGATCCTATCTAAGGTCTAGTAATTTTGAACTGAGTTTATTTCAAGATGATCTAAACATCGTGGGTTATTCGTGTCAGGTATGTGGCAGTGAATAAATAACGTTTGTTTTTACATTTACAATTCAGGTGACACGCGTTTTGCGAAATAACGTATATTAGATGGTTGGAGACCATCAGCCAGATGCCTTCGACTTAGGTTTCTTGCGTGTAGGCACTCGCCAGTCAGCAAGGTGTATCTGAAATCTTGAAAAAAACCATGTCCCTTCTGAGATTTGAATGAGTGTCACCCAGTACTACAGTCATAGACATTAGCACCGAAGTATTCGGGCTCGAAGTTATCCTCCTGTTGGACTGTATTGGATACTCGGATTGGACACAAGTAACTCGTGTGATGTGTCTAGTCTTTTTGTTTGGTACAGATAAAGGATGCACTGGTAGACTGGGCGGACAAACACATCTATGTCTGATGAAATGTCGAAACTTATAAAAATTAATAACTCACGTATGCTTTGCTGTAATATTGTGTAAAGTTAACTAGTCGTTATATAATTTAAATGCTAAGCAGTCTGAACACTTCAATTTGCATTTGTACATTTGACTGTTTGTGTGGCGAGAGTGTTAAATAGTTACAAAGACTGGGAAAGCACATCGATACTTTCATGAACACTATCCAAAGTAATCTTATGTTTATGAAGGATATACAAATTGCATATACCTACATAATCGCTCTACAATTTCATTTATGATAATTAGATGCAAGTAAACTTGTTCTCTGTAGGGACTGAAGCCCACTTGGGTTATGGTCTGAACCAAGGTAACCAATCTATGTGCGTTACTGTATAGCTGACCTGAAATTCCTTGAGTTAGCCGCAGTCACACATCGACAGAGAAAAAACAGTTATTTAAAATCAAATCAATTGGTACTATCTAACAACATATTTGAAGGTAACAAATTCACCACGAGAGAAGCAGAATTAGATAACAACATCCCATTCATAGATGTCATAATCAGGAGAACTAACACAGGAAATTTAGAAACACAAGTATGCAGAAAATCAAGGCACACAAAGCAAATACTCAACTATACCAGCAATAACCCAATTACTCATAAAAGAAATTGTGTGCAGACATTGTTTAAAAGAGAGTTCAAACACAATGTAGAACTCCAGTGTTGAAAAGAATGGAAGAAAAATACCTAATAACTGTCTTCAAAAGAATGGATATCCGCAAAATTTCATCAAAAAGTGTTTAAAGTCGAATCAAAACACCAACAACGAACCATCATCAAGGAACACAAGAAAATTCATCCTACCATATATCAGAAAAAATATCTCTGAAATAACACCTGGAATATTAAGACCATTTGAAATAGATATACCACACAAGCCAGCCAGCCAGCGAATCACTTCATTCGATATTGTGCAAACTAAAAGATCCAACAGGAAAAGAAAATAAAACTAATACCATTTACAAAATAGATTGTATAAACTGTAACAGGCATTACATTGGCCAAAGTGGGCATCCCTTTCAAATAAGAATCCAAGAACACAAGCCTGCCGTGAAAAGACATGATATATACTCTTCAGTATCAGTGCATATAGATAATTATGGACATCAGTTTGATTGGGATAATGTCTAAATCTTAGACAGAAGAAACACCAGAATCGCAGTAAGGGAATTCCTAGAAGTCTGGTACTCAAACGAATATGCAGTTAACAAACACGTTAATATAGACCAAATCTACCAACTAATAAAAAGTAAATCATGTGACTAGAAAGTTTAAAATCCAAGTCAACATAAAATGATGAACACATATGTAAAGATGGTTACCAGGAGACGCCATTCTATCACTCATGGAAAATTTAAACCAGTTCAGTTTTGCTAAAAATTGCACTGAAGATGTTGTCCAGAAGGTGGACGACAAAATCTCTGCGACTCAACCAACCAGCTCAGAAAACGTTACTAACTGCAAACAACATCAAAAAGTCAAACTTACTTAAACAACAATATCGTTACACAGCTATACAAATTGAATTATTCTTCAAGTACAAAACACGTACTGTAAAACAAAATCAGTCAGTCAACCTTCAGCTGTATAAAAAGTACCAGAGAATCAAGTAGAATACTCCGCAACAAGGTGTCAGATCAAACTTCTGTCCACAACAATCACACAGGAAACAATTCTCGCACACAGTTCAATGTTAGAATGGCCTTGATCCACTCAAACAAAATCAAAGTCATCAAATAACATATTATCAATCATTATCGACACACACACACACACACACAACGACAAAGAGAAGCGGTAAAATTGTAGATTAAACAATTACAATGACATAAGCAATAGATATTAAGTCGATAATCTGATCTGCAAACATTATGGTAATGATAGAAAGGCCAGGATAAGATACAAAAATAATTACAAGGTACCATACGTATGTCGGTGGCACAGTGGTCAGGATTCTTGACGACCATGCACATGGTCCGGGGTTCGAGCCCAAACCGGCGCACACCAGATATCTATGGTCGGCCTGCGAAATTTGGGCTACCGATATCCATGCTGAAAATTCCGTACTTGTACCAAAAATACAGTGTAGAATCAAGCTGTTACCAAAAATAAAAAAAATGAAAATAAAAAAAATAATAATAAAAATAGCTCCTTTTATCAGTTTGGTGAATAAAATAAAGAAAGAATATATTTGCAGGATAATACGAGCTCGTTTTAATTTCAATGATTCTTTCCAACTGTTTACATGCTAAACAGTATCAAGATTTAGGCTTTAACTGGTGAATGGTAACTAGTAGCCGATGCTCATTTCATCCTATTTGGGAGTCGTCATCTGGAAATATCTGCACTTCAGTCCAATTAATCAACAGGAAAATCTAAAATTCAATTAAATAATTAATATGACCCATTGCACAAGTGATGGCTGTCAAGGCCCAAGTGGTCTAGTGGATAACGCTTTGACTGGTGTTTGAAACTATGGGCATTGTGTTCGAGCCTCGGTGGTAACATCATCAATGACACACTGGGGAATGCAGGTACATCAAGCTGATGATGAGTTCCAAATAGGATAGCCGAAATGCGCATCCTGGCTTGATTCCACTGCTAGTCACCATCCACCAATTAAATACTAATTAAATGTTATGCTTTTACGAGTTGATCACGGATTGATATCAGTTAGAGAACCATTGAAAACCAGCACTGGAGTCCTGGAGAGCTGCTGTTTCATCCTAGTTTGGGAATCATCGGCAGTACGCACCCACTGGGATTCGAACTCGGGACCTTCCGGTTACAAGGCATGCTCGTATTCCTGAGTTCTAGTGAGAAGTCGTGACCAGTGAGGTCCAGTTAGATGTCACGTGTGTGGATGGATGTTCCACCAACGACAATGGTTGGGATCGCGCTAAGTCACGAATTGGTAGAAGTTGGAATTCATGAGCCATTAAATCGGGTTCCAGTGGCTGAATAGTATACGAGCTTGCCTTGTAACCGGGAGGTCCTGGGTTCGAATCCCAAACTAGGATGAAACACCAGCTGTCCAGGACTCCAGTGTTGGTTTTCAATGGTTCTCTAGCTGATATCAATCCGTGATCAACTCGTAAAAACATAACAAACCTTTACAAAAACGAACTATAGAAAACTAATTAAATGCCCAGACATTGTCGAAGCATCTCCACAAGAGGCCGATATGTCAACCTGAGACCGACCACTTCGGTCCAATCGATCGATGGGTAAATCTAAAATTCAACTAAAGTATCGAAAAATAACTTATAACGTTTCCAAACACCCACTTTTTCCCAGTGACGTGGAGTTACAGAGAATAAAAAGTATGTCCAGAGATTCTGTAATTCATATTTTCATACTGTTTATAGCGTGTAGGCAGATGAAAATGTGTAGGTGAAATAAAACCAGCTTGCATTATCCTGCAAGTATGAAGGAAAACAAAGAAGTCGATGCTAGAGCATTACAATTATCTTTTCTTTAGATCACAAAGATAACAAAATTGGCGTTTGTAAGATAAGATATATTTTTTGAATGTCAATATGATTAGCAATCTTTTTTATTTTTCTTAATTTCTTGCTTTCTTTTAGGGTGGTCAAGGACGTGATGGTTTAATTGGTGATCGTGGTCTACCCGGACCTAAAGGTTTACCTGGAGATCCTGGGGCGGATGGATTACGTGGACTTATCGGTGACCCTGGTGAACCTGGTGTATGTGAAAAAACTTTTGCATGGAAATTTTGATGTGCAAAATAAAGTTTTAATGTCTTTTTAACAGGTGGAGAATGGGAGGCCTTTATTACTACTACTATGAATAGTAATAATAATATTGATCTGCTTTATTCCAAAAAAATAGTACTTATATTACGGCATGGGGGGTTCGCTCGAGGGGTCGAGGGTTCGTTCCCCTCCGGAGCGTCGGCGGCACAGCTGTTAGGACGCACGCCTACCATGCCCATGGTCCGGGTTCAATCCGCGGCCGACGCACTCTTTTACCTCGCTAGGCCAGAAATAATGCTGGTAAAAAGGAAAGGTTGGGCATGAAGATAGCAACCTCATCCTGTAAAATTAAACACTGCTACAGAGACTTCAAGCGACTAGCTTGAGGCCCTATGTTCCACTGGGAACGTGAAGGAAAGGGAACAAATATTACGGCATGAAGTTTTTAGCAGTTGTCACAATGTTGTATCTAATCTACTCAGAATATAAATAAAACTAACCAAAATGACGCTCCCACACTAACATTAATATGGTGAGAGCTACTTATAATCTGATATCAGTAGTAGGTCAGCAAAAGAATTCAGAAAAGTAACAATATTTGGTTTGGACACTGGAAAAAAGGCAATCGAAGTAGAGGACTAGAGGTACTCTAAGTTTCAGGGCAAGAGTATGAAGGCACATCTTATCTCGGTTTTTCAGAGATTGCATTTGCTTTACTTTTAGAATTAGAAGCTCTTGAAACATTTCGAACAAGTATTGTTTGGTTGATAATATACATCAAAACTTCATTCATAACCGTTTTTCTGCTACTACTGTGCATTTTATTTCAATTTTATTAACTATTCACCACTACTGTTAACATAAAGATATATATATATATACTAGGGAACAGCAGAGTGTACTGGAGTTCTACCTGGACGACCTGGACAACGTGGTATACCTGGAGAACCTGGAGATAAGGGGATTGCTGGAATTCCTGGATCAGTAGGCGATCGAGGATTGAAAGGTTTACTTGGCCCACAAGGACCAGTTGGTGATCCTGGAGCTGATTGTCCTATTGGACCACCTGGTTTACCAGGACCTAAAGGATCACCGGGTAAATACGAGAGTTTTTCTTTTATAACTTTCTCCTCATATCTCCTGTTTGTGTCAATTGTTGACAGTGTACATTGTTACTATTATTTTATAATGAAAACCTTTGTCGTGGTGAATAAGTGTGTTTAAAAATGCCGCTTACAAGAAAACCATTCCACTGCTAATAGTGATAGTCGTTATGTGACAGAATGAAAAGTAATAATAGAATAATTATAATAGCGATTTGCTTTATTCCAAAACAGTACTTATGATGCAGGCTCATACTCTTAACATTTGCCTCAAACTATCTATTAACATCAAATCAGTATGCACCGTGATGAGGCGAGCTACCTAGAATGATGGCCACATTGCAAACCTAACTGACTGATAGAATTCAGTCTGCACCAAACAACAGACTAGACATATCACACTAGTTACTTACTTTACTTTACTTCGGCTATCTCCTACGGAAGGATGAGTCGGCTTCATGAACCATGAAGTTTCATGGGAATTGGGTACGAGTGATGTCCCCAGCATAGCTCGGCCTTTTGTTTGAGAGTGCAGCTCTAGCCTTTACACAACCAAGTGTGACCTACAAGGCAGTAGGAGTGGAGTAGGGAGTCCACTATCCATTGGCAGCCGGTGACCGGAGTCCGGTTCATACGCCTTTTTGAATGGGGCCAGTCATCCAGGGCATCCAATAAGCCCTTTGTCCATATGTCTAGTGGTGAACTCCGGTGAGCTTCATACGCCAGTTGTTGGAGGTTTGGAATCAGGGTTTAGCCATCTCCCCTAGACTGTCATCCAATGGACAGTTAACCTGGTGAAGAGCGCCGGGCATCCGCTTTTGCCCTCTCACTTTGGTGAAAAACACTTCCGCCACGTGAAGGCAGTGAGTAGGACTTCCTCAGGAGAGGCTATGTAAGACGCCCGGTCATATGGGAGCATTTCAAGAGGTGTACGGAGGGGTGGCCAACCCGCAGCGCAAGACACCCACCCCCGACCATCCTGAGGCTTTGGAGGCTATCACACTAGTTACTAATGTCCAATCAAAAATATCCAATACAGTCCTACAGAAGGTCATTTGCGAGTCCGAATAGCTTAATGGTAACGTCTCTGACTGCAGCTCTAACTGGGTGACGCGGGTTTGAATCTCAGAAGGGACATGAGTCCCTTCAAGGTTTCGGATACGCCTTGCTAACAGGTGAGGGTCAACTAACACGAAACCTAAGTCGAAGGCTTCCTGTGGCCGATTGCCTCCAACTGTTTAATATTATTATTATTCCCTAGGTTCCGAGTGGAACAACACATCTTCAACAACACATCTCCACTTAGTTCTATTTTCTGCTGTACTTTTCACCTGGGTCTACGACTGACCATAATCTCTCATCTCCTACTTCGACTCACTCGTCGCTTCACATTGGGATTACACTCGAGTGATGGATGGCCTGCATTGCGCGCGATGTCATCTGACGGGCTCCTCAACGTATGCCCGATCACTTCATCTCTACTTTCTCTTACATATTTGTGGAGCAATCGCCTCTTGGTTGGTTTGTTGCCAGCCAAAGTTTCTTGTTGCTAATTCTTTCCGACCAGCTGGCAGGCCATTTTATCTTCAGTATGCAACTAGCCAGTGAAGATGGCAGCTGTTGATAAAAGTCTTCAAGAAGCTGATAGACACATTTTTCGTGACACATCAGCCAAGTTTCTGTCTCGTATAGAAGAACCGACTGACTGTTTTCATATGTGTGTTGAGAATCCGAATATTCTTGTTGTTTTTATGCTGACTGGCTGAGTGCAGTGCGGAAGATTTCCAGACTGCTTTCACATTGATGAAGGCGTATCTTGCCTTTAAGATCCAGCCTGATTTTCACATTGTTTTTCGTTCCAGATGTCTGTGGTTGAAACAGTGCTTCCTGGCCAGATAAATGGAGGCAGTGTCCTCTATAAATTCTCTCCCATTGCTGGTGGTTTGTGTTAGTTGCTGCTTCTCTACTGGTGCGTGGTTATCCCAACCACCTCCATCTACTCTATGTTGATCTACAGTCCTGTCTTCAGTGCCTGCTTCTACAACCACTTTGTTGATCTTCACCTGCAAGTCTTCCAGTTTGTGCAGTATGAGACATAAATCATCCATGGGTGAAATCCAGATCTTCTAGAGTCTTCTTATCTGTGTTTCAGAATATTTCTGTTTTCTCACTCCCTCAGTCACAGTCTGACTCATAATCCAGTCCACCACCACAAGAATTAGGAATATCACATTGGAGACAATAGACAGCCGGCTTGTCTTACTCCTGTCGTCTTCTCTTCGAACGCCTCGTTGAGTGATTTTTCCGTCTGCTGATCACCTACACGTGGCAGATATTATCATGTAGCTAGCTATTGTTTGAGGCTGATAAAGACTTGAGCATTGTAGTTTCCAGAATACTTCCCAGTCAACGCTTTCAAAGACCTTTCCAAAGTCGATGAAGTAGATGTAGAGGTTTGGCTGCTATTCTAGGCTTTGTTCAGTGACTATGCTTAGAGTTTCAATTTGATCAGCACATGATTCACCTTTACTGAATACAGCTTCTTCTGGTTGGTGGGGTGGAACCCTGTATCCAGTACATCTTTTATTGTCTCTTTAGGATGACACGACTTAGTATTTTACATGGCATGGCTGGACAAGAGCATTATTCCTCGCCACTTCTTGTAGAGGCACAAATGATAGTAGTTATGTGACAGAATGACTAGAATCACAACCCTTAACATCCGTCGAAATGTGATATAGACCTTTTTGAGTAGCACAGAAAAGACGAAGTTGGAAGGGACAATAAAGAAAAATAGGTAAGATGTAAGAGTTAACTGAGTATAAACGTAGAGTTATAGTGAAGCCTACCTGATTGTCTTAACTTATTAATGTAGTAAGTCAGACGGAACATTTTCCTAGAAATCGACAAGATATGGGACGATAAAGAAAAATTACAGAAAATAATTAATCCAAGGTATTTTATGCTTGAAGTTGAAGTCAGCTGCCTGACGTTTGGTTGGATTTAACTTAAGACCATTTAACTCAGAACGCTGGTTGATATCCGACAAAAAAAACTATATACAGGATTTCATCATGATCTCACATCGGTTAGAGAATCATTCAAAAACCTGCAGGAAGTATTGGACAGATGTTTCCTCCTAGGTTGAGGCTCTTCATCAGTACGCACCTACCGCCAGGGTTCGAACCCACAGCCTTCCGCTTACAAGACAAGCTAGCTCGTAGACCGAAAAGTCATTGGGACCCGAAGCAGATCCAAAGTTGATCTCGTTAGAAAGGGGCAAGTCATATAGGCAGAAAGAAAAAGAAAAGAAAGGGAGAATAGCACCTTGCATGGACACCGACTTTCTATGTGATAACTAAAATCCTACAAGTCTAAATGAAAGCTATGTATTTGTTGCTGTTTTTCTTTTTCTTTTCTTGATGAATTTTGTAGGTGATGATGGTAGACCTGGCTTACCTGGACTTCCGGGAACTCCTGGCGACGATGGATTACCAGGAGATAAAGGAGACCCAGGTATTGGTCACAGAGGTGCACCAGGAGATCCTGGAGACAGAGGTTATGATGGTCCTCAAGGTAAGCTATGAATTAAAGAATTTTTTAGATGATATATGTATATATATGATTATTTGGTGGGTAGACGAATTATGAAATACTTCTGTAACGACAGAAGACTAGGGTCAAGAAACAGATCTTTTATTAAGGAAATCAACAGATATTTGTAGATTCCTATGTAGATTATTATTCGTTATTATTACCAGAGAAACAGCGTCTTCTGATTGGTCACTTTCTTTCTGAAAGTTAATCTGTCATCTCCTTATGGCTGTTTCTTTGAAGGTCACACCATATATATATATATATATATATATATATGTGAATCGTATCCGCCCACGATAACCAAGTCTGCTGTGATTGGTTGTTGAGTTAGTCTTCGTTTTTCTTCTTTTCTCATCATCAAAATTTGGGAAGTCAACATTGACGTAAATTGCTCTCTGCCAATTTTGGCTAGCAGACAGCTCTCACCAAACTTCTAGCACTGTACTGAAGTACAAGTGAAAATTCGTCTTCTACTAGTTCACACATCAAGCAATGCTGGCTTGGTAACCAAGTTAAGTATGATTGATGAAGCTCACTAAAATGTATAGGCAACTTTGAGGGCTGGTGAGGGGGGACAAATAAATCAGATTTCTTCTTATTAATCTCCACAGCTTCAGATATGACCAAGAGACATAAACGTGCACCTTTAGGTAGACTGTTTGGTAGTCGATACACAACCGTGAATGGCTCGTCTATTTTGATGCGATATTCATTGTCCACAAAATAAGACAAAATAGCACTATTTATTGATTTGATTACTCATTTTCCAGGGCCGATTGTTAGATTTTTTCATGTTCATAAGTATGTAAAGATAAATTCCTCTAAGGACAACCTATTCTACTAGCTATGCATTTATACAACAGGATCACAGTAATAATAAACTTTTATTATGCCTGACACTAACTCGCTGTCAACTTTTTCTTATAGGCCCGAAAGGTCCAAAAGGTTTGAAAGGTGAACGTGGTTTACCAGGTACAAAAGGAGCTGGTCGACCTGGTCCACCTGGTGAAAAAGGTGAACGTGGCTTAGATGGTCTTGCTGGAAAACACGGGAAAGAAGGACCGCCTGGACCACAAGGTTAGTTTGTCTATCTTCAGTATCTACAACTTGGGCTGCCTTTTTTTTATTGAGAATAATCAAATCATCAGGATTTGATTATGGGTCATTTATCATAAACTGTTGGTTTCTCGCCTTTCAGCATATATCAGTCAAGTGTACAGGAGTATTTAGAGAACTAAATATGCATAAAGTGAATACTCACAATTATTCACGGTTGCTAAACAGGTCATCATTACTTCAATAATTCCAATTACATCTCATGGAGACTGAGTTGATAGATCGATTAAAATGCTTGGAATCGTTCCATTATGGGTAAATTTTTGTTTTGATAAAGTCTCACAGTGTTGTTACACAGTAATGTTTACTGATGACCACACTTCGAGCACAATTTATTGCTCATAGCCATGTCAAGGTACTTAACAGTTAACGGATGAGATGAACTAAAGTCTAAATATCTATTAGAATGTTAGATTATAAAATAAAACCAACAGAAGAAAGTAAACTGTACACTAGAGTTTACAAAACACCAACGCATTCTAATAGATATTTAGACTTTAATTCATCTCATCCATTAACTGTCTGTGAAGGCTGGCTTAGTTAAGTGTCTAACAAACCGAGCAACATTATCAGTGAGTAGTACAAAAAAGACGTAAATGATGAAATAAAACACATAGAAAAAGCGCTGGTATCAAATAACTATCCTATCAAATTCATTAGGAAGATCAGTAAAGACCAAAAGCGAAATAAAAATAATTGTAAAACTAGTAATAATAATATAAATAAGGGTGAATATAAGGCATCTACTATTACACCATATAAGGAGGGGACATCTGAGACCCTACGTAGGATTTGGAATAGAGCGGGAATTAGGATGGTGGCATTCAAACCTACAGACTCACTCAGGTAGGACAAGACCCGGTGGACTCAATAAAATAAAGTAATATAATTTTCATAATACCCTGCAACGACTGTGTGTTAAGTCGACTACATAGGTCAAACTAGTAGGTCGGTAGTAATCAGATTATCGGAGCATAAGAATTTAGCTAAGGTTAGAATGTTTGACCCCGAGAAGATAAGTAATTTAGAAGAAAGCTCAGCGATTGCAATGCATACATTAACACACAACTACACAATACGGTGGGATAGAGTTAAAATTCTAAAAAATAATCTAGGTAGGTGGAGATACAGAAAGGTTGGTTACTTAGTCCTTGTTCATCGAGTCTACACCCAACACATGCAATAGGAATGACTCATCACTCATACCGGAAATAGGGATTATACTACTACCAATCAAATCAAGCGATGAAAAATAATGGAATCATATAAACAAGGTTATGCGTCGGTGGTATAGCGGTTAGGACGGTCGCCGACCATTCACATGGCCCGGGGTTCGATCCCCGGCCACAGACGCACTCCTTTATCTCGCCAAGGCAGAAATAATGCTGGTAAAGAGGAAAGGTTTGGCGTGAGGCTAGCAAATCCATCCTGTAAAATAAACACTGCTACAGAAACTTCAAGCCACTAGCTTGAGGCCCTATGTTCCACTGGGGAACGTGAAGGAAAAAAAGGTATCAATGAAGTTAGAAGGTTGTGTGAATAGTCTCTTAATATGATTATGTGCAGTAATAAATTGTGCTGGAAACGTGGTCATCAATAAATATTACTGTATAACAACAGTGTGAGACTTTATCAAAACAAATTTTACCTACAATGGAATTATACTCGACCACCACAGTGCACAAGTTTTATTCTTACATTCCTAAGAATCGTGTTATTTGGGTAGAAATCATTAGGAAATATTTTTTTCTTGTCAGACCACTTGTGATTCTCTCCAGGTCTCATATCAGTGAGATTTTAACTCCTGTTCTAGCAAAACGTAACCTAGAATGTGAGGATTTGAGCAAGTAACGCTGTATGATGTCTGATATTATTTCTCGCCAAAATTAAGTTTGCATGTAGAAGAACTTTTGATACTACTCTAGATGTTATCTGTAAAGCTCCAACAGACAATCAATAACATTTAGAATACGATACCAGCATAATTTTTGGATATAATTACTTCACTTGTTGAGAAAACAGATTACACGCAAAAAAATTCGACAGGTGTCGACAAGTGTAGCGTGTGAGTGAACTGAATTACTGCACACACACACACACTTATTCCCCTTGATGAATTCGAATAAAGCAAGAACAAAAGTGGTTTGTGCAGAATAAGATGCTAACATCATCTATTTCGTTGGCTTCTTATCATAAGCTGTGTACAGTCTAAAGAAATTAGCTGTTACCTTGACGTGGTGGTCTCCGGGCTTTAAGCACTTCAATGACACAAAAATTTACGCTGGCTGAAATTAATGTTCCTGCTGATCCTACCACGCCAAGAAGATTGTTAGGATAGCGATTAGACAAAAAGCAGCTACCGGCATAGTGTAAGATTTATCTTTTACACTATGCTGGAGGTCTGTGGGCAAAGTCGTACTCTTAAGGAACAGAGATGTAACAGCACTCTAGAGAGAGATCGAGAGGGGATTAGAAAAGGTCGACCCCCAAAAATTGTACACCCCGACTTACCCCACCTACGGTGGTCCATAACCGGTAGTAAGTAACTAGTACAGAACCAAACCAGAAAGCTAGTTCATACGGACAGTGTGTGACCGCCCTCAGGCATTTGTTCTCTGAGCTCCGCGGTTGGTTACACAGCATTAATTCTCTTTGTGTTTTAGGTACCTCAAGAATAAATCAGTCAGTCATTATGTTTGTGTACAGAACGATTTCAACTTCCAAATGTTAAATAATGTCAGTCGATGACGGGAGACTTTAAACGTAATGAATAGTGCTCAAACTATGCCCAGAAAGTCCAAGTTTAAACAAAAAATTAAATGTTTACATACAATGGAAAGACTTTTGTAATAAAGTCAATAGGTGAACAAGTTGATGAGTAACTAATAAGTCGAATGACAGTGTGATTGGTGAGTTCAACTCAAATCATAGAAACAAGAGACAAGCACAATTACACTATATCAAAGAAGAGACAGATTAAACCTAAATATTGCGTAATCAAATGAGGGAGAGAATAAAGGCACCCAGTCCCCAAGTGGGCAAGATAAAACTGATAACTGCTGAACACATAAATCAGTTTTCAAGAGTCTGATAGTGACTGCCTTCAGCAAACCTAAGGAGAAGCGAACTTTTTTACCTATTGATAATTTTGAAGGGTTCTGTGATGTCTGCCTTCTGAAGCGTATTGATGAGATGTCTAGTTATAGGACTACTGTGAGCGTTTGTTACCTTGAGATATAGGCTCTTTGGTAAATGTTCAAAAAACCGAAGGCGTGCCCTAGTTCCCGTTCTCTCAATGTTACTGCTACCACAATTACACGTTAATGTCTATATGAGAAGGGTATCTGTAGACTTTGGATTACACCAAAAGGCCATGTTGTCCGATATACGCTAATCAACGCAGCCCATGACGAGAAGGCAAAGAAATAAATCTTATTCTGCATGAAATATTGTTCTTGCTTTATTCATAGCGATAAGACTTTTATCAGCCACAAAAATAATCTCTGTTGTCTCAATAGAATCCAGTTGATCTATTCTGATTACTGTATGCCACTATTCTAGGTGCACCTGGTGAACGATGCAGTTTATGTAAACCTGGTATACCTGGAGCAAAAGGTGAAAAAGGTGATCCTGGTCCAGCTGGTCTTCCAGGTCCTAGAGGACGCGATGGTGCCAAGGGTGAACGAGGAAGTCGTGGTGCTCCTGGCAACCAGGGTCGTATGGGTTCTCAAGGTTATGAAGTAAGTTGGTTTTATTGAATTAATTACAAAATAAGAATGTCGTATAATAGAGAATATCTGTGGCTCAGGCGGATGACTTGCAATTAATAGTGTTCTCTCAGCTGGTTGGTTTAGTTGCGGAGCTTTCATCGTCCTCCTTCTGGACAACATCCCCCTTCAGCGCAATATTTAGCATAAAGTGAAATGATTTCAATTTTTCATGAGTGATATTATTGCTTCTCATCTTTACATGTGCATTGATCATTTTCTATTGACTTCGATTATAAGCTTTCTCATCACATGATTTACTTTTTATTAGTTGGTAGATTTCGTCGATATTAACGTGTTTGTTAATTGCATATTCGTTTGAGTACCAGACTTCTAGGAATTCCCTTACTGCGATTTTGGTGTTTCCTCTGTCTAAGATTTCGACATTATCCCAATCAAACTGATGTCCATAATTATCTATATGCATTGATACTGAAGAGTATATATCATGTCTTTTCACGGCAGGCTTGTGTTCTTGGATTCTTATTTGAAGGGGATGCCCACTTTGGCCAATGTAATGCCTGTTACAGTTTATACAATTTATTTTGTAAATGGTATTAGTTTTATCTCCTTTTTCTATTGAATCTTTCGGTTTTCACAATATCGAATTAAGTGATTGTGTTGACTGGCTTGTGTGGTATATCTATTTCAAATGGTCTTAATATTCCAGGTGTTATTTCAGAGATATTTTTTCTGATATATGGTAGGATGAATTTTCTTGTGTTCTTTGATGATGGTTCCTTGTTGGTGTTGTGACTCAATTTTAAACACTTTCTGATGAAATTATGTGGATATCCATAGTTTTTGAATATGGTTAATAGGTATTTTTCTTCCATGCTTTCCAACGCTGGAGTTCTACAGTGTGCTTGAATTCTTTTAAACAATGTCTTCACACAGTTTCTTCCGAAGTAATTGGGTTATTGCTAGTATAGATGAGTATTTGATCTATGAGTGTGTCGATTTTCTATATCCTTGTGTTTCTAAATTTCCTGTGTTGGTTCTCCTGATTAAGACATCTAAACATAGGATTTTACTATCTAATTCTTCTTCTCTCATGGTGAATTTGATGTCTTCAAATATGTTGTTTATAAATTTATGGGTATAAATTAAATCATTTCTTTTAATTATTACAAATGTATCATCAACGTGACGTACCCACAACACAAGAGGTGGCCCTCGTGGCCCAAGTGATCTAGTGGGTAATGCCTTGGCGGTTGAAGCTATGGACACTGGGTTCGAGCCTCTGGTGGGAACATTATCACTCACTGGGAAATGCAGGTATATCCAGCTAATGATGAATCCCAAATAGGACGAAATGAGCATTTTAGATTCCACTGCTGGTCACCATCCACCAATTAATTTCTAATTCAATGCCCAGACATCGTCGATGCATCTGCACAAGAAGCCAACATTTCAACCTGAGACCGAGCACTTCGGTCCAACCAATCGACGGGAAAATCAAAAATTCAACTAATTTATAAACCACTTTAAAATTTTGGAGCGCAGTGCCTAAGATATTTGTCAACCTTATTCAGCAGCCATGTGATTAAGCCACATGTTAAATAATCCACAATGTAAAGCTCATAGAAGCCTTTGAATTGAATATACCAGAGTAAAACAAGGCTTCCTACTATCCACAACGAGATAGCTAGTTGTGATGGACTGGGTCATGCTGAACACTATACGTGCAAGCGACAAGGCAGAAATGCATTTGACCGATAAGAATGCTCTAGAATATCTGGACTTCGCGGATAATATCATGTAAGTTCGAGGACTTACAGGTGAAAACCCACAAGTTATAAGAAGGAGCAGTCAGTGACGACAAGACTTCAAAAGTAAACATAAAGAAGATGCAGATGACGGGGATAACCACCCAACCAACCAACCAACCAACTACAACAAGTGTTCAGTCCTTTACATTTCTCACCACATAGTATCGTTTCAACTCCAGGCAAACTGCACAAATGACAGTGTCATAAACAAAGTCAGAAGGACAAGACAACCCCCATTGGCCGCTGTGAGATCCCTTTCGAAATCTTCGAGACTCAGCATAAAGAAGGAAATGCGGATTTTCAACAACACCAATGTTGAGTCATTCACTTCTTCTTCTTCTTCTTCTTCATGCGTGGGAGAAACTTGCCTGATGTGTCGGTAAAAGCTGATTCTGTCTTCGTTGGCTCCATACTGAATATCAAATGACAAATAAGAAAAAACTAGAGACAAGAAACTCTGGGGATGAGCCAATTAGATACCTACTGTTCAACAAATATACCGAGAGAAAAATGGAGGTGAATCAGAAACATTGTGAGGAGAGTGATGAGTGATATCACGAGTGGAGTCAGAATTGGAAACAACGTGTCGGGCATGTGTCTAAGTGTGACACTGAACATATTGTCATCTTAAATACGGAAATTATTTCAAAACTTGCCTCTTCTTTTAAAAATAAATATATGAATGGAGATAACGAACCTCATTTTATAATGATCTCTGTATGAAAGTTAATCTATTACTTTTAATGAGTTGATCACGGGTTGATATCAGTTAGAGAACCATTGAAAACCGCCAGAGAGTACTTGACAGCTGTTTCATCCTAGTTCAGGAATAATCGGCAACACGCACCCACCAACAGAGTTCGAACCCAGGACCTTCCAGTTACTGTCCTGACTTGCTACAGGATGGAGTTTCCTGGTGTCAGTTCTAGTGAGAAGTCGTGACCAGTGAGGTCCATCCAGATGTCACGTGTGAGGATGGATATCCCACATACGACATTGGTTGGGGTCGCACTAAATCATAAATTGGTATAAGTTAGAATTCATGAGCCATTGAATCAGGTCCCAGTGGCTGAATGGGGTATATGAGATTGCCTTGTAACCAGAAGGTCCTGGGTTCGTAACCCAGTGGGTGCGTACTGTCGATGACTCCTGAACTAGGATGAAACAGCTGTCCAGTACTCCCCAGTGGTTTTCAATGGTTCTCTAACTGATATTAATCCGTGATCAACTCGCAGAAACAAAACTAACCTTTACAAACCAAACTATAGAAAATTAACCAATTGCTGTTGAGTATATTTTAAACTAGGTCCCTGTATCTCTAATGCAATGAGGTGATACTATTGCGTTAAAATACCGTTCTTTGGAAATATGGATTATCTAAGTACATTATATTACCATCATATTTATTTTGGTGAGGATATGAAGTTGTCTAGATAGGTGACAAGAAACAAAGAGTTACTGAGCAACTATTTCCTCCCCCCTAGTTTTTTTCACTAAATTAGCAGCACCTCCTAACAATAACAATCATATAGTGGATCCAACTACATAGAATCAGGTTTTACGATGAATACCTAATCATACTTTATCCAGTCTTCGGGACCTCACTAGTCCAGGATGTCTAACTTCTGGGATTTAACTCTATGGCACAAATCGTCGCTCAATGTCGTTTGTAGGCACAATCCTTCTTGACTTTTCTCATGAAAACCTACCCATTAGCAATGGAATGATAGTCAACCTTTATGTTCTGCGAGTATTGTTTAACTGCTGTCAAAGTTAACTTCACACACTGACACCAAAAAGGAATTATTATTAAGACAACAGTTCAAAGGTCATCTAGTTTCTAACTTCAGTCAGCCATCAAAAACGCACATTCTACGCCGCATCTCTTATTTACTTCATATGCCAAACATTTTCGATCCCTGTACCTACTAATAAAGGACAAAGTTCTCTGGACTCTACTTTAAACTGTATCTACAAGTTCACCTGCAGCTGCGGTGACACTGATATATAGATAGAACCAATAGAATGTTCCAATGTCGTCGAAAAGAACATGTTCCAAAATAGTTATTTAAATATACAGAAAATCCCAACGCAATCAATCTGAATAGAAATTCAGCACCATCCATTGCAAAGCATTTATTAATGTCAGGTCACAAAATCAATATTAATGACTGCATCGCAATTAAAGGTTGTCAGCAGGGTAAGCAGTTTGCCACTTAGCCAGCTTGTTAATATTCTGGTGGACAGGCATATGGACTCATGTGAAAAATGGGCGAAATCCATTTTATCTGACTCACAACACCCTCTACATTCACAACTCTCCCCATATATCTCTTCAGGGAAAACAAGAAGCCTATATAGGAAACTATATGCCCGCACCAGTAAGTACAAAAACTCATCCATACCCTACCTAGCCCGTGTTCTGTGCGATAAAGAATGCATCAGGCATGAAACCTTTAACTTAATAAATAGTCAGTAGAACCAATGGATCTCGTCTTTCCAACTCACATCATTTATAGGTACAACGTTTTCTCGCTCTTCATTCTGTATTTTATTTTTGTTATGTGCTGTTTTGTTTCTCTCTTCCTTGCAAACTCTACTTAAAACATTCTTCTTCGTTCTTTCACACTCTGTATATCTCGACCATTTTGCTATCGCTTACGCCAGTAAATATGCTAGTAGTATCTACTTTTCTAACACCTTCAAACACTTTAATTTTGGCTTTGTTACCGACATACTAATATGTTGTTGAGATAACTTTAATCTATGTAGAACTTTATTTATTGTTAATGTACTAACTGGATGCAATATTGTAGTAAAATGCTGAGAATTCCATTCTGTATCACAAGTACTGATTTGGAATAAAGCTTATGTTATGTTATGTTAATTCACCATAGAAATCTAATTCAAGGCTATTGCAGGTGATGGAAGCCCTTTGGATTAATCACATACAGCCTAAACTGTTTGTACAAAAATCAATCGACTTCAACCTTCCTTGGCCTACCATGGACTACTTGACCTATTTAAAAATGATTAGTCGTTAGTATGTACTTTTGTTTTATATAGCTGAGTAATTGTCAGGCCTTTTACTTTATTTTATTATTGTTAATCATGTTAGTTGTAAAGCGGTCTTCTAAATGTCTTATTCAAATTCATCAAAAGGACTACTTGTTTTAATATACCTGAATTTGTCCTTAGACGAAGGATACAGGATTTTGTTCAGTAAATTTATAGTCCTCTAAAGAAGAATTTAATTGGTGGATAAAGACCAGCAGTGGGATACAGGACAAAGCGCATTTCGTCCTATTTGGGACTCGTCATCAGCTGGATATACCTGCATTCCCCAGTGAGTCAGTGGCGATGTTCCCACCGAGGCTCGAACCCATTGCCCATAGTTTCAAACTCCGGCGCGTTATCCACTAGACCATTTAGGCCACGACAGCCACGAGCTACCTCTTGTGCGACAGGTCATATTAAAAAGTCTTTAGCAAGTTTTCTGTTAAACATTATTACACTATATATATATATATACATATTTAAATGACATGTAAATATATGAATTATTTTCATTAGGGTGATCAAGGTGAACATGGTCTTCCTGGACTAAAAGGTGTGAAAGGTGAACCAGGTGAAACAAGAACTGAATACACTGGAATTCTTAAAGGTCCTAAAGGTTATCCTGGAGTAGATGGACCTAAAGGTGACAAAGGAATCAAAGGTATACCAGGTTCTCCTGGAGAGAAAGGTGATCGTGGATTAGAAGGACGACAGGTCAGTACAATTAAATAATAATAATAAAAATTAAAATGTAATTGCATTTAATGCTTATTCATATTGGTGAAATAGTTCTGACATTATAATTACAAGATGATTCTATTCAACTACCAGGGTGGAGCGAGGGTGAAATGGAGGAGATTTTATGAGTTGAAGGAGGAGATGAGAGATTATGGCCAGCTAGCACAGGAGAACAGCAGAAAATAGAACAAAGTGGAGATGTGTTGTTGAAACCCTATATTCCACTGGGAACCCAAGAGAGTAATAGGATTGGTGTGAATGAATAAAATAATAATACTAATAGTCGTATGAAATGCAATTAAAAACTAAAATGTTTGTGATTATAATCGTACTTAAATGTCAAGTGGCAAAACACAAATTAATGTCATGTATAGAATAATATTCATAGGATGGATAGAACTTGGAAAGGGTGTGCAACCATAGGATTAGTAGACAAATCGAATAAAATAAAAACGTAACGTAGTATTGCGTGAAATCTGATAACATAGAATTTAACGTTGCAAAAAAGAATTGATCTAGAATGACAAATGGAACAAGTGAAATAATACCAGGGACAGTTGAAACTGATAATAGTAATAGTCACAATTGACGTTATAAAGGAAGAGTATACAAATTGAATTGACAAAATGAAAAAAATGAAAAATTAGTAGAGCCAAAATATTATTAGGGATTACCATACTTTAGCATAGATGGATTGAGACCATGAAAATTGGAGGGGATGAAGGAACTTATTTTGTACTCAGCGCTCTGGCTATTCAGTTTCAATAGCCAAAGCTTCAGCAATACAAATGAGTCGGGTAGGTAGTGATTTCGGTGAATTACTTTTTGCCTTGTAAATGACTTTAAAAGCGGAGGCTATAGAGATAGGGTTATCATTATCGATCAGATATTCAATGATCGCGCATCTTATTGCTCCACTTCCACCACGATTGAAGAGCTTGATAATAAATTCGTTATTGAAAAGAGTCTCTTCGCTGAACCAGTTGTTTTGATTTTCTATATGCGCCAGTGGGAATTTTCCATGAAGTAATAGTATTAAGCAGAAGAGTGAATGTAAACATATTTAACTAAACAACAAACCGACCTTGGTAGCTGTCGACCTCCCAGTTTTCTTTAACTCTTACATAACAGATAGATTATCATTGTTTTTTATTGTGAATATTAAAATCATTTTATTTTTCAGGGGGATCCTGGTTTACGAGGTTTACCCGGGCAAAAAGGTCCCAAGGGTATATTAGGCGAAAAAGGCTACAAAGGTGCATCAGCAGAAGTTAGATTTGGAGTTAAAGGTGAAAAAGGTCAACCAGGACGTCCTGGACTAAAAGGTGATCTTGGTGATGCTGGTGAACCTGGCAATTGTACTGTGAATGTCATTCAAAGTCGTAATTTAACTGGTAAGTTTATAAGAAAACTTGAGCAAAAAATATTCTTTTCGATAGTTTTATCTTCTGGCCCTACAATTATATATATATATATATATATATATATATATATATATATATATATAAATATATGAACTGAGGTTCATTTAAACCTTGATGGCCGACTTGTTTTGAATACATTAGTTAGGTTTCTTAATGTAGATCCCCACAGCCTCAGCACTATGCAATAGACGAACTCACATGGCAAAGTTAAGATGAGTTGGTATGCGGTAGATGAGTTTGAGAGCCTCGTTGATATCAATCTTGTGTTCTATATCCACGAGATGAGATTGAATATAGCCATGAATGGATTTCATTTATCGCTTACTTAACCACTCAAGCATATATAACTGGCTCCATAGTAGCAGTTAAACACGTACACATAGAAGAGGCGAAACTAGACAATTAATCTTGAACTCCAAAACGCAAAAGAGGAGTGGGTGGTTTTGAAGACATAGCACAATTCAGTAGCACTGTTTTACCGCAATCCTTACGCGTTGTGTTAAAATCTAGCTGATGTTATCCTCAAACAAGTGAAGTGGTAAGAATAAGGCTTTTTCAGAACTGTTGGCACTTTGGCCTGTCTTAACTTTTGATTCATATTCTTATCGATTAATTTTTCTGGGCGATTGTTCTTACTCAGCAATTGTTTAGTAATATTAAGTTCTTCACTAGGATATTTATCTGAGCGGATTGCTCTTGCTTTGTGGACCAAGCATTTTATTAAACTGAGTTTGTTGGTTTGTGGTAAATGACTCTGATAGCCCCGTGGTTAAAATCAATCTTGTGTTCTGTATCCAGAAGATGAGATAGAATAGCGTTAAGAATAGACTTTGTTTGTCCTTTAATTAACCACTATTCAGGATGATGTTCGGAAATTCGACGAGAAGCACGCCTAATTGTACGGTCTATGCAACTAACTGGATCACTCCACAGGAGCAGTTGAACTGGTAGATACACATGGAAGAGACGAAATTAGGCAGTTTCTCTCTTACTCCCGAACGCAAAAGAGAAGTGGGCGGTTTTGAAGAAACAATGCAATTCAGCAGCAGAGAATGCTATTTTTACCGCATTTCTAAAGCGCTGTGTTAAAATCTGATGTTGTCGCCGAGAAACTGCAATCGGAAGAATAAGGCCTTTGTTAGGGACTATTGGTACCTTGGGCTGCTTTGATTTTAGATTCATATTCACATCAATAAACCTTTCTGGATAACCATTTTCACTCAGCAACCATTTGATATTATTAAGTTTCTCATCAAGGTATTCATCAGAGCAGATTGCTCTTGCTCTGTGAACCAAGCATTTTGCTAGACTGCGTTTGTATTTCAAAAATGAGTATACTGACCAGTTGATGTAGGTTTCCATTATACACTTCTTCTTATTGTACCCTCTCTCTTCCAGTCATAAGGACGTCTAGGAATGAAATACTAGAGTCTCCTTCTCTCTCGATGATAAAATTTACTGCAGGATGGACATCTTTAAATCTCTGCAGAATGTTTAATCGAATTTAGGTTTTCCCGTTGATTGATTGGACTGAAGTACTCGGTCTCAGGTTGACATGTCAGCTTCTTGTGCAGATGCTTCGACGATGTCTGGGCATGTGATCATAAGTTAATTGGTGAATGATGAGTAGAAGTGGAATCCAGGATGCGAATTTCGTCCTGTTTGTGAGCCATCGTCATCTGGATGTACCTGCATTCCCTAGTGAGTTTCCAGCGCCAAAGCGTTTGAAACTATGGGCACCGGATTCGAGTCTTGATGGAAAAGTCATCACTGACTCACTGGATGATGCAGGTAAATCCAGATGACGAGTCCCAAATAGGACGAAATGCACCTTATCCTGGATTCCACTGCTAGTCATCATCCACCAATTAACTTCTCCAGAATGTGTCATCCATATACCGACAGTAGAGTTCTAGTTCATAAATTACATCTCTCAAAGGTCCATTTTCTAGTTTTGCAAGGAAAAATATCAGAATGCAAAATTCGTCTGAGGAATTATTAGGTACAGTATTAGAAAGTTTTAGAAACAGTATGAAAATTAATATAATAAGCAGAATAATAATTAGAATTGAATTGATGTATAGTGACTAGTAGTGGAATCCAAGATGCGCATTTCGTCCCATCTGGGATTCGTCAGATTACTCTTTAGCCTAAGATTTTTTTGATTTTGATCGACCAAGTTAACCTAAATAGTGGCTGATCTAGTATCACGGCGAATTTCCAAATAGATCTCAAGCAGAGGCGATGCATTAGGTGTATTACCTAAATATGGGGCCTCCTCTTGAGTCACTATCTCAACCAAGCATACAACCTCCTTAGGAACACGTAATCCATAAAAACAGAAAATTCATTTCAGACATCCTTTTAACGCTCCCACCCTCTGCTGTCCGGCTTCAACTTCCCCAGAGTCGCCTCTCAAATGGTACATACCAAGCCACTTCAGAGGGTTATGACAATGCTCATAGGAAAGTCTCAACATATGCATGACCATCTTGCAAAATGTATACAATCATTATCCTAGGAACTGGGATATTCCTACAGTTGGCCTGCGAGGTCAACACAAATCTACCATACAGGTGCAATACGGAAACCCTACGGACCGTAATCACCTCACCTTAGCCCATGTAACTCAGCTCGTAACCAAAACAACACTAATTCGAAATGCTTTTCCTATGTTAGAACGATGGTCAAATACACCCTCTCGGAATGAAGTACATAAGTGATTAGCTGTTATTCAGAGGCTGGATATCCTAACCGTGGGTGGACACTCCTATGGTTGCTGTGTTATCAATGCAACGTGGACTGCACCCTAACTCTTAAGCGCTTGGGTAACTTGCGGTCGTTCTACAAACCTGCGCTACAAAACCTTTGGACAGTCTTAAAGATCGCGATCAACTACATATCACACCCGTATTCACTCTGCAGTTGAGACAAGCAACCTTCACAACCCAGCTCTGATCGATTCTTCAGGCAAATTTTCCTCAGTGGTTAACACCTAGCTGCGAAGCGGATTTTGATTGACTTTGTGGGTCACAGTTACTCCCGTAGTTAAGCAAAAGACAAGGTATTGTAACTCCTTAGGTTCCATGATGCCAGCATGATTTTGAAGTGATGACCAATTTCTCAATACAGATATGAAAATCATGAGGGTTTTACTGATTGGAAACTCTCATTTGAGAGGGATATGTGCCACCTATTCTATTAAGACGTATATATATGTATATCATATATTTCTGACGGGAGCTTATCAGACGATCCTTAACTGATATGAGTAAGTAAAGAGTACATTTTATTGGAAAAAACCTTGAAGTTGAAACATACTAAAACAAATTTCGTCCAGCCACATATTCGCAGTTTACATAGGATGAATTATAACTCATGACAACACATACTATCAGAAATCACGAAGTACTTTACAAACTTTCGGGAATACGTATTTGAAGGTACCACATGGTCCGGGGTTCGAGCCCACGCCGACGCACACCTGATATCTATGGTCGACCTGCAAAATTTGGGCTACCGATATCCATGCTGAAAATTCCATACTTGTACCAAAAATACAGTGTGGAATCAAGCTGTAAATCAAAAATCAAATTAGAGGTACACACAAAGTTCCGGCCGTTTGTACACCAATGTTAGCTATTTCAAACGCTTTCTGTATGTTCCTCCAAATTTGGAAAGGTATATATTTCATATCATTCTGTCACCTAAGGTTTGGCAATAGTTCCGATAGGTAGATTGTCATTGTCAACACTAGAGGGTTGTGTAAATTTAGCAATCAACATAGGCGAAAAAGATTTTAAAAGTGACAATGAATATGACTTATAATGACATGAAACAACCACTGAAGATTGATCACTCCTGGCTAAATGTACAGTAGCAGTTGGCTTTTGAATGAAGTACCGAAAAAAGATAAAAGACCAGTACGTGATGTAAATTCATGATTCCACTGACTGGTGATCATATCCGCATACGGAAGTTTAGATTGATTGGTTGGAGACTGTAGGTATCGCAAATCTAGGCATTTTAAAGTCACACACACACATACACGCACACAAATGCACACTTTCTTTCCTCACCTCTGTTTTAAAGTATTTTGTAAGTTTTATAAGATTTTAATCCTACACTTTTGTATTACCTCTTACCATCCCTCGTCTAAATGAAGATGTAGGATATAAAAGGCTACAGAGTGGAGTGGAATAAGTTCAGTGCTAATAACTTATGCTCCCCACTCCACACCTGTCCGTCTACCACCTAGTTGGAACAACCTATAAAATAAATGATTTAGAAAACGTAAAGACTGAGTGAAGAAATATGCATTCGTTACAGGATTTCATCATGAGCTAACATCGGTTAGAAAACTATTGGAAAACCTTCGGGTAGTACTAAACAGCTGTTTCGTCTTAGTTTTGGGACTCTTCATCAGTACGCACCCATGACCAGGGTTCGAACAAAGGACCCTCTGGTCACAAGGTGAGCTCATAGACTATCAAGCTACTGGGGCCTAATCTGATGGCCAGTGCATGAATTCCAACTTCTACGAATTTATGATATGGCACGACCACTAGCAAATGTCATCGGTGGCGAGTATTTGTCCTCATACCTGACCTGGTGCACCCTGCTGGTCACGACATCCCACTAGAACCCCAGGTAACTACCTACATGAATAGGGCCAGTTGCCGGTGATCAACTCATCACCCAGAAGGTCCTCGGTTTTGAACCCTGGTGGGTGCGTACTTATAAAGAGTCCCGAAACTAGGACGAAACAATTGTCGAGTACTCCCAGGTTTTCCAATGGTTTTCTAACCAATATCAGCTCATGATGAAATCTTGTAACCAATCAATCAAATCCCTACAAATCAATACATGAAATATGCATTCCTTTAAAATTTGTTCCTCATCATTGGCTGGCTCTACATTAATATACAGTTTTCACATCAAAATATGTCACCAATCAAGTGGTTATTTTAGTTAATCAGTTTTAGGTATAGGAGACGAGTGAAATGAAGAGGTTAAAAGTCATCAAAACAATTAAATAATAGATGTTATTAATAAGATATCAAGTTTCGAAGGAAGGAAGGAAGGGTGACAATTAATTAATTACGGAAATCAAGATAAGTTGATTCTTAGGCGTTAGCGACAAGTTTTCATTTAATCAGAAAATTTGTAAAATAGCAATGATGACTAAGAAGAATAGGATAACTCAAAAGAGTTATGTAAAATACAAACTATTTAATAGAATTAGCAATAATTGTAAAACTTAACAAAGTTAAAAGTTGGTTACAAGGGAGGGGAAAATGTCGTTTTAAAAAACGTGTTACACATATTATGTAGAAAGAAGGTAGCTGTACAATTTTCTTTTCAGCGCACAGATTTGGCTTGTTCAGATAAATTGTGATTGCCTCTTCTGTATGTAAAAGTCATACTCGTAAACCATGCGAGAGGTTGGATGATATACGATAAATAACTTTCAAAGCTTTGTTTGAGTCGACTTGATGTCCAGTATCGACGAAATTAACTAGTATTGAGTTGCGTATAGCGGCTTTACTCTGACTTTTGCCAAACGAAAATGAGAGGTGTTCAAAAATTCGACGATAAACTTGCCTGACTGTGTTGTTATCTCTGCACGGCCAGTTAAACTGATAATTATACATGAAAGAGGAGAAACAGGCCAGTTTATCTTTATTTCTTCAATTAGGTATTGGTTGGCTAGTGAATATACAGTATAGCTTAGCTGCGTTGAAAGTTCTTTTAAAGGCCCTTCTCAGACGTTGTGATAAGATCTCGCTATTGACATCACCAATGAATTGTAATCTTAGGTAGATTGATTTTTTGGGAACAGTCGCCATCTCCAACATTCTACTTTCTTAGCTCACGTGTTTTTTTTTACGAATTTAATCGGATATCCGTTTCTACTTAGTAGATCATGAATATTACGGAGTTCTTTGTTTAATGTCTCATTTGAACAGATCACTTTTGTCCAGTAAATGTTGATTGTTACAGAACTCTGATTTGTGTTAATTCCTGGTATTAATTATCTTTATTTATACTTTTGTATTTTCAGTGGAAAAAGGTGATCGTGGTCCTAAAGGTGAACCTGGACCTAGAGGCGACAAAGGAAAACCAGGAGATGAAGGTCCACCTGGAAAACCTGGAGATAGTGGACTTAGAGGCGAGAAAGGAGTCCCAGGAGTACCTGGAATCCCTGGAGTGAAAGGCATAATTGGTTTACCAGGTGAGACAATCTTTTTAAATCTCAAGGCAGTATATATATATACATATTGTTAGAGAGACGTTTCCAGAAAATTAATTGAAAAGTCTGTTGTTAGGTTGGTAACAAGAAAAACTCATCGAAGAAGACATTGAAAAGTGGTCACGTTATGTCATGAATTGGCAGAAGTCAGAATTCATGCACTGGCCATTGGATCGGGTCCCAGTGGCTTGATGGTCTACGAGCTGGCTCGCCTGGCTTGTAACTAGAAGGTCGTGGGTTCGAACCCTGGCCGTGAATGCCTACTGACGAAGAGTCCTAAACTAAGATGAAACAGCTGTCCAGTACTTCTTAAAGGTTTTCCAATGGTTTTCTAATCGATTTCAGCTCATGATGAAACTGTCTAACCAATCAAACACAATCCCTACAAAACCAATACTTGAAAAGTTTGTTGTTGGGTTGATAACAAACAAAACCCAGCAACAGTTACGTAATTAGATAAGAGAAGATCAAAATTCGGTGTGTAACAGGTCAAATGAAAAGATAACCACATAATATCATAATGTCAAGAAGAATAATCCCTTACAGAAGTTAAACAGAAAAAAGAGGAGGTGGTTGAAAAGACAAGTTAATGAAATTAGAAAACAAAGAGTTTCGATAAAGAAAGCAAGACAAAATTTGCAGTATAAAATGATGCCATCATTCTATTTCACAGGTTCTCATCAGCTGCAGACAATCTGAAGTTACAATGGTTTTATAGATGATAATACCATTGTAATTTCAGGTAGTCTGCAGCTGACGAGAACCTGTGAAATAGAATCACATCATTATATACTGCAAATTTCGTCTTCCTTTCTTTATCGAAATTTATCAAGGGAACCAAACAGAGAGTTATTAAGGGATGAGTTACCAGGGTAATTGGAGTCTAACGACAGATTCCTTTTGGGCATATAGGCCAGGTTCCAGGTGTTTTATTGTGATAGCCTAAAAGAAACCAAAGAAAACTTTAGCTGTTTTGTCTGTCAATTATTTTGAATGATGCCAGCGGGTCTACTCAATATCCAGTATCCATCAGGTGTTTGGTATTTGAAGAGCCTAAACTACTTGACCCCTTTAACAGGAAGCTCTTTGGTACATATTCGAAGAATCTGACGTAGGCCCTTCTTTCTATTCTTCCAGTGTAACCGCTCCTGCTGATACTTGTGTTATGGTATATAGACTTGGGGGTAACATTTGAGCGGTACTTATCGATCTATGACTGCATCAAAGGCGAAGATGTTCGGAGCAGAGAGACTAGTTTTGCTGCAGGATACGTCCTAGACAGGGGCCACGCTTAATCTTTCATTTATGATTCCCATAGTATCATTGCCTTTGAAGTAGAGTTTGAGGACAGTAGCCGCACCAGGTTTCCTACATTCCTTCTTGTCATGTTTGTCAATGAAACTTTGTGGATAAACATTTTCTTCGAAGCAATTATCAAGCAGCATTAGTTTACTGTCTAATTTGACAGATGACCATATTCTTTTCACTATGGAGGAAGGAAAGCGTTTCCGTCAGCCTTTGTTTGTAACTGACTGGAAAGAAGCTGTTGAAATTTATACAGAGACCACTCCTTTTTTTGTGTCTTTTTGCGATATATTCATCTCTCAAGTGTCCCATCTGTTTTCCCCTCCAACTTTATATCCAGGAAGTGGAAATTACCAGCATCTTCGAGCTCCATCATGAAAGTGATACTCTTGTGTAAATTGTTGAATAAGCCCAATAGAGAGAGAGATGAAGCGTGGCTCTAACCACTGCATACAATGAATATGACATCTATGTATCTATAGTCGGCTACTGTTTCATCAGTTGGCCATAAAAATACCAGTTAGTAAAGGACCTAATGGACTCATCATAACAACTCCATCAACCTGGTGATGCATTTTTTCGTTTTGATTATAGCTTGATTCCACACTGTATTTTTGGTACAAATATGGAATTTTCAGCACGTGAGGATGTCGGTAGCCCAAATTTTGCAGGCCGACCATTGATATCAGGTCTATGTGGGTAGCGGATCGAAACCCGGCGAGAGTCCTAACCCCTGAGTTGTCAAACTTGAATTCTACATCATTAGTACACAATATAACAAACTACCCTACCTGCTAACGGCTAAGCAAGGTTAAGAATTGCGTCAGCAGAGAATCGAAAGCCAAATTTTTCTATTGAACTATTTTCTAAAAATACTCTGAAAATACTCAGTACAGTAAAATCTTTGGCAATTCGACTAATTACCAGTGATTCATGAAAATATTTTTTTAAATTATTTTTATTTTTCAGGTGACCCTGGTGAGCAGGGTAGCCCAGGTGCTCCTGGATTATCTGGATTACCTGGACCGAAAGGAGATTATGGTGAAACTGGTCCTACAGGAGATCGTGGTTTCCCAGGTAAGGCTTGAAGGCTTGCCAAACCTTGTGATATTTAATTAGTCTGTGTATTCTACCATATCTCACTACCTTAGTTCAATTACTTTGACACTTAATTAGTGACATTCTGTAATAATATTTTCCGTTATAAGGGAGATAGTGAAATATTACCTAAGTTTATGCATGTCGCTTCAAACGAAATATCTATTCATTTGGAAGAGAGTTAAGATTTTGGTGAAATAGCGCACATGGTAACTATCTCACTGAAAAGACGGTCGCAATGAAGAAGATTTTCTTTTCTATGAAGTCGTCAAGTAGGCTGTACATTTGTATATTTGTAGTACATGAGTGCGAAAGTTCCAGAACAATTTTAGGTCAAGGGTCAAATTAATAATTAATGGCCACGCTAAAATCACAAATTGGTAGAAGTTAGGATTCATGCACTGGCCATTGAATTGAGTCCCAGTGGTTGACTGGTATACGAGCTTGCCTTGTAACCGGAAGGTCCTGGGTTCGAACCCGGTGTGGTGGGCGAGTACTGCTTAGGATTCCCAAACTAGGATGAAACATCTGTTCAGTACTCCCTGGCGGTTTTCAGTAGCTCTCTAACTAATATCAGTCTGTGGCCTAACCTGAAACACATACAATCCCTTAGAGCTCATTCTTGAAAATAACAAAACAGACAGGACGTTTGGATAAGAAAGGTGTAATAGGATGATCACTATTGAGAGAATTAACTGTTTGTGATGGCTGTAGTAGAGCCAAAGCTTCTACATTCTTCTTTTGAACACATAGCATTAGCTTATGGATTGCTAGTCTATTAGCTATGCTCAGATACCTTAATCTCACTCCATTTCACAGGTCGGATCGGATCATGTATATGACTTTGAAGAGTTTTTCAAATGGTGCTGAATGTTCTGAGTTCATCAGATGTTCTGTTACTGAACTATACGCCTCTTTCCTATATTTGCTATCCAGTCCTGATGTAACGACAAAAGACAAGGGCCAGGAAATAAATCGTCTATTGAGAAAATCAACAGATATTTATATATTTTTTATGTACATTATTATCCGTTATTGTTAGCAGAGAAACAGCGTCTTCTGATTGGTTGTTTTCTTGCTGAAAGTTAATCTGCCATCTATTTGTGGCCATTCCTTTGGGGCTCAGACCATATATATCTGCGAATCGTATCTGCCCACGCAAAGTCTTTGTTCTTGTTTTTTTTCATCACCAATATTGGGAAGTAAACCTTGACGTAAATTACTGTCTACCAATTTTGGCTGACAGACAGCTCTCACCACACTGAGAGTATTCCCGACTGTGTTGTATAAGTGGACGCATGCTACAATCAATTCACTCAGTTCCAAAAGAGCTAGTGAACTGGTATATGCACGCTGAAGTGACCTAATATGACAGCTCTTGTCTTTCATACTCTAGGTGAATAGTTTCTTGCAAGAATTGTGGGGAATTATGTTTTACTGAGAGATTTCGAAAGTCATTTACGCGGAACAGTAGACTTTGGGGGTGTGTGTGACTTGGATGCGTTCAGAACTCTTCTTAATTCTTAGATCTTTGTTAGCAGATCTGCATGTGGGACAATTTTATGTCGAGATTCCGAGAAGATATTGCATTTCTTCGTCAACAGACTATTCATTACATATTTTTCAGATCCTCAAGGAGAGAGGCAGAGAATATATAAGGTTTTTCATTCTGCTAAGAGGTAGACAACTTTGAAAACTGATAAACTGTCCATTCCATTGACATATTCTTATTCTTTGTCTGCTGACCTCAAAATATCACGTTTATTCCTTCCTCTTTTAGGTCCAAAAGGTGAGAAAGGATTACCTGGCCTACCGGGAACAGGAATTCCAGGAGAACGTGGTGCCCCAGGTCAACCAGGTATACCCGGCGCAAAAGGTGCTCCAGGAGATGCTGGTATGACTGGAGACCCAGGAGATCCAGGTATAATCTGTGTGATATTTATTATTACTCCATTTTCTTCACTTTGACATAAAATAATCAGCAGTTTTGGTTGATGTTTTATTATAATCACGTACATCTTAAGTAACATGTCGCATAATTATTTGATTTTCATGGTTTTACCATGCTTAAATATAAAAAGTTCATGTCATTTCCTATACGTTAACACATTTTTATCAATACAATTTTCTGTATAGGATCTGATGGAACACCTGGTTTACCTGGAGAACGTGGAGATATTGGTTTACCAGGACTTCAAGGTGATCCTGGTCCAAGCGGTGGAAATGGTATAAAAGGAATTGTCGGAGATCCAGGAGATATGGGAGAACCAGGTTTGTTTTACTTAAGAACAAGCAATTTAATAATTACTCATCTTATCTGTGGAGGAAAATAATTGAAACAATCGCCTGAAAATTCTGCATTATTATTATTTTTGTGTTGGTTTCCAAGTGGAACAAAGGACTTCAGCAGGACATCTGCATTTTGTCCTATTCCCTATTGTCTTCTCCGGCTGACCCCAGAATTTCTAATATGCTGTCATCTCCTCGTCACATGGTTTTCTCCATGTCACCATTGGACACACGTCGAAATAGTCGTTCCCCATTCCTAGTCCCCTAGAGTCATGGCCTGCATTAAGCGCGATATTACCCATCCAGAAGAAGTTAGTTCAGACATTATCCTTATCTAGGTTTGAATGATCCTGAATTTTGTAGAAATTTCCTTAATTTTAGTTGATATTCTATTTGCTACTATATCTTTATCAGTATTATAATTAAGCATCTTTAATGAACTATAATTCTATTGTTATCTTACTTAATAAATTGATCTTATTTAAAAAACACTAATATTGTTATTGACTACCAATATAGTATATATAAACATATATATATATATATACAACTGTAGAGCGAGAAGAGAATATTGTCGGAAAGGATATTCTTTGCTAAATTATTTTGCGTTTTATAAATGGTAATAGGTATAAAATATAAGTCACAGTTTTGAATATACAACACATTGTACAACAGTGTTGTGTCCATTAGTCGAAGGAACAAATCACCTCATCGAATGAGCGATTTCAATCCACATTCAGAAATAATTAATTCTTAGGTGACATAAGAGGGTGTGCAATACTGAGGTTAGGCGTCGGTCAGGTGTTAGGTAAGAAGGGAGTCATTCGATGAGGTTGTAAAGTTACATTCAGACATGTGTTACGTATACCTAGCCATTGCCTTCTTCGACGGTCAATGCTAGCTGACATATGGTGAGAATAGAAAATGGCTAGTAGTGGTCAGGTCAAAACATGGATTCATCAGTCAATGAAATCCACAGCAATTATTTTGAACAAGCCACGTAATCAGGTATAGACTGCTTGGGTGGTTGGGCTCCTTGTGATGGTTGGACACAATTGGTTATATGGGTCAAAATCCTCATTCTGAATGGCGCAGATGCATACACTCTTTTGTAATTTATAATACCCAGTAAAATTCTATTGTTCTTCCTTATTACTAATCTTCTTGCTTCATATTTCTGTTTATTATCTCTTTGTCTTTTGAATCTCTTTTTACTCTCTTCTCTTGCTCTGTGTGCTACATGAAGAGAGAGAGAGAGAGAGTGGTGACCCGAACTGCTGCAACTGTGTGCAAAGTTCTATGTTGAGATCAGTCAATCAGTTAATAATTTTCTGTATTGGCTACAGTACGGATAGATACTTAAGTGAATAATGTCACTTAAGAAACAATATATGTAAAGGACCTAACAGCGAGCTCGGTAGCGGAACAAATATTAGAATTAAAAATGTCCAAGTTAATGAAATGATAGTGTAACAGTATATTATAAAAAATACAGTTAACGAGCTATATAAATTAATCGGTTACTCAATGATACAGTTAAAGTCCGTTGCTACAAATTATTAATATAGTCCACAGAAGCGTTCACTGCTGCGGTCGTGTCTAGCAGTAGAAGCAATGTACCAGTTGTAGAATTGTTTTCGGATGAGGATAAGAGGTTTCTGTGAAATCCAAAGGATACTGCATGGTTATTGATTTTTGATTATAGCCTGATTTTACACCGTAGTTTTGATACAAGTATGAAATTTTCAGCCTGTGATATCTGTAGCCTAAATTTAGCAGGCCGACAATTGATATCGGGTGTGGGTCGGCAGGGGATTGAACCCCGGACCATGCTCATGGTCGATGAGAGTACTAACCGCTGTACCAACGATGCATAGTAGTGAGTAATAAGTAGACAGTATGAACCATTGAGAAGACAAAGTGTCGAACATTACATTGCATTTCAGATTGTACTCCGAAGTGATTTATATATTTTACAATGAATCGTTTTAAACAAAATTTATGTTCAATGTTTGCATTTTTAACATCTAACAAAAAGTGAACAATCATACTGTTCTGGACTATATGTCAATTTATAAATTTAACTGTTCATGTGAAGACACTTACAGAGGTAGAACGACTCAGAAAGCCCACGGTCGACTTCTGGAGAACCGTCCATCGTAGTTAACTAGAGGATTCATTAAGTCAATCGGAAGTCCCAAACTCTGGCACATCTAGTACATACACGGCATAAAATATATACAAATATATATTCATGTGAGGCTTCATTCAAGACCAAAATTACCAGTTTCAGTGTCCATTTGTAATTCATGAATTGTAAAGGTTAATAATTAAGAGTCATATGTGAGACCAGAAAAGATCAGCAACAGGGAGGGATTTCTGGGAGCGAACCAAATTATCAAGCCCCGATTGTGCAACAAATAAGCAGGAAGAAATGAAGGTGGATTGACCATATTCTGAAGAAACCATCAAGTGACATCACTAGACAGGCCATCGCTCGATTTTAACCCCAACGAGGAGCGATGAGTTGGTCATCAGTGCAAGGGTGACATGAGGAGGGTGATGTGAAGAGGAGATGGAAGCATGTGAGTAGACATGGGGCCAGGTGATGCAAACGTTGGAGAACCGAGGGAAATGGAGACGTGCGTCTGAAGCCCTATGTGCCTCTAGAAATTAAAGGAAATAATAGTATATACAATAATAATAATATGAGACCTTAAACTTCGCATGGTTTACTTTTCACCCCTAAGAAATAATCACACGCTTGCGTTCAGATATCAAAATAAACTTACACTTCAGAATTCAACCAGTAACACTGAAGTAGCTCTTCTTCCGCCTTCTTTTATTTTTATTATTTTTATTTGACTAACTTCAGGTCAACCTGGACTTCCTGGAATGCCCGGTGACAGAGGCAAATGTCTTGGAGCAGCTGAAAAGGGAGAACCTGGTGCTCCAGGCCCAGAAGGTTTTGAAGGTCCTAAAGGCGATCCTGGACCAAGAGGAGCGAAAGGAGAACAAGGACCACCAGGTCCAGTTGGACGAATCGGTAAGACAGTTTTTAAAAAAAAATTACTCCTTGTTGACCAGTCTGTTCTGGATGATTATAAATTCTCATTTCATGTCATTTAGGACAGACACATGAGTCATCAAGGAGATCCTTTTTAGTAACATCACTTCAAAGCTGTTCAGTTATTTAGAAGATTTATATTTTAAATGTAGATTAACATCAGAGGTCAAAGGTTACCGTAATTTAGTAAAAAAGTAAATCGAAATGTATGAGAACAGTCTTACCTAATCAAGAAGGTTGACAAACTAATCAGCCGAGTGATGAATAATCGTTTGGAAATAGTTGGTAAGATACAAGAGAACAAAGGGAGAAACGGACATCTCTTTCGGCATAGTTTGAAATTCACCAAGAGTACGGACCTATCGAGGTTGAGTATGATTATGAACAATAAATTATGCTCGAAACCTCACCAGTAAATATTACTTACTCTATAACACTGTGAGACTATCAAAAAAAATAAAAGATTTAAGTCGAACCACATACAGCTTTCTACCCTGTTGTTCAGGAGAACAAAGAAAGAAGCCACAGTTGATTCAGATACATTTACTTGACTTACTGAATCCTTCTAGGAATGCTTCACCATTAGCTTTCTTACAGGTTCTAAAGTTTTCGCTAGCCATTCTGCAACTTGTTGATAGGACGATCTGGATGTGTCTAAAATAGGATTCAGAGATATCCCCTCTTTAAGAAGTTTCGGTAAGCCATATAACCGTGCGATTGTTGAGTCAGACAGTTGTATCAATTAAGTTTGTGTGCTAACTACTGAATCTTGTTTCATTTTCAAAAAGGGGACCTTCGTTAACTGCTTTTCCCCCTGTATAGTATTGTCTTTTGATTGGACACTAGTAACTAGTGCGATGTGTCTAGTCTTTTCTTTGGTGCAGACTGAATTCTATCACTCATTCAAGTTTGTAATGTGGTCACCATTCTAGATAGCTCGCTCTCACGGTGCACATTGATTTGATGATATACTAGGTAGTTGGAGGCATTCGGTCACAGGAAGCCTTGCTTCACCTAGGTTTCGTGCTAGTCGGCACTAAACAGTCAGCAAGGCATACCTGAAACCTTGAAGGAACTCATGTCCCTTCTAGAGATTCGAACCCACGTCACCCAGTGCAGTGCTGCAGTCCGAGACGTTACCGCTGACCTATTCGGGCTCGCAACTGACCTCCTGTAGGACTGTAGTGGATATTTTAATTGGACACTAGTAACTAGTGCGACGTGTCTTTTATTCATCAGTCTGATATGAGGATTTTCTGTCGTCACTGAGAATTTCAATCATCTTTTGAATATAATCTAATCTATCCAGTAAAAGTACCCCACCGCCTTTATCAAGACATGTAATAATTATATGTACAAACATATATATATATAAGCCTCCTAAATTACTGTACAACTTTGAAGTGAAGTTACGAAAAAGGATCCCTCTGCTGATTCATGTGTTCCGGATTATTACTGAACAAGCTATTAATAACCGAACAAAGTTATTTACATTGATTAAATATGGTTGTCTGAGAACATGTGTGTGATTCTAGCTGGTATCTTTTGCATAGTTGAATATATATATATATATATATATATATATAATTTATCGCCTCGACATTGTGTTTAAAATTCTCCATCCAGCTCAGAGAACAAAACCACATCAAAATTCTCCACTCGTTTTATGATCCCAACTCAGGTGAAGGTATTACGGAGTCATCGCAGATATGTTATGGTGTGACCGAGTGGAAATATGCGCTAATGAAATATAACCGACGATAACGTAAAGACTGACACTGCTTAGTATTTAATTTGTCCTGACGCGAAGGGGAAAATCAGAAGACCCCCCAACGTTCACGAATGGATACATGCATTTTCCAACAAGGAAAACTAACTGTCACACAAGAGTTTGAGTGAAAAAGTACCAAAGAGTGAATTAATAATTAATAATAATAATAATTTTTCCTTCACGTTCCCAGTGGAACATAGGGCCTCAAGCTAGTGGCTTAAAGTTTCTGTAGCAGTGTGTATTTTACAGGATGGGGTTGCTAGCCTCATGCATAGCCTCATGAGCATAGTAATAATAATAATAAGAAGAAGAATCGTACTAATAAGGGAAAGGTACATAGAATAACTAAATAAACAAAATAAATAAATGTCTATCCCTGTACGGCCAAGGCAGAAGTAGGGACTGTACATACTTCTTTTGTAAACAAAGGTCTGGCTTAAAGTCATGAATTGCCAAGACCTCATCTGTCTTTAGAAGTCTGTAACGAAGAAAACGAGGGAAGTTAGCATAGATTCTGTTTATGATCTTAAAATCATCTTCAGGGTTGATAGAGTGAGAGGCCATACACTGTTTATTTAGTCAATGCACAGACAAGATAGATATATTGTGAGTTACAATGCAGTAACGATTAATAAACATATAGCAAAATATATCAGACTGGCAAAACAAAGCAGACATCATTTGACTACATATCAGAAGGATAAACTACCAAGTCTGGCCACTTCAATGTCCATTTATCAATTCAACTGTTCATGTGAAGACACTTACATAGGTAGAACTACTCAGTAAGCCCACGGTCACCTAGTGGAGCACTGTCCATCGTGGTTAGGTAGAGGAATCGTTAAGTCAATCTGAAGTTCCATACTTTGGCACACGTAATGGATACAGGACATAATAGTGACAAGAATTCAGCTTTTAAAATTGTAACCGATTAAAAGTGCCCATTAAAATTTTCAAAAGAATGGACAATGAACAAAGAGTACTCTTTTCGATAACCTCATCATCAGGCTCTACAGTTATATACACATCGTAGTGAATGAATGAATGAATTAGTGTTATTAGCTACATTAATGTGGTTTAAATAACATCGAATCAACGATATCAATAGGTTACAGTTCAATAGCATCAACATAACAATTAAACTTAATGTCAGAAAAATTAGGAAAGATAATAATACATATTCATGAATTTAGTCTCTACTGAAGGCCAGGGCAGTAGTAATGGTTGGACTTGCTTCTTTTGCACGTAAAGCACTGGCTGTTTCACGCCAACTGCGATAATCTCTGCTGTTTGGAGCATGTGATACTTCGAAGTTTTTGGCAATTTATTTATCACCCCGTAGATGATGGATAAGGATTCTTCAATGCTGTCTTTGTGGCCGGTTTGAACCAGAGGGTCCAATATCGAACTGTTAATCGTTGTCACTAAACCTTTACTTAGCCATAGTGGGAGATGTTCTCGAACACGAAAAATCAAGTTCCTAGAGCAACGGCCAATACACAATTGTATACGCAGTGCCACCTCAGCTTCCTAGGTTGGTACATCTTCGGTTACTTAGCCATAGCCGAGGCAGTTGCCATAATGATTTATCAACTCATTATCTGTGTTCGGGAAAAGTTTGTTCAATCCCTCTACGTCTCTTGGCCCTAACCCCCAACTTAAAATAGTTATCTCTCACGGTAACACCGGGTAATTGTAAATATTATCTTATTATGTTTTTGATTGTAATGCTTACTGTATTATCAATATCACAGTGTGCTGTAGTTGTACATTTTATTCCCTTTTTCAAAATTTATCACCGTTGTTATTATATCATCTAATTATTACAAGATGAAGACGACTTAAACGCTTTTTTTCAGTCACTCAGATTATTCCTTATGCTTAGCTTTGATGTAATTCACAAATTCAACCCAATATTTGTTTTTACTTTCTTAGGTGAAAGAGGCATGAAGGGAGAAAGTGGTTTACCTGGACCAGATGGACCACCAGGTGAAGTTGGTCTACCTGGTCGTCCTGGTGCACCAGGTCTTAAAGGTTTTGAAGGTACACCTGGACCGAAAGGATTTGAAGGCCCTGAAGGTAGGCAAAATTTTCTTATCTCTGATAACTTTTGAGTAAGCTGATAATGTTTTATTTTTTATTTAAAGACTTTGGTATGACAATATGGTCAATATTGACATCAACTTATGTTTAACAAAGAGGAGTTACAATTGCCTTTATTAGTAGAATACCTAATGATCCTTGGAAGAACTGAATTTCACTTCAACTGCCCAGTTAATCCATCTGACTGAATACGGAGAGCACTGAAAGGCCTATATCAGGCATCTGAAAACGTCAGGTAATCTGTCCAGTTGCTCTGGGAAGTTATTGTTTATTACACTACAGTCTTTGGATAGTAAACATAAAACCTACGTATTTTCATGACATAACCGTTAATACACTTGGTGGACTGATCTAACAAACCTACTACCTAGTCGATTTGTGAGCTTACTATTCTAATCACTACTAGCAACAACAAGAACAACGACATGATTCGACACCGGTGAACCCACTAAGCAAGAACACAAGACAGACTGTCGACGTAAAGGGATTTCACTGTCTTGAATCAACAGCTGCGTATATATTTATGCTTTAAATTGCATTGATAAGTTAAACCAGTCAACAACCAATAGGGTTTCAAGGTCATAAGTGGGTAGGGAAAACAAGCAGCACTGCACTGTAAAGGTAAATATAATATTTTAGAAAAATTAGGTCTATATAACACTTTCCTTGTAGTAATTTAAATCTGGAGTTCATGTACACTTACATAAGTCTTTGATCTGCTTATTGTAATGCAGTAAAGGTTACTAGCAGATAAACAAACTAGTACACATCAAACCGACTCGTTGTGGTCTGAACGCAGGAAATCGATCTCTATACCCTACTGTATAGCTGGCAAAAAATTTCCTTGAGAGACTCACAGTCACAAAACGCTCCACAGACAGCAGAAAGTGATTATTCTTCGATAAATCTATGTGGTACTTACTCAAAGTTACCTCAACAATTCCATTAGGCAGTTATACAGTTCGGATAAGTTCCTAGTACAGAACAAGTACCTGTAGAACAAAATTTCTTCATCAAAATTTGACCGTAAGTTTCCGGGAATCAAGTGGATATTCCGAAAAAGGTGACATCAAAAACTCACAAGCCCCACAAGAATCACACACGGACAATTCCTGCAAATAGTTCAAGGTCAGAATCGCCCTGATTCACTCAAACAACACCTTATTAATGTCATGACACAACCACAAAATTAAAGAAAATTAAAATTAGCGAATGGACAGGAAGAAAGATTAAAAGTTTCCAGACCGTAAGTGTTACGAACTTCCTGGGATAATTTGAACGCCGAGTCAAATTGATTCATAATAAATTATTTCAATTAATTTCAGAGTGTTAAGAAAATCAAAACAAGATCTGTTTTCTGAACGTTTCGTTGTGTAAGCCATAGCTTCTTCAGCAGATTTATTCGAATTTTCATTAGTCATCAATACATATAGTCAAAAATTTCTATGTAAATTGAAGTTAGGATACAATTGGTGGATGGTGACTAGCAGTGGAATCCAGGATGCGCGTTTCGTCCTATTTGGGACTCGTCAGCTGGGTGTACCTGCATTTCTCTGTGAGTGATGATGTTCCCACCGAGGCTCGAACCCAGTACCCATAGTTTTGAACGCCAAAGCGTTATCCACTAGACCACTTGGGCCACGAGAGCCACCTCTTGTGCAACGGGTCATATTAATTATTGAATTGGATTTTTTGATTTTCCCGTCGATTGATTGGACTATGGGTACTGGGTTCGAGCCTCGGTGGGAACATCATCACTCACTGAGAAATGCAGGTACATCCAGCTGATGAGTCCCAAATAGGACGAAATGTGCATCCTGGATTCCACTGCTAGTCACCATCCACCAATTGTATCCTAACTAAATGCCCAGACATCGTCGAAGCATCTGCACAAGAAGCCGACATGTCAACCTGAGACCGAGCACTTTGGTCCAATCAATCGACGGGAAAATCAAAAAATCCAGTTCAATAAATTGAAGTTAGTTTATTTGAAGGCCATTTGTCCATGGACATTTTTTACCAATAGAAATATGTAAGCAGTCATCACATATATTTGTAATGACTAATGTCAAATTGTTGTTGTGTTTACTCTTCTATAGTTGATTTTTAAAGATTAGAAGAAGACATATAAGCGAACAGTATTGTTTTCAAATAAAGTATAATTATATTTTAATAGTTTACACACAATGATAAGTTTTGTTATTGGTAATATTTCGAGCAAAATTACTGCCCGTGTTCACACCACTGTTGGAATTGTTTTCAATTAGATCTTCTTCAGGCTTTACTTTAATTTACATAGACTAATATATAAAAATGTTTAACCAATGACGGTGATTCTATGGATCAAATAATAATAATGTGGTAAATGTTTTGAACGTAGTTAATAACGATGATAATAATGATAACAAAATATTGATAATAAGGTTTATGCAGGGGTGGCGATAACAATAACAAAAGTAGTATATGTTTATATGTGTATATATAGACAATACAATAAATAAATTAATTAATTAGGTCAATTCTTAAAAGTTACGTAATACTAATGGTGAAGTGGACAGATAATCAGAGTTTAAATAAATATCATAAAAGTACGAAGGAGATGGAAGATAAGAAAAGGTGTGAGGCTTTTGAATAGAATTCACCTAGGCAAGCAAGGGAGAGACAAAGGTAGAACAAACTTCTTTTATTGTATGCAAAGACTAGGATTGTTCTCTCGAATTAATTCCCGTAGCTTCGGCTATGTGTAAAAAACGGGTTCGAATTCCGTTCGAAAGACTCGATGGAATGCAATGGATAACTTTGAAGGCACTATTTTTGTCCACTCGGTGACCACTATCGTCGATCAAACGAGCCAAAATAGAACTTCGTATGGATTTTATTTGACCTTTTCCGAATCATGAAGGAAGATGCTCATTAATGCGTTTCTTAAGCTGTCTAGCTGTTCGGCCTATATAGCTTCCTCCGCATGAGCAACTAAATTTATAGATACACATAGAAGTGGCACAACTAGGTAGCTTGTCTTTCGCTTGAGCAATCATAATTGGTCGACAGCTGGAAAATGACAAACAGAGGGTGGCGGCAGTATAAGTCCGTTTTATCGCTCTCCATAATCTGAGATGTAAGACTTCGCTAGCCACGTCCCCATTAAATTGCAGTTTCATGAGCAGTTGTTTCTTTCCAACTGTTGCCAGTTTCTCTTTATCGTACCTGGTATTCATTTGTTTTCTTACAAATCTATTAGGATAACCCATTCATAAGAGTTTGCCGTATAGGTGATAATTCTATCCCTTCTTTCCTATTCACTGAATTCGATGTGGTTAAAATGTGCAAGGCTTCAGAAGTCAATCTTTCTTTATGTGAATGAAATCCTCTTCCAAGAATTTCGACACTGTCGAAATCAATCTTATGTCCACTGTCTATCACATGCATTGCTATATCCGATCTTTTTTCTAGACAGGAAGTAAGACAAATAACAGTGATCAAGTTTGACAGACGATACGCGAATGTCAGAACAGTGACTTATAATAAGCCTAGGAGCAAGACATAGAGTAATTACAGAGTTACTCAAAAAACACCCAAATAAGTATCACTATTGTAATTAGATGGTTCTGGAGAGATTTTTCGAACAATTATTCCGTTGCAATTACATTAGGTGGTAAGGTAAGAACTGTTGCATACAACAGTAAGTAGTATGAGTTTGAGAGAATAACTTGACAAAAAGTTTGGGAGGAAGACTCTGTACCACTTCAACAACAGTTTTGAGGCCAAGGACTCAAACCGTGTCGACAGTGATCACATTTTGTTTTCACTGTTTTTTTTAATGTGTGAATTTCTAATCGATACTTATGCCTATATTGTGTGAGATATCATAAACATTTAATTAATAGGAAAACGTTGACTCTTCTCCTCATAAATCTAGGTATTCCTGGAGATGAAGGTCCTCCTGGTCCAAAAGGTGAACCTGGTTTACCCGGTACAGATTCATTTGGTACTAAAGGTGAACCAGGAGAAAGAGGTCCTCCAGGTGATATGGGAGAAAAAGGTTCTGCTGGAAAACCAGGTTTACGTGGACCACCAGGCGATGAAGGAACAAATGGTCAGGCAATTGTTGGAGATGCTGGTGATCCTGGAGATGTTGGAGAGAAAGGCTTACCAGGAATGCCTGGAGATCCAGGACCGTATGGACCTAAAGGTAGTCCAGGAGTACCAGGTCCGATTGGACCGAAGGTAAGTAAATAATTCTCTTTGTTCACCAATGTGCCTTGATCTTCAATGTGATTAATACTCTGATTGTAATTTTCATTTAAAGGGTTTGATTGGAGATCCAGGTGTTCCAGGCCTTCAGGGTCGCCCAGGAAAGCCTGGTCCAGAAGGTCCACCTGGTTTACCAGGTCCAAAAGGTTTCCCTGGAGAAAAAGGTCAAAGAGGCATAAAAGGCGAAAGAGGTGAACCAGGAGAGACTATACTCGGACGTGAAGGAGAGATAGGTGACATAGGAGAAAGGGGTATTCCTGGAATTCCAGGGCCAAAAGGAGATAGAGGATTCCCTGGTAAGCTATAATCAGTATTTATAAATGGTATTTATGCAATTTCCTTGTCCATGTACACAATAATTTCTTACTACTTATCCACTGTGCATAATTTTAAATTCTGCTTAAAAGGTGATGTTGGACCAAAAGGCTTACGTGGTCTACCAGGACGAGTGGGCGAAAAAGGTCAACTGGGAATGCCTGGAGATAAAGGTGAACCAGGTAGAATTGGCATTGATGGATATCCTGGCAGAAAAGGAGATAAAGGAGAATCTGGAGATATTGGACCTATTGGAGATTCTGGACCAAGAGGACAACCTGGGCCGAAAGGTTTTCCAGGTGCTCCTGGGCAGTGTATAGCAGCTGAAGAAAGTGCTGTTGGTGATCCTGGACCTCAAGGTCCTAGAGGACCACCTGGAGAAAAGGGTTTAACAGGTAATTATGAAACAAACAAGAAACATTTTATTTTCAAGAACAACTTGTTATTATGCTGTTATTATTGAACTATGGGAAAAGCTCAACAGTCATGGTGGACAAGTCCCAAGTCTCTGTAAATATGTAAAGTATTTAAACAGGCGTATAGTGTGAGATAGAGTTTTTTGGTGACAGATCCCTCATTGTTCTGTTTACCCGCTGAATTAAGAAATAGTTTTTTTTGCGTTTGTTTGTTTAGTAGAGTTACACTAAGTCATACCGTGTCGTCTTGAAAAGAGGCTCTTTGAAAATGCACTTGAGTATTCCCTTGAATTTCTTGCTATCTGACTTTGGTGCATGTCAGGTGATCCACAACGGAAAACTCAATGAGGCTTTCGAAGTGAAGATGACAGGAGTAAGGGCTATTATCGCCGACAATATTCTGAATTGTGGTAGACTAGATTATGTGTCAGACTGTGCACAGGGTGTGAGTAGACAGAAATACGCCGGACCTCTGGTAAGCAGACTCTAGAAAATCTGGATTTCACCTGTGGATGATTTATGTCTTTTTGAAGAACTGCCGGCAAAATTCAACCTAATAGCTGAAGAAACAGGCAGCGAAGACAGGGTTGTAGATGAGTATAAAGAAGACGGAGGTGATGAAAACAACCAAACAACAACAACAACAACTAGCACCAATCACCATCAACTGGAGAGATTTAACAGGGGCTACTTCCTTCACTCATCTAGGAAGCATCGTTTCAACTATAGACGGAACGAATGAAGATATCGAACTCAGAATCGGAAAGGCGAGATACGCCTTCATCAATTTGTAACCAGTTTGAAAATCTTCTGCACTCCGCCTGAGACAACATAAAGAACAAGTTGTGAAGTCAATCACTTCTCCTATATGGGTCAGAGGTATAATAGGGTGACAATATTGAGGTTAGGCATCGGTTGAGTGCTAGGCAAAGGAGGGAAATCAATCGACTAGGCCATGAAGCTGCATCTACAGAGGTGGTTACGACATATGTTATATATATGCCTGGAAATCCATCGCCTTCCTCAACGGGCACTGTTAGCTGACATAGGGTCAGGCTGGTAAAGAGCTAGCGGCGGTCCAACCAAAGCATGGCTTCACCAGTCAATGAATTCCACAACGATTATTTTAAGCCAGTCACGCTGGAAGGTGTAGACTTCCCCGCTGGTTGGAGTCCTCAGGACGGTAAAAACAGTCGGTGATATGGCTCAAAATCGTTCTCAATGGCTGGGACAGACGCATCCACTCCTTGTGACTTATAATTTCCATTAAAACTATATTGTTCTTCGTTATTACTATTCCTTTTGTCTCATATCCCTGTCTACTATCTCTGTTATGCATTTCTTCTACTCTTTTCTCTTGCTTTGTATGCTACATAAAGGGAGTGTTGTGACTTGAACTGCTGCACATCAGTGCAAAGTTGTATGTTGAAAGAGAGATGGGTCAGAAAATTGACCAGTGTGTCACGAAAAGGATTTTCAACACCTTGCAAACTTTTGCCAACCAACAACTGCCATCCCACGAGTGGAACTCGAAATGGAAGCGACAAGTGGGCTATCAGTGTGAAGGTGACATGTAGGAGATTGTAAGTAGGAGATCAAAGCTTATAAAGAATCGTGAAGTTATCTGAAGAGGACTTCAGAGAAGAGAATGACATGGATATGTGCTGTTGAAGCCCTGTGTTCTAAGTGGAACCCAAAGAAATTCTATTAACGTCTAATAAAACAAAAATTGTAGAGTATCCGTCTTCGGATTCTGGCCTAGTGGATGAACGATGACATACTTTTTGAGAGATGTTTGAATTTTGAGTTTGATAATTATATATCTGATTATTCCCACAAGTGTGACGGTGGCACGGCGGTAGAATGCTCGCCAACCATGCATTTGGTTCGTATTCCAAACCCCAGTCGACACACTCCTTGACGCCATTAAGCTGGTAATAAGACTGATAAAGAGGGTAGGTTCGGCATGAGATTAGTGCCCCACATTCCGTAAAAATTAAACATCGGAAGTAAGTCTCACCCATATCTTTCATAATATGTGTAACGACTAAACCGATCTCTGCATTCTGTCGTCTAGCTGATGAAACCTCTTTGAGAGACACAGTCACAGAGTGTTCCAAAACACAGGAAAAAAGACGATAATTCGTCGTTAAATCTACTTTGCTTCTATTCAACAATAATAGCATCAAAAGAATCACACACACACACACGGAATAATGCTCACACACAGTTCAAGGGCAGAATGACCCTGATTCACCCAGCAACAAAAAGATTGCTGTCGTAGAACAACATATTAACAATATCACCACACAGTTACAAAGAGAAGCATTAGAATTAGAAATGAAACAGGCACGAAGACAAATAATAACAATAAGGATGATTTCAACATATGAAATGCAAATATCAGAGTAATGATATGTAGTTTAGGAGAAAAGGGGATAATCAATACAAAGTTAGTTGAAACATCGAAATAATTATAAATGTTACGATAAGGTTGTTCACGGAGGGATTTTGTTTTTTCGAATAATTTTATTCAATAACAGTATGACGTTTAATAACTTTGTTTTTCCTTAACGTTACAAAAGGCTTACCTGGTAAAGTTGGTAAAACTGGTGAACCTGGTCCGCCCGGAAGAGGTATTCCTGGTCCTAAAGGTCAAAGAGGTGATCCTGGTTTCCGTGGCCTTAGTGGTGAGTGGATCATTTCATCTATTACCTTTTAAATCGTATACAAATAAAATCAGCTGCAAAAGTCTTTTGATCTGGATTTACAAATGTGTATACTTGTAAATGGTTTTTCTTTAACTTTCACCTCCTTTTGAGGTAACATCATTTGAAATATTTCCAGAAGTGGACTCATATTTAAACAAAGTGTTTATCTACAATTAATTTTAATAGACATTGGTTATATAGCCCATTATTCTGTACAAGAGTCTACACATTCTGTTCTTCTTGGTCTATTAACATAAAGGAGAGTAAAAGATGAAATTGCTATTATTGTGTTTTATTTTCTCCTACTACTGAACATGAGCAAGTAGTATAAATATTATAACGTCAAAATAAGCCGAACATCTCACTTCAATAAATAATCAGCGGAGAAATCAAAATTGAATTAAACATAAATATTAATTGACATCTGTTGCACATGAGGTGGTAGCTCTTGGGATGCACGCGGTAAAGTGGATAATGCTTTGGTGTTTGGAACGATTGGAGCTCTGGGTTTGAGTCTCTGTAGAAACACAATCACTCACTTACTCAGTCACTGGAGAATACAGATACATCCGCATGACATGAGTACCTTATAGGACCATGAAATGCTCATTCTGTATTCCGTTGATAGCCACCATCCACCAAATTGATCCTATTATCCGTTTGATACGTTACCACTCATAACAATGTACATTTACGTACTTATTGACGTCCTTTTAAGAAAATTGCTATTGTATGTTACTTATGTGACGACAAAAGACAAGGGGCACGAAACAGATCGTTTATTTAGAAAATCAATACATATTTATAGATTTTTATGTAAATTATTATAGGTTATTGTTAGCAGAGAAACAGCGTCTTCTGATTGGTTGTTTTCTTGCTGGAAGTTATTCTGTCATCTTTTGTGGCCATTTCTTTAAAGGTCAGACCATGTATCTGTGAATCGTATCCGCCCACGCAAAGTCTGCTGTGATTGGTTGTTGAGTTAGTCTTTATTCTTGTTCCTTTCTCATGACCAAGATTTGGGAAGTAAACATTGACGTAAATTGCTGTCTACCGACTTCGGCTAGCAGACAGCTCTCACCATACTTATATAATAATAATAACGTGCGTCGGTGGCACAGTGGTTACGACTCTCGCTGACCATGCACATGGTCCGAGGTTCGGTCCTCTGCCGACGCACACCTGATATCAATTAGTAGTAGGTCTGCAAAATTTGGGCTACCGATATTCATGCTGAAAATTCCATACTTGTACCAAAAATACAGTGTGAAATCAAGCTGTAATGAAAAAATAAAAATAATAATAATATTCACTTAACGCTGTATAATAATGATTATTATACAGAATGGAATTTCGAGCATGTTAAAATGTAATAATAATAATAACTTTTGCTTATACTTTTCTGTTCAGATTACTGATTTAAGAAGTTTATAAGTTCTTTTCTCTGACATCTGACTCCCTCTTCACACAAAACTCCCGCCAAATATGGTGTGGGAGAACTTCTATATTTTGCTGCGCCAGTGTGGAATCCCGACGAAATTACTTCTGGTTTTACTCCCGAAGAGATACAAGAGAGAGAGTTGAAAATAATAAAGAGGATCTTCGGTATCAGACAAAATAATTTTATCAAGAATCGCTTGCAAGAATTACAATGTCTATCAACAACAATGTCAGTTAGTTGAGTCAATAACATATAAGTGTAAAATTTGGGCACTGTGGTAGAGTATAACTCCATTATGGATAAGATTTTATTTTGATAAATCACACACAGTGTTGTACAGTTATATTAACTGATGACGTTTCGAGCACAAACTATTGCTCATAATCATATTAAGTTGATATCAACTTGATATGATTATGAGCAACAACACTGTGTGTGATTTATCAAAATAAAATCTTATCCATAATGAGTCAATATCACATGCCTAACCCTACTTACATCCTCCAATGTTCTGTGTTATATGATATAGCCTTTTTTGAGAAGTTCAGGGAACAATAAGGGCAAACAATTAAAAAAAGAGTAGGCAGAATACATGAATTAACAGACTGTAAGAGAGGAGGTTGTTGAGTTATGCCAGTAGAAAGTCTCAACTTCTTTATTGTGTAATAAGTCAAACGAAAAATTCTCTTAGAAATCAACAGAATATGAAACGATCAACAGAGATTCGAAGAGAACGTGATGTCGAGGTGGGAGATTTTCGATTTACAACAAGTTAGTTTAGGCCACCCACGTAGGGAGGTGTAGACTTACTGGTTGGGATCCTCGGGACGGTAAAAACCAATGGCCGGCTGGATACAATCGGTGATATGACTCAAAATCCTCGTTCTCAATGGCTAGGGTAGGAGTGTTCACTCTTTGTAACTTATAATACCCAATGGAACTATATTGTTCTACGTTATTACTATTCCTTTTGTCTCATACCCCTGTCTACTATCTCTATTATGCATTTCTTCTACTTTCTTCTCTTCCTTTGTGTGCTACATGGAGGGAAAGTGTCTGCTTGAACTGCTACACATTGGTGCAAAATTCTATGTCGAAAACAGACAGATAGAACTTAGAATTCAGTGGTTACCGATGTAAGCCATGTGTAGAGTCATTTAAAACAAGAATCAAAGTAGACTCTTCAAATATTGAAAACACTAACTTTGATCGCTTGTAAATCATTCTGTTCCATCCCATTACTTTTTTTGTTGACTTTTTATGCAATGAATTCTTTAATATTCAGGACTTTCGTGGACACTTACGCTCAAATGCCCATCCGAATTAGGTTTGTAAACTGTTACATAGATGTAGATTATATTTAGGAATGAATACGCTCAAATAATAGCAGTAATAGCCGGCACTAATCACCATCAACGGGAGAGATTAGACAGAGGTTACTTCCTTTACTTATCTGGCTAGGAAGCATGGTTTCAACCACTGGCGGATAGCACCGATGTAAATGTCAAAGCTAGGCAGAATCGGAAAGGCAAAATAGGCCTTCATCAATCTAAAATCAGTTTAGCAATATTCTGCACTGCACACAGCCGGCATAAGGAACAAGATTTGGATTTTCTACTTACACATGTGAAGTCAGTGACTTCTATACGGATCAGAAACTTGACTAGTGTGTCACGAAAAGGATTTTCAACACGCCACTGCAGACTTTTATCAACAGCTGCCTTCCATCGCTCCATACTAAAGATTAAATGGCTTGCTAGAAAGCATTAGCACCGGGAAGCTCTGAGATCAAACATACTTCTTAGATAATATTCCGAAAAAAAAAATGGAGATAGATTGGGTATATGTTGAGGAGACCATACAGCGCCGTCACCCTCAGTGCAGGCCATCGCTCGAGTGAACTCCCAATAGGAAGAAACGGGTGGGTTATCGATGCGAGGGTTACACTGAGGAGATCGTTAGAGGAGGAGGAGGAAGAGGCGATGACAGATTATAGGTAGTCGTGGAGCCGGCCAGCAGAAGAGAACAGCAGAAAATAGAACAAAGTGGAGATGTGATGTTGAAGCCCTATTTTTCACTCTGAAACCAAAGGAATCATTATAATAATATGATACGCATTTCTTGCTTTCAACCATATTTTGTCTGCGGTTATTTATTTCTTCTGCTCTATCAATGTTTATAATCCCTTTTCTTTTTTTATTTGCCCAATTCAGGTCCGAAAGGCGAAAGAGGAGAATCCGGAGATCCAGGTGATATGGCTCTTCCTGGAGCTAAAGGTCCAAGAGGTTATCCTGGTATTAAAGGAGAGAAAGGTGAATTAGGTATGCCAGGAGATACAGGTCCAAGAGGTCCTATTGGTGATCCAGGTCCTTCCGGAGACATCGGTTTACCAGGTGATGATGGCAGACCTGGTCTTCAAGGTCCACGAGGCGATAAAGGAGAAACTGGTTTCCCTGGGTCAATCGGAATGAAGGGTGACACTGGAGATGTTGGTGATCCTGGACCGATAGGTCCACCTGGTCCACCTGGAGAAGATGCTACTGGTCTTCCTGGTCTTAAAGGAGACAAAGGTGAACCAGGCACACCTGGACGGAAAGGTATGATGGGTGAACCGGCAGCACGTGGATTGAAAGGTGTTAAGGGGGAGATGGGATTACCGGGTCCTACTGGTAGAGAACCTGGAGAGCCAGGACCAAAAGGAGAACCAGGACCGAAAGGACCTCCTGGAGATATTGGCCCCAGGGGGATACCTGGTGATATTGGTCCACCTGGACCAGAAGGATTTAGTGGGCCACCTGGACAAGCATTGCAAAGTACTTATCTTTTCACAAGACACTTTCAAAATCCTGACACTGAACCTGTATGTCCTCCTGGTTCACAGAAAATATCGGAGGGGTACAGCTTTGTAATGGCGAATGGAAACGGAGAGTTAGTTACAATGGATCTTGGTAAGTGTTTTCACCAATTTGAAATGATCTATTCCGATTTTAAATAACTTCACCTACAAACAAAAATCATAGCCAGTAGCATAGTGCCACTGATCTCGAAGATTACTATAGCTTGGTTTCTAGTTTAATGATAGTAATAATAATAATAATAATAATAACTTGCTTTATTTCCAAAACAGTACTAATGATACAGTGTGGAATTTTCAGCATTTGGTACAAATACTGTTGCATCTAATTTTATCGAATAACATAATAATGTTGTAGCTGAGATTGTCGGTTAACTGAGATAGTGTCCGCATAGATTACAAATAGAAGGTAATGAAAGAGACGATTATTTTGCTAACAACATAGTAATACATAGGTCTCTCGCTTAACATTGTCTCTATGGCTCATCGTACATGGGCTGGCCAAATATGATATTGTTGAGTTCCTTTACTCGGCAGTACAAGAATATAATCTTTTGTAGTGACTTCTAGTTCTATAGTTTGGTTTGTAAGGGTTAGTTATGTTTCTTACGAGTTGATCATGGAGTGATATCAGTTAGAGAACCAGTAAAAACCAGGGAGTACTGGACAGCTGCTGCTGTTTTATCCTACTTTGGGAATCATCGGAAGTACGCACCCACCTTCCTGTTACAAGGCAAGTTCGTATACCACTCAGCCACTGGGACCCAATCCTATGGCTCATGAGTTCTAACTTCTGCCAATTCGTGATTTAGGGCGACCGCAACCATTGTCGTTGGTGAGACATCCATCCACATACATGACATCTAATTGAACCTCACTGGTCACGACTTCTCACTAGAACTCAGGAAACTCCAACCTGTAGCAAGTCACTAGGGAGCATCAGATTCAATCAGATTCTAGTTCTATTAGATGAGATGCAAGGCGGGGAGAACTGAGAATAGAGGGGTTTTGAGAGTTAGACAACATGGATTTAAATCACAAAAAATACCCATTTATTCATAAGCAAAAACACAGTTTTTTTGTTCAGCGAAGAAATATCTCTTTTCAACGACTTCATTTTCAAGCTGTACAGTCGCATTTATATTACAGGAAAAGGTTATTAAGTGGCACTAAATAATTGCTCAGTCAATGTACGTATATATGTGATAAGAATAACGATAATTACAATGTTGTAAGGGGTAGAGTTGAAGTGGATATATTACAGAAATATTAAAGATTGTTTTATAAGTGAATTGATATCAAAAATGTCAAGTGTTTTCTAAAAATTTTAAAAATGAGGAGTACGATTACGATAAGAATGAACATGTGAAGTGAAGTGGAAAGAATTCAAGTGGTAAAATAAAAAAACAAAACAAGAAAAAACATTACTATGACCAAGGTGAAGAAAGGGGTTTGACAAAACGTTTTTGAACACATAATTTAGGTTTCTGTTTGTGTATAGCTAAAGCTTCGGCTATGCTTAAGTGAAGAAAACGTAAACTTTTGGATCGATTCGATTTTGCCATGTAGATAACTTTGAAAGATGAATCACGTGGGGCTAAATGACCAGATTCTAACAAGTGATCACAAATAAACGACTTTGCAGTTCTACGTTCGCCTTTCATTAACCAAACCGGATAGTGTTCAGCTACACGTTTTCGGAGATTACGCTTACAACGTCCAATATAATCAGCTCCACAAGAGCAGGTAAAGGAGTAAATTCACATAAATGTGGACAAAAGCGGTAATCTATCCTTGACGCATTGTCTAATCATATTTCGGCTGGTAAAAACTAGTTGCAAGCCAGCTGCAGGAAAAGTGCGTTGAATACATTTAGATACACGATTTTTAATCAGTTCCGAAATGGTGTCACCTTTGAATGCCAGACTCATAAACAGTTTTTTTTCTTTAATATAAGTACGACTGTACAACTTGAAAATGAAGTCGTTGAAAAAAAGAGATATTTCTTCGCTGAACAAAAAAAACATGGATTTAGACCACTTCTCACATGAGTTCAGATGTCTGTCAACTAATGTGGTGATGAGCTGACTAGGTTGCATACCACTTGCCATACTAAAAACCTGTAATACTCTTCCTTTTTCAGTAGCCCAGCAAAGACTAAAGGTGGGGAGCAGTAAGGTATACTGGGTAAGATACAAGAGTTAACAAAAGGTTGAGTGATTCCAAATAATTTTAGCTTCTTAATCTTGAAGATTGATAAAGTGTGGGATAACCAATTAAGGTCAGAAAACAGGACTGTACCAATGTATTTTGTCTTGAACTCAGTTTCTCTTACAGTCTCCTCTGTATGCTACAAGCATCATATGTGTACTAACCAGTCGTATGTAGGTCAGGTTTATGTCTAAAGCAGAAGTCAATAGTCTGGCATTTTGAGAGATTTAACGTACGATCATTTAGCTTAGACCACTGATCAATGCTCGACAAAAGGCAGTTAAATATGCAACAGCCTAATTCAGACTTGACAGGAAGCGAGACAGTCAGAAACGACTTTTATTGGCAGTCACACCAGATTTTATCTTTATACATTCTACCGCTTTGAGACTGAATGAAGGTAGACTTATTATAAATGCTGCATCATCGACTTAATTTTGTACAAATGTTTCAATTCAGACAAGCATAAATTGATGTGATGTTTGTATATTGCTAAACCTAAACATGGAATTGAGTTTCTGTTCCGTTAAACATTAAAATCCGTACTCTTACGGCAGAAGACAAGGGAATTGCTAATGCACTTTTATTTTACACGAAAACGCATTATATTTATACATTTATAACCAAATTAAAAGTCACCTAGGTCAGAGGACAATGAACTATTCTGGTTATTGTTTCCTTTAGTTCCTAGAGGAATATAGGGGTTCAGTCAAACGTCTCCATTGCGTTCTGTTCTCCACCAAGGTCTTCACCTGGCTCCAATTCTGTCCACATACTTTCATCTCCTTTCACCCCTTCAAGTCACCATTGGATGACCAAATCTCCGCTTCCCGTCCGGGTTCCACTCGAGCGATGGCCTGTCGTGTGATATCAGTTGATAGTTTGTCTTCGCAAAGTATGGCCAATCCACCTCCATTTTTTACTGCTTATTTGTTGCACAATTGGTTCTTGCTGGGTTGGTTTGTTCCCAGAGATCTCTGTTGCTGATCTTTTCTGGCCATTTGATCGTGAGTGATATTGAGCGAAGACGGCTGTTGATGAAGGTCTGTAGTTTGTTTGGGGTGCTCTTCATGACGCGCCAAGTCTCTGTTCCGTATAGTAGCACTGACTTCACACTGGAGTTGAAAATCCGGATCTTATTTTAATTTCCATGCTGATTGCTGCTGACCTCCACACAGACTTAAGAGTAATGAAGGCTTGTCTTACTTTTCCGATCCTTGCTTTGATATCCTCATCAGTTCCGTCTGTCTGTAGTTGAAACGATGCTTCCCAGGTAGGTAGGTAGGTAGGTAGGTAGGTGAAGGAGGTTGTTTCTTTCAGGTTCCTCCCATTTATGCTGGCTGATTGTTTTCTGTTGTTGTTGCTGTTGGTTTTGCCCGGGAATCTTTCATCACCTTTGTTTTATCTATGTTCACCTGAAGAAAGTCCTATCTTCTCTGGATGCTTCTTCTGCCAGCTTGTTGCTTTTCACTTCCATATCTTCCAGTTTGTGGGAAATCAGACATATATCACCGGCGATTTTCCCAAGATTAAACAATGAAATGAAAAGTTGTCCAATGAGATTTTTTCATGTCCAGATTTGAGGACTAAACACTTATACCTCAGCAGTCAGCAGCCGCTCACTTAAAATATCGATTGCGATTCTGCCAGCTTCCTATGCATCCTCAAGCATGCTTTACTGATAAATCTTGTCAGTAGTACACGCTACATTGCTATCTAATTCTTTTTCCTTTTGTATCTCTATTCTTTTTATCAGGTTCGCATAGCTCATGCTTGAATATGTTCAGTATTATGCCATTTTTCCAATGTCTACGTGATGGATCTTGCCAACTTGGTGTTCGTGCAGATCGTTCCTATTGGCTGGCTACTACAGAACCCCTTCCAATGATGCCATTGGATGTCAGTGAAGTTCGTCGAAGAGTAGCACGTTGTGTTGTCTGTGAAGCACCAACTCAACCGTATGCTTTTCATGCACAAGCTAATCAACTTCAAGAAGTTAACTGTCCTGATGGATGGGCAAGACTTTGGGATGGATATAGCTTTGTTATGGTAAATGGTTTTTTCAAAAAATATATATACTGCTTTAATTCTATTTCAGTAATAACCATTCTGAAGCAAATCTAATAGCCTTTCAGTAACTAAACTTAGCCGCCTGGTTAAACAGAGAAACTCTCAATATCTACCCTAGACAACATCTATAGAGCTTATTTTAATGTGAAGTGTGTTTTCGGAAGTTTACAAGAATGATGTAATTGCCTCTATTGATGATCCTAAGTGTCACTGACTGACTGACTGACTGAATTCATAAGCTCCCTCATCCTTGTGATGATTTTGATTAGTTTGGATAGTCTCGTTGGCCCTGGTAATTGACCTTTCAACCGTATGACTTGTTCTTCATTGACTACCAGATTTCATCTATGTCAACCTACCAGTTGAATCAGGGCTTCCTACCGATTGCCTCCAACCATCTAATATCATCAAACTAATACGCGCCGTGATGGCGAGCTACCTAGAATGGTGGCCACATTGCAAACCTGACTGACTGACAGAATTCAGTCTGTACCAAAGAAAGGACTAGACACGTCACACTAGTTACTAGTGTTCAATCAAAGTACCCACTATAGTCCTACAGGAGGTCAATCGTGAGCATGAATAGCTCAGTGGTAAATGTCTCTGCCTGCAGACGGCACTGGGTGACGCGGGTTCGAATCTCTAGAAGGGACATGAGTTCCTTCAAGGTGACTGCAGATATGCCTTGCTGACTGATGAGTGCCAACTAGCACGAAACTTAGGTGAAGCAAGACTTCCTGTGGCCGATTGCCTCCAACTATCTAATATCATCAAGTCAAGATTGATCTTATTACCTGACTCTTAGGAGTAATCCTCTGTGATTTCCAGTACTTTCACTGTTTAAAACTTTCATATTTTCTTAGTCTTTACTCCTGATAACTTTTTGTGTAAATTTTCTGCAAACATGTAGACTTTTTGCAGTGTGTTTATTTTTAATTCACTTCTGACCTTCCCAATACCCAGTTGAACCGAGATGGTTGGCGTCACCTGACCAATCGTCTTCTAGCACAGACGCTCCGACTGTGCTTTTAGATTAATTTGAAGTAGTTTGGTGGTTGGTAACTAGCAGTGGAATCCGTTGCTCCCAATTAGAACTCGTCAGTCGGATACACCCACATCCTCCCTTGGGAGTATGATGTTCCCACAGAAACTCGAAACCAATATTTATCGTTTCAAACTCCACAGCGTTTCCCAAGCAGTCGAGTGTATAGTTCTTTGGCGTTTGAAACGATGGATACATTCCTAACCACATTAAAATTTAGCTAGGTTATTTGGGAATAAACTATTCTGTTGGTTGGCAATTGGCCCAAGGTTAAACGAGTTGTTCGGTGAGGTCAGTTCATCTCCGCAACGTAAACTAAATATGCAAAATTTGAAGAATAAACACTTCTACCTCTTCTGCAGCCATTGACTTAAAATATTGATTTCATTTTTCGGTGCCGAGTTAAACTTTAAGCACCACTAACTGTCAATCAGCAAATGACTTTAAATGGTCCAAAGAGTTTCATCCACATCAGTTGAAGGTGTTGTTCCGCTTGATTCGAGTCGAATTCCTGCTCTAACACAGATATGCTTGCAGTTTAGTAAGGATAAGGTTTTTCAGTATTCCTCGGATATGGGGTTGCTTAGGATTGAAAAGATTTGTCCATGTGGAGGTGTCATGAGTATAAAAAGCTTCAACAGGTCGATTGACGGATATGTCAATCATTGTGAAATTTATTTGAGACGAGTTAATGTTAGGGTAGGTAAGAAGCTGTTGATTCTAATATTTCGTAGGAACATTTTTTGCCAGATCCATCTGTTCTTAATCCAGATTTTGTATATTTATAATTACTGGGTTTCAAACAACCTGTGAGAGGTGCAGCTACTGAAACTGAAAACAGACTCGTATCAACATTTCAGTAATACCATCACTGCAGTGATACTGCGTCATGGAAAATGGAGAGGAGAAGGGCAAGGTGTCATAGCACACGTGGATGAAACTGTCTTATTGAAGAAAAAACACAACTGTGGTCGTGAACAAGCAAACAATGTTTGGGTGATCGGCTTATATGACACCTCCCTACAGAAAGGATTCATTGAGAGAATAGCAGACAAAAAGTCAACTACCTTACTACCTATTTTCACTCAACGGGTGAAACAGGGATCTATACTACACACTGATAAGTGGGAAGGTTATAGCTCCCTGTCATCCCCTTGGGATATATTCACCACAGAGTCAACCATTCTAATGATTTTGTGGATCCCATCACAAGGACACACACTTATTCTATAGAAGGCTTTTGGGGAAGATTAAAGAAAAAGGATGAAGACTATAAATGGATCTTCAAAGGATGCCATTTATAGTCATTTGGATGAATATATATACAGAATGTGGTGTAACTTCTCCAATGATACTCATATGCCAAACTCGGAGATGTTTCTATCACGTGTCAGAAAAAGATACCCTATTTAACAGTTTTAGGCAGTTTTTAATGCATTTTTAAAAATAAATATCTCAGGATTTCATCATGAGCTGACATTAGTTAGAGAACCATTGGAAAACCTGAGAGTACTGGACAGATGTTTCATACTAGTCTGGGACGCTTCAGCAGTACGCACCCATCAGGATTCGAATCAAGGACCTTCTGGTTACAAGGCGAACTCGTATACCATTAAGCCACCGGGACCCGATCCAATGGCCCATGAATTCTAACTTCTGCCAATTCGCGACCCCTAGCCAATGTCTCCGGCGAGTATTTGTCCTCACACCCGACTAGCTATATCGTGAATTGGCAGAAGTTAGAATTCATGGGCCACTGGATTGGGTCCCGGTGGCTTAATGGTATACGAGTTCACCTTGTAACCAGAAGGTTCTGGGTCCGAATCCCAGTGGGTGCGTACTGTTGAAGAGTCCCAAACTAGGCTGACGAAACAGCTGTTCAGTACTCTCAGGTTTTCCAATGGTTCTCTAACTAGTGTCAGCTCATGATGAAATCCTGAAACCGATCAAATCCCTACAAAACCAACCCTTAAATAAATATCTGTTTATAAAACACAAAATGATTGAGCAAAGAATATTCTTTTCGATAATTTCCTCTTCTGGCTCTACATTTATATATATATGCTAAAATACATAGAATATTCTAGATTAGTAGTCAATAACAATATTAGTGTTTTCTAAATAATATTGATTTGTAAAGTAAGACCAATGGAATTACGGCTTCTTAAAGATGCTTAAATAATATTAATAGAAATAAAGGTATGATAGCAAATAGAATATCAACTGAAATTAGGGAGATTTCTACAAAAATTGAAGAGCATTCAAACCTCGATGCCCAAGGTAAGGACAATGTCTGAACTAGCCTCTTTTGAACGCATAAATTAGGCTTCTTAATGTAGATCTTAACAGCCAGCCTCAGCAATATGTAGTAGACGAACTCTTAATGTGAAGTTAAGATTAGTTGGTTGGTGTTCGCTAAATGACTTTGAAAGCCGCCTCGTTAACATCAATCTTGTGTTGTGTATCCACATGATGAGATAGAATAGCGCTATGAATAGATTCACTTAACCACTACGCAGGCTAATGTTCGGAAATCCGACAAGAAACACGCCTAATTGTACGGCCAATGTAACTGGCTCATTCCACAGAAGCAGTTAAATTGGTAGATACACATAGAAGAGGGGGAAATTAGGCAGTTTATCTTTTACTGCCGAACTCAAAGGAGGAGTGGGTGGTTTTGAAGGTACAGCGGAATTAGGCAGCAGCAGAGAATGCTCTTTTTTTACCGCATTTCTAAGGCGCTGTTTTCCATAACCATCAAATGCCTCTTTCATGTGATTGATTCGTTGAAAGTCGTTCGCTGATTGGAACATAGTGGTGCTTAAAGTTTACCTTTGCCCTTTTCAACGGCTTTCTACCAATTCACATCACACGCACTACAATTACATAAATTATATATATATATATCTTAATTTAATTTTTCTTTCATACAGCACAGTGTTGGCAGTACTGGTGGCGGTCAACAACTTTCATCACAGGCAGTTGTCTTGAATACTTCAGTTATTCACCATTATTAGAATGTAATAATGGTATGAGTTTATGCAATTATTGGTCAGACGCCAAGGCATATTATCTACGACATGTGAGTAATAATACAGAATTTCAAAAACCTGTTGGCCAGTATATTACAGATCATTTACCAGATGAAACAAAAGTTCTACGAGAGATAAGTCGATGTCGTGTCTGTGTGAAATCTCGATTCCAATCATATTTTGTTTAAATTCATGCCAAAAAAGTCAAGATGAAGCAGAAGAGAAGTTGAAGAGATACACAACGGAGAAATCACAAGAACAACAATAAATAACAACGACAATATCATTTTACAATTAATTATACACATGTTTTCCAGTTATATATATATATATATATATATATATATATATACATCTTATCAAAAAATACTTGCAAACTGATGTTGCTTAGTGAACTTTTAAAAATTCGAATGTCTAAATTCAATTCGGATACACGTTTCATAGAAGTCACTGTTTTTGAAGGCAATGTCCCCCTCTTCTACTGGGTCCCCTTCAATAAGTGATACGTTTTTATTTTATAATCCCAACGGAGTGATTATAATTCTGTTATATTACTATTATTATTATTATTATTATTGTTATTTGACCAAAATAAACACAATAGATTTCAAGGCCGTTTTGTCCTTATCGTCTTTATTATTATTATTAATTAATCAATTAATTAATTAATTATATCTTTAATCTGGACTACTCAGTGACTTAGATGGAAACTTCTACTATTATTACTGTTATTATTACTATTATTATTACTACTATTCAGTACTTGTTCCGGCTGAATATACAATTTATTTAATTAAAAGCTTAATAGGTATTCAAGTTAATTCCTCACGAATTTCCACACACCCACACACACACACACACGCAATAACTTATTAGGGATTTTTCTTTAAAGATTTAACTTTGAACATTATTATAATGGGATAATTTATAATGTTTGTTTGTTTGTTTGTTTTCGAACTCCTTAATTCCTGTTTTCTTTTTTTGCCAGCCACTTCTTTAAGCTGTAATCACAAAAAATTATACATATATATATATATATATATATATATATATTTAGTGCTAATTGTTTATTCATGGAATTATGATTGGATTATATTTGAGAAATGTTGTTCATCTCTTCTGTTCGGAATTGAAAGGCACAATGTGAAGGTAGAGTAAAGTTGAGGCATGTTGAGCTAAACGTGTGTGCCAGCGCCTATGATTTTCCTCTCTAATTTCGCCTACTTCATCTCCTCCTTCCCCCCAACCACCCACCCACCCACACACACACACACAAGATCTCCTCTATTTCACCCTAGTAGACATGCCCACCTTGTTGTTTGCAATTTACTTTTTAATCGAGTGATAAACTGTTTCGTGTGTGTGTGTGTGTGTGTGTGTGGTGTTATTCAACGGTCTCCTCAGAGTGTGTCTGTCTGATCCATCCACATTTCCTTCAGAATATTTGTTGAGCAACAGGGTTCTTGATTAGTTTTGTTGTCAGCGAAGGTGGCAGCTGTCAATGAAAGTCTCCGATGGCCATGTTAGAAATGCTCTTCATGATAAATTAATTTTGCTGACTACTCATATAGAAGCACTGAATGATTGATTGACTTAACGTTGGCGTTGAAAATCCCCCCAAATTTCTATTTTCAATGCTGAGTGTGAACACACGAATGACCTTGAAAAAAATATCTGTCGATTTCATCTTTCAAATATTGTTTTTTTTAGAGATTTTGTTTGATTTCATGGAGGATTTCATCATCAGTTGATATCAGTTAGAGAACCACTGGAAAACCATCTGGGAGTACTGGACAGCTGTTTCGTCCTGGTCTGGGACTTTTCAGCAGTACGCACCCACCACAGGTGTTCAAACCAGGGATTTTCTGGTTACATGGCGAACTCGTAGACCAATGAGCCACTGGGACCCGATCCAATGGCCAACCCATGAATTCTAACTTCTGCCAATTCATGACATAGGCGCGACCAGTAGGGTACAGTAGGTTGAAGATCAGGCAGTAACTCATCGAAGAAGACATTGCGAAATGGTCGTGCTATTTCGTGAATTGGCAGAAGTTAGAATTCAAGGACTATTGGATCAGGTCTCAATAGCTCAATGGTCTACGAGCTTGCCTAGTAACCAGAAGGTCCTTGGTTCGAAACCCTGTGGTGGGTGCGTACTGCCGGAGAGTCCCAGACTAGGATTAAACAGCTGTCCAGTAGTCCCAGATGGTTTTCCAGTGGTTCTCTAACTGATTTCATCTTTCCCTAAACCCACACTAATCTAACCTTAAATACTCCTAACTTAACTAGTCATCTTGTTTGATATTCTCATAATTATACAATGCTCTGTTGGCAAAACTCCACCCACAAGAAGCTGGATTCAAGGAGAGCAGATCGTGTGCAGATCAAATCACTACTCTGCGCATCATCATCGGACGAAGCATAGAATGGTAGTCAAATCTTGTTATATTTCGTAGTACATCGAGAGTTGTATAGGGATGCCGAGTTAGACACAGTTGAGCTAGTTACAACTAACGCTTGACTACACCAACCCCATTAGACAACAGTTACCTGTTTCCTCAGTTAGCACTACTCGAACGAGAACACAATGCCGTCATCCACAAAGGATGTTTTGATGTGGTTGTGTTCTCTGAGCAGGACAGTTAATTTGCGAAGCTTTCATCACCCTATTAGGCGACATCTGCGGCTAGACTAAGACGTTCGAAAATTGGATTTTGTTCTCGGACTTTTCTTCTCTTGTGAGTTTGATGCCGTTGAAGACGTTGTTCATTAAGTTGAATGAGTTTTATCTAACTCGTTTCTTCTGATTAATACAAATGTGTCGTCGACGTGGCGTATCCAAATCTTGGGTTTGATCTTTGGTAGAATTATGTTTTCAAGCCTTTGCATCACTACTTTTGCAATCAAACCTGATACTGGCGATCCCATGGGTGTTCCTTTGACTGTCTAACGACATAAAATTCACAAGAGAAGAGGAATACAAGAACAAAATCCTATTTTCGGACGTCTTAGTTAAGCGAACAACCACAGGAGGACTAGAAACTCAAGTTAACCGAGAATCAACTCACACAGATCAAATACGGAATTACAACAGCAACAATCCAATGACACAAAAAAGGACTTGTATACAAACACTATTCAAGGGGGTCAGTCAGGACTCATTGCTGCACTTCTTCCTCAAGAAAAATTGAGGAAAGATATCTCATGGGCGTCTTCCAAAAGAATGGATATCCACGGAATTTCATCAAAAGACATATATACCCCAGAGCCAACCTTTCAAACCAGGAGACCCCAAGGAAAACACAGAGAAAATCGCCCTACCATACATATAAACGACATCTCAGAAATCACTGCAAGACTCTTCAAACCTTCAGGAAGTGACGTCACTCACAAGCCAACAAAGTCACTTCACTCAGTTATATGTCAACCAAAAGACTCAACAACGAAAGAAGACAAAACCAACATCATCTACAAAATAAATTGTAACAAGTGAGAAAATCACTACATTGGGTAGAGTGGACGTTCTCTTTGTCTTCGTTTCTATGATCATAAACTAACCGCCAAAAGACGTGATATACACTCCCTCGATCATATCACTACATATAGACAACCACGAACATCAATTCGACTGGGACAACCAGAGTTCAAATATTAGACAGAGGAAACACCCAAGAATGCTAGAGAACGTTTAGAAGGCTGCCTGGTATTCCAGTGAATTGGCACTAAACAGACACATCGAGATAAACAAAATTTACCAACCGATCAGAAAGAAACCTCACACACAAAGGGTCAAACTTTAGGTCAAGAAAATAATCAACACCAATGCCAATACAAGTAGCTTAGAGGGTGTGAAAACACACAAAAACAACCAATCACACTCAAGGTTATCCCCAGGAGAGGTGGCTAATAAACTCGTGGAGAAAGCTAAAAGTTCACTTCAGTTCAAATTGAAGTATGGGCGCTGAAGATTATGCCTAATGTTTGGGGCAATGAAAACCTTACAAATTAACTATCCAGCTCAGAGAACACAACCACATCAAAATCATCCACCTGAGCTACAAATCTTCTCCATCATACAAAGTGTGTTTTACACAATTATGTATGAATCAAAATATCACCGAAGTTTTGTTAATTAGATTGTAATCATGATCAATAAAATATTGGCGTTATTTTGTGTTGGCTGATTCGGATTGGTTTAATTCTAGACTGGACACCGACCGGTATATCAAGTGAAAAGGTCTTAGACAGCTTTGACTGTAAAGTGATTTTGAAACTACTTCAACTCCATTAAGTAACCAAATCTTTATCAACTTCATTCAACAGATATATTTTAATACCACATGTCAAATAATCCACATTGGAAGGCTCAAAGAAGCCTTTGAAGTGACTACTGGAGTAAAACAAGGCTTCCTACTATCCCCAACGAGATTCCTAATTGTGTTGGACCAGATAGTGTGGAACACCATCTGTCTGCCTGTCTGTTTTCATCATAGAACTTTGCACATATGTGCAGCAGTTTAAGTCGCCACACTCCATGTAGAACACAAAGCAAGAGAAGAAAGTAGAAGAAATGCATCGTAGAGACAGTAAACAGAGGTGTGCGACAAAGGAAGAGTAATAACGAAGAACAAGACAGTTTCATTGGAAATCATAAGTCACAAGGAGTGGATGCATCTGCACCGGCCACTGAGAACGATTTTGAGCAATGTCACCAATTGTTTCCAACCATTGGTTTTTACCGTCCCGAGGACCCCAACCAGCCAGGAAGTCTACACCTTCCTACGTGGCTGGCTTAGACTAACTGTTGCAGATTTCATTGACTGGTGCCATGTTTTTGTTTGACCTCCGCTAGCTTTTTTCCAGCTTGACCCTATATCCACTAACATTGCTCGTCGAGGAAGGCGATGACTAGGCATACGTAACACATGTCCTAACCATCTCAGTCGATGTAATTTTATGGCCTCGTTGATTGATTTCCCCTCCGTACCCAGCCTAGCACTCGACGCCTAACCTCAATACTGCTCACCCTTTTATACCATTTCACACAGGCACCTATAATAAAAGACAGATAATCTTTTCATGTCTTCCACTCTCAATGGCCAGGTCTCACAGCCATAAAGGAGGACAGAGAGGACTACTGAGCAGTACACACGCCCTTTGGTAGATAGCCAGCTGGATATCATGTCTAAGCCAGAGACGGCGTAAACTGGCATTTGCGAAACTAACCCTCTGTATTCGTGCTGAGATTTCGTCAGAGATCAACCCACTGGCGTTGGCTGATGGTACTTCCCAAAAAAGTGAAGCGGTCAACATGCTTTACCACTTCACTTCCTATTTTTAAACTAGGCACCGATATAGTCCAGTCCTGTAACATCATCTTGCATTTCACGGCGGGAGCGAATCGCATGCCAAACATTCGTAGATTGCGGCTCAAGGTGTTTAGAAGACTCTGCATTTTGTCAGCGTCTTCGCCTAGAAGGACTATATCGTCTGCATATTCCAAGTCAACGAGATTATTCCCTGGTAGCAAGTCAATCCCTGAGTCGCTGAAGTCATTTAGGGTTAAGTCCATTTGTACACCTATGATGAATTTGAATAGAAATGGGGATAATGGGCATCCTTGACGGATACCACTAGTCGTCACCACTTCAGATGACAACTCGCCGTAAGCTCTCACCTGGCTGCATGAGTACGAGTAGAGTGCCTTAATCAGTGCAATGTATTTTCTCGTCATTCCCTTTACAGCCAAGCATCGCCAGAGAACCTCTCGGTCGACAGAATCGAAAGCTGCCTTTAGGTCAAGAAATACAATAACTGTTGGACGCCGGTAGGAATGCAGAACACCATACGTGCGAGCGACAAGACGAGAATATGTTGGACCCATAAGAATGCTCTAGAAGATCTACACTTTGCTTATGACTCATGTGTAACATCATATAAATTCGAGGACTTGCAGGTGTAAACCAACAAATTGTCAAAAGAAGTAGCCAATGAATACAAAATTTTAAGCGAACATAAAGAAGATGGAGGTTATACGGAGATAACCACCGACCAAATACAACATGTGTCAATCACTACCAACGGGGGAAATTTGAAAGTGTTCAGTTCCTACATTTATCAAGGCATCATCGTTTTAACTACTGGTAACAGCACAGATGATGGTGCCAAAATCTGTATTCTGCATGTCAGACATCTATCACACTGAAATCAGTGTTGATTTTCTCTACACTAAGCATAGGAAACCAAATTCATGTTAAGTCAGTCATTCTTCTATATGGGTCAGAAACATGGCTCACCTGTAGCAAAAAACATTTAGAACTGGCCACTTCAGACTTTTGCTAACATCTACCTTCACCCCATGCTAAAGATCAAATGGACTGACAGAAAAAATTGGCAACACGAAACTCTGTGTACAAACCAATCAAGTACCTGTTGTTCAACAAATACTCCGAAGAAAATGGAGATGAATCGAACACACTCTGAGGAGGCCGTTGAATGATATCGCAATCAATACAGGCCATCACTCGATTGGGAAGCGGTGAATTAGGTGTTTGTCTGAGGTTGACACTGGGGAGATCGTATGAGGGGGATACGAAAGCCTGTGGCAAAATGTGGGGCCAACAGCTGAACAGGACTGCAGGGAACAGACTGGAATGGAGATGTTCTGCTGAAGCGGAAAGTAAGGAAGTAATACTAATAGGTCATAAAATGTGCGGAGTACTAAGCTAAGAACGTGTAATTCGTGTAAAAGACAACAAAAGTTCAAACAGTAATAAGCTTTATTGTAGAACTGTAGTAGCAAGATGTCTAGTTAAAAACTGTAATTTTAAATATTGTACAAGTAAGCAGGTTAACAGATGATTTTCTACAGCACGATTAAAAATAAACGGCATTCCGGACAACGTTTTCTTTATTCCTCATCTGATACAAAGTATTCGTTCCTGATTGCTAAATCTACCAAAAAGGAACAAAAGAATATCTTTGATGAAAAAGCCTCTTTTGTAAAGTCAAAACCATGTGTGTTAGTAAAACCAAAATACAAAACACGCAGTCTGTCTGAATACATTATATTTATTGTGAAATTTTATTTTTCAAGAACACTTAGTTTGACAAACCTAAGGTAGTGGATAAAAAACATATTTTTGGCTACATATTAATTGTTTAGTGCATCGGTGGCATAGCGGTTAGGACGCTCGCCGAACATCAACGTGGCCCGGGGTTCGATACCCGGCCACAGACGCACTCATTTACCTCGCTAAGCCAGGAAGAATGCTGGTAAAGAGGAAAGGTTGAGCATGAGGCTAGTAACCCCATCCTGTAAAATAAACACTGCTACAGAAACTTCAAGCCACTAGTTTGAAGCCCTATGTTCCACTGGAAACGTGAAGAAAAAATAATTGATTGTTTAAAACTCTTCTGATTACTCTTGAGTATTACAACTTCTACGGATCTGTCATTTGAGTGAACTGATTGATTCAGTCATCAATCTACAATTTTTAGCCCACACGCATTTGTTCTGCTAATTTCGAAAGCATCTTCTTAAACGGCTGTTCACTGTACTCCTAAATAATAAAGCTTGTTTGATTTTAATTATTTGGTCAAAGATGTACGAGTTTTGACGTTTATATTTGTAGGGCAACTGAGTTAACACCCTGAATTCCATTAAAAAATAACTGATTTAGGATAACACACAAGGATCTTAATGTCTTAAGTGTCTCTTAATTAGTCTTTAACTTCACTTGCCTACAGTTTGTATAAGCCTTGTGGAGATTTAAAAAGCCAACAAATTTTTGACCGTTGTAATAAAGCTGCTTTTAATTAATTATAGACTGATGGTAAAATAGACGCATAACTTTCATATAGCGATGAAACGTCGAAGCTACTAGGTAATTACTCATCAGTTCATTCATACTATTACACTAAGCTTACGTTAAACTCTCACTAATTTCCACCAAATTAGGTAAGATAACGGTAATTCCATATTATTTTGTTTATTAGATGTATCACACAGTGAAACAGTATTATTTACTGGATGACACAGTTTAGAACGAAATTCACTATTTTTCATAACCATATGAATTGTAATCACACGACTAGGAAACATGAGTTTTATAGTTTTCTTTGTTCTCTCCTATTTTTCGTCGTTGGAGTAGTGGAATTTTTTAGATATCCGGCTAGACAGGTGTTGAATCATTCCTTTTACGTGTATTTGCAGTAGATCCGATAAACAAAGCTTCTGTCACAGGGAGAAGGGAGAGATTGATAACAGAAGCTTTGTTAACTGAATAAACTGGAACTACGTGTAATAGGAATAATTCAACACCTGTCTCAGATATCTGGAAAATTTTACTACTCCAACGACGACAAATAGGAGAGAACAAAGAAAACTATAAAACTCAGGTTTCGAAGTCGTGCGATTACAATTGATATGATTGTGAACAATAATGAGTTTTGTTCTAAACTGTGTCATCCAGTAAATAATACTGTTTCCCTGTGTGATAAATCTAATAAACACACTAATATGGAATTACTTAATAGCACAGTACCCACGTTTTACACATATATTTAGATAACGATAAATTATTTAAGATACTGACTGGCATTTGCGCTATATATATATATATATATATATATATATATATATATATATATATATATATAACGTGGTGCCAGAAGTTGGAATTCATAGGCTAACCATTGGGTCAGGCCCTAGTGGCTGAATGGTGTACCAGCTCACCTTGTAACCGGAAGATCCTCCGTTAGAAAACTCCAGTGGATGTCTAGTACTAGAGATTCTCGCAATAGGCTGAAACAGCTGTCCATTACTCCCGAGTTTTCCAATGTGCCTATAACTGATGTCAACTCGTGATCAAACTTGTAACTAATCAAATCCCTGAAAACCAACGCTTCATTACTATCAAATTCTCTAAACTTGTTGTGAGATATGCTGAATTCCCAGGGTTAGCTAGTGTATCTATTCTCTGTAATGATGTGAAATTATATCATGCTGTAAATAAGTATCTTAAGTTCCCCCCTAATTAAGACTCCTGCTTGTAAGGTATAGATCACTAGCCATAAAATTTATCAGCTATTTTGTTCTAATTTGTCAGAGAGACCTAAGCAACTAAAAAAATCTGCAACCCTATGAAGCTTAAATAACTAAGGGAAACTTTTTCATTCATTCCAACTGTTCAGTAATACAGTTAACTACTTCTTGATTTTAATCGTTTGTACCAATAAAATTACTTCATTTTACTGGGGGATTTCCAAAGATATGTACATATGTATCAATGATTGATTACAGAGTGAGATATACATAATAGAAGTGTTATCTTGATCTTTTCCTAGGCAAGCGTAAATAATGTGGCGCTTAAGCTATTCAAAAGAGACGTGCATTCCAAACTAACGGAGCTGCTACAATAAAGACCACTTGATTCATTCCTGAGCCTATAAAGTTACACGAAAGCAAATTAACTTACCTTTGTCGTGACAGTACGTTTCTTGAGAAAGCCAGCTTTCCCCAGCACATTCACACAATGACTGAAGTCCAACATTCGTGGTTAAATCATTACGACTCCGGAAATTACTAAAAGAGTCACCTTTTGGAGTATGTAAAGCCAAAGGAGAAGGCCCTTACCTTCAAGAAGACTGTGGAATGCCGAATCATTCGAATTTGGTGTTATATCAGGAGTGAAGATGGCTTGATTTGGAACTATTTCTTTAAGATCTTTCTTTTTTGTATAAAACAACAAACATTTATTACACAGCCTAGAAGAAAATAGAGCCTAATTCTTTATTAATTTTGTTTCATACTTCGGTGTGGACTTTGGACCTAAGAGAATCTTTGAATTTGATGGTTTTGAACATCGCCTAATAGCTTCACCATGATGTGGCAGTCGGTTCCGTTCCCATACTGGGTGAGATGGAATAATACTCATTAACTTCGAAATATTACTCAAATGACAAAAGATACCTCCTTACAGCATCTATAGCTGACTATAGCTCGGTAGTTCATTCTTGCCCATAGTGCTTCTCTTTGTCTCAAGAAACTAGATAATTTATTCTTCCAAAACGAACCCAAAGCCCAAGGCAGGATCTCGTATTTGTAGTCTTCGTCATCCTCTTCAATGTCATGAACAAGATACCTACAATGATATGAACGCAAACACAGTGTCTACATACAGGCAGCAGAAAAAGTTCATCCTATTATATTCTTCGATTGCTAGATCACATCTTTTGAAGTAGGCAAAGACACAGGCAATAGAAAACTGCATCTAAGGTTAGGCATACATGAAACTTACGTTATCAGCTACTTTAAAACATACATCACAATCAAGGAACTTTTTGATAGTACTATCTCCTGATCGTGTTAATTCTCAATGACGATATTTAACATACCGAGAAGTTTAAAAAATGCAAGCATTTCCGTCTCTTCAACTACATATGCTTTTAGAACATTCTCATTAAGTGTTAGTGTAGGGGGGTTAATACTCTTGTTACATTGAATGATACGACTATTAGCAGCTTCTTCAGAGCTTGATGCACATCTGGAATTTTTCTGCTTTTTGTCAGAAATTAATTCGTTGCTTTTTCTTTTACCACAGGCTCTACGCCGTCGACTAATACTTTCAAACCATGAAAGAGACATAAGATGAGAACTGATCCGCGGAAACTTAATTTTTTATTCAGAACTAGGCCTTAATGGATTCGATAAACAATTTTTCGATAAAGTTAAACAAAATTAGTTCAATACCTTAGAGTTAAGTAACAAACGTTACTTATAGACAGCATACAAGAATAACCTATTTTCCTTCTCAGATATTTGATGAGGTTCTAAGAAATGTAAAAATGCAGCAACACAAGGACTGTGTGAAAACGGTTCATCCACTTAAAACTAACACACATTACTTATGGGTATTCACCAAAACTCGTCCTTTTACTACCGCCCAATCTCGCTTATCTTACTCCTCTAACTACTCTACATGTTCACTCACATTATTATTTTATGGATGCGTATATTTAATTTAGAATTTCATTATCTGTATGACTGTACGTTTTCCCTTTCTAAAGTCTATATAACCTGCATTAATTATATCTGTTATTATCCTCCTTCTCGACCACACTGGAGGGCTAACTAGCAAAAGGACCATCACCATTCTCAGTATCAACCCGGTGTTCACACGGCTTACCACAGACTAAATTTAACCACTTCCAGCATCACTCCCCTTGGAGTCAATCAAAGTTACAATAGTCGAGTTGTGAGACTAGCTGCTAGAAGTTTACCGAAGACCAAAATCTTCACCTCACAACTGAGAGGCGAACGCAAAAAAATAGTTTCCTGTCATAGCAGCTCGTAAAAACGACATCAGATATTGGAAGGCAGTCACATAATAATAAATGGAACAGTGAATTACGTGATGTGTAGTTTTGCAAGTCTGAAAACTTTCATTTACGGGTTTGTAATTATTTGAGATCCCTGAGTGAGCTACTCGCTACGTGAATCCTCGAATCGACGTAATGCGGTTACACAAGGATTGGATATTTAATAATTGCTTTCTCAACGTCGGTAATGTTGCGTAAATGAGGTTACTCCGTCGATGGTCACAGCACACATTCAGTTATGACTATGATACGCTTCGAACAATCGGGTCAAGGGCTATTAGAGTGAGACCATACCTGGACGTTCAGCGCAGGTTGATGATATCGCCAACCGCAAGCATGCAAGTATTTTTATTTTATATCACAATAGTGAGTTCATATGTGGTAGACGTTTACAGTTGTCATTGCAGTGCTGCTCATAATTAAAACATGATCGTAACAACAAAGGTACGGAAAGAGGAAAAAAACCTGATGGGTTAATAATTATAATAATAGTGTATATTTTCACACAAACATAAATTTACATGAAAATGCATGCCACTTTTACAGGCACGATCAAGTGTGATATAATCTCAAATCGTAGATTGTCTACAAGTTAATGATGTTTCAACAGCTAAATATATATATATAAATACACTCATTGTCTGAACCAGAGCGTATAATTATTGAATCGTACAGTAGCCCTCCAGGACGGGCGGGAAAATCGACTTCGATTCGTCTTCAACCCATGATTGTAGGCATACGATAACCAACCAATATTGAGGTAAGTACTACATTGACATGGGACTGGAGGCTGTTTTAGAAAAGTAAAAGTGCTAAAGCGAATCGGTAAATTGTAATAAAATAAGTAACTGCAATGTATCATTGGTAAATGCATTCATAAACGACATACAGTTGGAAACTACATGAACCCTAGGCTGATAACGTTCATTTGCAATGTATAATGCTACCCATATAGGTCTTATTATCATGATGTCCACGTTTGGTTTTAATACAATTATCCTCGAGCCAGTTGTTTATATATCACACCTTCTCGTCTATTTGGTGCAAAACCGTACCCTACAGAGAATAGAAATATAATAAGTGGAATCGAATTCATAAAGAGCTATAAAATTTTAGGTTTAGTGGAATATAATGAGGATGAAGTAAAGACGTTATTTGAAAATGAATGAGATGAGACATTTTGAAGTGGCATTCAAAGATCCGACAGTGGAATGCATGTTAACTTATAAGATGCCCCATAAATCTGTGCAGAGCCCATGTGGTCGCATCTCAACAATAAGCTGGGCGAATCGCATATATTTAAGGCAGAAGCATGATCTGTCTAGGCGTTCATTATTATCTTTTTCAAGATAAAGATCTGAGCCCTCATAAAAATCAGAAATATCTCGAGCCTTCAAATTGTATATTGCTGTTCCTGCAGAATGGGGTGATTCACCTTAGTGACCACCACCATATCTACTGATCAGCTAGCGCCACCCTCCCTCCTTTTTTGATGTTAGGCTCTGAGACTATGATTATTATGGCTACCGCAATTATATTACTTGGTACCAGACATGTTCGTACCTCATATTCCATCTCCCTAGCTTTCTTAATGAATGCTTCCAATAGGTCTCCGCGTACATCTTTATGAACATATTGTATATATATATATATATATATATATATATATATATATATATGCGTCCTAATGAATAGATTAGTTTATTTGGGAGTTAAAACCTTAAAGAGTAAAAGGAATAGGTTTTGTGAACAGTGGAGCAAGATTCAGCAGAACACTTTATAGGACATGAAATTAAACCGAAACTGATGTGATCAATAAACATTCGAAATGACCTAAATAAAGAAGTGGGAGATGGATAAATGGAGAAAAAACTATCTTAAGAGTTCGCAGAAGTGTTGAACGCACCAGATGCGAACCTCTGAGGCATGATACTACTGGTGAGACTCACTGTTGTCTAAGTCACTAGATGTGTTTTACAAAATCGCAATAAGCTGAAACACAACTGACATGACACATCAGTCAATAAAACGGTCCAGACCGTTTAGCTGTTAATCAGGGGTTCCAAATAATGTAGTTTCCCCTCGACCCCCATTATATTTTAATATCAGGAGCCCGGGTGGCACAATCCCAAACAAGTTTTGTTGTCACGCCTAGAAACTTAAAAAATCCCGGATTACCTGGGTCTACTATAGTACTAGACAAGGAAGTTATATCCAAAAATGAGACCCATATATAAGTAGGCGCAATCAAACAGGAATGTAGTGCAAAAATGATTATCCCTTAGGCTTTTCCATAGTCGTTTCACAGCACAGTGCGTAGTGGGTATCTGGTCCTGAAGGCTGATATTTTATATGCCTGATTTAGCTAAAAATGCTTCTTTCCATGCCAGAGTGGTGTCAGTATTTTCTCTTACTTCTGAATTTTATTGGCCGTTATCTGCTTCAGCTTATCAAACTAAGGTTGTCTGAGACAAGTTGACTAAGGCTAATAAGTACAAAATTGCTCCCAAGTCTTCCAGCTGCTAATCCAAGATAGTAAAACCCCTCTTCTCAACCGTCTGTCTTCTTTCTTGCGTCACATAGTGCCATGGTCGCTGATTTCGCATAAAGCGAATAGAACAGTAGCCCCACGAAACTACCAGTTACAAAGGTCGTTTGAGAAAGAGACTTGTAAACTGCAAGGTTGTACTGGGGTTATAAGAGATTTGGAAATGAGTACAACATAGAGATAGGTCTTTCACGCTTGAAGAAATTGCTAGGGCAGTGGCTAAAAATGATGGGTTTGCTTGCTGGTTTACGTGCATCATTCTCCACCGAATCATTTCCAGCTAACGACAATATAGTAAGCATCATATATGAATTTATTGGGTGAGAAAAAAAGTTATCGCGCATTAAATTTACCACGCTCCAGGACTTCTCGTCTTTCATTGGCTAGAACAGTGGCGGTCAACTGGATGTTTGATTTGTTCTAGGACGGTGCTATCGTGTGCAGTTGTGTGATTGTGTTATGCGTGGTTTGCAAGCAACTTTGATGAGTATAAATATAATATTAGATTATCTGTCAATGTAGTTGAAGATTGAACGATCAATTCATGGTTGTTTGCTCAAAACCAACTTCCCCAATTTTCGCGGAGGCATCAATACGACAGTCATCGTCTCATCGGTCGCTGTTCAGAAAGAAGTCAGAAGACAACCGTCAGAAGTAATATTGTGATTTATTATTGTAATATTTGTTCACAGACCTTAGTTGTAACAGTGTTTATATGTTGGTGTTACAATAAAGAATCCTCGAGTCGCCAATCGGTGTTTTGGTTTTGCGTCCGTTATTACTAAGCGTTTCTGAGAAACTTCAAGCAACAGCGTGAGCCCGAGCGTAGCAAGAGCTGGGCATTAACGGTTTGCGAGACATGGCTGACAGCTTCCGACGGTGAAGTCAGTTTCTGACGGCACAACGTCAGTTTTTAAACGGTTTTGGACAGTTGGTGACAGTTTGGTTAGTCACCGTTCATCTTTCCTGGTGCCGGCCAAGTCCTCTTTGAACAAGCAATATCTGGAACGTTTTTGAAATTGGGTCAAGTTCAACAATGCCTGGGTCAAAGAAGGGACAGAGCGTCCTGGATGCAAACAGGAAAGTAAGTCATAGTGACTTCTCTGTTACTAGAAACGATGTGTCTGATGTTAAGCATGACGTGGTTGATATTACTGTTTCGCCGTCCAGGGATAACGGGAACACCAAACTCCTTAAGTAGGAACCTCGGTGTTTCGACGGAAACCCAGCTGATTGTTTACAATTTGTAAAGGAGTTTGAGATCATGCTGAGTGGTTTTTAATTAAATGATGAATTGAAGTTAATGTATTTGATGAGATATTGCACTTGAGATGCTGCAAGAGCTGTACAGTGCTGTAAGTTTAGGAAGCCAAAAGAGGGCTAATACGAGGCTATGAGCATACTACGTCAAAGGTTTTGAAGACCTTCGATGATTGTAGGGAAATTATTCGAGGCTGTTAAGGGTAATGGTGGTCAACTACAAGATGACTCCAAGGCAGTTACTGAGTTTATGGATAATTTGCTGATTTACAAGAATGCACTGATTTCAATCAATTGCATGAGTGACCTCAACTCGAGTTTTATACTAGAAGTAATAGCAAGACGCCTACCTACTCGACTGCAAAGGAAGTGGGTGAAGATAAGCTCCCGTATGGAGGATGAGGGTGTCGAGCCAAAATTTGATGATATCCTGAAACTAGTAAAAGATAGTGTCAATC